ACCCTAAACCCTAAACCCTAAACCCTAAACCCTAAACCCTAAACCCTAAACCCTAAACCCTAAACCCTAAAGGATTTTGAGCAATATTAGAGAAATATATCCTGGTTCAATTATTTGATTTATTCTCTATTTTTTCTAGAAGAGCGCTGTAAGTAAAATACTTAATATTGTAAGCAAAAAATATATTAATTATACAGTTATACGCTAGAAGTCTGTTTGTCTGGTTTACACTATATTAGGGCCCCAATAGGTTACCTAATAGGTTTTGGGTTATAAGCTATAACCCAAAACCTATCGTTGGGTCGAAGCAATAGACCCAAAACCTATTTTAGGTTAGGTTGGGTTAGGTTGGGTCCGGGTTAGAGTGGGTTATGCCGAAGTCTAGATATAAAGACTGTCTAGATATTCCGAAGCGTGAAGGGATACACAATTGTTTAATATAGGTATATCACGATGATCCAGCAGCCGGTCGTTTCGGCTGTGCAAGAACAGAGGATCTGCTGAAGAGACAATTAGACTTCCGCACGACCCAGTTTGGGTCGAAGGTCTCGACCCAGAACCCAACCCAGTCTGGGTCTGGGTCGAAACCTCATAACCTAGGCCCAACCCAGACCCAGTGACTGGGGCCCCAGAAAACCCAGTATAGCCCTAGTTCGACCCAGTTTCTGCATAAATTATAGCATAAATATTTAAATAACATACTGTCATTTTCCCCTATTATAGTTTCTACATCGAAATGCTACACTCTCTACCAATAAGGGAAAGGAAATTTTAAGAAATTACCTCGTTCTTCAAAGCAATATATCTGGTTCAAGATTAATTACTTCTTCAAATACTTTATTTCATATAGAAAGGTGGTATATATTGGCTGCTGGTTTTCTTAAGCGTACGATAGCATTCTATTTAAAATACAAAGTATACCCTAAGTTATAGATATATATATTCAATATACATCAATATAATATATATTTTCATCTATAGAGTAAAATAATTTTTGAATTCATTTATTTCTCTTCTTCTGTTTAATTTTAGAGCTTATATAACTATAGATAGATATCTAGTAAACCTTTATATTCAAAACTACTTACTACCTCTTAATCTACTTGGTATATACGACTTAAAGGGAGGGTAGGAAGAAATATTTTGAGAAGGATTAATGGAACTAGGGTAGGAATTGGGGTTTGACTAGGGTTTTACTAGGTTTACTGGGTTCTTACCGGGTTAAATAGGTTCTTACTAGGTTCTTACTGGGTTAAATAGGTTATAACTAGGTCTTGACTGGGTTATCTCAGGGGTATTTCTTTAGACCTATATAATTTTAGTATAATAGACCAATCAATAAGAGTAGGATGATTTACTATATTTAATATATCAATATTCCTAGACACTTCTACAACTTTAGTGTATTTCTTCCTTTGTACGTTAAAGAATTTCTCCCCTTATATCCCTTTGTATATATTATATATCATTCTTATATTATATCTCAAAGCCAACTTTCCGACTTTATATCGTCGCTCTATAGTGGTAATCTTGACGATCTCTTATATATTTTAACTGGATAAGTCACACCATCCGTAAGTCAACACACAATCGACTTAAACTTCCGAAGACCAGATGATCCCCTCCTAATCCCCCCTTTATTGAAACGCGTTGGACCCAACCGTAGGAAAGGGTTTATTCTATACGATACAATATCATATAACGATTTTGTGGACTGGTAGTTAGAGACTAACTATAGGAGGAAAAGCAAGCTTAAATAGGATTCGAACCGCTATACAGAGATCTGGAATAGCTACTATCAGGTAGCTCAGGGTATTGATAGCGCACCAAAGGTTATATATAAGCGCTGTAGGAAGATCCTAGAGTATCCTTATACACTAAGCCCGAACAGTACAGGCAAAGCGCAGTATTATAGCATATCAACCATCTAGAAACATCGGAAAACGGCTAGTTGTTTACGGTCGGAAAAGGGGAAGAAAGCAGAGATTATAAACTTCCTACAAAGAGAGGTATATTTTATATCATAAAACTAAGTAACTATACTAATTTATTATTATTCTAGGGAGAGGTTTTAGTAAGTATACCCTTCTTACAAGAAGATTGGGAGGAGGATCTCCTCCAATTTCTTACTCTTAACCGGCTCCTATTCTATCTAATCGAGTATCTATCATTCAAACGTATTATTAATAAAGCTCGTTCCACTCTATCCCCTCCAGTGATCCTATCTACCGATACTATCCGTCGCCGATTGGGTAGTCTAGTCAAAGACCGGCAGCAGCGTATCCTTCGTACGCTACCTTCTGGCTCAAAGATATCCATTGCGCTTAACTGCTGGATATCTCTATTCTCGTAGGTATTTATAGCTATTACTAGCTATTTTATTGACAGTGATTGGGTATATCGTAAGGTACTACTTAGGTTTAAGCCGCTTTATAGTATATATACCGGCTCTTACCTAAGTAGTATTCTTATAGAAACCCTAGTGGAGCACAATATTGAAGATAAAGTATTTAGGTTAACAACAGATAATATATTAAATAACAAGACATTAGCTACTGCTCTCCAATAGGCTTTGTTAGATGATACTATTATCACCCGAATACTATATCTTACCTACGTTATCCAGCTCAGCCTAAATCAGCTTCTTACTCGGATCAAGGCAGTTCTATTAAATAAATCAGCCGAGACAAGGTAGACAGAGAAGCAGTTAAGGCTAGCCTAAGAAAATACGAAGCAAAGTCAGATCTCCTCTACACTGAATAAAGTCCGTTATCTTGCGATTTACGTCAATATAAGTCCCCAGCGCAGAGAGACCTTTTACAATCTTCAGACAACTAATATTAAGATCGTTCCAATCTAAGATATAAAGACACGATAGAATTCTACGTTCCTTATACTTCGCCGGGCAAAGAGGCTACGTGCTATCTTCTCTTTATTCTGTACAGAGTATAATTGTGAGGAGATACTACTCAGCGAGCAAGAGTGGCGTCAGATCGACTATCTTCTTTGTATCACCGAGCCCTTCTTTGATTATACAACACAGCTATCAAAGACTCGAGATATCACTGCCCACTATATATTCAAGATCTACAACAAACTATTCGATTATCTTAAGCGATTATAGGCACAGCTACACCGAAAGTGTATCCTATAGAAGAAACAGATACTAGAGGCCCTTAAAGCTGGTCGGTCTAAGCTTAATAAGTATTACTCCTAAGCTGATGATCTTCGAGGGAATATCTATACAATCAGTACAATGCTTACACCGGTGAATAAATTCAAATTCTTCCTCTCCAGTGATTGGGATCAGAAATAGCGAGATACCTATCGACTTACTTTTGAACAAGCCCTTATTCTATATCAAGCACAAGTTAGAACAAGCAGTCGTGATCTACAAAGCTATCTAACGATAGCCTATCTAAGCTCAAGGCTAGAGGAGATACTTAATAGAAGGGATATACAACCACGAGCTATTACTGATAAAATCAGTCAATATCTTGATAGCGGTAAGTAAATACAAAGAGTATATACAATAATAATACTAATATATATATAGATACTGTTTCTGTTAGGCCGCTTACTTTCTGGAAAGAGCACCAGGCTCGCTTTCCGGCCATTGCTGCCCTTACGCGAGATATACTCTTATTTCCAGCAACTGGCGCAGGAGTTAAACGCCTCTTTAATACCGCTCGAGATATTTGTTACTATCGTCGTGGTAGAATAAAGAGTGAGACTGTCGAGGTATTAATGATGTTTCTTTGTACAACGAAATTTGATATAGAGGAGCAGGAAGCAACACTTCTTGAGAAATTCTTCTCCTAGGATAAGCTTGAGGCGGTAAAAGAGGAGAGGGAAGAGAAGCTTAGTGAGATTGAGGTTGATCCAATTAGTGATACAGAGGAGCAGGAGGATAAACCGGAAGATAAACTAGGGGATACAATTGAGGTTGTAATTGAGGATAGACCAGAGGATATACCGGAGGAGAGGCCCTTACCTACAAGTGAACATAGTCGTCCTTGCTCGCTATCATTACCACCAACCTGTACACAGACACGAGCATCAGGGAGAAAACGTAAAAGCAGGGAAGATGATTTATTTGAATACCATTAGCTTGCTTGACAAAGAATCCTCAATTATACGTATCTCTTTTACCCTTTTTACAAATAAAATTAGATATAATCAAGTAAAGCAAATACTCAAAATTACCGCGAATAAATACATAAGTTATACATTTAGAATCCTTAGTATATTTATTTAGTTTATAACCCAGTTTGGGGCCCCAGACCCAGTACTGGGTTACCCAGTCCGACCCAGACCCAGTACTGGGTCGAAGGGTTCGACCCAAAACCCAACCCAGACTGGGTTGGGTCTGGGTTGGGTCTGGGTTTTACTGGGTCGTGCGGAAGACTAGAGACAATTCCACTGGATCAATATACATAGAGACGTTGAATCCTATATACAAACAATGAAAAGAAACTCTCGATCGTCACAATTATAGCTCTACTAGGGGGCGCCGAACGAGGAGCTTGTAAAGGTCGCAGATTCTGTGCCTGTTAATCGAGACACCATAGGTATAGAGGAGGATAACAAAGACGGATCCGCTTCTCGTTTGCTGTCCAGCCTAATCAGCTGCCTATGCCTTCTCCCATCATCATATGTTAGTTGCCTCTGATCTTTGACAAAGCTAACATAAAGGTATCACTAGACTAACCGGCTGCGGGTTGTGTTTGGTGTGCGATGTGGGAAGTATCTTTCGACAATTTCAATCCATCGACGGCCATGGGTATACACTGCCTTGCGAAGCATATCATCCTGTATTTCAAGTATCTAACTGTTAGTAATGCATTCAGAATCACAAGTCGCCCTGCGATCTCAACCAATGTCCCTCACCTCGTATAGTGTCCACCGAGAAGACCGATCAATAAAAGGCTTCAAAACCTCGTGCCATCTACGAGAGCATTCTGCGTTGGATTTGTGTCAGTTCCAATTTTATATAGATCTTTCAAACGGATCAGATGCTCTCTTGGCGATCCAAAACGTACGGTCTGGATTTCTTGTTTGAACAACACGGGCGATGAGCGACCATCTAGATAAGAATGATTCAGTCGGAAACTCAGGTCAACTAATACTAGAGGTTTGATTTCCAACCTAGTACCATGTATGCGTACCCCCTCCTGAAGTAAGTCATTCTCCCTCTCCGTCCAGGTGCCCTTGTTCAATGTTGGAAATAGCGAATAGACCCATCGCTTCCGGCTGTCCTTATTTGTTCGACCTGGCAATTGCGCAGCGACTCGATGCCAATCGATTGTCTCTTCATCCGCTTGATCTAATACAGAGCTTCGTAGGATTTGGTCTTCTGTCTCGGTCCAGAAATTGGTGGCTGGCAAACATGACAGCGAAGTTGGAGAAGACATGGTTGAGAGTGAGATTGTAGTATAAAGATACTTCCGAGGACTCTAAAACTCTACTCCTGTATTAGAATATATATGTGCCTGCTACCGCCATGGAAAAAAAAAAGTAATATACTACAATATTCAAATATAAGACACAGGTAATTGTCATAACACCACGATCTCACTTTTGATAACATACGATTCGGTATAATTCCCCCCAGTCTCCTGCAATGCATCTAAACATTTACCCCTATTTAATTAAAGAAAAGACCACCAATCTTCATTTGTTTCATAGAGCACTAAGCCTTTTATAGGCACTCTTTTGGGTAAGCCTGGGTACGCTCGATACTTTTAGCATAAATGAGGCACGGAAAGCCCTTAATCTACGTATATACATTATGCATGTATACATATATCTATACAGTTTCAATCCGACAAGTGCCCGTAGATGTGCAGGTGGGCCAAAAACCCCGCACTATTCGAACCATAGCTACTTCACTCAAATACCGTGAGATTGCACGTTGTGTTATTATTAAACGATTGAATGAAATAAAAAAATAAGGACAGCGTTTTAGCCCCGAACTTTTGACCATGCTGTGCAAGCAGAGTTGGTTGGTTGGGGTGATCTGCAATTGGGGTGGGTCCAGACTTTTGGAGGCCTATAACAATAATAGCTAAGCAATTTAGTTGCCTTATGCTTGTAAGATTCGCTTGTTTCTTTAGAAGTTGTCATTCCGGCTACTCGGCCCAGTACGGAGATAAGGGCTTATTTCTTGCCATGGTCAGAACAGGAAATTGCTCAAACATGACGCGCGGGCAAATGACATGTGCCCGTGCACAGATTATGCCGCATGGGGCCAAAATCCCCAGGATTCGGGCAGCCTCGTACTTATTCATACTAGAACAGGTATTTACCGCGGGGCTCTCAGAGACCTACTCCGTACTCCGTCCGGAGTCCACGTTCCTTGCTATTATTCAGGATGGAGTACAGGGTTCGAGCAGTTCTGAGTACGTGTTCGAGAGTGAGTTCCCCATTCCCCGCTCCAGCTCCACGGGATCCGAAATTCCGTCTTTCTGTTGGTCAACGGATCGAAAAGTGGATGAGAATATAGGCTGTAATCAGTAGAGCTGACTGTGGACAAAACTGCTCATCACGCTTGGTCCCCTATATAGTGGCAGCTTCCACTGTAGGTAAGTCCCAGTTCTAACCAATCCTAGGTACCAATATATGACAGCTGCCCTGACTTGTTTGTCTAATCTTTTATTAGTTATTACACCCTATGGTTTCCTACAACCCAATGCAAGGCTGCTCGCATAGCCTCATTGAATTCTTACACCTACAGAAGAGTCAACAACCAAAAAAATCGACCCACTGCGCACTGTGACCGAAATTTCAACTGGGGCCAACAAAGCAACATCAATTTATTGCCATCAAGATCCTTGCCAAATCAGATTTAGCAAAGCAAAATCAATTTATTGCTACTAAGATCCTTGCCAAACCAGACTCAGTTCTACAAACACAATTGGTACATTTACAGAGCATGAAGTACAAAAATTTGTCTTTTTATTGTACTGCCTTCTGTCCATTGGGTCGCCGTCAATTCGCACACTAAATTGAAAACCATCTTACAATTTCACAATTTCACAATTTAAACTAAAATCTGTAACAATAACATAAGCCTTGCCATGAAGGGCCTCCACATATATCGATGTGACCAAGCTTATTTGAGGTAACAGAGAGCGATTCTCCAACACAACTAAAGCTTACCTATTTTCCAACACTGTGTACACTTTATGCACTCGCTGCGCCCCCCACTCTTCACACGTCAACACCTGATCCTTCTGCTGTTTAGGAGTAAGAGGTGGGATAACAGAGCTGACGAGTGGAGTCATTTTCGTCACTAGAGCAGGGCGATATCCCAAAAGAACGCTATACTTATCCAAAGGCTGTTGAGCCCCTGGGGCTGTAATCACTCGATGAAATCCCGATTTCAAGACTCCATTCGTCAAGATAGACAGTGCATCGCCTAGGTTCACAATTACATGACCAGGTATGGGTTTAACCCACCGCCAACCTTCAAGGCTACCGCTGCCGTTTGCACCTTCACCCTGGAGCTTGCTCTCAAAGGCAGGATCCAGGATCTGAAGGCCGCCGACCCAGGTAAATAACATGGCAATGCTGACAGAGTCGCGATGAGGAGGGAAATTGGTCTGGGAGATTTGTGTTCCTTCAGGAGTACCAGGGTAGCGTAGTACGCGGAGGAAATCATTGGATGGATCTGTGAACCGGTGGAACTTCATCAAATCTCCCTTCGAAACTTGAAGCTGTCTTTCAAGAACACTAAGAAGAATATCGGAAATATTGTTGCCGTTTTGCAAAAGTGAAATAAAGAGCTCGCGATGCGGAGCCAGCCATGAAGGCAGCTGGAATCCCGATGCGGGATCGATGGCCATTTCGTAAAGGGGAACCTAAGAATTGTTAAAAAAGTGGTAGTAGAAAATTAGGATAACCCACATTGAATGCCTCACTGAATTTGGGCTCTCCGTTAGGTCCAACACTGGGGCATTTGTACCTAAAGATGAATGGCAGACTTAGCAAATCTCCTTCTATTTGGCTTGGTAGCCTACCCCATATCGAAGACGCCCAAACGGTCGCGTGCCTTATAAGCAAGCTTTTCCTCCATCGGAAGCTTGGAAAGTATAGCTTGGCCGACTTCACAAGCGTCCACACCGTCGTTCCACAGTTTTAGGCCCTGAGGATGGTCTACCAGGTTCAAATAGAAGAAGCCTGTAGACCTGCAGATACCCCAAATCTTGTCAATCTCATCTTCATCACTTTCCAAAAGCTTCCTGAGGGAGATTTGGGGGAGCTCGATGATTGGATAACCGTCAGGGAATGGTACGGTCTCAGGCACGTTCCTAGCCATGATATGGGAACCCATTCTGATATTGAACAAGATATTCCCAAGGTATGAGTGCAACTTATCACAAGGACTATAAAGCAGACTGCGATATGTGTGTGATCAGAGAAACGATTAAATATTATCAGAAACCCCCTCATTCATCATCGACCTGTCACATCCCTGCCCACCCCATACTTGTATTCCACGGGCTCGACTGCCAATCGGGATATCACGGTTCTACTGAGACATATTACATGCATTTTCGTTGCCACCATGTTCAAATCATCCAATGGCTGCATATAGGTCTACAAGTGCTCTATCAAGACCGACCACGGCCCAAGTCTGGTCCCGGCGCACAAACGTGATCATCATCGCCCCGAGGGATGGGGCGAGAGCTAATAAGCATCAGGAGCATGATGTTACCGGTTTCTCTGTAACGAGGGCAGCGGCCCAGTGTGGATTTGTCCGAAGGAATCACAGAGGGAATCTCTCTTGCAATCTCCAGGCCACCATTGGGAAATACTCGTAATATATAACCAGATTGTCCCAACGAACTGTTTGCGTGGCTAAAAACAATTAATGATAGTAAAGGTGACAGGGGTTGAACCTTAGGTTTCCGAGCCACATTGAGTTTAGAGATCGTCCCAGATATGGAGTGAGATTGACAATGGTCCGAGTCTGGTCCTGCAGCGGGTAAATCTCAGCGATTTTTGGGGGTACTAGAGATCCTAATTGCAGGATATGTACGGAGTAATGAGGAATATAATTGTAAGCATCTCCGGTGTGAGAAGCGAGCTATCAACAGAATCTCTCGCATTCAACGATATTGCGTTCATATATCACTTAGGATCTGGCGTACGGGGACACCCTCATATCTCAAGAAAATGGCTCCATCTATTGTGGAAAATGTGAGAAAAGTCCCGGCAGTTGGGGTAAGCGGCTATCCTTTCAAGCTCGAGAATACCTCGGTATCCATGGAGCACGAAGCAAAACATCAAATTTCAAATGGAGCTGTCCCCAATGGAATCAACAGAATTGACCCAAAGTCGAGGTTTGAGCCAAAGCCGATCGCAATTTGCGGAATCGCCATGCGTCTTCCAGGCGGGGTTCACGACAGCGATGCGTTTTGGGACGTTCTTATAAACGGAAAGGACACGAGAGGCCCAATCCCGCAAGACCGATACAACGCACAAGGGTTCACAGATCGAGCTGGCCACAAGGGAGCGATCAAGACGCAGTTCGGCTACTTTATAGAGGACGACTTGACTGCCCTGGATACATCCTTTTTTACCCTTACCAAAACCGAGCTGGAGCGGACGGATCCTCAACAGCGTCAGCTCCTTGAGGTTGCACGAGAAGTATTGGAAAATGCTGGCGAGGCTAATTTCAGAGGAGAGTTGATCGGTTGCTATGTTGGTACCTTTGGCGAGGACTGGTTGCAGATGAGCGCCAAAGAGAACCAGCATGCAGGAGGATATATTATGACGGGACATGGCGATCTCATGCTTGCCAATCGCGTCTCTTTCGAGTATGATCTTAAAGGGCCTAGGTAAGCAAGATCATTTGGTTTGTGTTGGGTATCGGAGCTAACGGAAATTGCGCCACAGTCTGGTTGTCAAGACTGGTTGCTCTGCATCATTAGTCGGGCTTCACGAGGCATGCCGAGCCATCCAGTACGGGGACTGTAAGAGCGCCATTGTAGCGGGATCCAATCTAATCATTGGTCCCACTACCACGGCGGCTATGACCCAGGAGGGTATTCTGTCTCCAGAGGGATCTTGCAAGACATTTGACGCGAAGGCCGACGGGTTCGCCCGAGGAGAGGCCGTCAATGCAGTTTACATCAAAGGGCTCGATGATGCTATTCGCGACGGTAACCCAATTCGAGCCATCATTCGCAACACAGGCACAAACAGTGATGGGAAAAGCGAGGGGTTGATGACGCCAAATTCGAAAAGTCACGAAGCGTTGATGCGGAAAGTGTACGCTGACGCGCATCTCGACCCGGCACTGACAGGTTTCATTGAGGTAAGTCAAGGATCTTCAAGTGTTTAGAAATAAACTCACACACTTCAGTGTCACGGGACAGGAACAGCAACCGGCGATCCCCTTGAAACAACCGCGGTGGGCGAAGTGTTTGGTGCTTCGGGTGTTTACATTGGCTCGGTGAAGCCCAATGTGGGTCACTCCGAGGGCGCGTCGGGTATTACAAGTCTGATCAAAGCCGTCTTGGCACTGGAGCACGGCGTCATTCCACCCAATATCAAATTCAACACGCCGAATCCTAAGAGTGAGTCAAGCGCATTTGTCGATTTGTGAAATGCCGAGGCTGATGATTTTTAGTCCCCTTCATTGAAAAGAACTTGAAGGTTCCCACCAAGCCAACAGCCTGGCCCGAGGACCGCGAAAGAAGAATTAGCATCAATTCCTTCGGTATTGGAGGTTCCAACGCTCATGTGAGTGACATGCTCGATAGATTACTCCACAACCTAATTCTTCTTAGGTTATTCTGGATTCCGCGCAACAAGTTCAATCGCAGAACCGAGCGCGCAATGAAGGCGAAGATTGTCAAGTGGTTATCGTCTCTGCAAACACGCAGGAATCCGCTCGACAATACACCGAGCTCATTCATGAGTATATGAAGACGAACCAAAAAGCCATCAATGATTTGGCATACACATTAGCCTTTCACCGAGAACGATTGCCATTTCGCGCATACTTGATCGCCGATAAAAGATCCATTATCGAGATATCTCCGTCCGTCAAGGTCCCTGCCCATACACCAAATATAGTGATGGTATTCAGTGGACAGGGAGCACAATGGCCCCAGATGGGTCACGAGCTGATCCTATCTGACTCGCTATTTAGAGAGGACATTGAAGAAATGGATCAAATTCTTCAATCACTAAAATTCCCACCAAGTTGGTCCTTGAAAGGTAGCGTCGACCCCGAGATTTCTCATAAACCATATAATTAACGACGTAAATCAGAGGAACTACTCGAACCGGCAGAGAGGAGCAAATTAGGCCGTGCAGAGCTTGCCCAACCCTTGACGACCGCCATTCAAATCGCGATGGTCAATCGCCTGCAAAGAACCGGTATTGAACCACAATCTGTCGTCGGTCATTCCAGTGGTGAAATTGCTGCAGCCTATGCAAGTGGCGCTCTGTCATTAACGGAAGCTCTTTTGTGTGCCTACTACCGTGGCTATGTGGCCAAAGAGCATAGCAACGAGGGTGGCATGGCAGCGGTTGGCCTGGGCTCTGAGCAAGCCGCCGCCTACCTCATAGACGGAGTGGTCGTTGCATGTGACAACAGTCCTAGTAGTGTTACACTATCTGGAGACGTGGCCCCATTGCAGACTGTCCTGGAAATCATCAAGCGGGACAATCCAGATGTATTGGCACGACAGCTCAAAGTGGATATGGCGTATCATTCTCGTGAGTTTCGATATTTCTTTTTCAGCTAGGATGTTCAGATTGGGATCTAATACCTCACAGACCACATGAGCAGTATGGGGGACAAGTATAGGAAGTTTCTCGAGATTGAGATCCAACAGCAGAACTTAGTCCGCGAAAACCCTAGAGTCAAGTTTTGGTCCTCTGTGACGGGTCATATTATCGAGGATGGGCAGGAACTCGGGCCAAAATACTTCCAGTCCAACCTGACTTCCCAAGTTCGTTTCAATGCTACCATCCAGCAGATTCTGCGGCATCAGACAAACAATATCTTCTTGGAAATTGGTCCCCATTCCACCCTAGCAGGGCCGCTGCGCCAGATTTGCTCCACGCAAGGATCGGTATGTAGCTACGTTCCAACTATGCTTAGGGGCAAGAATTGTCAAGCCAGCGCTTTGGCTGCCCTTGGCCAGCTCTATCAGAATGGCATATCCATGGACGAACGCGTGGTTTTTCCGGCTGGGAGGGCACTCAAGAATCTTCCTCGTTATGCCTGGAAACACACTGGCCCATACTGGTATGAAGCTCGCGTGTCAAAGGAGTGGCGTCTTCGAGGCACTGGTCACCATGGACTGCTCGGCCTTCGCGTACCAGAAACAACCGAACTTGAACCTGTATGGAGAAACCAGCTCTCCCTTGATGACGAGCCCTGGATCGCTGACCATAAAATCGTTAATGATGTTATTTTCCCATTTGCGGGATACATATCAATGGCGGGTGAAGCTGTGCGACAGCTCACTGGAATAGAAGGAGGCTACCGCATCAAACATGCACTTGCACAATCAGCTCTGGTTCTTTCAGATAGCGCTCCCGTCGAAATTGTCACCACTCTTCGACCACTCAAGATCTCTGATTCTGCGAACTCCGAGTGGTTGGAGTTTACCATCAGCTCCTATTCTGGCTCTACCTGGATCCAGAACTGCCAAGGACAGGTCAAGGCTATCAATGACGTGACTCATAATAACAAACCCCCCGAGGGGGAACTTTCACGACAAATTTCAAGTAGTCGATGGTACCAAGCCATGTCAGATATTGGCATTGTGTACGGATCTCGATTTCAAGGTCTTTCTGAAATCGCATCTTCGACAACACAAAACCTCGCCGCAGCCAGGATCACGAGTCCTACATACAAGGAGGGTCAATTCCCCTTTCATCCTGCATCCATTGATGCCTGCCTTCAACTGCTCCTGGTGGCCATGGCCAAGGGTATAGGGAGGAACTTTGGGGAACTTTGTGTACCGACCATTATCGAAAATCTGACCATCTCCCAGAGCTCGGGAGAAATGCAAGCCATCGCCTGGAGCAATGGACACAACGATGGCGCTGTTGATTGCATGGTTGATGGCATGCCAGCGTTGCAGCTGCGTGGACTACAACTGACTTCAATGGATAACAGCGCCAACACAACTTCTTTAGAGCCACATGCTGCTGCTCGCCTTGAATGGAACCAGGACTTTGACCTTGCCGACCATTCGAAACTATTCAGTGCTCCGCAGAGTATCAAAGCAGAAACTTGGATGCAAGAAGAGATGACACTTCTTTGCATGTTGGAAACCGCAGTCCGACTTCGGCATCTAAAGGCTTGCCAGCCGCATTTCGAGCTGTTTAGAGACTGGCTCGAGATGGAGAACAAACGAGCCGCAGCTGGTACCTACCCATTACTTGGCACAGAAGCCCAGAAGTTTGTCGTGATGTCGTCCCCAACGCGGGCAAAGCTGATCAATGAGCTAGAGGAGAAACTCCTCGGGATCTCTGCCAAAGGTTCTGTGGTCATCGGCATCAAACGCATCTACGACAACTGTGAAAGGATCTTTACGGGCGAAGGCGATACCTTGGATATCCTGATGCAAGACGATGTTTTAACACATATTTACGACGCCGTGAGCTTTGGCAAAGGAGAATTCTTCCGGCTTCTCTGTCACTCTAGACCAACACTGCGTGTTCTCGAGGTTGGCGCAGGAACAGGTGGAACCACAGAGATGATTCTGAGAGAGCTGATCCGACCAGATGCAATGCCTTGCTACTCGCTCTACTCCTTCACGGATATTTCTGCCGGATTCTTCCCACAGGCAAAGGAGCGGTTTGGGTACGCTCCGAACATGGATTATCGGGTCTTCGATATCTCAAAATCGCCTATTGAGCAAGGATTCGAAGCAGGAACCTACGACATCATTGTTGCTCCGAACGTCGTTCACGCTACACCATCACTGAATGAGACCCTGGGTAACTTGCAACCTTTGCTTCGCCCTGGTGGCCTTCTTGTTTTGACAGAGCTCTGTGCCGTCGTACGAACTCCGAACTTTATCTTCGGCAACTTCTCCGGCTGGTGGCTTGGTGGGGCAGATGGGCGGCCCTATGAGCCCTACGTCTCAATCGAACGTTGGGATGATGAACTCAAGAAAGCTGGATTTAGCGGTGTCGATACTGCTATCTGCGATGCCGAAGCGCCTTATCACTACTGCGCCGCCATCGTGTCAAAGAAGCCGCCCACTGATGCACTGGAGCCAATCACATCTCGACCCGTCACTATTCTTTGCGACATGCCCGACAATGGTATTAGCAAACGTTTCATTGATGACCTTGCACTTGCAGGTGTGTCCACGACAGTCTGTCGTTTGGATGAAATACCCCCCGCAGAGCAGGAGGTCATCTCACTTCTCGACCTCGAGGGATATTTCTTCGAAGATTTGTCTTCTGAGCGCCTTGCAGCTTTCCAGAAATTTTTGAAGAGAGGCACGACAAATCGAACCATTCTTTGGGTACTCCGACCAACGCAGATGAAATGTCAAGACCCTCGCTCGGGTCAGGCCATTGGTGTTGCTCGATCTATCCGTGCCGAGTCCGCAGTGCCTTTTTACACCTTGGAGATTAGCCAAGATGAGGGAGATTTCTCGAAGCTGGTACTGGGTGTTTGGAAGAAGATCATCAATTCCAAAGACAATGAACTGCTGACTCCTGACAAAGAATATGTCGTCGACGAAGGGGTAGCCAAAGTCGGTCGTTATCAGTCTTTTTTGGTCGAAAAAGAAATATCTCAATTGCAAGTCGAAGAGGGTGTGCCGGGCATCAACTCGCTCAACATCTTAACGGCTGGTCAACTGGACACCCTGCAGTGGGTTCAAAAGCCACTCAAGCCCGAGGTGCAGAGCGGCGATGTTCTCATCGACACTCGGGCCATTGGTCTCAACTTCAAGGTAAGTCGACTGACCAACTCCCAAGACTCATGAACCGTTTCCTCACAATACGAATAGGACATCCTGTATTCAATGGGAATTTTGCGTCCTGGCAAAAGCGAAGTCCCTTTGGGTCTTGAAGTCGCCGGCGTTGTCCGGCAAATAGGTACAGATGTTAGGAATGTGTCGATTGGAGATCGTGTTCTGGCAATGCCACCATTTCCCTGCGCAAAGACCGCTGTTGCTGTTCCTTCAAATTTGGTTCAGAGGATTCCAGATAGTCTGAGCTTTGAAGACGCGGCTGCGATGCCCGTCTGCTATGCCACAGTGATCGAATCGTTGATCAATATTGGTCAACTAGAGAAGGGCCAGTCAGTTCTGATCCACTCTGCTACTGGAGGCGTGGGTCATGCTGCAATTCAGATTTGTCGAATGCTTGGGGCAGAGGTATTCATTGCAAGATTTTATGGTTCGAGGCGTGTTGAAACTGACAATGTTCACAGATTTATGCCACTGTTGGCAGTGATGTAAAGGTGGAGTATCTCATGTCAAACTTCGATGTTCCTCGCGATCATATTTTCTACTCCAAAGATGCCTCTTTTGCGACCGAGTTGATGAAAGTAACAAAAGCACGAGGCGTTGACATAGTCCTAAATTCACTGTCCGGTGAACTACTACACGCATCATGGGACTGCGTTGCAGAGTTCGGTAAGATGATCGAGCTTGGGAAGAAGGATGGCACAGAATTTGGCAAACTGCAGATGAACAACTTCTTGTTGAATCGCTCCTACTGCTGTGTGGATATGACTCATCTCGCTCAGTTGCGACCGCAGCGCGTGAAAACGTGAGTATTCATTTGTCCCCTCGCTTGACCAAAACAGATATCTGATTAGCTCCGCAGGATTCTGAAGAAACTGGTTGAGCTTTACTCGACTGGCCACATTCAACCTCTTCATCCGCTGACATCATTTGAGGCCGAAAAGGTTCAAGATGCCTTCCGTTATGTCCAAAACCGTGATCACATCGGGAAAACTGTGATCAATGTTCCGTCAGATTTCTCGATCGTTCCAAGTCTTCCCAAAGCCACCAAATTGCAATTGAACCCAGCTTCATCCTATTTACTCACTGGCGGCCTTGGGGGCCTCGGCAAGGTAATCTCGACATGGCTGGTTGAACGAGGTGCGCGCTCTCTCGTTTTCCTGTCTCGAAGCGCTGGATCACCAGAGAATCGGACTTTCCTCCGGGAACTGGAGAGCACCGGTTGCATAGTCACCATTGTGCCTGGTAAAGCAGAGTCGCCAGGCGACATCAATGCGGTAATTTCGAAGGCACCATATCCCATTCGGGGCATCATTCACCTAGCTATGGTGCTCAAGGTAAATAACCTAGCTATCCCATATTTTCCCCTTATTACGTAGCCAGGAAACTGACAGTATATGTTTTCAGGACTCTCCAATCGCTAGTATGACACATTCCGATTGGCTTGCGGCGAATACCCCCAAGGTCACCGGGGCATGGAATATTCACGAAGCGTTCAAGGAAGAAAACTCTCTTGATTTCTTCGTGCTTGCCAGCTCGCTGGTTACCGTCGTTGAGCAGCCCGGTCAAGGAAATTACAGTGCTGCTAACACGTATCTCGAAGCGTTCTGCCAGTGGCGGCGGTCCCTATTCTTGCCAGCCGCAGTCCTAAACATATGTCCCATTAACGGTGTGGGATTTGTCGCAGAAAATAAACTCGCGCGCAAGAACATGAAAGCCCAGGGTCTTTACTTCCTTGGCGAGAGTGAGCTGCTGGACTTCATGGAGTTGTCTATATTGACTTCGCGCCCCACTGCCGTGACTCAGTCAGATGATCTGAAGACAGGCTGGAAGAACCCCGGACAGATTGTAATGGGTCTGAAGTCCGAGGCAGATCTCAACGACATCAACACCCGCACAAACTGGCGCCGCGATCGCCGTATGGGGTTCTATCACAACAGTGTTGAAAAGGTTGAAAGCGACCGAGGAAGCTCGAACGAATTGAAGGAATTCTTGACTAATGTCAGTAACGACCCTGGTATATTGGAGCGCCACGAATCGACGATTTATCTGGCGACTGAGATTGGTAGCAAAATTTACAGCTTTATGCTGAAATCAGAAGAGGACTTGGATATTGCTGTCTCACTGAAGCAAATTGGTTTGGATTCTCTCATGGCTATCGAGCTCCGCCGTTGGTGGAGGTTGGCACTTGGGCTTCAAATCAGCGTCTTGGAGATTATGGCGACTGGTTCGATAGAAGCATTGGGATCGCTGGCTGCGAAACAGTTACGGGCCTTGTACTTTGCTGAGTGCAAGTAGACACGGTCTTTCTTTTGCTTGAGAGATAGATTTAGATTCAGTTTGGTTATTACTATTGGCCTTTTTGCTCTTTAGCAAAGGATTACGCAGCTTTTAGAATAGAAGAGTTCTGTTATGACGCAGTGCCCCATCAAATGCTATTTCCTATCAACCGTCCAAAAAAAGAGGTTCTCTTGCCTTGCCCCGTAAGCATTCCTTGCTGGCTTTTGAAAGACGGGTCATGTCTTCTGAGTATGTACGGAAAGCTCAGACTCTATGCCAAATGAACATTCTTTCACTATCCAGCCAAAGTACAATCTAGAGGATGGGTCTAATGTCAGATATACAAACTATCATGCAGAGATTGTTATCTGTTGTTACTTCGCTTCACATTACATCGAATTCCAGATTCACGAGCATATGTCCTTATCCGCTCAATCCCGAAATGATATTTCCGCTCTATCTGTAACCAGCCACAATTTTCTCTTCTCACGATCGAGTGATCTCAAGCAGAGCTTAAAATGTCATCCGCAAGTTTCTCTGCGAGGCCATCTGTTTCCGAAAATTGATCATTAGCGTAGGCTTGATAGCGCATCTACGGCAATTGCAACTTACAGAGTGTTCCCATAGGCTGACCTGGCGTTAGAATCGGCATGATACTGGCGTCAACGATACGAAGCCGTTGTATACTGCCCCGAACCAGACCCTTCGAGTCAACGACTGCGTCTTTTGCCTTTGAAGAGCCCATTGAGCCTTTGAAAAAATCAACAAGTGTTAGCAAGAAAGAGTCGACGCTGTCAAAAAGACCAGACTGAGGTCACGTACATGTACCAACAGCGTGATGTGATGGACTTGCAACACTCTTAATCCAATTCAATATCTGCTCATCAGTTTGTACCGAAGAACCAGGGGCTTCTTCCAGTTCAGCATTAATGTTGGATGCGCTGACAAACTGACGTGCGCGACGAAGTCCTGCAACCCCCAATTCTTGGTCACCTTTGGTGCTAAACCAATTGACATCGACCAAGGGGTAATCAGCCATGTCGGTTGTGTTAATTGTCACACTCCCTCTAGAGGATGCCTTGAGAACAACGACTCCGACAGAGAGATAGTCACCAGATGTGTTAGTGGCTGCACCTGCGACATTGAAGATGTATTCGACGTCGGGCCAATCAGAAGGGTAGGTCGAGAGGTATTTCCGAGTATCGGCGCTGATATCCAGAAAGCTACTATTGGGAAATTTCTCCCAGACTATTCAATGGAGGATTGTTAGGAGGGTAATCTTCAGGAAGAGGAGCTAGCAGTCTCACGGATATAGTTGCTGCCAAACGCCGTCAAGGGCCCCGATCTAGAATTATAAAACTCCAGATATGCTTCTGCTGCATATGTCGCATTGTTCCATAAACGATGCTGCGAGGTTGCATTGATGGGTTGGAGGGTACCATAGCCAGGGTTATCCTGTTTGTGTCCTGTTATCAGTTCGGTCAATCCCAGCTATCTCCTAGGATTTCATTCTTACCATCATGTTTTGTCCGACCCCTTCGAGGGCACTAACTACCGAAATATTCAACCTCTGCAGAGTTTCACTCGGCCCAACCCCAGAAACCATCAGCAATTGTGGTGTGTGAAATACACCCGCGGCGAGGATCACCTCCTTCCGGGCTGATAACTCATATCTCCATCCAGTCGTCTCCACGAGAACACCCACGGCGGTTTTATTTGAATCAAATAATATCTGCTGGGCCAGGGTATTTGGATACAATTGCAGATTTGAGTTGCTATCGGTTTCGATGGCTGCAACTAGGAACGATGTCTCAGCTGAGTCCCGCACCTGGGTATCTGGCGTCAACGTTGCAGGGTACTGGGCGAATCCCAAAAGGCTACCGCTTTGGATCTGACTTGTTTCCTTGAAGCCCAACTTTCGCAATCCCTTTGCAATTATATCCGAGGCAGGAATGAAATAGTTCCAAAATGAAACGCGAAGGGGGCCGCCGGATGAGCTAAAAGGCTTTGGGTCATACGACACCTGCGGGCCACCACGCAGAGTCAAATTGGGAGCTGTGAAATTGATACTCTTCATAAAATATGGCAGAAGATTATCGAAGGTAAAGCTTGGATCATCTACTTGGTCTGCCCATGTCTGATAGGCTCCCTTGGTGCTGCGATGGTACGCCATGCCATTCCGGGCAGTTCTAAGATGAACCAAGAAATTGAATCAGAATATCTCATCTCAAGATGCGAGATCACCACCTACCCTCCGCCAAATGTCTTGCCTTGGCTGTAGAGGATTGAACGGCCCCCAAGTTGCTAGCATTTAGTGAGCCACACATCTCAATGACCACGGTCTCTGAAGAACCTTTATACGTACCGCCTGGTTTGTAGTATATATCTTCCAGTCGATTGTCGGAGGGCTCTCAAGATAATCCGATTCGTAGGCCGGTATGACAGATGTGTTCCCTGCATCCACCTCGTAAAATCCACCAGCTTCGATTACTGCGACAGAGTACTTCCCACTTTCCGAGAGTCGCATAGCCGTTACTAGGCCAGTCAGACCACCTCCCACGATCTATTGATATCGGAAGTTGCGTTAGTGATACTTTCTTTGCTAGAGGAGCTGAAGAGTAAATGTAACATACGACATAGTCGAAGGTCTGGTTCTGACCTGCTAGCCCGAACGAACTGCTCCTCAATCTTGAGGTTGATTGAGTAGCCGCGAGCCCAGCAGAGAGACAAAAATACAATATATAGCCGAGCTTCATCGTAGACCTGTAGCTCGTTGGCGAAGATTAAGAGATCGTTGGGACTACCCACGAGTAGAACAGAATATGCTTTTATTGTGAGCTACACAAACTTGCATTACCTATTTATAAGTATATATTGTGAACGTAAGTAAGACGGTAACGTATGTATCAGCCATTGAAATCCTCAGGAAGACAACACCTCGTAATTGTGAGATGATTTTTAGGAGCATTACTCGTGTTCCGGAAAGAGGGTAGCTGAGCTAATTCAGGAACCAAGCCACATGAGGAACTGGAGTTTGCGCCTTGTAGGATGGTCCTGCATGGTGCAATATGAAGATCTCTTAGTTTGGGGGCCAAGCCATGCGGACTGTCTGATAGCATATGGTTTGCGATGTAAGACATAAGGCGTTGCTAGTAATAAAAAAAGGGTAAGGCGGCCCGGGACCATCCTAGGATCAACTCAAGAGCGTTTCTGGGAGGCCAGTGGATGTGTAAGAAAGAGGAGTCTGAGGTTAGTTAGTGTACGTGTATGTTGCATGCTGTTTCGGAGTTAACGGATTTAGCCGGGCAGTGCGGTCCTGCGTTGGTCCCAGTGCGGCCCATATGAAACAGCCAATAAGTTTCCTGTCTCGGTGTTGGGATCCTGTGATTTGATCTCAAGTGATAGCATATTTTTGTTTGATGTGATGAGACCTACGCCATCGGTCCGGCACATATACTTATATCCGACGGGCATCTATATTGTATAACGTGTAAACCTTCTTTTAAGCTACCACGGTCTTATTACAACCTCTGTTTGAAGTGTGAGAAACTCAGAATCCACTTCATTCTATCACTTTGTTTATCAAAATGGCAGCCGCATCTCAGAAGATCGCGCTGATTACCGGTAATCTAAGATTCATTTGATCACACCTTTCAAGTCGATATCGAAGCTAATAAGTTGGGTTATCACATAGGTGGAAACCAAGGCATTGGATATGAAACAGCCAAGAACCTCCTGCGTACCTCTGCTACCTACCATGTCATTCTTGGCAGCCGTAAATTAGCAAACGGAGAGGAAGCTGTGAAGGAGCTACAGGCCGAGACGGGTATAAAGGGAACCGTGTCAACCATTGAGCTCGATGTTACTGAGGACAAGTCTGTCGACGCCGCCGCGGAGAAGGTGGCTGCAGACTATGGCCGTCTAGATATCCTCGTCAACAATGCCGGTATAATTTCGCTAGCGAACCCGCCTTCCCGAGAGGAATACCGCAAGGTACTGAACACCAATGTTGTTGGCTCTCTCAGTATGACAGAGAGCTTCCTCAATCTGCTGCGCAAATCTAAAGAGCGCCGCCTGGTCTTCATTTCGTCCAGCGTTGGCTCAGTCTCCCAGGCCGCTGACCCGTCCTCCAAGTACTACAGCGGCAATGGCTTTGAGTACCGATCTAGCAAGGCAGCCTTGAATATGCTCATTGTGCTGTACTGGAACCGTCTGCAAAACGAAGGGTTCAAAGTCCATGGTGCGGACCCCGGTCTCTGTGGGACCAACTTCACTGGTAACGCGCAGTCGTTACTCGATCGTGGTGCTGCCACACCCGCTCAAGGTGGTGAACGTGTTGCAACCGTTATCAAGGGAGAAAAGGATGCTGATGTTGGCCGGGTGTTGGGAGAGTATGGGGTCTCTCCGTGGTAAATTGACATAGTGTCATCGAGATACTAAAAGGTCTAGCTTGTGTTCCGTTATCATTACTCAAGTCAAATGAATCGTTACTAAAAACGAATAGTCAATTCAAAATCCATGTAGTTTCAAGTCTCTAATTTGCTGCAATGACTATACCATTGATGGTCTACATATTGTAGTGGGAAACATGGTCCTCCACTACGTATTCACCCTGTCTAGATTTCCCTTCTTCCCGAGGCCTGTCAGTCTTACTATATAAGCTAGAGATAACGGAGGGTACAAGTAGCAGATAGTTACAGATTGAAGAGAGACACTCCTACACCTCTCTGACCTCGCTTCTTGGACGGGGGTCCCAATTCCCTTTATATGCGTCGGTCGGTACGCCGTGGACTTCGGAGTGCAGAATCGACCCGTATGTCTGGGGCATACAGCCTAGAACCTTCCCCGCTTCAAGATGTATATATCGATATTCCCCGTCACTCTAATGTTGACAGCATTTCTTCTCAAAAATGTTCGATGGATAAAAATAACTGGGCTATACAATTACTACTCATTATTAGAAGTGAAGAGACAAAGGATATTAGTATTGCGTCTTCGAGGGCGCGAGGGGTGTATGACTAGCTTATTAATATATTATTAGAATTGTATGGTGCCCAGGCGTCTACTAGGCGAACCTGGATCTACCCAAGGTGAGAGGCAGCATTTACACAGAAGGCTAAATGGTTTAGCTGGGCACCTGGTCACGTATTGCAAAAGCAATATTGTTGACGCCCTTGAGTAAATTATCCCAGGACAACTACAGCCCATAGTCAACGAATTATCAGACTACCTGTATGAGATGTTTGATTGATGGCTATCGTATTGACTAACAGGCATCACCTTTGAAATCAAGCTTGAGAACAAAAAGGTTCGCGAACTTCGAATCGAATTTAATCGTGCGGGGTAGAGGCAGCAACTTCGATGGACTCCACAGACATACAGACTGCCCATTGGTGCTCAATTAAGCAAAGGCTAAAGAAAACAATAGAAAATCAGGCTGGTTCAATGTACAAGACTCATGCATCTGCCTCGGGATAAAATACCTAGGTAGATTCGTCCTCTCGATTCGTAGCTGAGATAACCAGTGTTTTACTTGGCAGGCTAGCTAACGGGGTATTTTCTCCAATATCTCCTTGCACAAAGACTTGAACTAAAAGCCCACATATGTAGCCATCTGCGGAGTTACCGCTCACCTATCATTAAGCAAGAGAAAACATCAGGCTTTCTCGCTGTCCGTAATGTGGCAGATCCTGGGATGGATAGTTTTCCCCTCTCTCCCCTCTGTTCTTTCTCTCTATCTTCCTCTCTATATTCCTCTCTCTCTCCTTTTTGCTACCATGAATAGAATTCCAATACTGTGTCTCCATAGCGAGTCCCTTGTATGATTCCTAGAGGTTAATTGGACTTTGATTGATTCATTATGGAGAGGGGGCGGCGGATAAGTATTCTGAACTTATTTTTGTTTGCAGTCGGGTATAGTTTCTATAAATGAGGTGCTAGGAAGGAAAAGTTCAGCTATGTCTCAAAACCTGCTGTCTTTACCCAACCCAATTGGTCTTGTTTTGTGGAAAGACTGTCTCTGTTTAGCGAGCTTACATGCAGATGATGGCCCCACCGAGATGAGGTTACGGTCTTTCTTCTACATCTCAATATATAAAGCTCATAGAACTCCAGATATGCTCAAAATCTCCTTGTTTCTCTTCCAACTCATATCCGCCTCGGATTCATACAAAAGGAAAATGGCAACTCTTGTTTTTCTCAGTTTTGCGCTTTTGGTATGCACATCAGCGTCCCAACTCCAACCTCGCTCTATCACCCCTCCCGATGGATGTCCTATTCCCACATGGCGAGTCAACACTTTTCAATGGTATAACGGCTCGCATAGCCTAGATTGTATCCACAACGAAGCCGATATCGATGCTAGAGGGTGTCTCTGCGGTCATGGATGGTGCGAGCCCGATCCCGCGACGTGCAATGGGACCATGGTCAATTTATGCTGGACTGGAATGCCAAGCTATGAGCCATGGGGCTATGGACCGCTGGAAACACTGACCATCGACTTTGATGACGGTCTTGCTTGCCACGATGAATACATCGGATACCGCATTCATGATATGGGTTATGGCGAGACCAACTGTGGATATGCCGACCGTGGCGCTGGGCGCATTGTTGCTTTCTATGGAACCACCAACCTAGAAAGTTCCACAGGACATATGGATTACACTCTCGGTGATGGGCATGCAATGAAGTGCGAGAACGGCAGCAGCATCACCTATTTCGGTAGCACGGATTTCGAGCTGAGCTGCACACATGACGCTTTCTACAACGCCACTTGCACTGCTCCCATCTTTGAAGTCCCAGTCCTTAGCTATAAATGGGTCTAGTGATCCCAGAAGGGCTCATTATGGCCCTTCCGCGATGAGCAGGAATGCGAAGGTACCATGTATGTTGAGATGTTATCAGACCCACAGGTGTGTGGTTGAATTGAAACATTTATTTAAAACTGGATGAATTACCTGTAAGATGCTATCAATAACTCGTTTACTACTACCATGAACGTCTCTGCAGACCAGTGGACTCGATTTTTTGAAGGCTTATTCTTTTCTGATGCCTGAGGCACCCAACATGGGGCTACAAGCTAGCATCCATCATAAAGCCCCCTTCTCCTCCACACTCTCTCACTCCCTTCCCATAACACATCCAACATTATTGGATTATGATCCACATAATATTTCTCCGATATCTCTCTAAAAAGTAGAATGCCTGTCGAAGTGTGGATCCCCAGCTAAAACGGGCCCTATTCTCCAGCGCTGAAGTTATTCCTTCTCAGAATCTAGCAAAAGAGATTAGGACTTGACAAGGACGCTTAACTCATTTAGCCACAATCTGGATAAATTATCTTTAGTAAGAAGGGCAAACAGTTTCCGTCCGCAGATTTCTTTTAATTCATCACATTGTCGGAGTAAATAAATACACTGTCGAAGCCGGATTTTCCAGTCTGGGGAAACGACGAAATGGGCGCCTCGGGACCTCGGAATGCTTAAATGCTGACTCGGCTCATTTTAGAATAGAAATTTCGGAGGTAATATGACAAGATACGATCGTGATGCACCCCGATTGTACGCGAAATACCGATTACAAATGGTCATCGAAAAGGAAGTATCCTCACGGAAGAAAACCCCACATTCAAGCCACACAGTCATTTATGGGAGTCACTCTATCCATCTACAATCTAACCAATTGTTAAATCAGCGCCAGTCGCAATGCTGTCGCCTTTTCAGCTCGAGGAGCACTGTGATCTCTGCCAATACTTTGTTTTTGCTCAAAATACTCACTCCCGTCCCTGCATCTCAGCAACATCTACAAGTTGATTATTCTTGGCCTAACATACTAATCCACTCCCCATGCTCCACCTAAGCCTCCAGTTTCTATTGTGATGGCGCGACCTCATGCCACTATGTGTTGATGCCTCGGGCATTAAACCCGTCAGATGGTAGATAGATAACTGGGAGTTTGCTCGCAGATCCAAAGAAATGAACCCAAAGCCGACTCCTATACCGCGCGGAGTTGTACTTTTACTAGCACATGTGGTATAAAATCACTAACAGGCTTTATACTTGTTTCCTAGTGGTTATTTAACCCCTTTACTCTACACTTAGCAACATAGAAAGAGTTTCAGGAAGACATCAATTGTTCGAGTGCCATTCAAGAAAGCAGGTAGTTGTCAAATCCAGTAAATGTGTATCCATGGAGAGTTCATCCCGATTTACTCTCCAATCTCTAGCTACATGTTCATTTCCACTTCTATGTACAATTCCTCAAAGTATAGCTATCACGTATACTAGCCCCTTGAGGCTTGAATTTTCAAGTGTAATCCACATCTCAGCAAGTAGCTAGCATCTCAACAAGGGCAGCCTTCTCATCAGAAGTGATAGTAAGATCATAGACGGATTTCACCTTCACCCACATTTTAGCATATGTACAGTAATACGAAGCTATTTCGATGTCAGCGAGCTATAGACTGAAGGATATACATGGTTAAGACGTACCCAGTGGAGGCTTCCATTCTTCCGGGCCTTTGTCGCCCTTTGAGGAGTTCACGTTATCGGTGACTGCTAGTAGCTGGGGATTCTTGAGGTCATTGGCGAAGGCTTGACGATCTGCTGTGGTCCAACTGGACGCCCCAGACTGCCAATATTTATTGATATCTCAAGCCGTCAATTTTGTTAGATGATCCAAACTCACCTTCCACGCGTTTGATAGCGGGACGACGTGATCAATATCGACATCACTTGCAGAATTCCAGGTCGCGCCATCATATGGAGAATACCAAGATCCACTGGTAGCAGCACAGCTGGAGCTTTGGACCACGTCGGTTCCATCCCGTTTGAGGATTGTTTCGCGTGTGTTGCAATTTCTATCAGCAACAATTTGAGCTACCAATACTTCAGTATCACAGTGAGTTCATCTACTCACCCGCTAATCGTGATCCAGTGCGGAAATAAGTCACGGTCATATCCATCCTGAGATCCCTGTGCAGCAACGGTCAACCCTGACAGCTCACTCGTGGCAGTAGAGGTAGACGGGATTCCAGGTGGCGACGGGGCAGGCAATGCTCCGATTAAGAACGGCTGGAAAGCAAAGGCCAGAGCCCAGGCAGCGCGAGAGATCCCCATTATAGTTTTCTTTAATCCTACAATCAAGAGCGCAGGATAAATACAGAGTGTGTAATCCGTACTAGGTGGAATTGTAGATTTTATACTCCACGCGCTGGCTTTATCTGCCGAGTCAAGCCAAACGCTGCTCTCTGCAAAAAAAGTGCTAATCCAGTGCCGATCCATCTTCAAATAATGCATTGTAACGTCGGCTCCCGAGTCTTGGCCCGGTGCTTGGCGTTGCACGTTGATCAATAATTGGCTTCTAACTGAACAGCGCGGGAAGTGCGGGAGTTGTCGCTGATAACAGATGCACCATTGACCCCAAATTCATATAAAATAAGTCACCTGGGCCGGACAAGGGACGGGCGAGGACCCTATAGTAGAAAATTGAAACACCAGTCTCCCTGAAAGGTGACGGTGTAATTCTAATCATGGAAACGATCGTCGATGATATTCTCACTTTTTTGCAGATTATAGCTACATTGTACATGCAATGTACAACTTATAGCCCGTGGTAGGATTCAGGACAGGGAAATCAATGGGTTATAATCAGAAATATTAATAATCTATGAATGATACGCGCGTTCACTTTACAACAAGCCTCGAGCAAATTGCCATGGGAGAGATATCTTCACACCCAGTTTCTTGGCCGCCGTGAGCACCCATTCGGGTTCGCGCAGAAATTGACGGGCCATTAAAACTGCATCAGCTTGAGGATTTGGGCCAGACAGCATTGTCTCGGTTGCCTGCGCCTCTTCTTCTGCACCCTGAACAATATCCCGAGCAGACTCAGCCTCGGTAATAAAGCCAACAGCCCCGACCAGTGTCGTTTGGTTAGCGGCGTGGATTTCTTGACGAATTTGACCCGCGAGGTCAATCTGATAGTTTGTATGAGGCTCAATCCGTTGATTTTTGTGATTTCCGCCCGAACTGACATCCAAAAAGTCAATTCCCAGGTCTGGCAACATTTTGGCAAGTTGGATTGAGGATGGTATGTCCCAACTTCCAGTTTCCGCTGCGACAGTTTGGTTTTCGAGCCAATCTGTGGCACTAATACGAAGAAACAAGGGCATTCCACTTGGGATGACAGCACGGATTGCAGCAGCAACCTCGCGTAAGACCCGAGTTCGGTTCTCAAAGCTGCCACCATATTTGTCGGTTCGTCGATTGGTAACAGGGCTGAGGAATTGATGAAGCAGATATCCATGGGCACCATGGATCTCAATTACATCCACTCCTGCTTTTGCCGCGAGCTCTGCACTTCGTGCAAAAGCCCGAACAAGTTCCTCAACCTCGGCGGTTTCAAGCTCGCGAGGGGGCCAGTATTGATCGCCAGATGCCCAAATTTGCTGTTCCCCGCCAGAAGGGCCAACCACATTTAATGGCCAGCCACCAACACTTTCATCGGCTTTGATACCGCGTTGCTTTGCCTGAGATGCTAGCCAGGGCGATACCGTGCTAGCTTTTCGACCGGCGTGAGCAAGTTGGATGCCGACTTTGGCCCCTTGGCTATGAGCAAAATTCACCACGCGGCGGAGTGCCTTGAACTGTTCAGAGTCTGTCCCATCTTGCCAAAGGCCAGAATCATTGGGCGAAATACGACCATTTGGCTGAACTGATGTGGCTTCGATGAGAATTAGACCAACACCCTTCGCGGCTAAATGACCGAGGTGTGCAATGTGAAAGTCCGTGAGCGCGCCCACGGCCGGAGAGGCTGGGTCTGACTCGGCGGAGTACATGCACATCGGTGCCACAATCACGCGATTCTTAAGTCTTACATCTCGAATCTGTAAAGGGCGAAACAACGTTGGGATGTTGGGGTCCTGTGGATTTTTAGCTGCTCCAGCATTGTTGGCGGGAGTGAAATAGGGCAGACCCTCGGCTCGGTGGATTGGAGGGGAACGAAAGGAAGATCCCATTTTTATTTTGTGGATATTAACAATTGATTTATTGGGAGATTTACACATCCAGAGACTGAGAAATTCTCCATCTATATATACACTTGAGATAATCTATCGGCTGACAAATTGACTTATTTCAAGTCCCCGCTACTCGGAGAAAATGCCGAACGCACGAAATTTCAATTTCAAAGTGAATAATCTGCCTACAATGCAAGCCTCCCAATCCACTAATTAATTTTCACGTTATGGGAGACGAGTGTGGATAAAAACTTCAGTAAGGACCTTCCCAACCACCGTTTCCATCTCGACATCCTGTGCAAAGACTTGGAATCCTAGCATATCCCGGTCGAAAGTAGTTGATATATTTCCGCCATTCCTTGGAATGAGGAGCAATCCTTTTTTCAATGGATGAATACAACCAGAAAATTCTCCTAGACACTGAGCTGCAAAACATCTATGGAGGTCGAGAATCCAAAAATGGCCACAACCATAAGGACCTGTATGATCAAGGACTTCTAACAAGCACATCCATATACCATTGTCAGAAAACATGAGATTATCTTATCACAACCAATTCTACCTACCTCCAGGTTTTGTTTTCCCTTAGGTACTATTAACAACCTCGCAACTTTTGTTCAACGGGATATGTAATGCCAGGGCCCAGCTATTATATGAGTATTCCAAGGTTAATGCGATAATTATATCAAATAAGTGTCTTATATATAGGATTATCGGCCTTTGCAATCCTATTGTTTTATTACGCACTTTATCAGTTGGACATTCTTGCTAATACAAAGAATGTTGATACACGAATCATCTTGGCCTGAAACATCGTCAACCGGGGATTGAAATGGCGCTGGAACTCGGTGTATCAGTTCCATTGGCAAAACCATGCGTTGTTTATGTTTTTCGATGCCCAAGGCACCTAGAGGGGGTCGGGGCCAGACAGTATGGGACAGATAGATTTCCCCCTTCTTTTTTCTCTTCTCCTCTTCTTCTATCCACCTTTTCACTCCGAGATAGAAATTAAGACCTTATTTCTTCATAGCAAGCTCCCTGTAGATTACAAGATCTTAAAAGGCAAGTCGCCCCATGGAGTGATGGGATGTCCGAGTTTCTACATAGTATATCAACAAAGCCATCCGAAACAACAAGCGTTTGTTCAAATTAAAACAAGCGCAGTGGTTAAAGAGACACACCACAGAGAGAATCTGACAATAAATATTTGACTCAAAGTCTTTCCATCTCTTGATGTTACACCACTTCTCAATCCCATACGGTATCAACGGAAACAGCCAATGACCATCTCTTCGATGCTACTTGTCCACATCAGCTAAACCCAATCTCAACTTCAACTTTGACATCTCCCCTACCTTCAAAGATTCAACTGATTTTGCTACGTTTATTTTCCTCCAATCAAATCAACATGGTTACCACAGTATTTACTAATGGCCGTATCCTCTGTCCCGGCTCATGGGATGGCTTTGTCTCAACCCTGGTAGTTGAGGATGACCATGTCGCGCACATCGGCTGGGACAATGATGAAGCGGTTGTCAGAATTCAAGCCACAGCATCAATAGTTGACTTGATGAATCGAATAGTCCTCCCGGGGTTTATTGATGGACATGTGCATATCCTCAATTTCGGTATGTCGCTGGAGAAACTCGACCTGCTGCCTTGCAAATTCCTCGCATATATCCGAAATGCCATCACTTCCTATGCAGCAGCTCACCCATCCGATACACGCATTTTGTGCCGAGGCTGGATTCAGTCGGTTACGGAGGGCAAAGCCCTTGCAACCGCCTTAGACGACCTAGATCCACGACCTATCTACATCGAAGCATTGGACCTCCACTCAACGTGGTGCAATTATGCAGCTCTCGAAGAACTCGGGGCTCACTCGAAACCCGATCCTCCAGGAGGAAAGATTCATCGGTGCCTCAACGGCATCCCGTCTGGTTTACTCGAAGAGGCAGCGCAATTCGACATCGTTTGGCCGTTCCTAGACCGAGTCACATCCATGAAGAAAAGCTAGTCGCAATCAATGCTGCTATGGATGCACATCGACGTGCTGGGTACACTGGAGTTGTAGATATGGCTATGGGGGAGAGTGAGTGGAATGCGTTGAACATATACCGAGATCAGCGTGGTGAGCTTTCGATGCATGTGGCGGCACATTGGTTGGTGCCCTACTCAAAATGCGAGGCCGATATCTGCAGTCACATTGATCGCGCCATTTCACTTCACCAACGCTTCAACCGCAAAACCTCCCCTGGGTTTTGCATCAATGGCATCAAGCTCATCTGTGATGGAACAGTCGATGGGTGTACGGCTGGGCTGCAACAGGCGTATGGCGGATGTTCCAACATTGTCGATCCAATCTGGCCTGCTGATTCCCTTGCAGCAGCCATTCGCCGCGCTACCAATGCCGGTTTGCAGTGCGCTATTCACGCAATTAGAGATCGAACGGTGCAGCAGGCTATTGACTGTTTATCCCAGGTCCAGGACTTGCCCGCCTGTCGTCATCGCAACATCTAGAGATAACAACCTCTGAAGACGCGAAAAGACTTGGTCAACTCGGAATAATGGCCTCAGTCCAGTCTTTTCATCTAGATCCAGCGAACTTTGGCGCATGGCCAGAGATGCTTGGTACTCAGCGCTGCAAGCGGGCTTTTGCCTACCAAGAGTTCGTCGATAGCGGTGCTCATTTGGCCTTTGGGACCGATGCCCCCACTGCGGAGCATCAAGCACTGCGTAATCTTTACGTTGCTACTACTCGGCGGTCTTCTATCGACCCTTCCTCGCAGAATACCGTCAATTCTGAGTTTGCTGTTTCTCTTACGACCGCAGTCTCAGCAGCTACTGCAGGGCTGCATATGCTTCTTTTTCAGACACGTGGACAGGGAGTCTCCTTCCGGGATACAAGGCCAATTTCATTGTGTTAAATATGGTCTGGGCCCCAGAATTTCTTCTAGAAGCTCGGGTATGTCAAACCTGGTACAAGGGAAGGAAGGTGTTCGAAGCAGACGCGGATATGTTGTGATTTGATGACTCTCCTTTTCTAAAGATCCTAAAGAAACCTCCTATGGAGAGAGCAATGGCAATTCCTATCAAATAAGACCAAGAGGTCGGAGAGAGGAGTGGAGAAAAAGAGAAGGGAACAAAGTCGAGAGCTATTGATCTATATTAGGATCTCTCACATGCAGCCTAGCCCCTGTCAGCTGCTGAAGGCATTCCAAAACACCTTTCGAACGACAGACCACATGAGAATGGCATCAAAAAAGCAATGATAAAACTTCCATTCTAAGCTGATCAGAACTGGCCCTGTTTCTGTTCCCAGTTACTCTGCTTCCGCTACTATATTCTCCCAGCCTCACATGTTGTCTCCCTCTTGATTCTGCAAAAGAATATTCACTCAAACACTTGTCTCCTCAATATGAATAGCTGTGCTCATTCCTTTTCCGTTCTCTCCAATCTTTTCCATCTCCAGATTCGTAGCTGTCGCGATGTCTTCCCCATCGAAAATTTTGGTTATCTCTTCCAAAGGCATATAACGCGTCTCCACATAAAAGAAATAGATGACCACGACTTCCACCGCCAAGAAGCAGCAATAGAAGATGTAGTAACGCCAGTGTATATTGTCGAGTGCGATTGGATTGACATACTGATTGAAGAACAGCGCAATATACATGGCAAATTCCATGATTGTATATCCTTTGGCACGCATTGAATACGGAAGAATCTCTGTGGTATAACTTGCGATCAAACCGGACCTTCAACCATATCAGCAATTATACTCGCATTTCTAGCATGATGAACTCACTTCAGGTTGTAGAATAGATAGTAGATGAAAATCATCCCCAGAACTCCGGACCCAAGTGCTGAGCTCGCATGGTTGTAATACTTTGCTGACAGGATTGTCCATACCACGAAAGCTACCATCATTCCAGCCGAGCTGACTATCATGATTGGCCGGCGTCCCCATTTGTCGACAAAAAAGCTGAAGAATAGATTGGTGGCGAGATTGAAAGAAGTCAAGGCCCCATTGATTAACAATTGCCGGTTTGGGTCTGTGATTCCGATGCTATCCATGATGAGGTTCAAATAGTACGATACCAAGCCATTGCCTGACCACTGGGCAAAAAATCCAAGAGAGATAATGAGAAGGAGTCTTTTACGATTTCCAGGAGTTCGCAAAAAATCCACGTAGGAGCCCGAATGATCCGCATTCTTCTCCATCGCGATCGCAGTTGTGATTTCCGTGAACTCCAGCTGAACGACCTCATCGCTCTCATTCCCCTCAGCATGATAATAAGCCAGCATTGCCAGGGCTTTTTCCGGTTGGTCTTTAGATACATAATACCGCGGGCTCTCCGGGATCCACCAGACAACTGCCAGCATAATTAAAGTGAACAACGCTTGGATCAAGCTTGGTGCTCTCCAAGACCAATCGCTCTGTGGCATAATTATTACCAGTAGGCTTGCACATCTTAATCTCAATCACTTACTTTGATTTTGAGCGTTCCATATGTCGTCCATGCTGCAATAAAAGCCCCCGAGTGGTATGTCGCGCCAGATATAGTGACCAAAATTGCCCTGTCTTGGGCCGGAGCAATCTCTGTGATAAGCAGCGGAGCGGTGCAAATGACAATGATATCTCCAAATCCAAGAAGAAATCGAGCGCCGACAAACATGGAAAAGTTGATAGAACCTGACTGCAGAGCCACGCCAAGTAACATAAAAAATGAGCCGAAGACCAGGCAAATCCTACGGCCCAGATGATCAAGCATATAAGGTAAAATCACTAACCCGGCCAATGCACCAACACTCATAACGCAGTTGAACAAACCCAGCGTTGGACCTTTGGGGTGGTCGAAATAGTCCTGCCAGTAGGACAATGCCTGCAATCCATTCCTACTCCCAATCAGAATAAGAAGGATAGAGTAAAAGGCTGAAGAAAACTCACATCATCGAGTTGTCAAATCCATTTGCTGTATTAGTGGCGATTAGAACTAGAATGTAGAAGTACAGGATTCGCATATTGCGTTGTTTCCACCATTTCACGCGAGGAAATAATCTTCCTGCTAGGTAGAAATGACCCTTGGGAGGTTTGACTGTCTCATGTGCTTCACTCATGTTGAGTTGACCTTATTCAAAATAAAGTTAAAAGTTGTTTGTTTTAGGAAGAGAGATCCATGATATATATAGTTCTCTACACGCATACTGCCTCATCGCACGATGACAGCTTGGTTCGATATAACCGGGCCAATGAGCAGTCCATTCGGTTCGAAATACCCCAGGAGAAAAAGACCCTTACTTCTCTTGCATCCTTCAATCAGCCTAATAGGAAGATCAAATGCGGGGTGATGCTGGTGGGTGACAAGCCGTGTCCCAACAGGCTAAATCCTGGCGCCACATAAATGCAGACAATACGAGGAATTCCCGTCTTCTCAAACAATCCCCAAACAACAAAAGAAAATCACCCAACATGGATGTTGCTTACCATAACCCGATTATCCCAGGATTTGCTCCTGACCCTTCTATCTGCCTGATCGATGGCATATTCTATCTAGTGAACTCGAGCTTTCATCTCTATCCAGGGCTGCCCATTTATATGTCAAATGATCTGATCTCATGGAAACATATTGGCAAGATATTTCTCTCTCAGCCCACCGATTAAAAGGCTAACATGTGTTAGGAAACGCCATAAACAGACCATCCCAACTGTCACTGTCCCGAGCGACCACATTTATCGCCCCGTGGGATGATGGCACAGCAATGGTGGCAACCGGCGGCCTATACGCGCCAACGATTCGGCATCACAACGGCATCACCTACATCATTTGCACAAATGTCATCCATGGTACCTCCAATGTACCGGGAGATGAGCGAAATGAACAGTTCATCATTCATACGACTAACATTCGCTCGGGGAATTGGTCGGACCCCATAGTCTTCGGATTTCCTGGAATCGACCCGTCTCTGTTGTTTGATGACGATGGCCGGGTATACGTCCAATTGTGCAAAACTGGACCTGAATTCCAAATCTACAACAGCGAAATCGATATCACAACCGGGGCTAGGATTGTGGAACCCACTCTCATCTGGAAGGGATGGAAGAAAGGATATACAGAGGGCCCACATATATATAAAAAGGACGGCTGGTACTACCTTTTATGTGCTGAAGGTGGCACTTTTCGATACCACATGCTGAGCATAGCCCGATCAAGAAGCATATGGGGTCCATATGAGCCCTATGACAAGAACCCATTGTACACGGCCAGTGGCACCACTCGATATGTTCAAAACACTGGACACGGCGATCTTTTTCAAGATAAAAACGGGCAATGGTGGGTGGTCATGCTGGGGACTCGCACGAAGGAGGGACGATCTATCATGGGACGGGAGACATTCTTGACAGCAGTTGATTGGCCTTACGACGGGTGGCCGAAGATTGAGCCAATATCATGCGATGGGAAACTGGGAGAAAATTATAAGGTAGAAGATCAAGACTCACTTGCGGCTCCCCCCTGGGTTTATTTGAGAGACGCCAAACTAGATCGATACCATATGCAAGGCAGGCGCATTACGTTACAAGCGGACCTGGTAGAGTTTACCAGCGCGGACGAGTCAATTACTTTTGTCGGCCAACGACAACGAAGACTTGAAGGTACTGCCACCGTCACTGTTTACAAACCACAGCATTCCACCTCAGTTCGAGCAGGGCTGTCTCTGTACAAAGATGAACACCGATTCTTGACAATTGGATACGACTTCCATTTGCAACAAATCACTTTCAATGGACTGAATCAAGCCAAGTCATTCTCGCAAAGTGAAAGCCAAATGGTGGATTTCCGAAATCACATATCTTTCAAAATTGGCTACGCAGAGACTTCTTTACAATTCTACTTCCGGGTAGATGAAGAAGACTGGCATGGTTTAGCAACACTTGACACAGCAATCCTAACGGATTTCGACTTCACTGGTCCGATCATTGGGATTTTTGCCATTGGGGATGATGTCGTGGAATTTGGAGACTTTGAAGTTGATGTTGTGTAGGGTCTTATCGTCAGGTTGATACTCTCAAAATGTGGCATCGATTCTGTTGTAGTGTTTGTCGGCGCAGATACACCAGGATACCGGAGGATTTATTAATCCTAAGTATGCAGTAATATTTCTTATGTAATCAGGACAGTATAAATTGCCAGGAAGTCAATACAGCAATACGGAGAGTTGAAGACCATTGATTGGACCCATACATTTCCACCATACGGAGTAGTCGGACAGTTATGAGCCCGGTTCGCACTGAATAAGACTACTATATCGGTATATAGTACCTAGCAACTTGCTAGAAACTGTCTTATAAACCTCCACGAAGCCACTCCGCAGAAAGTTATCCCTTGTTTCACATCAAAACAACACAGCATCCAGCAATGGAAACAGCATCGATTCTCTCCGCCATGAAGGGCGATAAACTGAAGGATGCACCGCAATGGCTCACCTGGTTTGCGAAGGTGCAGCTATACGCAATGCAAAAAAATGTCTGGGATCACTGCAACCCGGATACCCCGTTAACTGAACGACCTGATACTCTAAAGGAACCGGTACAACCAGAATATCCTGAAGAGGGTACCGAAACAGATCGAAGGAAATAGAGAGACTAAGCAGACGTATATAAAATGAGCTATACTCGATGGGAGAAGCAAGCAAAGGGACTGAGTGATATAAATGAATATATCCTTACCTATCTTGACCCAGTACACTACCTCGCACTGATTATATATCGTACACCGTATGATAGACTTGTGTATCTGAAGTCTCGGTTCGCTCGATCGACCGCGTATAAGGAGGAAATCCGAATAAGTTAGAAAGTGTTTACAATACAGAAGCCGACTAGAGATATCGACAAGTGGCTTTAAAAGTGGAACTCGCTAAGGGAGTAAGCGGTTAGTCTTGGTATTAAGGACGGAGATACCAATAGGGACTTCCTACACGCCGTGAAAGAAGTTCTACCTATATGGTGGTAAGGTAAATACTAGGAAATAGTGATAGAAAAGAAGGTGTACGATACCCGAGATCTCCTTGAATCATTCCGCGCGATAAATCGCGAGATAGGAGCATAGGTGGTGTTATTAACCACTCCTCTAAAAGGCGCTTTCTCGACCTAGTAAGGTCACTAAGAGGCGAAACCGGAAATAAAGTAAGAGAAGCTTCCGTTTGAGAAGAGACACTACCCTTATAGTAGCTTACACCCGAAGTATAAAGTTGCTACTTACTGGCTCCTAAACGAAGCGATTCGGCTAGAAGGGTATACCCTAAACGAAGGGAAACTAGAGAAAGTAAAGAAGAAGTTAGGAAAGGACTACGCTTAGAAGCAATAGGTGGATAAAGTGATAGCTGAAGCTCAGTAAGCTCAGTAAGCACAGGAAAAACCAGCCGAATCCGCTAACTAAGTCAGCTTTGCAACCACTTTTCGAAGTAAGCTAAGTGAAGCTATACAGATTAGCAAGCACGTACTCTCTGTAGCAAAGGTAGGCGAGCCCTCCCTCCGTGACCGGTGGATTCTTGATACCGGATTAAGTGCGTATATCTGCAATAACCGAGCCCTATTCGTCGACTTCACACCTAATATAATTGACCTAATAACCGGAGATAGTACCACGTAGGTACTAGGGAGAGGTAAAGTCAGACTTTTAGGGAGACACCCGGTAAAGGGAAGGATAGAGATCACCTTAAGCGACGCTCTATACTTACTAAGTTTCTATACGAGTCTTGTGTTGTACGCGATACTAAAGAAGAAAGGCGGCCTCTGGTGCTAACGTACAAACTGTATACGGGACCTAAATGATAGACCTATCGTCTGTGTGAACCTATAGGATCAATTCAATCTCTGGATCTTTGATAAGCTAGGCGAGGCTCCGCTACAACAAGTATATACTGTGCAGTAAGCACAACGGAAATCAGTGAAGCCACAGGAATCAAGGGCTTCCTCTGAAATTTAGCACCGACGCCTAGTATATATTCAACCGCGGACCGTAGCAAAGCTTGCTACTATAGTAGACGGCGTTGTTCTTAACGATAAAGGAGGAGTAAGTATAGAGTAAGAATCTCTATATCAGACCTATAAGACAGGAAGTGCTCCGAGGTAGATTTTAAGACGATAAGTTAGACGTACCTTTGGACGTTTTGGAAGGGTGTATTTCGACCTAATTTAGCTGCAGCCAGCCTACAATAAGCACCGCTGGATATCCCACTTCTACCTAGAAGGACCGAGATTCCACTGGATTATGACTCACGAAGTGAAACCTGAATGTTAATTGGCTATCAACCAGTTTGTACAACTTATAAGAAATCAGTGGAAGCTGCCAATTAAGGCCTTCTACTACGACAATAAAGCAGCAGCTGGCAGAGCAGCGGAGTATAGTCTTATAAGCGATGGTATCCTGATATATCACTCCCCCCTAGGGCACTCAGAGATAAATGGGTATACTGAGAGATTAGGTGGAATGATTATCACCCGGATACGTATACTCGCCCTCGAAGGGAACCTCCTAAAGGAGCTATGGCCGGAGTTCGTAAGCGCCGCCGTATAGTTATTAAATCGTACACCAACGTATATCGCCGCCGAGAATCGGTGGGTAGTACTATAGGAGGAAGTAAGGAAGGAAGTCGCACTATAGGCGCCGAGGATAAACCTATCAAATATTAGGTTATATAGAAGCTTAGCGTACTGTAGGATTAAGAAGTAAGTACAGTCCGATAAGATAAACCTACGTACAGAGATTGGCTTCGTGGTAGGATACCTTACCTCGAATATCTGGAAGATCTGGTTCCTATATAGTGGAAAAGTGAGGTATATTAGGGATGCAGTTATTGACGAGACACGAAAATATACCCCTGATTATAAGAAATATCAGCCTATCCCACTACCAGCTATAACGGGACCATAGGAACTCACCGTTAAGGAGGTCGCACAGGTGATAAACCACTAAATTACTAGTTAAGAGGAGACTAGTACGATAGAAGAGAGGACTCAGGATCTATAGGAAGCACAGGAGCCTCAGTAAGTACAGCAGTAAGAGGAGGTTCCGCAGTAAGCAGAGGTCCAAAAGATAACAGTTAACTAACGAGGGACTACCCTAGTCTAGGGGGTAGGTGATAGGTTATATTAGCCGACCCCAGACCCTCTACCACAAGTACTACTAGGTTCCTTTCCGATTGAACAGCCCCTACCACCACTACTAATCACCCCACCGCAGGAGTAAGAGAGGTATACTGGCTCTGGTTAGGGGGTGGATACCGAGGGAGATTAAAGGGACCAGATCCAGCAAGAAGAAGCGGATCTTAAAACCACTGAAGACGAACTAGAGAAGCAACTTCAGGTAGAGCTACTGGCTCCGAGAAGAGAGATAATCGGAGATATAGATACCAGCAATATACTTAGTGGTAGGCGTAGACACTAAGTAAGGTAGGAAAAAGACTTCGCCTACGCGATAAGCACTACCTAAGAAGTGGAACCGCCGGCGCTACTCTATACTTTTACCGCTGGCTTATACGCTGAGAAACCAGACACTCGCCGCCACCGAGACGACCTCCTACCACCGCTAAAATACTGGAAGGATATAATAAACCACCTATTTCAGGAAGGTTTTCTCGTAGCGATAAGGAAGGAGATCAACTCCCTCTCTGAAAAGGGGACTTTTGAGGTTATTAAGAAACCAAGAGACCGAGGGAAGCAGATTCTCCCTCTTTTATAGGTGTTCTTATACAAATTTGACCAGGACGGGTACCTTTTGAAGCTTAAGGCCCGTATCTGTATGCGCGGAGACCTTGAAACCATCTCTCACGAGGAAAAGAGAGCTGCTACGCTAGCAGTAAGGACAGCGAGGATGATTTTTGCCTTGGTTGCTGCCTTTGATCTTAACCTAAGACAGAGAGATACTGTCACCGCGTTCCTAAACAGCAAGTTAGACTAAGAGACGTATACGTATATACCTGAGGGATTTCAAAACCTAGGTAAATGCTGGAAGTTACGTCGCGCGCTATACGGTCTACGGATTTTACCACGACTTTGGCAGCAAGAAGTAGTAAGCGTGCTCCGTAAGCTAGGTCTACAGCAAGTGCCAGAAGACCTATACGTTTTTATAGGAAAAGGACTACTGGTTTTCTTCTATATAGATGATATCCTAATCGCCAGTTATACCAATGCAAAGGCGTAGGCACAGTAATTAGAGCGAGATCTCGAAGTACACTGGGAACTAACCGATCATAGAGAAGCAGTATAGTTCCTAAATATACGAATCATTCGAGACCGGCAACAAAAGAAGCTCTGGTTATATCAAGATAGCTATATGATAAGTATTGCTACCCGATATCACTTGACAGAAAGGGCACTAGTCTATACTCCACTACCGGTTAAGGAATTGACCCCTTTTCAGGGGGTAGTAACGCCAAAGGAAATCCTGCTATACCAGCAAAAGGTGGGCTCAGCAGGGTATACCACTATTATCACTAGGCCCGACGCTGTAAAGGCGACCGCGAAGCTCGCGCAATTTCTCACGAACCCCGGTCCACAGCACCAGTAAGCAGCTGATCGAGTTATCACCTACCTCTACTCTACCCGGAACCTAGCGATTGAGTACGGAACAGCCAATACTGGGACCGACTCGGTGCAGTTTGTAAGTGACGCTTCGTATAGAGACCACCCGGATAGAAAAAGCTCAGCTGGGTATATCTGTTAAGTATACGGCGGTCCAATTGACTGGAAAGTAAGTAAGCAACCCACAGTGACAACGTTAACCATAGAAGCAGAGCTACTCGGCCTATCGGAGGTAGGAAAGCAGCTCCAATGGTGGCGCCGATTGCTTTAAAACCTCGCCTTTACTCCGTCACACCACCTAACAATCGACTGTGATAACGAGAGGACTATCAGCTTATTGACAAGCGAGGACACAGCTTTTGAAACGAAGCTTCGATATATCGATATTCACCACTATTGGCTCCGCTAGGAAGTCCAACAGGGTCGAATACGGGTGCGCTGGGTGCCTACAGCAAGCATGGTTGCTGATGGCCTCACCAAATTGCTCACTCGGCAAAAGTATGAGAGCTTCGTGCGACTGCTCAATATGGTTGATATAGGCCATCTTATAGACTAGGAATTACAAGATGATACAGCGATCTCAGCAAGCATACTGGGACCGCTGAGGGGGTGTGTCGGCGCAGATACACCAGGATACCGGAGGATTTATTAATCCTAAGTATGCAGTAATATTTCTTATGTAATCAGGACAGTATAAATTGCCAGGAAGTCAATACAGCAATACGGAGAGTTGAAGACCATTGATTGGACCCATACATTTCCACCATACGGAGTAGTCGGACAGTGTTATAGGGCCCGAGGCCACTATTTTTTGCCTCAGGCAGAAAGCCCCTCGGTACTTAGACCGTTCGGGAGCTCCGTCTCCTTTCCTAATACACTCTCTCCCCCCTCTCCTTTGCACTCTAACCTGTAGATTCCAAGATATTCATGTTGAACAAATTGTGACATATATATGTTTTTCTAAATGCTTCCAGGTTTGAGTTTCTGCAAATCCTCTGCTGTCCAATCGGTGATCAGCATGTGACCGGGTTCATGGGCAAATACCAGTCCTTCAATTTTATGACTTGCTGCTTCGACGGCAACTTGAGGTGTAACACCACAGGCCTAGGATGAAGTTAGAACAAGGCAGATTATCATGTGGTGATGTTGAATTTACCCAGAACACAGGAACTTCGCCTTCCTCAAATGTTTGCGGTTCTCCAAAGTCTGGCTTTGCCACATCCAGAATTCCCAATTGCCTCGCACCATCCCATCCCCAGGCCACAGGCTCTCCGTGAGTCGACAGATAGGCCCTAGTGATCTCCCTCACCTTCTCAATGTGCTCCGGGCGATACGGTCGCATCGATACAATACAGTGGCCGCCAGTGAATATCCCAGCGGGCAATAATGGGATGTTCGATCTGTACATTGCAACTATAGTGCCAGTCTTGTGGTGACGCGGTGGCAAGCCTGCCGCCGTCAGGGCATCCTCAAATGAGAACGAGCACCCAATTAAAAAGCCCACATGATCCTTGGACCATACATCCAACAAGTCACGACGACTATCAATCCATTTCCCCCCTGAATATACTCGATATTTGGGGAAATCCGTTCGAATATCAAAATCTTGGGACTGGATACACTCTGCCGGTCGAACGGAGCTTGGATCACCAGGAACAGCGGTCATTCCCAATAGGGGACAAGGAACTGGGTTGCGCAAACACAAATCATGGAAGTCTGCAGCATATTTTGACGGAAGCACCAGAAGATTTGCTTGTAAGTATCCCGGTGCAACACCCGCAGTATTGGTGAGTTGATTATTTCGACAGTGGAGTCTTGCTTCCTGAGCGATGATATTGTCCATTTTGACTAATTTGTCTTTTCTAGGGGGGGAATGGAAAGAAAGATAAGGTATTCATGATATTGCTCACATCTCACCTTCATATTGATATTAATATCATATCATCATTTTCTGACTACAATATATCCCTCGGTTATCATCTTTTTCGGGATCCACATACCGATGGGGTCTGGGGAAAAGGTTGGGGAAAACCCCACGACCAGACAATTAGCCCTATTTTGACGCCTTTTTACGCCTTTTTACACTTCTTTTTACTTCTATTTATGCCTAAATGTCCGTCTATGGAATTGCCTCTTCTGGTTAGGATCTGTTCGGATCATCAGATTGGCTTACATATGTGGATTATCACTTTATATCCCCCTTCCCTATTGGCTCCTTATTGGCTTCAACTTGGCTCAACTTCCGTCTCTTATCACCGTCGGCCCGATACCCCACCACTTAGTCTTGGTTGGTATCACCGTGGCCGAAGATAGGAGTCTCTCCCCCAATGTCATGATCCACTCAACACGTGTATGAGATGTTCTTTAAATCCTTTATTTCTAATCCTGAAAGATTTTGCTGTCTACATCCCCCATAACCATGTCACACGATACAATTCAAGATACTCCATTGGAGCTCAAGGATTCCTTGAAAAAGGAGGATGCTGAAGAAGCAAATGCCATCGACGGCGAGTTTTCAGATGTGGTGCTGGATCCAAAGAAAGAGGCAAAACTCCTCGCCAAGTTGGATGCTGCCTTTATACCCATCATTATGTTAACCTACCTCACTTGCTTCCTAGATAGATCGAGTATTGGTAAGTTTTATTGAAATCTCCATGTGGAAAAAAGAAACAAAAAAAAAAAAGAACACAAGCTCACAAAGATCCCAGGAAATGTCAAGGTTGCCAACATGCCTGAGGATATCAATGCTTCACCAGACGAGTTTTCGACCGCGGTCTCCATCTTCTATGTGACATATGTTCTTTTCGAAGCACCATGGGCAGTCATGATGAAGAAGTTGACACCTCGCAACATCCTGACGGGTCTCTGCATCGTTTGGTCCCTGACCACCATCTTCACCGGATTTATCGAGTCAGTGGGCTCTCTCTACGCCACTCGTCTTATCCTCGGTGCTTGCGAAGCCGGACTATTCCCTTGCCTCAATCTCTACCTAACCATGGTCTATCGTCGGGAAGAGCAAGCAAAGCGTGTTTCCTACTTGATGAGTTGTGCTGCCATTGCAGGGGCTGTAGGTGGTCTATTGGCCTACGGGCTCTTACAAATGGACGGAATTGGTGGCAAAGCAGGATGGAGGTAGGTTCTCTTTTTTTTTACCCCTCTATCTCACTCGAAGCTCTTTTCTTACAAAATTTCAGATGGGTTTATATCATTGAAGGCCTGTTCAGCATCATTTGTGCCCTTCTAATCTGGTTCGGCTTACCAAATAACCCGGCCGAGGCCTACTTCCTTACCGAAGAGGAGAGATGGATGATGCGGGTACGCAACGAGCAGCGTCGCAAGTACATGGGAAGCGAAGAGTTTAGCTGGGAAGAGATGCGTATCGCAATCAGAGATCCCAAGCTCATGTTCAGCAGTGTCATCCAGTTTTGTCAGGATATTCTCTTGTATGGGTTCAGCACTTTCCTACCTACTATCCTGCGTGGCATGGGCTATGACTCCCTGATGAGCAACGTCTTGACTGTCCCAGTCTACATCTGGGCTGCGTTAGTCTTTATCATAATTGCTTGGTGCTCCGACCGATACTCCAAATTTGCTTCGGTGCGTATACTCCCCTTGCAATCTCCAATCATTCCTCACTAACCTTTCACAGTACATTTTCGCAGCAAATCTCTTCGGCCTTGTCGGTTATATCATACTTCTCACGGTAGATAATACCGCCGTCCTATACTTTGCCACTTTCCTCATTGGCATAACTACCTACACGTCCGTTGGTCTCAACGTCGCTTGGCTGAACGTGAATATCGCCCCACAATACCGTCGTGCTCTCGCGATTGGCCTCCAGCAGACACTCGGCAACTGTGCTGGTATCGTTGCCGGCCAGGTGTATCGCACATCACCTTATGTGTTGGGTAATTCGTTCTCCTTGGGGTCCCTTGTCGTGGCCCAATTCACCGTAACTGCATATGGTCTCTACTTGCGCCGGGAGAACAAGGTGAAGGAGCAAATTCTCAGTGGTGAGAAGGAAGAGACTCGACGTGTCCAAACGGGTGATGGAGAACTGGAATTCAAATATATTTACTAGATCAACCTTGATGTTGGCAAGGCGTTAGGTTGAAAAGCAACTATCTGAAGGAATACAATCCTGGAAATTCACAGCTTCATGGATAACCTCACTTCATCTTTGTTTCTTTTTTTTTTGTTTTTGTTTTTCTTCCCCCAACTATGGATCGGAAGTATTTTCCCCAACATACTCCGTACTACTTATTTCATCGTGATATCAGAAACATAACAGAACTCTCAATGTAGAACTGGAAGAAGAATTGACCTGTTCATTCTTCATGCTCGTATATCTATAAACACTCAATCTATCTTATATATCAGAAAAATTCTTTCATTACACTCGACAATTCTTCGCCGTAATCAAATAAAAACCCCCCGTCGGGTATCTGCTGGTAAGGTCCTCCATCTGGCACAGGGCCCGTCCCCATCCCCATGATTTGATGCTCAAGATTTCCCACGGCTTCAAACCATTCCATCAACTCCTGTGTCATTTTCTCCCCGTCCTGCGGTGTCTGAGTCTGGCTGTTGGCAGATTGAGGCAATGCGGGTGAGCCGTGGGCATTTAGATGTTCATTTTCAACTCTAGCTTGGATATCCAGGCGCTTTTTCTGGAATCCCAGGCCCAATTGAGGACCAAGATTACGGAGACTTCGAATAGACTCCCATAGTCTGCGAGAGATATAAGACTGGGCTGAGACTTCTTTGATCAGCTCCAAAGCCCAGTAAAATTCCTCCTTGCATGACCCACTGAACTGTGTTGGAGCCTGGGCTACTGCCAGGAACAAAGCTGCAAGGGCTGAAACGAGGAACCAATTAAAAGCTACCTGCTGTAATCGGTAGATGTCCGATGTATCGTTCAAGCTAGTAATGAAGCGAATTGTATCCTTGGCAATTTCCACCACAGTCTCTGACTCGCCTGGATACCGCATAACATGGGCTGAAGTATGAAGGACGGGACGATGAATGAGCATGCGCAGCTGATTAGCACGAAGATAAAGCAGAGAACGCAGCCTACGCAGACTCCGCGAGCCTTTCATAGCAGTCTCAGACTCCGCAGAACTCGGGTGATCGAGCCGCAACGAGTCTGGAATGGCATGCACCCAACGCAACACCTGCCAATCCAAATAATTCATTTCTTCCTTTTTAATTTCGTTCGTGTTATTAAATGCTGATATAAACTTCCATACCTTCGCTGCGATCCGGCTGTATTGGATCATCACGCACAGATAGGGGCTTTTCTCAGCAGGCTCTGGCAGCCAAGGATCAATATCTGTATCTTCCAGAGCAAATGGCATGCCAGTGCCAAAGCTCCAGCGCATATCCAGAATATATATAGACCAGAAGATTCGCAGAACGCGATCCCTTCCCACAGCTATGATGGCCGGGTGATTCAGAGTTTCCCGTCGATGAAGACCTTTTTCGAGACACATGCGCTCAACAATACCTACGGTACGCCACGCCAAGATTTCCTCGTCTATTTGAAAATAGAACATAGACTATCAGTGCAATTAGCAGGTCGAACATTCACGGTTGGTTAGGCCTGACAAACCACGAGAGTCAAAAATATGATGTTTTTAAAGTCAGGTGGACCCCAGACACAATTGTCCTGGACTTCTCGTACACTGTCAAAAAGAGCAATAGCCTGTTCACTCAGACCACTGGCTTCGGCTGTCAATGCACACGCAAACACTACACGTAGAATGTGGACATCTTCGCGTACCAGTCCATTGTAGCCATCGAGCTGGCGAGTCGGTCCAAGTACACGGTCCGTCGGGCCGTAGAGAAGATGAACCTGGTCCAAAATCTCCGACGGTTCCAGAACCGGATACATGATCCCCATTTCCTCCTCGTAAACTTGACAAAGGCGAAGTGCCTCAGCTTTGGGCAGAGTCCAAAGTGGATCAGGGGTCTGGCGCGTTTCAATTTCCCCATTGGGGGCCAAGGGTGATACCAGTGGGGAAGGTTCCTGGGTCATATCGCCCTCGTCACCAGCCTCGGCACGTTCCACAATCCCGCGCTCCTGCAAGCTGGATTTCGCAAGGTCAAAACTAAAGGCCGATGTCGTCGGGCCTTGGAAGGACGTCTCTCTAGTTGTTGACAGGTGCCTGAGTGAACGTTGGATAGGGAGCTGTCCGTATGTTCCGGTAGCGGAAACACCTGCAGGTGAATGTTCGCTGCTGGCTATTGGCCGAATACTAGCAGATAACTGGGTAATCTGGTCCTGCATGGCTCTCATTTGGTCAAAAAGCCGCTTAAAGTTCCTTGTGGTGCAAAATTAGTTTGTGTTCAACCGCACCAAGCTGGGTGGGCATACTCTTGTTCTCCAGGACTGTCTCGAGAGTTCTCAACGTAAATGCACTCAACATGCTGGCGTCCGCAGCGCTGACAAGGTGACTGGCCATTGCATTTGATTTTGCGACGTTTGCATTCATTGCTTTACAATTCCATCAGTCGCAGATTTCTATCAGTCTCAAATAGGGTCATTTTCAAACTAACCATGCTTTGGCGATGTATTTGCGGCGTTTCTTCCGCGGCCGATCATGATTCGTATCGCCCACCGAGGGGTTATCCCAGCTCTCGGGGGCAGGGTACATCTGCAGAGAATCCATCATTCGACCCGACGCGATTATTGAATGCAATATATTCTCGTTTCAATTCGAGGGGATGATAGGGTGAAGAGGACGGAGAGTGCGGAGTCGAGAAGATGCGGGGAGACTAAGTTGACACCCAGCCTCAGGGAGTTAGTAGGTTCATAGTACTCCGTATATACACAAAATAGGTAGGTATGTATGTAAAGAGATATAAATTTCGAATTTGGATCTCAGAATTATAATATGAGTATGTCTGTGTCTCTGCAATTTTCTTCAATAACCACTCATATTTCGGTCAATCCAGGCTCATCAAAAGTGCCCGCAGAGGTCAAAGTCAGCTTTATAGGTCTTAACCTTGTGGTCTATCTCTATACTTGTCTTTATTTCACACCTATTTTACTTTGTAAATACACAAAATGCATGCGACAGGTAGAGGGATTCACAATAGACATTCACGCCAAAACCATTCTCCTTATATATCTTTGGTGCGCTCATCGCTCTCGGCGATCCACCGGTCAAGCTTCTTACGGTCGCGTGCAGTAAACCCGACCTTGAATGGCTTTGGCTCAGTTGTCAAGGCTGTCGGAATCAAATTGCACTCAATTGCATTAAGAATTGGCCGGTCGGCAGCCTCTTTTGCCGTGTGCATGTGGAAAGCAGTGATGAGCCGAATAAAAGCAGTGAACAGCTCGCGATTGGCGAGATGTGATCCTGCACACATGCGCGATCCTGCTCCATATGCGTAGTGTGGAGTGCCTGCACCCTCATTGAGTTCCAAATAACGCTCCGGGATGAATTTATCGGCATCCTTAAAGTGGTCTTCGTCGTAATCGGCAGCCCAAGCATTCTCACAAGCACTATCAGCAAAGTCCGAATAGAACAAGAGCAAGAGCAACATACCATGAAGAAAGTCGTGCCAGAAGGGATCGTGGCTCCATTCCACTGGATATCCTTGGTGCTCTCGCGTGGCAGACAAATAGGAATGACCGTCCAGAACCGCAAGATCTCCTTTACCAGTGCCGTCACATAGGGGACCTTCTCCTCCACCAAACATTTCTCCCAAGCATCCCCGTCCGGGTAGACCTCCATGATCGAGTCATAGGCCTTTTTCTGGATTCTTTGGCCGTCCTCGGATGCCAGATAGGCGATTCCCATAATCAAGTTACCTGGGACGGTGTCAAGACCAGCCGACACCATGGTCAAACAGATCGATTTCACCTCGGCTAGACAATAGATGAGTACTCACTTTTCAACATTCATGAAGTCATTTGTAACTCACCATCATTCAGCTTCGCCTCGGGATCCTTCAAGATATTACCAGTGATGCATGGCTTATCCGTTCCCTTGGCGATGCGATCCTTGAGCATATCGAGCAAGTATGTCAGATATTTGTCACGGCGGCCCCGGAAGTCTTCGGCCTCGTTGTTCATCTTGGGGAGGATGCGCAACAGGGGAATATAATCCTGCCAGTTGTTCGAAGTGCTGCGGAAGTTGGACACGCCACGCTCCACATCCACAATCTCGTGCAGCAGTGTGTCATCCACGTTGCCATCGATGCGGAACCCATAGTTCAGAGTCAAACTAGTGTTGAGGGCGTATCGCTGAAAGTATGTAGTGGGATTCACGTCACGTTTTCCATTCTGGCTGTCCCGGTATAGCTCTTTAATGCTGGAATTGGATTCGAGATCGATGATGGGCATATATGATTGTACCGCCGGTCGATTCAGCGCAGTGGCAGCTGCCTTTCGGCGTTGCTTGCAGGAGTCATCCCACGGAGAAGTTCCGACAGTGAATCCCTGTGAGCTGGAGACGACGCTGTGGAAGGTGTGGAATGTCGGGCGAGAGATCAAAGCAGACGAGTCCTTAATCCATAATTGGCGGACGGATTCAAAGCTGTTGGCGAACACGATGCGCTAATGAGGGTATTAGATTACAACATTTGTGGTCGCATCCGATTCGAAAGTGAAGCGCTTGCCTTGTTTCCCATACGCACTTGGAAAACTGGGCCGAATTTCTTCGCCCATTTCCCCGCAACTGTTGCATGCTGATCCCCTAATTGCAATAGGTTGCCAAATATGGGTACGCCAGGGATCTCCGGGATGCCTTTGATCTTGGGGACATCGGTGCGATTGAAATAGCGAATAATGAAATAAACCACCGTGATGACGGTGACTGCAAGGGTGTGGATTGCCATGATGGAGTAAAATTGAGAAGAGTTGCACACTTTGCTGACCGGTGAGAGACAGCGCATGCATCTCTTATAGCCCTCTTCATCTCAAGACCGGCATATTTCCGGGTTTGAAAACTCACATGGAGAAACAAAGCTGTAACCTCGATGACATGGCACTTCCATAGGTTAGTTAGCCAGTCGTAAGCCATAGATTCAGTAAAGATAATTTCTCATAGGCCATCAACAACTCATCAGTCCGGGGAAGATGTCTCCACAGTGCGGCGTAGGCGGAATGTTCATTCCGCGCCTTTTCGTCGATCCCCGTTTACTCCTCAAAAAGGCCTCGGGGAATTCAGATGTATGCGGATATTATGTATATTGTATTTCATTTTGAAGCGATAAGAGAGAGTTACTATGTACGATGTATTGACTATTTACATATATCACATCATGTCCAAGTATTGAATCTAACCCTTGCATGCGCTTGAACAATCTCCTCGATGATCTGCAATTCCCCGACATACAAAGAGGTGATTGCGATCGCCATATTGATTTGGGACAGGCAGTAAGTGTAAAAACCCCGAGATGAAGTTAATATTATGTTTACTGTCAAGTTCTATGAGGTAGTGAAGTTATTCCTGAGAGATACCTACACATATATATATATATATATATATATGTGTGTGTAGGCGAAGAGAAAGAGATAAAGAGAGAAGAGCCACTTTCATTGACACCTAATCAGTAAGGCATAAATCAATACAACTCGATGGTCAAAGCTCCTAGTTTGATACATATAAATGCTATACTATGTACATACTATGTAGTAACTGTATCTGCATACTACTAGTAGTATGTAAAGATATATACTGTATAACCTCAAAAATAGTTCTGTGGATAGAATATGTTGAGCAGAGTCTTGGCGGGGGGTGGTCCACGGCTGCCGAAGAGTTCATCTCCTCCCCATAGGTGTCTCTCTTAATTGTTCAATTGTACAAGATTGGCTAATTTTGCTTCGCTTTGAGGTGCTAGATGTCTTCCTATCCGTTTCTTCCGCTTTCCTCCTCTCCCTCACCCGATCCTATTCTACGTCCGCGCCGTCCAAGTCTGGAACCGGAGCGCGAAATCCTTTCCACCAGAGGCCAACGTTTATTCAGCCTTTTACCTTCGCGCACATCTAGCCTTGCTTTGCATGATCTCGATGACGATACATCTGAACGGAGACTCTTTCTGCGACGCGGATCCTTGTTGATTGGACACAGTAACCCTCGATATGAATGGTACTAGCTCTCCTTCCCCCTGTGACGCAACTTCTATCCTAACCCGTGCCGCAGGCAACGCTACTACAAATCATCCGAGTCATTGCAGGGTCTTCCAAAGGCAATGTTAGTTCTCAAACTCATTTTCAAACTCATTTTCAAACTCATTTTCAATGAATTAGAAAACTGACTCCACCACTATAGTCGAAAATATCATGAACGAAACAATGGACTGATCTCCCAATATCTTTACATTGACCGACTACTTGACTCTTCGCTACCCCATAACCTGATTGAGGATTACAACGGATGCAACCATCCTGATTCAGGAAATGGAATTTTTCAGCCTTCATTGGAGGATAATCCAGAGACATCAGAACCCAATCCCAAGACCGGAAGGATCAAACGCACTCCGCATAATCTTTATCGGATTCCCGATGAGACAACACCTTTGGTCCAATCTCCCGGGGCAGAAGATAGTCTATCAGAGCCATTTCCCGATCTTGAATCGCACGGCGGGATGCCCCCAGATGAAGAGGAGCGCGTCATCAACCTGGCCATTCGCATCAATTTCGTCGCCAATGTTGCTCTCCTGGGCTCGAAGATCGCTATTATGGCAATGACAAGCTCCATGTCTATGCTAGCAGGTCTGGTTGATGGAGTTTTGGATTTCCTCAGCACAGTCATTGTCTGGGTAACCACCATTATGATCCGCCGACAAGATCGCAACCGGTATCCCATCAGCCGCCGGCGGTTAGAGCCCGTTAGTGTGTTGATCTTCTCGGTCATCATGGTGACTTCCTTTTTCCAAGTAGCAGTGTCATCTATGAAACAATTGATTGGAGACGACCGCACGGTTGTTGAGCTATCCACCACATCTATCGCGCTGATGGGCGGTACTGTCTTGGTTAAGTTGCTCTGCTGGATCTGGTGCCGGTTGATTCCTAGCCCGAGCGTCCAGGTCTTAGCCCAGGATGCCATGACTGACGTTGTTTTCAACACATTCAGTATCATCTTCCCTCTGAGTGAGTCTTATTCCTGTTTATTGTTGTTTTATCCCATTCGCTACTAGGGAATTAACAGTCAACGATCACAGTTGGCACTGTTGCAAATCTCTGGTACTTGGATCCCTTGGGTGGTCTATTCCTCTCCTTCTATATCATGTGGAACTGGGGTCAGACGGCTGCAGAATACATCCAGCGGTTGACAGGTGCAGCTGCATCTCCCGATGATCATAGCATTTTGCTGTATATGACTATGCGGTTCTCCCGAGTAATTCACAAGATCCAGGACTTGAAAGCCTACTACGCGAGTGACAAGCTGAACGTTGAGGTTGATCTTGTTGTGGACGAAAAGATGAGTTTGCGAGATAGTCATGATGTTGGCGAGAGTTTGCAGTACATCATTGAGAGTGTGCCTACTGTCGACCGTGCCTTTGTGCATTTGGATTATGATGAGTGGAACCTGCCCAGCCATATGAACCAGATGGACCGGTAGGGTAGGACATGCCTGATGAGCGCACCAAGCCAGTTTTCAACTTAACATTGTAGATATTGAATGTTAAGTCACAAGTCTGTACAGATCGATTACATCAAAGGTTTGACACATAAAATCATTCATCTAGTTATACATATAAACCATGATCAAATGAATATCCTCGCTGGTAAAGGCACCAGGACGCTAAACAAGAGAAAAGAAACACAAGGACAACAAATTAATGTACAACCGATCCCATTACGGTCTTACACTCCACATGAAGTTTGTTTAAATCAATCGAACATGGGACCCCTAGCGAGGAGGTTGTGATGGCGGCGGCACTCCACCTTGGGACGACCCATGGCTGTAGACACGGTGATGTGTCGGGGTGGAGACAGTGTCACCCAGGGATGCTAGAGGTCGTTGATGAAGCGGCGGTATCGATCCAGGCGCAGATGACTGAGGAGCATAGCTGCCCATGGTGCCTCCGCTCATAGACGGATGTAGAGCCGAAGGGGGAGTGTAGGAACGACCGAGGCTCGCCAGCGATGCCATTGACCGGCCAGCCTGGGACTGGGGAGGAGGGGTGTTGTGCCCGTACTGTGAAGAAGCACCGGGTAAGTTGACAGGTGTCGAACGGTGGGATTGCGGCTGATGTGACCCACTGACCATTGTTTGCACATGTTGTTGATAGCTGTGTTGCTGTACTGGATTCGGCGTTGCGGACTGGCGCGGATGCATACCATACAGGCTAGCCGAAGACTGCGCTGGCGTTGGTGGATCTTGTCGCGACCCATATGCCATACTGGAACGCGGGCCAGGTGACGCTTGACGATAGGAAGCCGGTTGCGATGCCATGTCTCGGGAGCCAGAGGCCATGGGCGGTTGAGCAGAGGAGGCTTGGGAGAAAACGTTGGGATAAGCCGATCGTTGAGAGGCATTTGTTGGCGGGGGAGTCGGCGCTGGGGATGGCGCGGGAAGATTTGTCAAAGGCACTGAGGATTGGCTCGGGGTTGCCGCGTAAGATGAATAGGAACCCTGACGGCCGCTTTGCTGCTGCTGTGATGGCAGTGATTGGGCTTGAGGCTGCGGCGGAGTTTGTTGCGCCCGTGGATCAAACCGTGCCATCCAGTCATTATTCGCTGACGTGCCCGAGCCACCAGGAGGGGGTCCATATCCAGGATACTCATAACCGCGAGAAGATGGCTGATATTGACTTTGCTGGGGGTAACCAGAAGGCTTTTGCGGCATACCTGACATAATAGTGTCTTCATGGCGAGGGGGTGGTCCACTGGCCTGGTATACGGGCCTTGGGTTCATGCCTGGGGTTGCGCCAGGGACCGATGGAGTCTGCTCGCTAGCAAATCGTTTGCGCGGCTGGGGCTCTTCGGGTTCATCATTGAGAATGCTCATAATGTTAGACCGTTTGGCAGGCACTTGACGAGTTGCGTCGGGGGCGGGAGTAGCACTCGGACGAGGAACATCCTTCACTGGTGACAACCCAGGGCGAGGCGACTGGGCTAGACCCATGGGTTGACCTGTGAGTGAGTAGTAGGGTCTTTGAGCAAAGGGATCGCGGTGAACAGACGAGACGTCGAGTTCTGGTCTGAGCTGCTGGATTGGTGAGCCGGGAGTTTGTGTTAAGCTAGGATGACGTGAGTGGGTCGATGAAAGGAGAGAAGTTGACTGCTGTGCAGGCATATAGGCCTGTGCGGACAAAGGTTCCATTCGTGCCATGTCCGGTGGCATGGAGCTAGGATGACGGGAGGATATTGGTAGTTCTTGCGCACGAGAATTGGCATGGGGCAATACCGAAGAGTCTCGTCTATCCTCTGTAAAATACCCAAGGCGTGGACCCTGGATACGGTGAGATGGTCCTCCTTGCGCGCGAATTGCCCGGGTCGACTCTTCAATCAGAGTTGCAGTAGATGGCACTGGCGAAGCAGCAGAGGCTTGTGCGAGTGGCTGGTAGCGACCAACATTCCGCTCCTTCTCAGACGGAGGTCGCCCATGGAGAGACATGGGCTGGGGTGATAGACCAACAGGCTTGCCTTTAGGGAATCGTATTTCATCGACCTCGGACATGGGATCCCCATGAGGGGCAAGTGGACGAGGGATGATAGAAGACGGAGTGGCCTCATATCGTCGCTTTGGCGCAACACTTGGGACAGGAAGTGGCCCTGTGGGCTCGCCGCGAGCTTTCTTCTCCTCTGCGTCCGTTAGAATCAACTCAAAGTCTTTCTGGCCGGAGTCCAGGCGGCGTTGATAGAAGTTTTTGACCTATATCATGCACGTTAGCCGGCTAATTGACAAATACAAACAGGAACAAGGAATGGTAGGATGAAAAGAAAAAAAAGGAAACATGGGATGAAAAGACCCAATACATACCATCACCGTTGTTTTGGTCTTCATCCAGCTCGAGATACCCTCAAAATCACGACCAAAATGTCCCAGCAAGGCTGGAAAATCGCGCTGCTCCGGGACAGACCAGTAACTCGTTGGCTGCAAAGATCCATACCCCGTCTCGAGCTGTTTGCTTGCTAGAGGCGGTTCAACTTCAGTAGACTCAAAAACATAAACTCCTTCTTTTGCTCGCCCACGCCCCACCCTGCTCCGCGGAATTGGTGGTAAGGATTCCTTTTCGGTGTGCTCTCGTTCCCGGGACTCATACCCTTCTAGGATGTGATCTGGGACCAGTTCCATCTCGTTTCCAGGATGAAGTGGGGTTGGCGGCACACTTGGAGGCAGATTGCCCTGCGGCATTGCTGCCTGCGTCTTCGGATCTATTTGAGCAGTGGTCTTAGCGCGCCGTGCAGCACGAGTACCCCCACCCCGTCCACCACGCCGAGACGATGATCTTTCAACTGGTTCACCATCCTTGCCAAGCTGTCCGCGACGGGTAACTGGCACGCTCTCTATCTCAATGGATTCGTTTCCAAAAGTGGGCGCGGCCGCACGTCGTGGACGACCAGTGTCTGTGACAGCTGGTGGCTCCTCCTCGCCAACAAAGTCAGGTTTCACTACACTCAGGTCTGCGATGAGGGCATTGGACTTCGGTCGTGGACCTTTTCGAGTCCCCTTGCGCTTGCTCCAGCGTTTGCTGAGCTTGGCCTTGTACTTGATCTCTTCCTTGGTGAGATAATAGTGTACGATACACTGCTGGAAATTGCGACCCGGTAAATATTCGGCAATCTTGCCCCACTGTTTTGGGTGTGCCATGAAGGCGTCCGTAAAGATCATATGCTCTTCCGGGGTGAAGTCATTAGGGGGCGGCACGAATCCGAAAACATCCAGAGCCCTATTGCACTCAATGGTGTTGTTCACATCTTTGTAGATGCGGGCCTTTACCTCCCGTGGTTCAAGCATATTTGGAATGATCGCTTCACGGCCCAGATCAGGCCGAGCTGTGGCCATCTTGATTCGTCGACGTTCGAGCTCTTCTTGGGCGGAGATTTCGGAAGCTTTCAGAGCATTGAGAAAATCGAGCTCGCTATTCCCTTTGTAGCGACGACCTTCACGACCTTCCGGCATGGGGGCCGGGGTAGTTGGAACTGTGGACACTGGGGGAGAGGCTGGACCAGGAGTCACGGACTTCTTGTCCTTCATACGATCGAGCTCCCAAATAGCCATTCGCCAGAGCTTATAGTGAGACACGTACTCGGCCCTAAGGAGTGCGTTTTTCTTGAAAACTTTTGCTTGCTCCTTTGAAAGTTCCGTGCTGAACGCGTCTCTGAGACGATTCTGGGTCGCAATGTTCTCATGGTATACATCCATATCTGAAATAGGTGTTGGAGAACCTGAGTGCAAGAACGGAAGGCTTTCGACAGTAACCTCATCAGGAGGTACCACAGGGGGGATAATAGTTTCAGCAATTGGCTCTGTTTCACGCTCAAATAATGTAGGAGCAAAAGAGACTACTCGTTCAGTACTTGGAGAATCGGCTGGCTCTTCATCCTCTACTGAAGGCAAAGGATCCATTGGCCGTTCTGCCACTTGTTCGGCGAGTGACTCGGGGGAAGGTTCAACTCTCTGCTCGTTGGCTATCATGCCCAGTAGCTGGATTTTAAGCAAAAGGGCGACAATGGCGGAATCTTCCAAAGGCGATGGAGGCAATTCAGCTCGGAGTGACTCCATATCTTTTTCAAAAATCCGCTTTCTCTCATCAAGATATTCCTGGGTAAAGACAATATTCTCCCCATCTTCCTCATCACTCGAACCTTCAAAGTCTGGTATCAAGGCAGGTTGATCAGTGCCGCCCTGCTCAGAGAGTTCATTGGCATCGCTTGTTTGAGTGTCGACAGCAGATAAACTACGCCGCAATGGGAGGTTCAATGATGGGGAAACAGACGAGGGTTCCTTCGCAGGTTCGCAGGGGAGAATCTCGCCACTCTCGGGCTCGTCTATAGCAGGTGGTAGTAGAGGGCGCGTGGCTTCATTGGCAGGGGAAACAGCTTCGCTCTCATCGACGGGCTCTTGCTTCGGCAGTGCATTAGGAATAGAAGGTGTTCGACCGTAGCCAGGTCGCACCCATTGCTTGCTGCCTTTGCGACCACGCGGGGAGGGATCCTTCCATTGCAATGCTCGAGGGCCGGTTGGAATGCCAGACGGTTGCATTCGAGGCGACATAGACGGTTCCCGGGATAATGCACGTGGGGCAGGCGGTGGAATTCGTGCAAAAGTAGGGGAAGAGGTGAGTGAATTCGACCTCCCAGCCCCAAATCCTTCATTGGGTCCTATCCCCGGATCTGGCCGACTCATGGCAGCTGGAGCGGTAGGTGGTGATACATCAGGTAAGTTGATAGATGGTTTGGAGAGGCGAGCAGACGCAACTTGCTGCTTGCCAGCCTCCCTGAGTCCTTCGAAGCGGCTGCGAGGCTCAAGAAGCTGTGTGGTCTCGGTTCTTTCTGCCTTGGGTCCTTTAGGGGGTTGGACAGGTTGTCGTTGCCGGGCCTCATAGCGCTCTCTCTCTGTGGAGAAAGTAGAGCTTGTCACCGTGCGTTGGTCTGGAGAATCTTTGTGTGAGGAAGCATTCGTGATTGAGGCAGGCACTGATCCAAAGGCAGGCACCTGTGGGGCGGCTAGAGGTGGTGAGTTCCGAATAATATGTCCAGGGCTCTTCATGGCATCGGGGCGAATAGCTTCCAGACGAGCAGCATCTGGCTGGACAATATCTGGTTCAGCAGCGCCCGGTCGAACAGCCTGCGGGAGAGCAATATCTGGTCGAGCAGCGTCCAGTCGAACAGCATCAGGGCGAGCAATATCTGGTCGAGCAGCGTCCAGTCGAACAGCATCAGGGCGAGCAATATCTGGTCGAACAGCCTGCGGGAGAGCAGCCTCCGGGAGAATAGCCTCTGGGCGAACAGCATCAGCGCGAACAATATCTGGTCGAGCAGCATCCGGTCGAACAGTATCAGGGCGGATAGCATCAGGACGAGCAGCACTAGTTCGAACAGCGACAGTGTCGTTTCGCTCGGGATCTCGCGTAGGTTCCAGAGCCGCCGTGCCAGGAATAGTTGGTTTCCGGCCATGATCCACTTGGGGATGGTCAGACAGGCGATCTGCTAGGGCTGGTCCGGGTCCAGGGCCGGGTGCTGTGGGAGGATGTGAAGAAGTGGTTGAACCGCTAGCTGCGCGGCTATCTGCGCGACTTGGGGGGCGGTCTCGTTTCCAGAAGTCCACTGGGCGATCACGGTCCTCGCGATCAGGTCGTCGGTTGTCCCAATCTTCGCGACGATCAAAGCGATCTCGACGGTCCAAATCACGATCTAATTCTCGATCTCGATCTCTCGGACGTGGAAGGTCTCGTTCACGATCTCGGTCCATCATCCGATCGCGATCTAATGCACGATCTCGGTCCATGTCTCGATCTCTATCGCGATCCACCATCCGATCACGTCCACGCCATGGCTCACGGGATCGACTGCGGCGACGGAAAAGATCACGATCATCGAGGAAGGGTGGACGACCACGACCGCGGCCTCCTTCCCAATCTCCGCGACCACGCCCTCGCATGCCTCCTCGGTGTATATGGCCAACATTGGGAGGGGGACCCTCTGGACCTCCCGAAGATGCGGATATGATACTATCCCTCGAGTTGCGTCGCATCCGAACCAAATCAAAATCGCGCCCCGGAGGCTCCCTTATGTCCCGAAAGTCGCGCGTCGGTGATCTTGAGCGGCCTCGACCAAAGCCAATCCGGTTGTCTCGGGGATCGAAATCGCGGTCGCGGCGAGCCCAGTCCCGGTCCATATCTCGGCGAAACGGCGGGCCATCGCGGTTATCTCGAAAGTCGCGGTCTCGGTCGCGGTCTCGTAGATCTCGGTCACGGTCACGAAAATCACCACGGCCATAACCTCTACCACGACCACCAAAATGGCCACCACGAGGGGAGTCAACAAGGGCCCGAGGACCACGCGGTGGATCTCTACCGAATGGTGCAGGTCCATCGTCAGGACCACGAGGACCGATCGGGGGGCGACGGTCTCCGAATCGCTGCGGAGAACGGTCACGGGAATTGAACCCGGACGATGGGGGGAATCGGGAAGACATTATCGCGTCATGCTATCATGAAGCTATAGTCTGGTTAGCGCTCCAGCACGTCCAATGTACAGTGCAAATTAGCCCAAGGCGGTTGGAATGCAGAATCCATCACATACACAGATAGAGAACGGGCACTTAGGAGGGTCTGCACGTGACAACGAATGCACGGACCATATGAAGGATTGAAGAGTACCCCCGATCGGGTAACGCGTAGTCTTCCCAAGTTGGGAAGGAAAGATCGAATATCCCCACGTTCTTTTCGTGTCCTTTCTGGATTTCTGAGGAATTGGAGTATTAGTCGATCAGAGCAAATAGATAGATATCATTTAAATTGAGATAGACTGACAGATTCCTCGAAGGGGATTCAACGTGGAAAACAGAAAACACACGTTAGAAGATCGACGGAATCATGCGAGCTCCTTACGCCGGATATTATGCAGTACAAGAGTGATATAGATGAATCGACAGAGTGAAATCGAGGGATAGGAATATGTAGAATGTAGAAATATGTAGGAATATGTAGGAATATGTAGGAATATGAGTTCGTGAGACTTCAAGGGGCTCGGCACTAACCCGGTTGAACGCTAGTGTGGTGGATGTGCCTCCTAAACTCTATTCACCTTGAATGCCCTACTTTGTACGGAGTACGGAGTATGTGGCATATATTGTATACAATATATAAAAACATAAGAAGAAGTAGATAGAAAATATAAACAAATCGGTTGAAGTAGCAAAATCATACAAGTAAATGGTCAATATTATATATAGGAGATTCTGTACAATTCAAACCTATATTCTGTATTTTCCAAGGTTGGAGGGTAATAATGCCTTGGACGTTAAGGCACAAAGGCATAAAGGCATCAAGGCATCAAGGCACTAAAGCCCAGACTCCTGTAGTCTCCCCCGCCGAATCAAAAAAAAAAAAAAAAAAGAGAGATCAACTGCCCCTCTACTCCGTGCTCTACTCAAACCTTTCTTTTTTTTTAATTTGGACCTCTTTCTCTCGTCTCGTCTCGTCTCGATAACCCATTTTGAGCGGATTTATTTCACACCTTTTAACTCTCTCCTTTTCTTTTCTTTTCTTTTCTTTTCTTTTCCGCCATTTCCTGACCTCATCGCAAATATGAGCGCCCAGCAGCCTTCAGCAGTCCCCGCATCGGTGACCGAGTCTGTCCTCCAGAGCTCGCAACCAGTTCCAGAAGGATCTCACGTGGTAAGCGGGGTGGATTTCGATAAATTTCAAGGACGAGATATCACGGTCGCCGAGATGGTGGACAGCTTGGCCTATACCGGTTTCCAGGGCAGTGCGGTCGCAAAGGCTGCTCAAATTATCAATGAAATGGTACGAAACCAATTGTAATCTTTGAATTCTGGAATCCTTAAAAAGTCTGATGATATGTTTTCTTAGCGCGCCTTCCGTGATCCCGAAACGGGAAATAAAACTACCATCTTCCTCGGTTATACATCAAACTTGATTTCGTCCGGCCTTCGGGATACCCTACGTTATTTGGTGAAGCATAACCATGTTTCCGCCATTGTGACCACTGCTGGAGGTGTAGAGGAGGATTTGATCAAATGCTTGGCCCCCACATATCTCGGAGCGTTCTCGACTCCCGGTGCTGGACTTCGTGCTAAGGGCCTCAACCGCATTGGCAACCTTCTCGTGCCTAACAATAACTACTGTGCCTTTGAGGATTGGGTGGTGCCAATTTTGGACAAGATGTTGGAGGAGCAAGAGGCTGCCAAGATTAAGGCTCGGGAGACTGGGGATGGGGAAGACGAGCTTCACTGGACGCCAAGTCGCATCACCGAACGACTGGGTCGTGAGATCAACCACGAGGATTCAGTTCTGTACTGGGCAGCCCGGAATGGAATCCCTGTATTCTGTCCCGCCCTCACGGATGGATCTCTGGGTGACATGCTTTACTTTCACACGTTCAAGTCTTCCCCGCAACGGCTCCGGGTGGATATTGTGGACGATGTGCGCCGTATCAACACCATGGCTGTCCGGGCGACACGTGCCGGTATGATCATCCTAGGGGGCGGTATAGTCAAGCACCACATTGCCAATGCATGCCTGATGCGCAATGGGGCTGAGCACGCAGTGTATGTGAATACTGCGCAGGAGTTCGATGGCAGTGATGCGGGTGCGCGGCCGGATGAAGCGGTGAGCTGGGGCAAAATCAAGGCGGATGCCAAGTCTGTCAAGGTGAGTTGATTGCCGTATTTCTTTTTGGGCCAAGGGCCAAGCTGATTTTTCATAATTTTTTTTAGGTATATGCCGAGGCTACAGCGGTATTCCCTATGATTGTGGCTGCTTCATTTGCTCGTACCGAACCACAAAATTGATTCCACTCCCCGAGTCTCGATACGGAACTTATTGCCAAGCAATGCGGGAACCCGCGGTCTAGAAATGGTTTTCATTTCCAAGAACCAATCAGTGTCACTTACCGTCGAAAAGTGGTCCCCCCAGCCGGCCCATTGGATCGCGCAATTCAAGATGAGCAAGATTGATACGATTGACCGAGCATTGTACAATTCGAGCCTCTTACGGAGTACAAAGTACAAGAGGTATAGGTACATTGATCGGCCTGATATGTCTATATGCCTGATGCGCCTGAAAACAGAATAGTTTTCCGAGCCCCAGATAAACCCAGGGATTGAAAATGCCCAGTGGCGAAAGAGGTGGGAAATTCGATAAGCCGAGTTGCCACAAAAAAAAAAAAAAAAAAGTCCAGGGCTTCAAATCGGCAATTAAGGGTTTTTCCCCCTGATTGGATCGACACACCGCTAGACTTCAGAAGTACGAAGTACGGAGTAATATAATAATATATACAAAGATGCATAGGTCGAATATTAGATTACATACATAAGATATCTGATAAAGGGCTCCAACCCTATGTAGGTATAGGTATATATATAGAATGCATATATGCATATACCTAGTCCTAGAGGTTTAGTACTGTGTATATATGTATATTATGTACTCCGTATATTATGTATAATTCCATAGGCCCCATCTAGTACTCTGTAGATACTCCATAGAGCCCTGTCTCTCTGTCTCTCTCCATACTCGGCAACGTCCCCCGGACTCGCCCTTTTTTTTTCCCTTTTATCTTTTTTTTTTTCTTTTTTTCCTTTTTTTTTCTTTTTCGTTTCATTATTTTTCTTCCCAGCTTTTCTTCTTCTCTTCTTCTTTGCTTCTATTCTTTTTCTTCTCTCTATCCTACAATTTATTCATTCTTTTTCTGTCTGTCCTTTTCTTTCTCTCCCCGCATAACCTTCTTATCCGATAAGCCCTTATCAATCTTTATACAAGGAGACCTCGGGAGCCCTGGAGTACCTGTGTTTATATATTCGCTTTCTAAACACATTCGAAACTATTGTTTTTCAATCGGAAGGACCATGGAATCCTTACCAAATTTGGTCTCTGGGACTGAAGACGATACGGCGAGAACCAATCCAGAGAATCAGTCAGACCAATCCCCCGAATCATCACGTTCAACTCCTCAGCCCGCCCCAATCCTTCCCTCGGAAGAACTGGAACATGCGTATTGGGCAGACTACGAGGAGGACACGACCGTCCCAGATGAGGAAGAGATGAAAGAGATCGACGGCGGTGATTCAGATTACAGTGCCAGTGATCGTAGGTGCCAAAATGTTACAAAGATCATGGAACATCCAGGATTTATTGACCCTCCATGACAGACAAGTATTGGGAAACCAACTTCTTTCGGGATTTGGGAGACCCCGAATACATTCCTACCGAGAAGGCCCGTCTCACCTGGACCTTCAAGGGTGTCCGGGGCACCCCTGAGAACCCCAACCGTGACAAAATCATTCGCTCCCCACCAGCGTTTGTGGGAGGGTATTGGTGGCGAATCAAGTTCTATCCTCGGGGAAATAATGTCAATGCATTGAGTGTTTACCTCGAATGCTCCACCACAATGCCCGCTCCAGAGGGTAAGCTTCCTGAGTCGGAATTTACGGTCCGTCGAGGCGCAGCCGATGCCTCACTAGATGACAGCACCCCGGAGGTTCAAATCAAGACTCCAGCCACGGACGATATAGCATCGTGGTTTGAGACCTACAAGTCCCAATATCCTGCAGTCAGGAACAACCCCCACTCGGGTCATGGAACCTCGGACTCGTGGCGTGTGCCTGCACAGGTCGGTGTCATTGTATACAACCCACAAGAGCCACGCACTGGCTGGATGCAATCTTCTTGTCATCAATTCAACACTCACAACCTGGATTGGGGGTGGACATATTTCCATGGCCCATGGGACCAAATCCATTCACGCCGGCGGGGTCAACATCGTGCTCTCCTGAATGACGACACGCTCTCATTCGACGCGTATATTCGTGTAGTGAATGACCCCACCAAGTCCCTCTGGTGGCACCCAAGCGATTCCGAGCCAACCTGGGACAGCATGGCCTTGACCGGTTACCGACCTTTGGGTGATTCGATCATCAATCATAGCCCAGAGGTAGCTGGGCTTGCCTCGTGGCTGCACATTGCTCCGTTTTGCAAGATCATTCAAAGTATTGATGTGTTTGAACATCTTATCAACGCCGATGCTCGGCCAAAGCCTCTATGCGATGCCCTTCAGAGGCTTCTGTGGCAGCTCCGCCGCCAGACACTCTCCCCAAGCTATATTGATACGGACGCTGTGACTACTACCTTGCGCAATCTGCACGAGTTTTCAAGCGATGTGTCCGAATTTTGGGAGCGCCTGCGTCGCAACTTGGAACTAGAGCTGAAGGGGACAGAGGCCGGCAAACAATTCGCCCTCCTATTTGACAGTCCGGTTGTAAATGCTCCGTTTTCTGATGGCGAGATCACCGTGAACATGCTGCCGACTGATTTCAACTCGCGTCTCTACGTGCCAGTAGATCAAGTCAAGTCTACTTCCGAAGCCGTCAGTGGATACTTGAGTGCTAAGCCCGGTCGTTGGTCGCTTCCATCCATCCTTCATATTGAGTTTGGCCGCCATACTCTAGATAAAGCCAAACGCTGGCAGCTGCGGTATGACAAAGTGGAGCTGGACGAGGAACTGGATCTGGCTCCGTGGGTGGTTGATGGGCAGGGTAGCAAGTATGTCCTTTACGGGTATATTGTTCACCGTGGCCGCCGCACTTCGGGAAAATTCTTTAGTATCCTTCGCCCGGCGGGTCCAGGTACTACCTGGCTGGCGTTTGACGATGGCAGTGACAACCGGGTGGAGTGCTTGACCCAGAAAACAGCCATGGGTCCGCACCTTGGTCTTGATCCTTCCCAGACTGTAGATCACAAGAAGGGCCATGATGTACCTGTCGTGGCAATGTACATCCGTGGCGATATGATATTTGACTTTTTGCCTGGTCCCCAGGGACCTTGGGAAGTATCTGAAACCTTGAAACAATACTATGAAATAGGCGTGTACCACACTGGTGACAAGCCTGCGGATGATGTTCAAGTTGAGGTTTATGCGCTTCCCCAATATGACCAGCTGACCAGTCTGTTTGACTCCTACGATCTCATGGCACAGGCCAAAGCGGCAAACAGTGTCATGTACCTGACCTTGCCCCGCTCATCGCGCTTGGTAGAACTGCGCAAAAGAATTGCTATATGGAAGTCCGCGGGCTCTGAACCCATTGATCCCGAGCGGGTTCGCTTCTGGCAGATTGGTAACTCCTTTGCTCAATCCAGGTCATCGTTGGCATTTGAACGCACTACGGATTTGAACGTTCCCCTGGACCCTTCATTGAGCACCATACGGTTCTGGATGGAAACCATCTCCGAGGGTACGTGGTTGCATTCATCTTTATCTCTAATCATTACATCGCTAATTTTTAGCAGAGGACGCTCAATTCTTCGCCATCCCAGACCCTCCTGCGGTCACCACTTCGGAGGATAAGCCGGATGACTCTGCCGTCGAGGACTCGATACACGAAGCTTCTTCTGAAAATGTGCCGTCCGTGGCCGAAGGAGATGCTGTCGCTAGCTCCTCAGGGAATGCTCCCCATGATGGTCCTGCTACTTTAGATACCGTGAACTCTATCATCGATGATGGATCACTGCCTCTCTTAGCCACATTGTCTCTAGAAAATGATGCTTTTGGTACTGAAAGGGCAGAGCATGAAGTGGCGCTTGCTACTGTCACTGCCCATGATCGACAGGCCACGACTGCTGTTACGGGAGCTCTATCAACAGAAGCCACAGGCTTCTCTCCAGTATTATCTTCTGAGGTTCCGTCTTCTGCACCGGAAGTGGCACTTCAAGCACACACCCAATCCGAGGTCAAGTTGCCTGTTGGCCATACATACTACTTTATTCAAATGTTCGATGTGGATAATCAAATGCTTCGTACTGTGGGATCATTCTTCTCCAAGCTTGATGCCAATGTCAAAGCGTCCATCCGACGCCACTTGAAGCGGCCTCTTCGCCAAGACTTCCTCATGTGGAAACGAGTTGATGGTGCTGCCGTTACCACAGTGTCGCCTGCTGACAGCTTCGATGATGTGGTCGCTCCGCACGGAGCATGTTTCATCGTCGGAGATAAGCTGACCAAGGACAAGTAAGTACACACACATCTGATTTATAAAGTTAAGGTTTTTTTGTATTCTAACACGAACACAGGCGAACTCAACTTGCTTCATTGGGACTGTTCACCAGTCCTGACCGTCTGGTTCAGTACCTGTGGGCCGATTCGCGCGGTCATCCAATTCAAGGTTTCACCGGCATTAAAACCATTGAAGCCACCTTCACAAACGACTACTACAGCGGTTATTTCCTCAGGGGTTATTACCATGGTAAAGGCAAGCACATTTCTAGCACGGGCATGATATACGAAGGCGACTTCATCTTCGGCCGACGCCACGGCCAAGGCAAGCTAGATTACCCCACCGGTGACTCATACGACGGTGATTGGGTCGAAGATGTATGCCATGGACAAGGTACTTATATTGAGAAGACGACAGGCAACAAGTATGTCGGTGGCTTCAAGGATGGTAAACGTCATGGCAAGGGCATCAGCTACTGGGAGGTGGCCGACGCAGAGTTGGATCTGTGCCAAATATGCTACACCGAGGAAATGGATGCAGTCTTCGCCGAGTGTGGTCACCTTTGTTCCTGTGTGACTTGTGCGAATCTCGTGGGCCTGTGTCCGATGTGCCGCAAAGAAGTCAAGAAGGTGATCAAGATTTATCGGGCATAAACTGCTATCTGGTATATCTGTGTTGGAGTATAGATGGGATGTCCCCCTTTGTTTTCGGATTTTTTTGAGCACTTACATTCATTTTAGCGAACGGTGGGATATATGGAGTGATGCGATTGGTTTATATACTTTCATTTGGTTATACATACACATACCACCACTGGTGGATTTAGATTGTTGATACGCAAGAACAGTTCTTATATAGCCTCTATACTTGACGATTTAGGACTTGGATAATTTGAAAATCTCTCTAGATTAATCTCTTTTGTCTTTTAGAAATATTCGATCTTACCGAGTAGCTAAAGCAAACTGTTGAATACAACCAAAAAAACAAGGATGTAGCACTACGCAGGGGCATAGTTGCCAGGGTTTAGCACAATCATCTTATATTGAATTGTTTTTTTACTCTTTCTAAAAATTTTTTTTTTCAAAACACAGTTTGATCTTTGATTGAACAAAAGGTATATCCAATGCGCCGGGTCCCGGACCTAATACATGATGCTTTTGACTTTCCCGAGGAACGAAAAACGAAGAATTATACACAAGAGATGAATGATCAAGTCACTGATCATTTGCTGGCCTTCTTGGCCGACTTCTTATCCTTCTTCTCGGCCTTGCCCTTAACCGCGGTCTTCTTCTCTTCCTTCTCCGTGGTCGCCGGCTTCTTCTCTTCCTTGGCCTTGGTGGCGGGCTTCTTTTCTTCCTTGGCCACAGTCTTCTTCTCGCCCTTTAACTCGTTGGTAGACTTCTTTGAGGCAACAGCCGTGGTCTCTTCTTCCTCGCTTGGTGCCACCGTTTCGCTTGTCTTCTCTGACCCCTCTATCTTGCTCTTCTTGGGCTTGTTCAGAACACCCTTGGGGTTGAGACCCTTGCGACGCAGGCGATTGCGCTCAGCACGAGCAATGCGCTCAGCATCCTGAGGGTCCTCGAATGAGCTGAAGGCACCACCCTCGAAATCAGCAGCGTGTCCGTTCTCATCAACAATTGGGGTCCTGTCAATGGACTCGTCGTCTGTGGAGGCAGTCGATGAAGTACTGCGAGCCTTCTTAGCGCCCTTGGAACGGGGCTCGGTGTCTTCCGACTTAGCCACAGGGGTCACTGCAGTCTTCTTGAGCTTGCAAACATAGAAACCGTCGACGTTCTCGCGGTGAGGGAAGTAACGGCGGGTGAGCGCCATCTTGGGATCGAAAGTCTTGCCCATATAGCTGAGGAATCCAGGGCTACCGAAGCCACCGAGACCGGTGTCAACGATCTTGACATTGGGACGCTTGCGCAGAACATACTGCACAACGGCCTCGTTCTCTTCGACTGTCACACTGCAAGTAGAGTAAACAACGTATCCACCGGTCTTGGAGGCGTGGTCGACGGAATCAATTGCAGCCAAAAGAAGCTGGCGCTGCATGTGGGGAATAGCAAGGAAATCACGCTCGTTCTTGGAAGTCTTCACACTGGGATCCTTCGAGATAACACCGGTACCTGTGCAAGGGGCATCGAGCAAAACACGATCGAAGCCACCCATGGCCTTGGGGAAAGCAGTGCGGGCATCCATGTTCGTCACAATGGTGTTCTTGCAGCCGAGACGGTGAATGTTACCAATCAAACCCTTGGCACGGGGCTTGCTGGCATCGTTTGCGACAACACAGCCAGTGTTGCGCATCAGAGCGGACATGTATGTCGTCTTACCACCGGGGGCAGAGGCCATATCGAGCACCCGCTCATTGGGCTGGGGAGCAAGAGCCATGACAGGAAGGAAAGAAGAGGCAGCCTGTAGAATATAGTGACCGGCCAGGTACTCGGGGGTGGCACCCAGGGGAACCGGGGACTCGAAAACTTGCAGTCCAACCTTGGACCATTTGCCAACGGGCTCCAGGACAACACCACGGTTGATGAGGGCCTGGGCGAGGGATCGGCGGTTGGTTCGTAAAGTGTTGGTACGGATAACCACAGGGCGAGGGGTCTCGTTAGCTTCGAAGAAGGCAAAAGCCTCCCTGGGAGTGAACAAGTGGAACAGCTTTTCAGCCAGGAATCGAGTGTAGCCATAGTATGTGCAGATATCGTCGAGCAGAAGATCGACATAGTCAGTACGCGACTTACCGGGCAGACCGAGAGTCTTCAGGTCACCCAGGATTCGAATGGTATCTGTGATTCGCTGGCGAAGCAGCTGCAGATCGGGGGCAAGTCCCTGCTGGGCTTGGTCGCTGAACACATCGGGTGCAGCGATATTGGTCTGCATGGCGGCTTCTTGCATTTCCTGCTCAGCGGCTTCCTCCTCCTCTTGTTGTTCAGCATCCAACTTCCGCGACAGACCCTCGATATTTGCGGCGGTCAATCTCTCTTCGGCCTCGGAGTCCTCGTCGTCAGAGAACATGGCTCCACGGGTGTGGCCTTCATCGTCAGAATCGACAACCGAGTCGCCATCCTCTAGGTCCGATAGTCCTTCAACCTGATCGTCGCTATCCATTGAGCCTTCACTGATCCCATCAAGATCACCAAACTCATCATCCTCCATATCTTCATCATCATCAGACATAGGCACCGGCACAGCCTTGGGAGCAGCACCATTGACCTTCTTCTTCTTTGGGGCTTCCTTCTTCGAAACACCCTCATCGCCATTAGATCTACGACGCTTTGATGGTACAGGCTTCGGAGGTGCCTCAGCCTCGCCAGTCTTGCGTTTCTTGAGCATTGTGATTTTTGACTCGTCGAGCGGGGCCGGAGGGCCCTGCTTCTTCATACGGCGACCAACACCCATTGTGAAAAATTGGTGTATATGGGGGATGTTAATGGTGTTTGCTTTCTGGGGGAGCTTGTAATTTCTTTCCGTTCTTTTTTTTTCTTCTGGCGGTGAATGCCAGCAGTACAGAAGTGATAGAAGGCGGTGTACTTATTTATATTTATGCCTCATAATTTAGGTGTCTGTTATCTCATCAGCATCAAGATCCCAGATATCCACTAGTCACTCCAATAACTATCACCTTGCATTTGGCCTCTCTCTCTCTTTATCTCTCTCTCTTTTACCTACAGAATCCCTACCTCCTGGTTTAAATTGCTCACCATGTCTGAGCTAACGTTTACTAAATCATTCTTGTCCATGCTGGACTCGCGCCCTATCAAGCTTCGCGCTGATCATGTCTTCGACCCCGAACAAATTGGATTACGAGTTCCTGTGAGTGTTGATGCGAACATTCCCTAGCTTGATTAATTAAGATCATTCTAACATATTTCCCCCAAACGATAGTATACCCTCCCCCGCCTTTCAGCCCCGCATCCTCCGATGCCCAAGAAAGTGAGGTCAACACAGGCACCAGGCTCATCTAAATCAATCACTGTTCGCGTCAAGTCTGCCCGAAACCCTGCTCTGGAATTTTTGATATCCAATACCCCTCTCTCGACCACCTCAGTCCAGGACATCCGGGATGCTGTGCGATTGCGCGTCACGGATGCGCATGGGGGCCAAGTTCCGCTAGACAAGATCAAGATCCTATACAAGCGCAAGCCAGTGACTGGAACCGGGAAGACATTGGCCGAAGTATTGGCAGACGAGCCCGTGATTATGGCGGGAGGCAAAGAAGTTGAGATTGGGGTGATGATCATTGGTGGCGCCCAGGTGGTTGAATCTGCTGTGACTCAACCGGAGATTACAGAGAAGCGGGATGAATCACCTCCTAAGGTTGCTATAGGCCCAAGTGGTGAGGAGATTTTGCACACAGAGGCTTTCTGGCATGACTTGCAAGGTTACCTCGAGCAGCGATTGAAGGACGAGGGAGAAGCAAAACGGTTGAAATTGATGTTCAAGGAGGCGTGGAGTTCAACCAAGTAGAGTACATCTACAAGACAGAGCAGTGAAATAATGTCAATATTAAATGATACCTGTAGTTGTTCGAGTCGTTTCATATATGTCTCGTGTCGATGATATCTAACAAAACCAAGTTTTCTCGATGAATGAATGGTATGGATTCAAATTTTATACACAACATGAGCTATCAGTGTCCAAGGCACAAGCTACATAGGCACATTCAAGGAGAATGGAAAAAAAATATCCACAAACAACCAATACGACAAATATTGAGATCATTCAAAAGCCTATCAGGCGCTCCTTGAAACCCAATTCAAGATCCTATCACAAGAGCAAATGGAACAGCAGTATTCGAACAAGATATGTTCTAGTTCCCATAAAAAGTAGAGCACCGAAACAGTTGAAGGGAAGAAAACATCCACGCACGCCAGGGAATCTTTGTCGAACATGTTATCAGCAAAGTAAAAAGTACACATGTTGAAAAACAGAAATGGAAAAGAAAGCAAAATCAAGTAGGAGAGTATCATAGACCGCAGTATTGGCGAACATTGTTGCAAATGCTCGAAAGAACTAGTCCGGCCAGTCGCTCATCCAGTTCATGGGATCATACAGAAAACGACGAGCAAACGTGAAGAAATACACACACAGGTATAACGCAAGAAGAATCATACGCGGGTTTTCATTCCGTCATTTCAATCATCGAGAGAAGACTTTGGCCACGCCGTCTCCACCACCTCCAACGACCCATCGGCCATCATGGCTCCATGCTACGGCACAAACTCCTTCATCGCGCATCAGTCGGTAACTTGTCAACTCCTGGGTACAGCTGCGCTTCTCAAGATTCCAGAATCGCAAGCTCGCATCATGGCCGGCCGAGACAAGCTCACGCCCATCTGGAGATAAAGACAATGAGGCTATCGCAGCAGGATGAGCAAGCATTGTGTATGTACATTGACCTGTATCAAATGTTAACATATTGTGGGGAATAGCAAGGTCCTTTAGATGCCACTTACCACTATTGGCATCAAAGAAGCGAATATACCGGTCCTCGTAGCCACTGATGATTACACCCTCTACGCTGCTAGATCCAGTAGCTCCGTGGACCACTTCTTCTTCGGCCATCGCTCGGTCGGGATTGAGATTGACTGTTCCATCAAAGCCAACAGTGGTGGCAACGACTGAATTCACCCCAGTAGCTGGCGTGCCATCATAAGTCTCGAGGCTGGCCATATTCGCAATTTCTTCGCCGGTCCGTGTGTCGTAGACAATGATAGAGGCATCCGAGTAGGAGACGACAAAGTTGACGCCTGCAAGAGACAAGGGGCTGATGCATGTTGGAGAAGGAGAACCGGTGCGACAGTCGATGCGACGAACAATGGTGTAATGGAGAGCGGTAGTGACGACACTGGGTTGAGGTAAAGGTTGGAAGTTAGAACCAGACATTGACTTTGAGTTCGCCCGCTGACGGCGAGTTGCAGCCGGAGGGGAGGAACTTTGAGGGAGGTCGCTGATAGCCCAAATCAAAACGTAGCCATCTGCTGCACCGGAGGCAAGAAGGATTCGATCGGATCCACCATAGCGACTGCTTGAGTCGCCAAACACAGAGCCCACGGTCCCGGGGAGAACGCAGAGTCCCCAAACAGCATCTGTATGGCCCCCTTCCAAGGTGGCCTTGGGATTAATTCGCTCACGTTCCCATACTCGCACGCTGGTATCTTGGCCACCTGAAAAGATCCATCCATCACCCAAAACACGACCACCAGTGGAGATATTCTGAGAGGGCGAGCACGCGGCAAGAGAAGTCACTGAGCCTTCATGTCCGCGATGAGTAAAGTAGCTCGTAATATCCGAGTCACGGCTAGCAGCAGCTCCAGAACCACCAGAAGCAGACGGGACGAACCATCGCTTGATCGTTCCATCATCGCTGCAAGTGCATATCTCGTGTTTTATTACCTTCTCGTCTTCTTGGATAACCACTCCAGTGAAGATGACAGATCGAATCACATCCAAGTGGCCACGCAATGCAAATCGGCATTGAAAGATAGAATCCCGCTGTTGTCCCAATGCCGCACTAGCTTCCCGGGCAGCAGTTGCACCATCGCTCTTGCGCTTTGATCCCGAACTCGAACTCTTCCTCCGGTGGGGGGAAGACTCGCTCTTGGTCGACTCAGAGCCCATAAAGTTGGCATTTGGGAAAGCATCGGTATCCGGGCGATGAGGCGGGATGGGTTTGATGACCGCGAGTTCCTGCTCCGCTGGTTCGTCAAAATTCCATCCATCCACATCCTCTGTTCTTTCCTCGGTCAAGTTTTGCAGAGTCACATCCTCCTTGACGACCACTTGAGGGCCCTGGGCCTCGTAGGTCGGTTTTGAGCGATCGTCCACTATTCCCTGTTCATATACTTGGGTCCGATTTTCGATTGCTGCGACAGGGCCTTGCTGCGGGTCCATTGACCGTCGATCCATGGCATCCCGAGAAAGATACTGGTTTTGAGCACGAGCCATGGCATTCTCAGAATAGTGATTAGGCATCGGTTGGTGGTTTTGTAGGGCCATTTCACGTGCCATAACGTGGTTCGCCTTCTGACGTTGCTGCTGAAGGTAGGCCTCCTCTAGGTTCTGTTGCGACAGCTGTGGATTGCCATAAAGCTGGCCTGACATGTCGGCATCATTCATGTCAGGAGGCGGGTGGGAGGCGGGTATGACATGGTACGCGATTTCGTGGGAAGCTTTGGACAAGTAACCTCGAACTTTGTCTATGTCCTCAATTTGACCCTCACGCTGGTTTTCGTTGTTTGGTTCTTCGTCATCCTCATGGTCCGTGCTCGGCTTGGGGCGATGCGCTGGTGAATGATCCAGTTAATACTCCACATCGCGTCCTGGCATACAATTGCAAGTCACGTACCTTTCAGAAAGTTGACGCTTTCACGTGCAGCCTCTTTGGCATCCTTAAGCTCTTCAGACTTCTCGTTGTTCGAAAGCTTCTTGATCTTCTCCCTCTCCCTCTTCAGGGCGGTCTCCATCAACCGAACATGCTTCCCAAGGGACTCATGCAGGCGCTTGCTGGTGCGCAAATCACCTTCCAATCGACCAATGCGAGACTTCATCTCTGCCCGTTCAATCTCCCATGCATTGCGGTCGCGCTCGTGTCGGTGCCATTCTGTTTGTAGGAAGCGCATTACACCTAGAGACAGATATCAGTCAATGGCATTCAATAAGTCAGGTGGATTCATGCTCACCCTGTAATGTGTATTCCGTCCCCTGTGGGCCATTCGAACCATCCATGGCGCCAGGCATTCCTCCGATCCCAGCCATGGCTGATGGAGATTGCCAGGACATGAACAAACACAGGACAGGTCGAGACTCAGAGGGGTAAAAAGCACTGCAGGAGGTACCAAATGACGAAATCAGGTCGGTAGTAAATCAAGTGACGTGTAAGGTGTGAGCTTCGGTTTCTCCTGACCCCGGTAAATCGTATCCGCAGTAAGCGAACTAAGTCCCCTAATGGCTACGGCAAGGAACCACGTTCCACGCCGAGTCAGCCTATGAGTGAGGGGTCCTAAGGAGGAAGATCCAAAGGAAGTAGCAAGGTCGGACAATGATAGGAAAGTTATGAAGATGAGAATGTGCCTCCGTTGATCTTTTGTTATGGTGAAGATGGCTTGGCCTCCGGGGCCTACTGACCGCCTTCTAGATGGAGAAGATTGACCTGCACGGTTACTAACAACCTAGGAGATACATGACTGGGCAGGCAATTAGATGAATTGGGATTGTCATTGGATGAAAGGTGTACATGAAAGAAGTTTTTATGTGAAAGAAGATTCAATAGATTTCATAGGAACAATTGGAGGTCGAGTTCTGCAGATATAAGTAGCGAAGTTGAGAGGATTGACATCTTTATTGTCAGGCACTCACTTTATGACCCATGTGTTAACTAACTACATCCTGACTAACTAACTAACTATGTAATAACGTATTTCACCACCGAGTGGCCACAACCACCGAGTGGCCACCCCAACCCTACATATTAAATTTAAATGCATTTTTCTCAACCAAAACTCCATTAAATTAATTCAACTAACTAATTGGTCTATCTGGACATGTTTCTCTTCTATACCCTGGCAATCTGTATATTCCACATCCCCGGGGGGGCTTTGTACGTGGTTGTAAACCCGATTCTCTAGGTATACCGGCGGCGGGGGAAGGTGCTTCAGTTGCTTCCAGTTGCTGTATAATTAATACAGATACTTCTTGAACTGAGAGGCCTTCTTCGGCGGGTATCTACCTTCGGGATCGAGTGCGCTTTTGCTTCTGCTTCTCGTTGGCGGCGCGTAAATCGCTTACTTCTTTCTCAAGAAGTGCGGCGGATTGCATAGTGATCTGGCACGCCTTTAAAACCTGGTTTATAGCGGAATTGAGAGGACTTAGAGGGCTCCTTAATCTTATACGAAGCAATACTTTAATTGACGAAGCTTGTTTTTGTAATTGGACGTAGTTCGAAGGGGTTTTTGGGTCCCAATCACTACCCCGGCTCGGAGGGGGGGTTAGGGTTCGAAGACGAATATCAAGCTTTGAAATCACTCGATCGGGTACAAAAGGTATTAAACCAGCTGCTCCGAAGCTATTTTTAATAGTCTCTGATTTAAAAGCTTCAATTCGTATAAGTGGGTATACTTCGAGGAAGTCAAGTTTATCGATATGATTTATCCCACTCCGCATTTTAAATTCAACAAACCGACCGTACGTACGTTTTAGTACCGCAAAACAGCCGATATCGAGAGGTTATAAAAGGTGAGAGGAATACGGAGGTATACAAATTGGTATAATACCATTTTGTTCGCAGATTTCGTCGAACTTCGGTGTTAAATAGCTTCCGTGACCGTCGAGTACTAGAAGCCGATACCTCCCCTTCGTACGCGAAGAAGTCGAAGGAATAAAGAGCTTTTCGAGCCAACGAAGTCCAATTTCATCCGAAGTCCAACCGTTAGGGCTTACTTCAAAGCGCCAGTTATTCGGGACGCTTTTAAACTAAGATTCGAGGAAGACTTTACCTTTAAAAATCATATACGGAGGAAGCACCCAGCCAGAAGCACCCGTACATTCAATTACTGTCACCCACTCGCGAGTTCTAGGTTGTAAAGTCTTACACCGACCGGTTATATCACTTCTCGTAATAACCTTCGCGGTCGCGGTTAATCCTAACGCGAAACCGGTCTCGTCAAAGTTATAAACGTTATCGGGGTCGATTCCAAATTGAAGGATCGTCTTTTGAACCAGATTAAACTACTCCCCAATGATTTTAGGGTCTTCGCATTTCGCACGCTCGTAATTATACCGTTTCGAGAATCGGGAGGAGAGGAGAGGATATCGTTTCACGAATTTCGTAACCCAATTTTCGCCGACCGAAAGAACCGGGGTAGTTCTACGTTGTTGAAGAAGAAGATCCGCTATTTCTCGTACAGAAGAGGGCCGGGGGCTGCTCCACGAGAATCTATAGAGATAATCCATTTTTCAAGAGATTCCTCTTCAAGTTCTGTCAATTTATGCGAATTAGCGCGAGAAGTCGCGCGGTCTTGGACGCCGCTAAGGCGGCGGCGGAGAGTTGAACGCGGCACATTGAAAGTGCGAGCAGCGAGAGTAATATTACTGATATCTCCATTTTTAAAAGCCTGGATAGCTAATAAAAGCCTACCCTCTTGCTCAATTGAATTTTTCGAGCTTTGAGAGCGAATTGGTGGCATAGTGGGTGGTTGAAGAAGAAGGGATTAAATTAATTAACGCGTTTTGGGTAGGGTGGCCACTCGGTGGTTGTGGCCACTCGGTGGTGAAATACGTTATGTAACTATGTACAACGTAGTTATAGGTTGATTGGGAGATTACAACTTATTCCATGTATGTAGAATTTTGGTATAAAATCCACGTTGATATTGAGCTCGATGATCAGTTTGCTCTTACCATTACAATATATTTTGGCTGTTCAAGTTGTAACTATAGTTGATTATATGACGATTTATACTCCGACTACACGAGAATACATTATGTAGTCAGCGAAATTCTCACAGCTATTTTAATACCGAAAAGTACGATATAGTGTTTAATAGGTTCAAATGCTACATTTATTCGTGGTCTCATACAATAATAATACATAATAAATCATGCTATGATACACTTTGCTCTAGAACTCAAGTTCTTCCACCTCCATCCCACATTCTATACACGTCTTGATACCAATTCCAGTTTCTGGATTCTCAATGGATCGGCCCCATTGATGGACATGCTTCCGCCCAGAACCAAGATCGTCGCCAAACTCTCCACCCGAAGCACCTTGTCGATTGCGTCGGTAAGCCTCCACACGTGTGCGTTTCTTCAGCTCCTGCAGCTTCGTTTTGAATTTGGCCTCCCGTCGCCGTTTCTTATCACTTTCTCGCCGCTCAAACTCAGCATCAAGCGCCTCCGTTGAACCCCATTTCTTCTCGGAAAACGCATATTCTTCGATCTGGTATCGTAGATACAGCATCATGCTATTCCATGTAGATTTGTGTGGATTTGGACGCTCGAGCCGTGGAAGGAGCTCTTCATCTCGAAGTTCAGCTGTGCAAAGAGTGATCAGCACAACTCTCTTTTCATAAACGATAATTAAGTACTCACGATCTGTCAAGAGATAATCTTCCTTGGCTTCCGTCTTGGTCAACAAACTGTATTTCTCCGGGTGCTTCTCCTTGCAGGCATGACAGATGCAACACTTCAGCTCCTCTTCCCATTTCCAATCAATTTCGAGACTGCCACATTCACGACATGTCTTCTGCTTGCTTTTATCATCTAGGACACTTAGACCTGGTTCAAAAGGCCCTTCCCGATTTCGCTTTAGTGATTGGAGTATCTGATGGCGTTCCCACTCCTTCTGGGTCATATGTGCTGGTTTTTGTACTTCTTTCCCATCTGGCACGTGTAGTTGTTTGTTGAACGGGTCATCCTCCTGTGTCAAAAATCCACCTTTCGTGTCGGTCATCTTGCTAAAATCATAGTCGACATAGCTTGCGAAATTTCGGGCTGGCTTTATCGAGTCCAGTGGGCGATTTGAAGAAGATGCATCGCGCATATTAGCAGGTTGATTTGATGCCGCCATCGAGGTGAACGAGCGTTTGGCACCTGCTGTAGGCTGGGAGGTGTTTAAGGCAGCTTGGGATAGTTCGGCTTCACGTCTCTCTCGAAGAGCTTTAGCTTTCATGCGATTAATTTCCTATCAGCAAGACTGGTCAGTTTGGACTGACGATGTCGCAAGGCTGGGAAAAACTTACCATCCTCCGTTGTTGTTCTGGAGTCATAGAAGCACGAGGAAGTTGCCCTGCCCCCGAGCCCTTGGGCTGCGAAGGCGGGGTTGAGGGCCTTTCTGTTGGCATTATGAAATTATTCTCTGGATAACAACGGTCTTTGCCGTTGTTCACAGTTGCAATGATATGAGAGCAAGGCGAAAGGCGGAAGGCGGCCAGATCCTCCCCGATCAATCAATCACGTGATATTAGTGTTTATAAAGCGACGTCATTGGCGCATCCTGGAAACGAACAAGAACACTGAAATCAATATTTTGGAGGCATCAGTTTGAATTGGAAAGCATATCAATTAGACCGAGAAGCTATGAGTCTGCAGCCGGATAATCAAAGTCTTCCTCTCGATCCTGGCCATACAAAACCTCGCACACTCCCCCTACCGGTACGTCCATAACGGCATCGGTTCCCTCACTCCAAATTTCTCGCCAATTGACCTTGCGATTTTGTGGGCCCATGATCTGATAAGAGGTAGCGCCAGGCTTCATCTTGGTAGCACCGCCAGGACGTCTTCGCGCCTTTCCATCAATAACTGATACATTCGCGACCTCATCAACAATATTCTCGATACTGTGCATGGGCAAAGTAAGGTAGCCTGTATTATACGTGGCGAGGGCAGCATAAATGTAGATAAGGAACATCACCAACCATGCGGGGATTGCCAGCGACCACCAACGGTTGGGATAATAGTAGATGCCTAGCTGATGGAGGAATGGTGATGGGAGATAAGACCATAGGAGATAAAACACTAAGTTGGTCCGGTCAGTATGCGGAAGACGAGAGATTGCGCTAGCGACTCCCATGGGACTTACAAAAAGCCAATGATGAAGCTAAGTATAATACAAAGCCATAGTACTCATAGGTAGGAACCTTGGGACTGGCGCGCGGAACGGTGGTTGCGCGACGAGCTGACTTGGCGACTGCCGCCTCGGTATCATTGGGAGTTTCTACATCAGAACTGTCAGGGGTAGTCGGGCGTGATGTAGTAGTTGAGAAGGGCGGCCGAAGAAGAGAAGTGAGTGAGGGGGAGGGCGGTAGAGGGGTGGGCGGGCGGTTGTAGAATGGAGGCGCAAATGCATTGGGGCCATGGAGAGAGCTGGAGGACTGGCGAAATGGATGATTCCGGTCAATATCAGAAGAATCATCGGAGTCTGTATCGGAGAATGATTGATGCTCTAGTGAGTAGTGCGACTGGAAATCTGCATCGTCCTCCACCTCGATCTCATCATAGCCGGGTGAGGTGATGCTCTCGTCTTCATAACTCTCTTGCGGTTCACTCGGGGATATAGGGTCTTCAGCCAACAGGGGAGGGAAGGGCTGCTTGGCCTCAAAGGACGAATTGAACGTCCTTGTCGAGTTCTCCATTTTACAAAATGACAAAGAGTTGGTTGGTGTTGTTGGTATCTCCCTTTTTTCTGCAACCATCACCAGATTCACCGCCCATCTCCATTTCCGCGTCTACGCTTGAGATTCAAATTTGAGGTTTTCGTTATGTTTTTTTTATCTGTGACCTCGCCAAATTACTACTAGGTATAAGAATAAATTCTGTGCGCTGCATTTATCAAATAGCATTGGATTTTTGTGTAGTGATATACCGGTTGATGCAGGTCGAGATCGATAGTTATATCGATATTACATTTAGGCATTTGTTCCAAATTAAGCATACAGTGGTGCTGGAGGTCAAAGCAATATGTATCTATAGGAATGTATCATAGTAAATCTCCTTACTATGTATGTATTTCTAACTATGTTCCCTACCTAGTTCCCTTCCGCATCGACCCCGTTGTAAAGGCGGCACAACTCCGCTCTGGGCCCCTCCGACTCGGACTTCAACGAAAATCCCCGATGCCCCTCCCTATACATCATTTCAATTGTGTTTTTGAGCATATCCTTATTCTTCCAAGTTTCTTTCCTCAAAGTGGTCATTCAATATGAACAACACCGAATTGGAGCATGTCCGCGGGGTTTGGGAGCGAACCAAGAATGAAAGCCCCATCTATCGTCTTCTCCTCTCCGATGTCGATATTATTAGTGCAACTCGTGGCCAGATGCAAGCCCGACTTAAGCTCACAGCGGAGCATGTCAATTCGCGCGGCACCATTCATGGAGCTGTGTCTGCAACCATCATCGATTGGGCGGGGGGCATGTCGATAGCCACACATGGATATGAGAGAACAGGCGCAAGCATTGATATCCACGTTTCGTATCTGTCAACCGCCACCGTTGGAGATACCCTGGATATTTCCGCCGTTGCTGATCGGGTGGGGAAGTCAATGGCCTTTACTACCATCAGAATCTCCCGAGTCGTCGACGATGAAGTGGGCCCCTTGGTTTCAAAGGGTTCACACACCAAGTTCCTGCCTGTCTCTAAGGAGAATCGTGAAACTAAGAGCTGAATCCTCATTCCAAGCATGTTGTCCATAGACGTAAAACATTGTTTCCGATTCTTCAACATCTCCGTGCAATTCTACTAGTTCCGATCCAGGAACCTTCTATTTCCAATCATGTCCTCCCCGTCGCAGATGTTATGCCACCATCCACAATGAGTTCCTGGCCAGTGATATACTGCGCCTCGCCACTAACCAGGAAAAGCGTAGCATGAGTAACATCCCATGCGTCGCCTGTTTTCCTCATCGGAACTTGCGCATGGCGCATCTCCATATGATGTATCTTTCCGCTCGACCATCCGCCGCATATCTAGATATGTACCAAACAGGTTGTGTACGGTGTTTTCATGAGCCCAGGAACAACCGTGTTCAAACGCACACCCTTGGGTGCATAGATCACAGCCGTTGTTTTCATCAACTGAATGATGGCAGCCTTTGTCGCGAATATCCAACCTGAGGCTTTCCAGTGTATCTCAAGCCGGCAATTCCGGCCACGCTCACCACTGTATCACTGCCTTGCTGTTCCATTGTCGGTAGAACGTGTTGGCACATCAAAAACACTCTCTTGAGATTGAGGTCTACCTGGGAATCCCAAACTTCCTCTAAAATTGTAGCGGGATACCCCCGCTCTGACCTCCCGACTTTGTTTATCAGAATATCAACCTGGCCGTGTTTAGCCACACAAGCTTCCACAGGGTTCTTTGTGGATTTAGCTGATGTTACGTCCGTTTCCACGGCGTCTCAGGTCCCACCCTCGATCTCAATAGCCTCTTTGGTAGGAAGAGTCAAAGCGAGCGTGCGGTTGCCACCGAAGATCTTTGCATCTTGTCGAGCTAAGAGAACAGCGATTGTAGCTACAATCCCCTAGTCTTCGGATTAGCTTTGACCTAGGCCAGTGACGAGGACTACTTTCCCGTGGAGAGACAACATGACGAAAGATCGAAGACGATTCATGTTATGAAGTGACAATATATAGCTTTATATAGCTTGATATAAGAAACGTTTAAATATCGAGGTCACCCAAACGGGATTGTCTCGATGGGTTTGCCGCTCCCCGGCATACTCCCGATATAAAACATGGACGTCTATGCCATACCCAGACATACACTACCTAGTGCCTATCTCTGCTGAGGTTAGCTGGAATTTTCCTTTGGTTATCCAGAGCGAAAGGCTTCCTCCAAAAATACGGTTCAAAAAGCAAACCTAGAATGTAGTGCAACACTTTCAAAGTTGGAGATGGACATTAGACCAACTAAGCGCAAGGAGGATCTTGGAAAATGACAAAAAAAAAAAAAAAGGACAAGGTTACAGATGCCAATACCTGTTTCAACACTCCGCACAGAGTGCAGTCTATGTATACGCCCAGGTGGTACAAACTTGGAAGGCATAATCTACATGTGTACGGAGTACCCCGTACGGAGTACATGTATACCATATAGTCATCTACAGGGTACCATTCATATGTATGTGCCATCTACTCCGTACTCCGTACATCTACTTACCATCTACTATCTATCATCTAGAACCCACCTGGGCAGTTCCCACACGATGGGACACATTATTATTCTCGAACAACCCCATGCAATAAGTACCGGTTTCTTTATAGTTTAACACTGAAGTTCACCTTCATAACATTCCTCATGTGTTGTAACGCCAGGTGTCCAGCCTCCACCGCCAGAAGACCCCCCTGCATTCCCGAAAGTCATTGAGGGGAAAAAGAGCCGAGCTGAGTAAGTTTCTCTTTTCAGCCTTGGAAGTCTGGAAAGTGTACAATGATCCATGCGACAAGAGGATTACTATTACCAGGTGAGAGACAGCCTCCCTGTATGAACTTCAAATCTTCAAAAATTCTCATATTCAGGAGGTTTACTGGGGCCAAATAGTTTTTCTTTTTTAGGAGACCCGCATCTACATACTCCGTACTGGATGTGGATTTTCTAGTCTAGTTTTACTAGAATTTCTCTTTATTATTCCTTTTTTCCAACCTTCAGCAAATGAAATATGTGCATTTTCTACTGACATGTTCATGTTCTACATTTCTTGGAATTTCCTCTAAACATATAGAGGTACTCCGTACGGAGTATACAAATGTACATATCGCCAAGGCAAAGACCCACAAACTATCGGATCGACAAGACTAGGCTTTGGATTGATCCTATCAGCTCTTGTAGGCATGGACTTGTCTATCTCTATTGTGGGTGACAGGTCGAGAATGGGGGGACTATGTGTAGAGCATTGCTTTTTTCTTTTTTCTTTTTCTTTTCTTTTCTTTTCTTTTCTTTTCTGTCATTTCCTTGGCTTGTACGGAGTACGGATTATTCCGTATCTCTCCTTGTGTTTCAATTTGGAGACTAAACTCATCATGTCGAGTATAACGGTATGATCACACCCCCAAACTCGTAGATAAATTCTTGCTAATATGATACAGGATAATGACACAAATATTGGATCGGCGCGAGGCGAGGCGTCGACCACCTCCGGTGATATCGTCAGCGGTCTCATCGGCGGAGGGGGCTCATCAGGCTCGGCGCTGATGATGACCCTATTGCCTGCACTCGCATATGCCATGTTTTGGATCTGCCTATTTCTGATATTTCGGCGAACTCAGCGCCGATGGTACGCTCCAAGATCCTACTTACCCGATCTACATGAGCATCAACGGAGTCCCGAGTTGCCTTCTGGCTGGGTTAACTGGCTCGGGACATTTTTGAAAATTGAAGATAATCATGTCCTCCGCCACTCATCGCTAGACGGTTATCTTTTCCTGCGATTTTTGCGCGTCCTTGCTGCCACATGCCTGACGGGCTGTCTGATTACATGGCCCATTCTGTTGCCTTTTCATGCCACTGGGGGCAACGGCAATACTGAGCTCGATATCCTGAGTTTCAGTAACGTCAAGAACCCCAACAGATACTATGCCAATGTTGTAGTAGCATGTGTTTACTTTAGTGAGTTATCGGTATCTTCACTCGCAAAACAGGCCACTCACAAGTATAGCGTTTGTGTTCTATGTTGTGGTCAGAGAAAGTCTGTATTACGCAAACCTCCGCCAGGCCTACCTTAACTCACCTGCCTACGCATCTCGAATGTCGTCCCGTACAGTCCTCTTCATGTCAGTCCCAGACGCTTACAAGAAAGAGAAGAAACTACGACAAATATTTGGAGAATCGATTCGCCGAATCTGGATTACCTCCGACTGCTCAAAATTGGAAAAGATAGTTAATGAACGAGATCGACTAGCCGAGAAGTTGGAAACCGCAGAGACCAAACTCATTCGGCGAGCAAATAAAATCCGCACCCAAGCAATCAAAACAGGCGAATTGAATATCGACATGTGCCTAGACTGCGAGTCAAGCAACCCAGTATGGTCTCACAAGGTCAAACGTCCCATGCATCGACTCAAATTTTTTGGCGAAAAGGTCGACTCTATCCATTGGTATCGGGCTGAGCTTGCAAAGAAAATTGAACAAGTATCAAATCTGCAAGCCAAGCACCAAAATGGTGAAACAAAACAGCTCGGTGCGATTTTTGTCGAATTCGACACCCAGGCCGATGCACAAGTCGCCCTCCAAACCCTGTCACATCATCAGCCATTTCATATGACGCCTCGCTTCATTGGAGTTTCACCTCGCGAGGTTGTATGGTCGGCACTAAATCTTAGTTGGTGGCAAAGAATTGTTAGGAGATTCGCAATCCAGGGATTCCTGGCGGCCATGGTCATCTTTTGGTCATTTCCTGCGGCCATAGTTGGTGCAATTTCGAACGTCACATACATCTGCACGCTGATTCCATTCCTTCACTTCATTCTTGACCTGCCCGATTTCATGAAAGGAGCGATTGAGGGTCTTCTGCCTGCCGCGGCACTAGCGGCGTTGATGTCACTAGTGCCGATAATATGTCGCAGTACGTTCCCCAAATCCGGATTCATCAAATCCCTGCTTACTTTTATATAGTATGCGCCAGACGGGCTGGAGTACCATCGATGGCGCGAGTTGAGCTGTTCACACAAAGCGCTCACTTTGTCTTTCAAGTTGTACAAGTGTTTTTGGTCACGACCTTGACGTCGGCTGCGTCGGCTGCTACAGCACAAATTGTGAAGGATCCTCTCTCGGTCAAAGATTTGCTGGCACAGAACCTACCTAAGGCGACTAATTTCTACATTTCTTACTTCATGCTGCAAGGACTGAGCATGAGTTCCATGGCCCTTGTTCAAATTGTCAGTGCCTTGGTGTTCAAATTTGTGACCACATTCTTTGCTTATTCCCCTCGTCGTCTGTTTCAAGGATGGGCTCAATTTACCAGTCTAGGTTGGGGCAACGTCTTCCCCATTTTCACCAACATGGCTGTAATTGGTAAGCGATGTCCTACTAAAGCCTCTAATAAGGATTAACTGAACTCGATTCCTTAGCTTTGACCTATTCATGCATCGCGCCGCTAATTCTAGGATTTGCCTTTATCGGACTTTATCTTGTATACCAAGCCTACAGATACAATTTCCTCTTTGTATATGATATTCAAGTCGACACAAAGGGATTAGTCTACCCACGAGCCCTGCAACATTTGCTAACAGGTCTCTACCTGGCGGAGATTTGCTTAATTGGTCTTTGCGCCATCAAGGGCGCCATCGGTCCAGTCATCATCATGGCGCTATTCCTGGTCGGCAATATCCTGGCACACATGTCGCTCAACGAAGCACTCGCCCCACTGAATACTTTCCTACCACGATCTCTTGACGCCGAAGAGGAAATGCTCCAAGAGAAAGAAGAAGCAGCAGCAGCGATCAACGAAGAGCGTCGCCCTCGCGCAATGGCCTTCTGGAGATGGTTCCACCCGAACGTATACAAAGATTACGCAGCATTGCGTCAAAAAGTTCGCCGCAATCTTGAGGAAATCTCGTACACACCAGAAGAGATGCGCACAGCATATTTCGAGCCATGTGTATCATCACCGCCACCGACTTTGTGGATCCCACGCGATAAGTGGGGTTTCAGTAACCATGAGGTTATAGAGACTGATTCAATAATCAACATCACAGATGAGGGTGCGCACTTGAATGAGAAGAACAAGATCGTGTGGGATAAATATGATCCTCATCTTCCTTTACGGGAGTTGAAGACCTTGTATTGATCTTGGCTATCGACCATGAAATTCAATGACTTCATGACAGACGATAGATTGGTTTTTTTTTTGTACATAAATGCTAATTTGATGGGCAACATGATATTAGACAACGAGGCTGCAAAGCAAAGCCGGATCAAGCGCACTAAAATGCTTATAATATTGTCAAATTATTTCCCCAGTATTGAGATTTAATTCCATCAGACAGTCAAAGTAAAGTTGACGGCATTCACAGCACCATTATCCCGCGGGTAAAACTCGAAGGTGAAGACGGCTGATTCGCCAGCAGAGATGACAGAGCTAATAGCAGATGAAGTGAGGATCACATGGGAGTCGTCCCAGTTAAACTGGCTGCTGTAGGTCTAGATTGATATATTAGTATTGAAAAATGGCACACAAAGAGGAATTGAGCTCAGCTTACAGTTCTCGCTTGCTGGATAGGACCCAAGTATGATGTCCAGTCATCGACCAGGTATTTTCCACTCTTGGTCAAAGCCTTTACTGCAGCAACAGTTTTTACTCCACCCCAGGTTATTGGAATCAACAGGTCAGAGCCAGAGACAGCAGACGCCACTGCCGATGTTGATGACAGAGTTGGAGTCTTCCATTGAACAATTTGGATAGTAGGGGACGAGTCTCCCCCGGAGAACTTCAAGGTTAGAGTGGCGACGATACCCGGTGCTGTCGTGGACGAAAGATACTTGGATAAGTACGAAGCTGTGAAGATTATGTTTGCACCCGAGACAGAATAGTCTGTACCCGAAGACAACTTCGCACCAGTAGAGTCACTGATTGACGAGAGCGTGTTGCCGTTGAAGAGGAATGGAAGAGTCTGTGCAGTCACAGCGGTTCCATACTGATGGAAAATATAAGCCGACGAGGACTGAGTGGTTGCATAATCATCCACAGTGCTATCAGGCAAACTGTTTGCAGTAGACTCGGTGGACTTTGTGATGATCGAGAGTGAGTTAGAGTCACGCCAGACTGCGGTGGTTCGGTCCAAGTGGTCCAATCCGTTATCCCACAGCACACAGGAGATGTCAAGACTGGCTGCAGTCTTGATCAAGAAGTCAACGTACTTCCATCGAGCAGCGGGCTCGGTGTTGGTGGGTGAAGCATCGTATTCACCCAGAACGATGGGTACATTGGGGAAAGCGTTACGCAGATTCTGGAAGTCAGCCTTTACAGTAGCCTTGTCACTGTCAGAGCCCCAAATAGTCTTTCCCCTGTTTGGAGTCAGTAAATAATGCCGATATGCTGGGCTGGGTCTATGGTCTTACCAAGCGTTGAAGATAAATTCGTCTAAAAGCCACTCAGTCAGTTCAACTCGATTATGTAGACTCATCTTTTGACTCACAAGGACTGTAGTAGTGGAACTGGATAGCATATGGATTCGAGAACCCAGAGGGTGCAACAAACCAGTCTGCAGTTTTTATGCTATCCTCGCCACCTCCGACTAGAGTAACAACTCTTTGCGAGTTGAAGCCACCAGCGTCATTGATAGCCTGGAGGAAGATCTTGTTCAGCTTGTTGAGCTCGGCACCATCAGCTGCTGTATTGCAAGGAGGCTCATTGATAGGCTCAAAGGCAACAAGATTGGATTTGCAGGCCAACTTGGTTCCAATCTGATACCAGAGTCTGTAGAATTTCTCTTCAATCATGGTAAGATTGGCTCCAGATTGGGAAATATCAGCCCAAACCCATGAATCTGTTTTGTGTTAATATATCGCAATCTTGAATACAAGGTCATATATATCATACCATGGTGCACATCGACGATAACGTAGAGTCCACGGGCCACAATCATATCAATCACGTCGGAGACTCGCTGCAACCATGCTGGGTCAACGGTCCAATCCGGTGAGCTTCCGGTAAAATGATAAGCCCAGGTGACTGGGAGTCGGACACTCTTGAATCCGGCAGCCTTCACGGTATCGAATGTCGATGCCACAGCTGGGAGATTATTCCAAGATCCCTCATCGGGAACAGCATCAAGGGTATTTCCCAGATTCCAACCGGGATGTAGATGAGACACAAAATCAGCAGCTGAAATTGCACTAAATTGTCCAGTGCAAACAGCCCCGCTCGCGGTTGTTGTCTGCGTCGTGGACTTGGAGGTCGTTGTCAGCGTGGTGGCCTTGGTAGTGGTCACTGCTGAAGTGGTTGTGGTACTGCTGGTTGTTGTTCCTGTTCCTGGAATACATTGAGCGTACCCTCGAAAAGATATTAGTATGAATTCAACTGAGCTCTAATGTACCTGCTGGTATTCACATACATTCATTCTGCGAAACACAGACAAAGCCTGATGTGCAAGTGGTGCTTCCTGTATACCCACTGCCTCCGCCTATATGTCACCTGTTAGTTCAAGGGCAAATACTAAGAGAAAAGGGGAAAAAAGATTCATACATTGTCCATAGCCTGCTACCTGGGCCTGGGCTATCCCGGCCAGGGCCAGGAGGGCACCAGAAACGATAATCTGCATGGTAAGATCTACTATCAGAAGGAATCTACGGATCTTAATGATTCGCAAAGCTGGATAGACAAAATTCACATGGGAATCTCAAGGATATTTATACTTGCTGGCCAATTTTGTTATAGTAGTTCTTTATAGTACCATGCCCACCCCCCTAGTCCCAGTCGTGAATCTTGTGGGCCGGTGGACCGGTGGATCGTTTCCCTCACGAATACTGCATTGGAGCATGCCGAAACGCCTCCTTTGACTTAAATAGCCGGTAGATGAGGTATTCTTATGCTCGGCATAGATTGCCATTGCATACTTTGTGCCTTTATCCCAGGGGAAGGCTAGCTGGGAAATAACTAGGAAAAGGCGCAATAACTCCTCCAATCAGAAGGCTTCTCCACAAATAGGCTGCAAGTCCTTTAATTTCCCCAATCTCAGAGCAAATTAGATGTAATCCATTCGAGACAAGCCCGAAAATAGCGTGGACATTTCACATGTCACCTGGTTTGTATGTGGTTATTAGCCCCGCTCCTGTAGAAGGCGCGGACAAGGTCCGTCTTGGTTTTAACAAACCCGTGGAGAATGAGGAACAAGAAACTATATGTTGTACGGAGTACATTGTACATGGTATGTAGTAGTCTCACATGGAGTCAGAGTCATACGGATTAATCAAAGACATGTGGTTTCTCTACAATACACATTATAAAAGGCATATCACGTCATATTCATTCCAGTATGGGCATTGGCGTAAAAAAAAAAGAAAAAGTATAGTCTCTCGTCCTCTCCGGTTGCATTGTTCACATCACTATGCAGTCTTTGTTCCGTTCTGTTTCCATTATGTTCTGACCCCCTGTACGCACAGATGGGCGTGGTCGGTGGGAATACTGTGGGGTTCGATTCCGTGAATTCCGGCTCCCAGGGTATTGATTTCCTGGAGTACCGCCGTATGACCTTCTGTCAGGGGGCGAATAGCGCGGCCCACTGGTAGCTTGTTCATAGGGAGGAGGGGGTGCGTTTGGGTCCTCAGCCCCGGGCACATGTTGTGGCTGAGGTCTGGGTTGAGAGCCAATCGCATTGGCAACACTTGAAGACCGAGTAGGTACGTTGCTCAAGCGGGGTGAAGGTGATGGTCGATTGGAAGAATTACTTGGGGCAGACGTACGACGATCGCGAGCCTGCTGATTCCTAGCATTTTCGCGTCGCTCTTCTTCTTGAAACTGAAGTGAGAGCGCATACGCATAGTCTGCATCACTCTGTTCTTGGGTTGGCTCAGGGGATTTTGATGTTTCGTTTGCGCCTGGAGAATGAGTGGGCTCATTCGATGTGCCGGGTGCGGGAGCAGGATCAGATGTGGCCGAGGGACCAGCGCCCACGGGGCGAAAGTCGCCAGAGTAATATTCTGTGTTGAACCCTGTCACGTCGACAAGAGATTCCCAAACTACCTCGGCATGGCCCGCATAACCAGCATCGGTAACCAAAGTGTAGAGTTGGTGGGATTGCGGGTGTTTATATAAAGTCGAGAAATGGTCATTGCGGAAAAGGATGGAGACAGATCCGGGCGTAAGTTTAGTTGACAGCTGTGTCAAGCCAAATGGGCTTAATTGTGTCGCATTCTCAATTTCCACAAATTGCTGGATTATTTGGATATCCGCCATGATATTCTCTTCCTCGGGTTCAAGTGTCTCGCCTCGCCCCACGCGGTCCTCAAGCTCTTGTCTGCGAAAAGGCAGCATTTGGATATCCTCATAATATTGCGCAGTGCGTGACATTGCAGCATGAACAGGACTAGACCAAGGGGCTAGCCAGGCATGAATCAATGGGATACCAAATGTGCTGTATAGTCGAAGGTCACTAGTTTCGAGAAAAGTGCCAAATCCTTCCATAGAATCCTAATACCAAGTAAGTATAGGTAGCCCTCGACGGATACGTTACATGTACTCACCATTGTCAAACGTGGGTTGACATTCATACCTGTATGCAGCATTGTCAGGAATTGAGTGAGGGCCTCGATGTCTGGAAACTCCTCCTCGGGACCCAGACATGTTGTCAGCTCTTCAAACATCGCCTCAATAAGCAGGCCCAGAGATATTTGCTCACGGGTTGACAGAGCTCTAACGATTGGTGGGCGAGTGTTGGGGTTCGCTCGCAGCACTAATGCATTGATAAGGGCTAGCAGCGGGCAGGGTCCGTTTTGATTTTGGACCAAAATCGGGGACTCCACTAGTCGACCACTTTGATCGGTCCATCGGATGTGTCGAATAGTATATGTTTCTGATCTCTGCTCCTTTTGTCGTGCAGCTTCTGAAACAGATAAAATGGGCTTTGTTTTGAGTTGCTGTGGTTGGTGCACCAGGGAAGATGCGAGATCTTGTTTTTTTGACAATGATCTTGCTCCATTCATGGCGGGTTCTGAGCACACTGAAGACGCAGCGTGAGAACCGGTCTCGACTCTCGAATTGTCAGTGGCGCTCGACGCACCCAAATCAATCAGTTCATGGGATGTGGCGGAGGTTCCACTACTAAGAGCAACAGATGGAGTGTTGATGCCAGCGTCCGATCCGAGCATCCCACCAGTGGATGAAGGTTTGTATTGTGCGCGGGAACGGCTTTCCCCGTCAGAGTGGTCAGACAGCTGCACAGCAACTGCCGGGGCATATGGATTAGACTGAACTCCTTGTAGGTATACTTCCTGGGGGGCCAAGAGTTTGATCGACTCTTGAGAACCCCACGGTGACTTATCAGTGATGTGATGGCTGCCTAACACAGCCCGTTGCTCGGAGTGAGAGGGATAAGGAGCCTCGGACCATGGGGATTCTTGGTGGGGCTCATCTAAAAGAGACAGCCGTGCAGTCATCGGAATATATCCGTCGGCTGTAAGTTGTTAACAAATATGATTTTGAGAGAATTTCCAGAAGGAAGTGATGTCATACTTTGGCTCAATGGGTCACTGTTTGAAGTCGTATGTGAATCGCGCCCCCACTCATTACGATCCAAAAGCTCTTGAGTATGTTCTGCTGGCCTGGGCTTCAGGAATGGGTTATTCGACTGTAGCTGAACCGGTAGCTCCCCAGTGGAAGCCTCAGTGGCATCGGGTATTGACCGCCACGCATTCTCGCCCGCTCCTGGTTGTTGACTTGCGATCAACGTGTGTGGACCCCAGTGAGCGTTGGTATTTGCAGGGTCCTGGTATGCTCCCTCATACTGACTATACTGACCGGAGTGGCCATCCTCTGGCCTTCCGTTATTGTCGGGCCATGGGTTTGGCGGTTGGCTGGTGGGAGACCCCATCGGTGAGCGCTGTGCCTCCTCAAGTGGCATCAGGTCAAATGCAGGTGAAGTGTTGAGATCGGGGGAGTAGATAGAGTCCTCAGAAGAAAATCGGTTCAAAGGAGTCGGGCGTTGGGAGGATGCTGAGTTGGGTGATTTGGGCGAACGTGGGTTCGATCGAGGATTTGGCTTGTTAATGTTCTCTAGACGCGGTGGGGGCTGTTTGCGCAGGCCCATGAAGACGTCCGTTGACCTTTGGGGGGGGGGGGGTGCAGGTTTGATTTGCGTATAGTTCTAGAGATGGAAAGGCTAATAAAGCACTTCAAAGTCAATCGAGAGTATGTAGGACACCCAAGAACAGTTTGTATTTTCGATCTGAGAGTGGATTCAGGATGTAGGCTCAAAATAATACCAACAAGCCACTAGGTATAGGGAAAACGCCTTGCGCTGGGGCTGCAGGGGCTGGAATGCCCTGCCCGTATACGTAATAATCGATGGACAATAGCTTATTCTTTAAGCTTGAGCTCTGAAATGCTATACTCTTCCCCGATGAAGAGAAAGCTATGTTGAACAAAGTACAGGGTAATGATAGAGGTGGATAATGATCCTAGACTGTCTCTCGCAAGGCACCCGGATTCTGCAGATCCACTCCGATTGTTGACCTGGGGGTAGCTCCAACGCCAGTATATGTATTACTGTATTATTCACATGCAAGAGTGGCCTCAAAGGCCATCACTAGCGGGATGCGGTTCTGGTACGGTATGGAGGCCGTATGCTGGAGATTATGACGAAATGGAACAGGTCCAGTAATTTAAGGCATCATATGCATCAGTTTAAGGCATCAATAGCCCGGACTATCTATGACCCGGATGTGAGTATCCTCGTCCTCTGATTGGCTATCATTCTATCAGCCATAAAAGTCGCCCAGAACAATTTTGTGGAAGAGCTCGAGGCACAGCTATTCCATCGCCATCATGCATTCCTATATTCGTCCGGGTCAGTTCGTGGCTATCCGGCTCCAGTCGGATCAGTTAAGGCTCATCCAGATCATTCCCGATACGTACGTACTCTCTACTCTATGCGGGGAAAGATCCCACAAGAACTAACATTGGACCAGAGTCGTCAATTTGGGTAGATTTGGTAGCTTTACCGCCAATCAGATTATTGGACGACCATTCTATTTCACCTTTGAGATCCTGGATGCGTGCGACAGCACTGGCCACCAGCTACGTGTCGTGTCAGCAACCGAGTTGCATGCGGAGACCCTCCTAGCGGACGGGGAGGGAGATGTGGAGGGTGACGACGTGGAAACAGGCGAAAATGGAGTACCAATGCGAACAAATCGTCAAATCAATGACGAAAACTCTTCCCAGAAATTGACATTGGAGGAAATTGAAGAATTGAAGAGAGAGGCCGGTGGCGCGGGAAAAGAGATTGTCGCAAAGCTATTGGAGTCGCACAGCGCAATAGACCAAAAGACCGCATTTTCTCTTGCCAAATACACACTGCGGAAACGCAAGAAGTATCTGAAGCGATTCACCATCCTCCCACTGGACGTCGGCCTTCTCGCGAATTATTTGCTAGAAGAACGGGATGCGCAAAAGACGATGGAGCTACGGGACGAACACATTGGTCTCATCGGGTGCTGGGGCAATGTACATCATAGTGGAGACATTGAGGTAGGTGAGGGAATGAAGCCGCATGGACGTTATGCCATTGTTGATGAGACCGGCGGACTTGTGGTCGCCGCGATGGCTGAGCGCATGGGAATTCTATATCCTCACGATGCCGACGAAGACCCAACAGAAGAGCAAGATGCTCCAGCCCACAATGCCGCAGAATTTCAACATACCAATGGTCCCTCAAAGCCCCGACGCATACGTCCACAGCCAATGTCTGCTACCACCAACACCATCACCGTTATCCACCCATACTCACAACCGAACTTGTCACTCTTGAAATTCTTTGGATATGACACCAATAACCCCGATGAATCCCACCCACTCCACACCCACCTCAAGTCAATCTCCTGGATGCAGTTGGCTGACCCCAATTCCGATCCGCTCTACGCCAACGAACCACCCATCATACCCGCAGAGGAATTGGCAGAGCTTAAACAAAGCAAGCGCACTGCGTATTACCACAAACGTAATCGATGGGGGCGAGTTAAAGCAGTTGTGGATGAGGCCCGGGCCGGGAACTTTGACGGTCTAATCGTGGCCACCTTGCTAGAGCCAGCAAGCGTCCTGAAGACAATGGTTCCGCTCCTTTCGGGGTCTGCCCCTGTTGTCGTGTATTCTCCGACAGTCGAGTCTCTGGTCGAATTGACAGACATGTACTCCACTGCTAGAAGGACAGCATTTATCAACAAAAAGCGAGAATTGGAGTCCCAGAGTTCCGAAGGAGAGGCGGCTGTCGATTTGACCTCACTTCATGAAGAATTCGTGGTTGATCCAACGATTCTCCTTCCACCTACCTTGCAAACGTCGCGTGTGCGCCCTTGGCAAGTTCTGCCTGGTCGAACTCACCCTCTCATGACTGGACGTGGTGGCGCAGAGGGATATCTCTTCCATGGCATTCGCGTGTTTCCCACCGCACAGAATATCCAGGCTGCTGGCAACGTTCGCAAGCGACGAAAGGTGGAAACGACATCTACCCCGATCAGTGATCAAGCCGTGGAGATGATATCCTAGGTTTCATGAATGAACGCCCTAAACGCCCTCAAAATAGATCGAATAGCATTCCAATGTACAAGTACCACAACTTACTTCTCATTTTTCGTGTGATCCAACTTATTCTAGCTGCTACCCCTTATTTGGCCAGGCCGTCGAGGTAGGGCTAGTCTGGTGACGGGTTTGACTCCCAGATATGCAAGGATCCACATCCAAGCCTGTCTGATCGCTACGCAAAGCGTTCGGTGTGGCTTTGAACCAAGTATCAAATTCATTCATACGCTGAATTTCATCAAACAATATACAGCAACGCTCGTCATCTAGAGACTCTTTCCCATGAACTTTCTCTTCGTGAAACTCAACCAGAACTAGGATTGATCAGTTATTGGAATAAACCAGGAGCTTGTTGTTTGCTGCGGCTTACCTTCGATGGCCCGACTCCGCCGGTGTATAATCTAGCGTGTAGGCGGATGGCGATCTCCTGTCGCACCTGCGAGATGAATCTAGAATCGCAAGAACCGGTTAGCTAGAATTGCTCGTCAATTTATAGCGGCGAGCATCTCACTGGCGAAGAGTCTCGGCATCCTGGCGGTCACGCGGGGGCTCAAAGGCCTGGTTAAGCGGGAACGACACATCACCGGGAATAGCAAAGTTGTCGAGGGCGGCGTTAGTCAAGGCCTAGAAATGCTATTATCAGTGGTAGTTCTACTATATCAGGCCTTTGATATATCATCTCAAAACTTACTTTTTCCGCTTCACGGGCATTCATAGTTGGCTTGACCTTTCCGAGGCAGTCGCTAATAAACAGAGTTCCATAAATGAGCATGCGGTCCGCGGGGCCGTTGATCTCAAAGTTGCGGAACAAGACATTGGCTCGGAACAGTGATAGGATTTCATCGACGCAATCATATGATTCACTTTCTGGCGACACATCGATGTCGTCGGTGTTGGGAAGCGGGGGCAATGTGTATGCGGGGCCGCGAGTACGAGTTCGGAGAGGAAGAATAGGGAAGTTTCCTAGTTAGGAGATACCCGATGGTTAATTTGGTCCTTTAAATGTCGATTCATAGCCCAGGAACTCCTGCGCTAGACTAGGAGTCCTCCTACCTATCACGGGGACATCGCGGTCCTCCAGGAAGATGGAGTGGTATGCCTGCATTGGTCAATAAGGGGCTTTGAACAGCTAGGGTATCAAAACATACAGGCATTTTGAGTACGTCAGAGAATTAAATTGTAGGAAGTTTCAATCAATGAGACTGGGGGGACAAGTTGACCCGTTGGAGGTTAGGCAGAGGGATGTCATCTGTGGAGTCCCCAAGCTCCATGATTTTCCGCCCCGAGCCTCTTTACGCGCTCAACGCGTCAAACCATTTGGGCATTTTTTTCACGATTCAACTACTCTTCTTGACTATTCATATTGATTTATTAGTCTCTCTACTCTCAAGAGACGCCCGCCATGTCGGACTATGAGGATGAAATGGACGTGGATGCGCCCAAAGACGTGCAATTCAGCTCCGAAAACGCCAGTGGAAAAAAGAGAACTGTCGCTGATCTGCCAGTTGAAGCTCAAGATAATTTGCCTTGGTGAGTTTGAGAATTGTACAGATTGTGTTCCATTACTAACACACTTGTTAGGGTCGAGAAGTACCGACCGAGCAGCCTGGATGATGTCTCTGGCCATCAAGACATTCTCGCTACTATCAACCGATTCGTGGATACAAATGTAACAAATGCCTATAATGATAGATACAAGATAGCCTCTGATTAACATTACCATACAGCGACTGCCCCATCTCCTCCTCTACGGACCTCCAGGAACCGGAAAGACATCCACCATCTTGGCCCTGGCGCGGCGGATCTACGGCACCAAAAACATGCGACAGATGGTATTGGAGCTGAATGCAAGTGATGATCGCGGTATTGATGTTGTTCGAGAACAAATCAAGACCTTTGCAAGTTCGTGGCATAGGACTTTCGGGTTGAACTACAAGCTTACTGTGAACACAAAACAGGCACCAAACAGATCTTCAACATGGCCCCCCAAGCCACCACAGGATCCTCCCTGGCAGGTTACAAGCTTATCATCCTAGACGAAGCCGATGCGATGACTTCGACGGCACAAATGGCCCTCCGCCGTATCATGGAGCGCTACACGGCTAATACCCGATTCTGCGTCATTGCCAACTACACACATAAGCTATCCCCGGCACTCCTGTCCCGGTGTACCAGATTTCGGTTCAGTCCATTGAAGGAAGTAGATATTCGGACCTTGGTCGACAAAGTGATTGAGAAGGAGGGTGTGAGGATACAGCCTGAAGCGGTCGATAGTCTAGTGACCCTGAGCAAAGGTGATATGCGACGAGCCCTAAACGTGCTTCAGGCATGCTTTGCCAGCAGTAAGTTCATTTCCTTTACCTTTCTTCTCGCTCATCTCCAGCCCAACTGACCCATGTTATGTTTTAGGTATCCCGCTGCCGATGAGAGATGCTCCTAAGGCCCCTCGTCCAGAGCCAGAGACTATCACCAATGCGACGATTTACGACTGCATTGCCGCCCCGCATCCGTCCGATATTCAAGAAATCATGACCACTATCCTCTCCACCAGCGATGTCACTTCCTGTCTGAACACCGTGCAAACCCTCAAGTCCAGTAAGGGTCTAGCTTTGGCCGACATCCTCTCCGCACTAGCAAACCAACTCCAACAGCTGGAAGTCCCCGCTCAAACACGTATCACATGGCTCGAGGGACTGGCCGAGATTGAATGGCGACTTGCAGGGGGCGGTTCGGAAGCTATTCAAACTGGAGGGCTCGTCGGCGTTGTAAGGAATGGATGTGAGTTAATGGATGATAAGGGTGTCACAGTGGCATAAGGCCAAGTGATATGTTTCAAACAATCTCTGGTTTTTTTCTTCATGTCATATAAATGTAGCAATCTGGGTAGGCTTTTGGGAGTCTGGAGGCGAAAAGGAGCAAGAATTTGTCTTAAATTTGTTTTTTGAATAAAACCAAGCATTGAGTAATATAGTAACTCGTTTGTTATTTGTTATACGTCATTTTCATCTTCAACCTTCAATCTTCAATCTTCAATCTAGACTTTTCTCCGCTATTCTCTGCTATCGCAGCTCCGCGGTCGACCGCGGAGATGTTTTCAATTAGCTAATTTAACTTGACCAAATGAGTTGATGAAATTCTTCCACTAAACTACTCTCAGACTACTTGCAGACTCATACACTTATCTGTTTCCCCGCTCTAAACTTACGAGGGTTTGAAGAGCCTAAGACCCTGAGGGGGAAGAGTCAAGGGGTCTTGCCCGCAACCTGCATATGCAACTTTCACACTTGTGGACTAGATAAGAAGGCTTCCCCCCCCCCCCCCCCCGGGATTTTACTACTTTGCTAATTTTCGATCTATCCGTTAGCTTTCTTATTTCACTATGTGGTATTCTATCCAGTCCGGCCTTTTGCTGGCTGCTTCTCTATCACCTGTTGTTGATGCTGAGCGTGTGCTCGGTGCGTATATTTTCGCCCGCCATGGAGACCGCACACCGAAGATCTTCGGTAGCACTCAACTGACCGACTTGGGCTATCGGGAGGTTTTTGACTCAGGGTCTTTTTACAACCAGCGATATATCTCGTCGGAATCTTCCAAGCAGATCGAGGGCATTAGTGCCGATGTTGTCAACCCAAAGCAGATCAGTGCCTCTGCTCCCTCCGATACCGTACTGCAAAACTCCGCCACTGGTTTCCTACAAGGTGTATACCCTCCCGTGGGGAAAGTGGCTTCCCAGACCCTGGGCAATGGAAGTGTAGTTGAGGCACCGTTGAACGGCTATCAGCTCATTCAGCTGACGCCTGCCACTACAAGCAAGAACGCTGAGGATTCTACCTGGTTGCAAGGCTCCAGTGGATGCCAGAAGGCAACTGTGAGCAGCAACAACTATTTTTTCTCTGAAATGTACACCTCGCTACTATCCTCAACGAAGGAGTTCTACCAATCACTTTCCCCTATGCTAGACGGCGCGTTTGCCTCGTCTGATATGACCTTCAAGAACGCCTATACCATCTTCGACTACTTGAATGTCGGCAAAATCCATAACTCTACCAGTCAATTCCCTCATAAGTCAGACCTGACTGACGAGGTATATCATCAGCTGATTGCTCTAGCTGGAAGCCATGAATTTAACCTGGCTTACAACTCCTCCGAGAAAGTGCGTGCCATCGACGGTGCCGTCCTGGCGGGCGAAATCTTGGCTGGACTCAACGAGACCATTGCTACCAAGGGCAAGTCCAAGCTAAATATCGGATTCGGCTCTTACGGCACCATCTTCGCTCTCTTCGGTCTTTTGCAGATGCCTGCTGCATCCGTCGACTTCACCGGAATCCCAGACTACGCCTCGTCAATGGTATTCGAACTAGTGACGAACGCCAGTGGCACGGACTTCCCAATTGACAAGTCCGATATTAGCGTACGCTTCCTGTTCCACAACGGTACCATCACTGGCTCATCTGAGCCTACTGCATACCGACTGTACGGCCAGTCAAACGAGCTTCTCTCCTGGGAAGAATTTTCCTCGAAGACCAGGGAGATCGCGATCACTTCCGATGACGAGTGGTGTACCATGTGCGGCAACACAGACGGCAAGTGCGCTAGTTCAGACAGCACTAGCGGCGACTCCGCCTCTGCTAGCACCTCTAGCACTAGTGGCTCGGGGATGTCACTCGCTGTGGCGGGTGTTATTGGTGCAATGGTTACCCTCGCGGTCATCCTTGGCTTGCAGGCCACCTTCTTCCTCCTTGGTGGATTCCGCATTGCAAAGCGGAACAAGGCTAGCCCTGAGATAATGAGCTCGCCTGCCACTGTGGAGGCGGATAAAAAGGTTTAGATTGTTGGTTCCTCTGAATGGATCTGACAAGTGGGTAAATTTTGAGTCTGTGACTTGCCTGATAGGATTCGCAATGCTTGATGAATCTATGAAAATGCAATAATACCTTGAAATTGATTTTGGAACTATACAATCCAACATGATATGTTGCATGTAACTATATCTGAATGTCCCGTACAACCTGTCGGATCCAATTCGTTTCGATTTGCTTCGATTTGCAGGTCAATTATTTGCTCATCCATTCAACATAATAATTCTCAATAACATCTCTTCGTCCAAACCAAAAAACCTCCAGATCAAAACGAGTGACCATCCCGCAGATTCACCGCCTTGAGTCGAGTCCACCACTCGAAATTTCCAAACTCTCTCCCCACCTCTTCTCAACCCAGAATGCCTCGCCAACAAATCGATTTAGAACCCTACCGGGATGAGATCATTGCTCTCTACTACCATGGCATCAGTAGCGACTCTATTAGCCGCACCCTCGAAAGTTATCATAATATCCAAGTCAAGGAGCGAACCATCCAGTCCCGCCTTCGCAAGTGGGGCATTCGCAAGCGACACCGGACGACGACAGGCGACAAGGTTTTGCATGGGCGCATTAAGATGCTTTTCATACAGCATAGGCTGACCGATAAGGCTATGCTCAACACGTTACAGCAAGAAGGTTATGGTATCTCTGAACGCACTTTGCGTCGTCTGCGGTTTAAGTTAGGACTCCATGCCAGGGCTTCGGAACAGGAACAGCACCAAACAGATGCAGATGCAGATGCGGATGCGGATGCGGATGCAGATGATTGTTTCACGGCCTCGTTCAGAGGGACAACCGGTGTGAATCCGGCCTGCTGGAACTGAAGCTCGCCCAGTGTTGATCTTCTGCTGGGCTCCACCAAGCAGCACTCCGTGTTCGACACATCATGACGACGATCAGTAATCTTACCCTACGCGACAACACTGGACTACTCCCAATGCGACTCGCCTGCAGCCCGGACTACTCCCAATGCGATTCACTTGCGGCTGTTCATGTCTCGATCTTTACCAACACCCCGCCGTGATGATCCCAAGACTACATTCTCTTGGATCGTGAATATAAGGTTGGCCTCTGTCTCTCAATCGTGGACTCAAGTCTCGATTTTGCAACCGACACAATGCCAATATCTCCTCGCAAAACAAGATCTCTCGGTGATGATTCGGTGAGCCGGGCGAATTGATATTCCTCAAATCATTCAGCCACCTACCAGCATCCACTACCACCAAAAATCAGGCCCGATGAAGATGCTCAGCATGCGCTCGAAATATCCACCAAAAAGACTTTTAGCTCCCACTGCTATTGATTGTTTCCCAAATGCGACAAAATTCCATGCCCAACGCACAACCTCCCATCTCATATTACCTGGCTAGTCACAAGTCCTTGATCTCCAAGATTGCGAGAGAAATGCGAAATGTGTCACGTAGTGTTAATTTGAAAGGAAATGATGTTCATTCCTTTTTCAATTAATCTTATTTTCCTAAATATTCTTGGACATCAGGTAAACAAGGGCTAGATCGACGTCACGTGCCATGACGTTTCTCTCGCCGAGCTTTTGATCGAAGAAACCCACCCATTGAATCGCAACACTCAAGAGGGATGTCCATATTCCCGAATATACTCCAAATCTGCGCCCTATCTCCTTGTCGTGCGCTGTAAGCTGGTAAATTGTCTATCATGTCCTCCCAATACACCAGCGAGCCCAATCCCACTGCGTCTGCCACCCTCAACACAACGGTTGGCCCTATCCAGATCGCGCTTTTCGCAAACCAGACCCCTCTCACCTGTAAGAACTTCCTCCAGCACTGCAAGGACAACTACTATGCTGGCACAATCTTCCATCGGGTAGCCCCAGATTTTGTGATCCAGGGCGGTGATCCCACTGGCACTGGCTCCGGCGGAACGTCTATCTATGAATACCCGGAATTCGAATTTGACCCTGAAGCTCGGGACCCGGAAGAGCGGGTGGTTCTACGCGATGAATTGCACAGTCGGTTACGTTTCAATCGACGTGGCTTGCTAGGAATGGCCAAGAGCGAGGACGGGACATACGGCAGTCAATTTTTCATCACGCTAGCGAACACGGAGCGTGAAATGAATGGACAATGTACAATTTTCGGGAGATTGGAAGGGGACAGCATCTACAATGTGTTGAAGATTGCAGACGCGGAGCGCATTGCGGGCACCGAGCGTCCTGTTTATCCAGTCAAAGTGACATCCTGCGAGGTTGGAGAACTGGGGCCATTGGAGGGCAAGTTAAAGGACAGACAGTCAGTCTCAACTGCCGGGAAGGCAGAAAAAGGCGCACCCAAAAAGAAGAAGAAGGCGACTAAAGGCGGGAAGACGCTTCTGAGCTTTGGAGACGACGGAGACGAAGAAATGCCCATGCGCCCAGCGAAGCCGAAATTTAACACCAATTTGGTGGTTGATGCGCCAGATGCAAAGCCCGAAATATCAAAAGCAAAACCCCGAGCAGAAGCCCTGTCGCAGCCGCGCAAACGGCCCCGGTCACCGTCCCGAGATCGATCACCATCTACAGAGCGTAAAAAGCGCCCAAAGACACCAGAGCCAGAAGCACAACTCCCCCTGCCTGACCCTGAGTCGCCTGCTCGATCCCCGACCCCGGATGCCCCCCCTCAAAGGAGTCCAAGCTGTCACGGACAAACGCTCAGATTGCCGCTCTAATGGCATCCATGCGCCGTGACGTCGACGTCGGTCCTAAGGAAACAGGCCGAAAAAAATCCGCCCTCGAAGCCATGATCCCCGAGACTTCAATCCGAGGACGGAAACGGCCACCTCCAGGGACTGCAAATGGCTCCAGTCGCAATGGGACAGGGCCTAGTAGTGCCGCTGAGCGAGAAGCACTGCAGCTCTTCAACGCCTTCAAAGCCAAGCTCGAAAGCAATAAACCCGAACCAACTACGACAGCATCACATAGCAAAAGTCACACCGACAAAGAGACCGACAATCAAAATGAAGAAGAAGAAGACAAAGAGACCCAACTCTGCGATCTGCACTTCATTGCAAACTGCCAGTCCTGCAAAGCATGGGACGACCCGGAAGCAGAGGCGGACGACCCCGAACAACAAGAGGGAGGTTGGCTCTCCCACGAACTCCGATTTGGGAAGGATACCCTAGGTAAAGACTTGAACTGGAAGCGCGAGCATGGAGGCGAGGCAGACTCACTTATGGTGATTGACCCTCGTGAGCGAGAGAAGGAGGTGATTGGGAAAAAGCGAGGATTCCAGCGCGATAGAGAGCGTGAGCGTAAACGGGAGCGAGTGGGTGATTTGGAATGGGATAAGGGGCGCTAAATGTTATTATTTTTTTAATGTCAATCATTTACATCTTCATCTATCAATATTCTAACTTTGTATCCAGAGTATATTATGCTACTCGTTGAATACTATTAGCCAGTCGCTCCAGGGTTGTCCTGTAGGTAAGCGCTAGCATCTTAAAAGTTGCAGTTTCAAGACACGCACATATATAGAGACTCTTGGGAGTGACGATTATATATTCGCCTCGCTCTCTCTCGTGCCAGTCTCACTGTATCCTGGAAGATTCTACCAATAATGGCCGAAAGCAACACACCAACCATAATGACTGAGTCTTCGGCCCTGGAAGCTTCCTACCCAAGAAACCCAGAAATATATAAAATCTCATCTCTACCACCTGTCTTCGATCTCATCGTCTAACACATACTCCCTTTCCTTCGCAAAGATGTGTCCGTCGTGACTGAACGGAAGAAGTATCTCAATGCGAAGGATTTCTAAGACGGCGAGTTTCCTAAACATAGATGTAAAACGCAAGTCTAATAACACTAAGTAAACGCTATTTACAGAGTAATAAAAGGCCTTATGGCAATGGATTATGAAATAGGACAGAACATCTGGCTCACTGCATTCGCGCAAATCCGACTGATTACTGGGGGTGGCTTTCTTGCCGTGTCGTATCTCAAGAACCGTGACAGCACAGGTGATGTCGATTACTTAATTGACCCAGAATTTGCCGCAGACAAGAATCTTCAGAATGCCCTTCATAGCACTATGCGCACCGTGGCACGTCAACTACAGTATGACGATGAACTGGATCAACGAAGCTATGGCTATCTTTGTGCCCCAAAAGCTCGACAAACCCTGTTTAAACTAGCTAAGAAACAGAACATCGCGTTATCGTTATTTAAAGGAGAAAGCTTTAAGATCCTAGCCGCTCCGATCGAATGGGCCCTGGAGCGGAAGCTGATGAGGATCTACGCTGCAGATCGCGATCGGGAGGCGGAAATGGATATATCAGATGCAATTGCTTTTTTTGAAGTACCCGAGGGAGCATAATAACATCTCTACGGAGTAGATTTGGAGATATTTCGTAGGATGAATATGAACGGGCTCGATGTAATTCCGGACCAGAGAACAATGCAACAGATAGCCGATGCATACCGTCGCGAGCACAACGAGGTAGAGTTATACAGAGGCTTGCTGGTTTAAGTGGAATTGGTCAGTGAACTTGAAGTGATGACCAGAGAAGCAAATCGCCCTAGATAGTGTAGAACAAGCCTGTATTGGTGATATTGTGCCGGGTAAAGTTGCGGCCTTCACCATTCTTCTCGAGTACCAGATTGCCCTCATCATCCAACATCTCTATTGGGACTGACAGCCTCAACAGACTTTTATCGATAGGTCGACATTCTTTGTCCTGTCAGGCAGTTTTTCCGGGGTGAAGGGGGTAAGGGATCTTCATCCTCCTCCCGAAATACGTGCTTTCGGTTTCTGCGCAGACCCAAACTCAATCTCCAGATGACTGCCTCATGTAATTCCTCCATAATCGGAGCGATCATAGCATAACGCAGAGGGTCTTCATCTTTGGGATCTGGTATATCCCCCAAATTCCAGTCTGATCGAAAGAAAAAGCACTCCATTTCGTACCCCATCAACTCATAACGATCGGCAAGGTGGAGCTCATAGAGCCGGTAGATAGACCGAAGCAGCGTGTTTCGTATTCGCCAGATCAGAATGCAGCGAAGATTATGTACAGCACCGAAATGAGATCGAATTATACCCGTTTTATTTTTTACATCCTCAATAAGTGCGCGGAGAGAGACCGGACTAGGGAATGAAGAGCCGCAATAATTCGAGCACGGGATACCTATACTGGTGCCTGAGTCGGATTATGCTACTGCGTATATGCAAATGTGATTCCTAGTAGCGAAGCCATCTAAAAACGGGCCCAGAGAGAGATCTTTGCCGGGGACGACGTAGAGGCATTTTCACCAAGTCAGTGCAGAGTGGGAGAGTTGGAGAACTTTGGAGAACTTGGGAGGGGCGGTCACCTTGGGTACCTTAGGCCTACGTTTTATGACTGCGCCTCCGATCTACAAAAACCTTCTGTCGAACTGGGGCCTAGTTCATTTAGCTAAGGCATTGGAATGATAGAGAGGAAGCGAGATCAATACTGCTATATTCCGGACGTTTTAGGATTTTCTATATCTCAGCTAGCTGTCTCCGTGGCTAGGTCCCCAAAGGTATCTACTCCATACAGCTAGGGGCCTTTGACTACTATTGAAACTGACAATGCTTTCTTACGGATCCCTTCCCTTGAGTAGCCTAGACTTGGGGTAGCTCGGTGTGAAAGTTGCAAATATTCTGGCTGTGGCACACTGTTGCTCAGATCCTCTATAGTTCAACGTAGAAACCCGCTTTATACTAGACATTTCAGGTACCGTGATCTCAAACAGCAGATCGACAACCCATAGGGTTTACCAAAACAGCTATAAAGTCAATCAAAGCTAGTTCTGTCTATAAACATGCACGCACCCAATCTTCACAAAGCCCTCGCCAAAACAGCCCGATGTGGACATTCCAGCTTGGCGTCTTAGATTTTGGTGCAAAAAGGAGTCGATCCAAACTTAACGAAATCTTGACAAAAGCACATCTCTTCACTTCGCGACGAGGGTAGAACATATCGATGTGGTCAAAGCGCTCCTCTTTGCTAACCAAATCACTATAAAAGTGACCCCCCGAAAGCTTGTCGCCTAATCCACTTGCAGCATAGAAAGGACATGCTGCCAGGGCAAGCTGTTGTTAGACATAGCCGGAATAGAGCCAGACTAGCCCGATGGGTACGGTTGCACACATAAATTTCGCTCATTCCAAGTCACTCAAGGCAATATTGTATTCTTTCCGGCGCTCAGACTTCAATGTTCAGGACTCGGCTGTCAGTCCCAGGTGCTACTACATAAGAAGCCACGCTGATAGTGGCGTCTAGCTTTGACGTGTCAGATATCGCCAACTTACTTTTGAGTATGCCTGGGATAAAACTCAACGAGTATCATCCTTTGAAAAGAGCAGAGATTGGCATGCATTTTGCAGCTGCAATTAGGTCCGAACAGATCGTCGAATGTTTACTTGAGCACAGGGCGCATCCGGATCCAAGAAACCTGCAAAGGAAACCGCCCTCCCCCTCCCTTTTCCAAGCCGCTAGGAAATATTAAGATACTACCGTAGGTAGGTTCTGACAACTAGTGTGTATGGCCACACTGAGATGGTGCACAGTTTACTCGAAAGTGATCGGATTGATTTGAGATCTCTCGAATCATTATTTCCTAATAATCGGTATCAGTCTGGGCTCAAGTTACGGTTTGCATCCTAAACTGACCATCCCCCCTCCCTGATTCTTCCTGATAGGATCCGGCAAATTTGATTCTTAACCTTGGAAATTCTCCAAATGTTTTTGAGTATGTCGGGCCGTACCTAGATCTCGGATCTCGGGTGATCTACGGGTAACCATAGGTAGGCTTCGGTATCCACTCTTATCCCACTTCAAATATGTATCGAGGTTCCGGATTTGGTTGCTGAGAGCGGATATCCTTTCTGCAGTGCAATAACAAGGAAGTGCGGTCACTGTATTATATCCTCAAAAATCAGTAGATTTGAAAATAGTTCAAAATAATGGCTACATATTAAATCTGTGGTCAAGAAATAAGGTAAAGCAAAGGTATCTCATTAAACTTCCAATAATTGGACCATTCATGGATCATCATAGGTTTTTACAGCCCGGTCAAATTTCCCCAGGCACGTGGATAACCCCCATATCAACAGGAAAACGCCTAATTGTACGCCGAGAAGGTTTGTTTCCATCCAAGCTCTAGTCCGTGCTTGTGAATTTGTTCCATCTGGTATTTCTTGCGCCATCGAGAGAATCACGCCTTTCTGCGCCGTTTCGTCGCACTGCCACCATCATCCATAGCTTCGCCTGGATGCTCTGTGGTTGCGGGACTGGTAGCTTCACTATCCGTCAGCTGCTCAATCACACGCCCAGATTCATCGTAGCCGACACCGTCGAAGCCATAGTTGTAGGTGGGATCAACCTGCCCATGATGAGAGGTTTCAAAGAGGTCAGGTTCGGCAGGGATGTGATCGAAATCGAACAGGTCGTTGGTGTCTCCGGCATCGCCTTGCGTAGTCCCCACAGGATCGTGTGTATTCTGGCCTGTCCCTAAGTGACTCATTGGATTCTCGGCCTGTTTCTTCATATCGGAGCCTGCATCTCCAATGTCGGTGAAGTAGTCGTTGTTGAAAATTTGGTCGAGATCAAGTGGTGGGGGAGGTACATTGCCATCAGTCTCGATACCGGGGATAGTACCATTTGGACTCAGCGGCTGGAGAAGACTAGTCAAGTTCTGGACGGAACGATCCTGCTCAGCTTGCATCTTGACTAGGTTGTCGATCTCTTGTCGTGTGCTGGCGAGCCTACCCGAGTAGTTGTGCGGCATGGGTGGTGGAGTCGGCGAGATGAGGGCGTTGTTCGGTGATACACCAGTGTTGGGTTCTGCTGAATTTGTCTCGTTGGCCATGAGTCGAAGCATATCGGCGCGTTGGTTTGCCGTGAGGGGAACATTACCACCATGGTTTTCGAGGGAGGAGAGCACATTGGGGAACTCGGAGAAGTTTGTTGAGAGTCCGTTGCGTGCATTGGAGTTTTGGATTACAGACATAATGTCCCGTTGAGGGGAATTCTCATCTGTCGGCTGTCCCGAAGAAACGTTTGGAGCACTTGGTCGGGGGCTGTGGTCAAAGACCTCCTCCACATGGCCATGCTGGTTGGCGCTAGGTTGCCGAGCATGACCACGAGACCGCGTATCATAAGAGCCACTAGCTGATGGTGAAATTGTGGAGGCCCGGGTATATGTATCCGCTGTAGGTGGAGCCTTCAGAAGCAGCGGCTGCTTCTTCATTGCTCTCTGGGAATTCGGGCTAGTCATTGATCCCAGAGCATTGGTAAGGTAGTCATCATCAACATCTACAATGTTTCCTTGGTCTTGCGAAATCGCCCCCGCAAAAGAATTTGCGAGGTTTTGTGGCCCACCCTCTCCCTGCAAGCTGCGGTTGTATACAGTTGCAAGGAATGTTAGAATGGCATTGATGGAGTTCTCATGGCGAGTGTGTTGCTCTTGGAAGTTGGCTGCCTGGGCATAGAGTTGTTCGTGTTCTTTCCGCAGCCTGGTGATTGTCGTCGAAATGATTGATTGCTGCTGGCGAATCGCCTGAAGTTCGCGATATACCCCAGAAAGTTGATCATTGGGTACAGAGCTATCGGTGACTAATGACAATTGCTGTGGTCGGGGAGCACGGTTATCGCGAGGAGCTGGTGCACGCTCTTCGACATAATCGTCCATCTCGTTATCATCAATATCCTCTGTCTTCACGCGTGTGCCGCCTTTGCTAGGTTTGCTCGTATGACCGCCGCCTCCTGCGTTCTTTGGTTTCTGAATGAGCCATAGCAAATCTGGGTGGCCTCGTTTGAAATAAGGGTTGGCGTATTCACTGGGGCTCTTGTTTTTCCGTTCGCTGGCACGCATTGAATTATCAGAAAGTCCGACCTTCTTGTGAAAGCCATACATGTTCAGCTGCCGGACGAATGAGGCGTAGTTGTTGTGTTTGAAGAGTTCGGGAATCAATGTTCTTGCAAACTCATCTTCATCTAGAACGACGAAGGAATTGCCATCGTCGGACCATCGAATCAATTCCGTATTCTTATCTTCGTCCAAGAAGCTGCGGTCCTCAATTAGCACAGCAGTTGATCAGAAAGCGATAAATATATCATACCTGCTCAATTTCTGTACAAATGGCGGGATTTGCTTTCGTTTTGCTTGTGAGTCTCTCTTTGCAGCCAAGGCTCGCTGGTAGAGCTCGTCTAGAGACTCCCCCCATGCGCCGCTCTCCCCATTTCCATTGCTGCCGCTGTTTTCCACATATGAAGCAGGAGGTTGCTCGTAGCCACGGTTTCGGCTGACCACCTGGCTCGCCTGTCGCCGGGCGAGTTGGTTAGATGCTGTCGCAGCCGGTGCAGATACATCTTGGGGTGGCGCAAAGCCTGCGGGGTTGTATGAGGGATCGGAGAAGGCGGAGGTGTTGATGGCATTAGCGGGCGGGTTTTGGCCCCATTGTAAGAATTGATCGTTCGAAAGCTGAGAGCCAGGGTTCGCGGTGGCGGTCGGGAAGTTGGGTACAGGGTTCACCTGAGGATGAACAGGCGGTACTGTCCCAGGCGCAGGTCTCTTGCGGGTCATTCCTTGAGAACTCATCATGAATATGCTGGCGCAAAGGCGTTGAATCTTATCGTGGTGGAATTTGATATTGAATTGTATCTCGATTTTCTTTGATCTCTGAAAAGGAGACTGAGTTCACCGCAGGGAATTTGCCTATGAGACAAAGGAACCGGATGCAAACTCAGTATGTAGGAAGTTGTTCATCCGAGTCGCTGTCTAATTTTGAGTCAAAAACCACAGAACCGAGAAAAAAAAAAGTGGATGCCACTGATCACGTCGCGAAATCTGTCGTATCGATACCTAAGTAGACACAAGACCACAGGAATCAACAACAGGTGGCAGATCAAGGACCAGCAGTGATCAATACTAGGCAGATGACGCTCAATGGGCGCGTGAATTGTCCAACATCCAGAATAAGGCGGGAGGCTTCAGCAGAAAGTGCTTAGGCGGTGAATTGGTTCCCAAGGTTGATATGCCAAGTATTATATCTGCAACGTTGGAAGACCTACAGAGTAGAGATAATCAAATATAGTACTATAGCCAGCTGTCAATAAGATGAATCAAGTGAGCCCCCCCGATGCCACTCGGCGGCGAGGCCAAGTTGCCCCGGTCCCCGGGGAGGCGTTTACTGAGTCAGCAAGGTGGGTGGTGACGAGTACAAGTACCTCATGTTGCCATGTGATCACGCGTGCTTATCAGGTATCGGTACGTACAGATGAACTGGCCTCTCTATGACATAGAACTGTAAAATTCTAGGTCAACCATTGTCTGTTACAGCTGTGATCCTAGAATTCGCGGCAATATCAATATATCATTTAATGATAATATCTTCTCAATTACTTTGAATTTTTGCAATAACAACTACTTTAAAGCAGGAGCAGTACGCGACTGTCCCTGGTTGAAAAATTAACACGGCTCGCTCAACTTTTCAAGTGAAACCAGATTCCCCTATCAAACCCCGGAAATCCCCCAGAATCTGTTGCCATAACTCAGGTTCCTTCTGCGTGAAATCCTCGACCTGCTTAGGAGCAGACAAGTCCTCCTTCATGCGGGACTCATCCTTGGTCCCATTCAGCACCACCACATCCTTCAAGCCCATAACTAGAGTATAAAACGCAGCAGCCGGTGATATTTTAACATGGTAGGCAAGTTGCTGCACTGGCTCAGAGCGCACAAGGTCTGGATTTGCTGTCAAAGTCCAAAAGCTTTGGTATATGACCTGATTCTCGCGGCAGAACTCGCGTAGGGTGACATCAAACAGAGTGTCCTCGTAGAATCTATTTTGTACCACTGATGGTTTCACAATTGTCTGGGACGAAGTACACAGCTCTCGGAGTATAGGCAATGTACAATTAGAGACACCTAAATTCCGGATGAGGTGAGGGACGTAAGTCTCAAGGGCTTGCCAGGCTTCCAGGGTCTGAGCTAAAGTTGACAGTGGTGAATGGATGATCACGGTGTCAATGTACGTCTCACCCACGGAGGTGGTGTCAGCTTCTGAGCGAAGATTGTACAATGATGATTTGATAGATGCATGGACCTGATCCGTCACGGTCGCTGACGGATCATAGGGCATATTGGCCAGATCCTGTGCCGGGACGGGACTATATTTGGTTTGCACCTAATTATGGTTAGTTACAAGATCCCCAAATAGCAACTTTTACTCACGTATAAGTCTTCTCGGCCGACGATCCCCTCCGCAATTGCTCTACGGAGGCCATCACCAACGAGATGCTCTTGGTAATGGCGGGGTTGGGCCGCTGTGTCCACAGCTCGGAAACCGGTCTTGATTGCATTATAGACTAGATCGGCACTGCGGTCTTTCTTCCAGGCCGTGCCATAGACGAACACCGGGATGGTAGAAGCTGTGCCTTGAGATGAACGTAGGCAGTAATTTTCCCACATCTTGCTGACAGTCCGAGCCATCTTTGTTTATAGATGAACAGAGAAGATATCAACTGACTGACTTTGGTTGAATGTAGGAATTAGGACAGAAGTACGTTCAACTTGGGAATGTTCCTATGATTGCGGGGTCTCCACTCCAACTCTTTCTTACTAAGTAGAAGAGAAGCCCTCACTTGAGCATCTACAGGGCTGTCCAGATGGGAGAGATAATTTCACTGGGTGCAATAGATATACTGGTGAGACTAAATCAGGTCAACTATCTTTTAGTCAAAACACAGCGAATTATCAATAAATAGTCGCGTTAGTATGGATTAGCTGTCTACTACATCAGTTCTAGCGATGTCAATGGTATTCTAAAATCATGGGTATTGAAGTTGATAGACTAACTAGCAATAATTCAACAACTTCAAGAATCCTGAAGCCTGAAGATCAGTCTACTTAACATTTATAGTTGTGTACGGAGTATACGGAGTACTATATCTATATATAGCAGAATGGTGGACGGATGGGCTCGGCTGTCGGCAACCCAGGCAACTTCACTTCGATAGAGATTTAAACATGTTTTTTTTTACTTTCCAGCTCAGAGCTGTATACAGAGTACGGAGTACAGATATAACAAAGAATGTTAAACTATTAATCAATGCTGTAGAATTTCCGAATAATATGCACCGATTGGCCCCACAGTGTGGCTTAGACACTGGACTTGCATATATAGGATCTCCCGGGGTGGAATAAGATCCTTGGCGGAGAGAAACGAGAGTTGGAATTTTATATGATGTATGACTAAAGAATAGATTTCAAAGGTATGTTGTAGGTCAAACTTGGTTCATGGGGCATAGCCACGGTGCCTGCATGTTGATAGAAAGATACGTACATAAAACAGAGCCCAAATGTACGATATTATTAGCACTATCCCGTTGATATTTCTCCATTCAGGCTCTTGGCACAGTCTTGGCTGATGGCATAACCCAGGCAGCTGCTTTTGCACAACCAACATTGGCGGTACTCCGCTGATCGGTGCATCGTAGGTGCCAATGATGCACACATTTTGGGGGCTCAGTTCATTTTCTATTTCAGGACACTGACTATGCGCGGGAAATCCCGACAAAGAAGTCGATCTCCTATATCAATGTAGAGCAGAGCTATACCAACATCAACAATATAAATATGTCTTGAATTCCACTGTTGATTTCAATCAGAATCAGAAACACAACCAAGTTCCTTCTTTACGATCATCCATCAACATCAACAATCATGCGTATCCAGCAATTCCTCTCGGTTTGCGGCCTTCTACTTGCCAGCAACGTTGCTATCGCATCCAAATTGGACCATGACGATGTCCCCAATCGCTGCTGGCCTGCCTGCAGCTCGGTCGTTGAAATCGCCAAGAGTTGTGATGCCAGGCACGAACGGGATTCCGCCGAGATCCAATGCATTTGCGATTGGGATGCTGCCAAAACTCATATCCCGCTTTGTTCTGCTTGCATTACCCAGTATCAAGCTGATCGGCGCAACAACAATATCTCCTATAATGGCCACCATGATGATGACTACGACGACGACAGTGACGACGACGACGACGATAACGGTATGTATAATTTGAATGCCACTAGAATAGAAATTAAATCTAATCCATTGGTCAGAGGCCCTTGACCTTGTTCACTCTTGCTCGTTCACCACGACTACCTACAACTCTGCCGCTGCCACTATTTTGAGTGGCACATCTACTAGCACTGCTAGTTCCAACACTGCCACTACCACCTCGGAATCTTCTAGCACTACTACTTCAAACACAGCTACCGGAACGGGTTCTTCTAGCACCAGCGGAACTAGCAGCCAGGACTCGACTTCGTCTGTCTCCTCAGGATCCTCTGCCTCCTCTGCCACTCCTACTCCTGATGCTGCAGCTGGAATTGCAGCTCCTGGTGCTGCATCCATGGTAGGTGTTATGGGGCTGATGGCTTTTGCTTGGCTGTGAGACTCAACAATAGTCGGATCCCGGCCAAAGACGAGCAAGTGGGGATACACACAATGGTTTTATGAATGTGGGCAATGTTTTTCTTTAAATTTTCAGATGATACCGACGAGTTATGTCCAATTTTGAGTTAATCTATAGTACATGGCAATTGACGATTTGGTGTTTTTGGAAAAGGCTTGAGCGAGAGAAAGTAAAGTTATGGCTGAGTATGCTCAGCGAGAATCTGTCAGTGACTGGCTAGAGTAATCAGAAAGCCCAAGGGAAATAGAGCAACAGAAGTAAAAAGAAACCAAACTGAACATTAACGCAAGTATAGGTATTGATACGTCCCAGAAGTTCTACATATGTTGGATAAATACAATCATATCTCATCCACGGGTATTTCATGCACTAGGTGTTGCATGTGCAGGTGTCGTATGCACAGGTGTTTCATGTGCAGGTGTCTCATCGATCCAATTGCCCCAGAAGTCATCATCAAAGAAATCCCCAGTTGACTCCTCATAATCCATGGCATACACATCCTTGTAGCACTGCGCTTTTGCAGGACAACTGTTCACACTCAAGGGTTAGCATCAATTCCCTAGATATTTATTGTGTTATAGCTTACAACACGGGATCCTGTCCGAAGATAATGTGCCATAGGTACTCAAACACACGGCCACTGGTCTCATCATCCAACTCAGTTGTCATAAGCCAATGATGATACGATTCATAGGCACTCCGTGGGCGTTGGAGGACCTGGCCCCTGGTCACAGCAAATTGAGCACAGCAAGGCGTAGCAACGATCTCAGGCACATCAGTGTTGTTAAAGATACGGATCCAAGCACCCGCAAAGGCAAGCTCAGTAGTGCGACCAGCCATTTGCCGGAATGGCTGGACCTCATCTGGACATCCGGGACTCCAGTCGCAACGCAGGTTCAGATATCCAACTTGTCGAAGGTAGTCGAGTTGCAGTCTTTGGACGGTCAACACATTGTCCTGCTGCCAGAATTCAACATGGCCGCTGTATTGATGAGCGTGAAGAAAGACCATATACTCGGGCAATCCGTCGTAGTTGTCCAGAATATATTGCAAGTAGGCACTGCTTTCTTTGCCTTTGTTCTGTTCGACTTGTAGAGATGCTTCGGGGTCATCGACGAGGTAGACTGCGTGTTGCCATCTAGAATCTTGGATTAGTATTGGCACAGTCTGTGATTAGTGATTGGTCTACGGGGACGTACTCTGGCAATTGATCTTCAAGCCAGTCAGTGTCTTCGTACGACATCTTCCCCAGAACAATTACGCGATCCGATTTCGGAGTGACCTTTGGATGAGAAGGAGCAGTAGCCGAAGGTGCCATCACATTACCATGCTCTACCGGTGCGAGTATTTTGGGATTTCCGAATAAGCTCTCTGAATCATAGAACTTGGGGGCCGCTCTAGATCTGAAAAATAGCTCCCCCGCCCATTCAGCTCCGGGGACGTCGACGGGGATGCGCTTCGGTTCAGAATTATTGGGTATCAGTGGACGAGGAGTTGGTCGGGCCGTGGGGAACCATTTCCTCCGGGTTTGGGTATGTGAAGCGGATGTCGCAGTATGGGCTGAGACCAGCTCGATATGTGCATCGCCATCTAGAACATAGAGGTTGGAAGTGATTGGATCATTTTGCCATTGCAAGATGGAATCGAGGTGAAATTTCACCAAAAATACGGTTATAACCAACGCAACGGCTATCGCTGCTCGTAATGGAGTCCGCATTGCCCAGCATGCGGAGAGCTGAAGAGCAGAAACCAAATCAATCGAATAGATCAAGATCCAAGAAAGCGAAAAGTCCTTTTAAATCAGGTAGTCTCCACTCAAGGCCTTGGCTTTCAGCCCCCCGTCAGCCTAAGTCGCGTGCACGAAATGCCTATTTTGTTAAGGGTACGGAGTATACGTACATCGTATATTCTGTTTTCCTAGGAAAACATTTGAAACATGGAGACTGATATCTGAGCACCTTTTTATTTCCCTCAGGTGAACATTGAAATAATCATCAGCCTCTGTCGAAGTCTCAATCCGGCGACTACAACCTCCGTGTGGGTCTGACACTCGTCACCCATTCGTGTCCAATATCGCATCTTGTTTTCATGAAACTGTCAATCTTGATTTTGGGAATTATTTCGAGAGATGTGATATCTATAACTATGCATGCTGTGCCATAGAATAATAATAATAAGGAGTAAAAAAGTCTCTAAACAATGTTGTATATTGACTTGAGGCGGATTTAAGGTCTGTATAAGCTGCATGCAATCAGTGGTTTAGAATGTAACGTTTCAGATGGGTCTCTGGACCTCCATGGATTACATGTATATTTGAATTAGTCTTACTATGTAAAAGAATAATGTACGTCAGATTTCGATCTGTTCTTGACCTCATTTCTCAGGTTTCTCTTATTTTTGGGCCATTCCTGGTTTCTTCCAAGGAACTGACAGCCCGTCTTTTGAAAGTCTCTCAACTGCGACTCCGCTTTATCTCAGATGGCTGGTTCAGAAAATGACTCGTACGGATTACTCAAGAATCAAAGAAACGGGTCTATTGGTCGAAATATGTCTCATTTTCCAGGGGAGCCTGAACCTCTGCCGTGGCATCTAGTTAAAATATTGCTTTTTACCTGGCACAGCTGTCTCTTCCCCCTCTATTTTCTTCTCTTTTGCAGAGTAATATTTTGGAGTGGTCATCCTCTGTGCTCCGTACAGAGGATACAAATTGCAATTCAGGATCTCGTTAGTCTCTACTCTGTACTTATCCTTCTGTTCTTGGGCTTCCTGAATGAATTCGCACACTTTATTCCAGTGTAGTAGATTTCAAGTTTGCTTGTTCGCCGCAATGGCTGATAGCCTCTGTGCGAAGTCTATAACCTGTTGCGGAGTACTCCATACTTAAACAATATTCCCATAGAGCCAGCTTGCCCTCAAAATCCTAAACTTCTTCTGAAACATCGTGGGTGTCCTTGCGACCCGACCCGAGCCTTTTGCAGATCAATCCACTAGTACCAGATTTCTTCCCTCGATTTTTGGTTGATCAACAGGTTAAGCAGGTTAGTTAGAGAGTAAGCTCGGAAGAACAGTGTCATGTGCAATAATATAATCAATCGCCCTTCAAGAGACATCCCCCAACCATACCTATTACGGGAATGACAACCGAAGCGAATCAGACTCCAGAGGAAAAAATTCCGTAGACTTTTCTAGCGTCAGCCTGAATCCGACCGTACTCCATACGGGAAACGGAGTATGTACTCAATTCCGAGTCCGATTGTCATAGTAACCACGAGGCAGAGCTTCAAAGCTCCACCAGGCCGGGATCTGACACTGCCACTAGGGAGTAGATGTTCTAACCAGCGTCTAGCGTGTTCTAGCTGGGCCATATGGGCCTCTGAGGAGCTTCAATGCATGCGCTAGAAACGGGGGATGTGCGGATCGTGGAGACCAGACGAAAGGTCCAATTTCGTGGAGTGGGACTGGCGCAAGATAGCTTTCATGTATCGTCAATTAGCAGCTGCAAAAGCCGATGGGCGGGAATAAGGTGGCCTATCCGGCTGGGCCGAACCATTAGGAAAATTTATTAATATAACTTGGTGGCTTATTATAAGGTGGCGAGTCACGAACTCTCGCCGTGAGTGGAAGGGGCAAAGTAAAATAGGGGGAAAGAAGCTAACAGGAGTAATAATAGGTAATAAGAAGTAATTATAGAAAATCCCCCTGAAGCAGATGGAAATGATAATACGGAGTACTCCGTACAAAGTACAGTAATTAAAATGAAGCGGAGTCCATGATAAATACCCCATATGTGGTCCAAACCGGTCGTGTGTCAAATATAGAGAATCATATATATATGTGTGTGTATGTATATATATATGTATGTTGTATAAGGTGCCGCAGCACAGTGCACCCCTTGCAAAGCACGAGGCAGGATGTGAACCCCGACTTCTATATGTCAGGTAACCCGTGGAACTCGTGCGCATCATCCATGCGAATAATTACAGTGGGAAATATATTTCCCCAAATTTGCTCAGGGATGAACAGCTCTAAGTAGTGTCCACCACGGCGGGGTCCTCTAAATTGCCTAGTGACGGGTCTAACGAGGCACCGGTGTCTTGGTAAAAGGCTAAGGAGGCATCGGGAACTGGAAGGATAGGGATAACTGGAGCTGTTGACCTCTCGACTCTGATTTGGTGATTTCCTCAGGGGAATCTTTTCAACTTCCAGGGGAAGAGGAAAAAGGGGAGGGGATATACAACATAGCGGGGTGTGTATACATATGATATGATGTAGGATGCAAAAGTTCAGGGTGTATAACGGTTAATGTTATAGGTTTAATGTTATACGTACAAATTTTAAAGCAATATTTGTACTCTTGTACTCTTATCATGCAGTCAAACATGAAATAGTATAATCTCATTGGGTATATGGAGTCCACAGGTGTCCAGGGGGGAACTACGGAGTAGAAGTGCTAGAAGTACTATAAATGTTATGAATGCCTATAAATGCCTATAAATGCCTATGAAGGCTCTATAAGTATGGCTTTTCCCCCCCTTTAATCCTATTTTTTTTACTGGTTTATATCATAAATATTTCCTGCATATCCAACTGATCACCTGTTTTTTCTCTGCCTGAGGACTTGACTTCATCTTCTCTTCTCTCTTCTCTTCCTATCACCTTTTTTTCATCACCTCCTTACTCCCTCCGTTCTTGGCAGATTTGTGGATCAATTTTTTTTGAAATACTTTTGGATTATTTCTCTTTTTTTTTTCTCCCCCGCTCTATCTCTATTTTTTTTATTGTGATCTGTCAACCTTTGAACTTGAGGTTTCATCTTGTTTTTTTTTTTTCATTGGCCTTTATATTGGGAAGTTCCGAAGAGAAATCTCCCCGGACAAGAACACACACACACCTCAAAAACTTCAAGAAAGGAAAAAAGGAAGAAGAAAAGCCTCAAAAAAGCCCCTTGAATGATACGAAGCATTTAAATTCGATTTGAAGATATTATTTTTTTGGGCTTTTTGTCCTTTTTTTTTTTCCCTGGGCGATTTATTTTCCTATTTTTTTTTTCTTGTTCTCCGCCCTGATCTCTCACTCTCCTCCGATCGGCTTTTAGTCCAAACTTTTCCTCCCCCCAAACATCCGCACAATCCCGTCCCTCGACGGTTTCTTTTCAACTTCAACTTGTGTCGCTCTCATGGTGGAGTAGTGACAGTTATTTCTTAAACTGGTTTTGGTGGATTTTCACATTCCTCGCTCGGAATTCTCGATGAGTTATCAACAAGACATGTATCACGATCATTCTGCGCGTTCCCCTGGGTCTCAAAGGCATCAACAACCTCTACACCGTCAACCTTCTCGACAGTTCGACGCATACGGACCTATGCCGACCAACATGTACGAGCAAGATCAAATGCGTTACGAGTCCGCTCGCCTCGAACGCTTGAACCCGTCCCTGCAGAACAACTACGGATATGATATCTCCGGCTCTCAGACTTGGAACCCCAACGGTTTTGCCAATGCACAAACTCTCGGAGGAATTCGCTCGGCTTCCGCCAGTTTGAAGCCTAATGCCCGTGGACGTGCCGGCCTCCCAACGGTATGTTTTGGACTTATTCAACAAATACATCCCCCTATCTTGCTGAGGTAAAAAAAAAATGAAATGAAAAATACTAACAGCCTTCTCAAGACATGGCTGGATCAGCAACCGAACATGCCCCAAGCATTTTCGAACCTGGGCCCTGGTCCCATTCAGAGCAGTGCTATGCGACCGGAAGCCTCGGCCTCATCTGCCGACGACGACGAATTGATTCCAACTGCGATTGTCATCAAGAATATTCCCTTTGCCGTGAAGAAGGAGCAACTGGTGCAGTTGATGACGGAACTCAACCTCCCCCTGCCTTACGCATTCAACTATCACTTTGACAATGGTGTGTTCCGTGGCTTGGCCTTTGCCAACTTCACTTCTGCAGAGGAAACCGCAACCGTAATTGAGGTTCTCAACCACTTTGAGCTTCAGGGTCGGAAACTGCGAGTCGAGTACAAGAAGATGCTTCCCCTGCAAGAACGGGAACGGATCGAGCGCGAGAAGCGGGAACGTCGTGGCCAGCTGGAAGAACAGCACCGCCCGATGGGAGGAGGCCCTCAGCTCCAGACACAGAGCTCAATGTCTTCACTCACCTCGCACATCCCGGCAACCTCCCCGTCGCCCGTGTCCCAGCGTGGTCAAAAAATTGGTGGGTTACACGCTCGTGTTGTTTTTCCAAGGTCATTGAAAATTTAACCCGTTGCTAACAATTCTTTTCGTGCTGTTTATAGATGTTGACTTGAACGACACCCAGACCCTTTCTTATTACTCCCAACTACTTCTGTTCAAGGAAGATACTGTTCGCGATTCCGTGATCTTCCCCCACAACCTCACTCCTTCCCAGCGTCGTACAGTTCACACCCTGGCCCACAACATGGGACTGGGTCATGCTTCGCGTGGCAGCGGCGAACAGCGCCAGGTGCAGGTCTTTAAGATTCCCGCAGGTGCCAATGTCAGTCCCCCAACCTCTTCAATCCCGCCCTCTGGCCAGTCGGACAGTGGTCGTCGCGGCTTGAACCGGGCGGCAACCATCGACTTCAGCGAGGCCCGCCAAGAGGCTGGACCTGGCGCTTTTAACACGCTGCGTGGACAAAACTCGGGCTTTCTGGGTGTGATGGACTCCCCTGGCAATTTCTCTAACGGTCAGAACCTGCGGGCTGCCAAATCCTTCGCAGACCTGCGATCTTACACTCCTTCGCCCGTGCCCTCCTCCGCCAGCTTCCCCGCCGCGTTGCAGTCCAATGGTGCCCGGCTCCAGTATGAGGGTGCGCCCACTGGTACTTCCAACACCCCGACCCTCACCCCTGTCCAGTCTGGTTCCTCTCTTGGCATGCAGCGGGATGACAACCTGCTTGTCAACAGCCTGGGTGGTCTTTCCCTCGGCACCGGTATTGGCGGCCCCAACTCGAGCCCCCGTCGCCTAAGAGGCATGTTCTCTTGGGAACAGGACAACCAACAATCCAACGCTGGTGCCATTGGTAGCAACCGCGGCATGAGCATGGGATATGACAGCCAGCAGGAGCGCATGCCCGTCCGTCAGCCCCGTGGCCCAACCCCCGATAAGGGCACCGGATTTCGCCGTCAGAACGGCCACCAAGCCCGCGGAAGCGATGAGCTCCGCACCAACTCCGGAGTAGAGATCATCGTGGAGTAAAACATTGGACGAATTTATTGAAGATGGCGACTCCCCTTTTTATTGCCAGCATCCGACTGATTTGCCGCGAGACGAATACGACTTGTATTACGAGGCCCTGTTCTGCGAATTACCGGCTTACGATTCGATGAGGGATGACGAGATGACAACAAGAAAAAAAAAAGACCAGAAAATCCTTTGTTTCGCTGATCTAGCCAAGTTTTAGACGTTTCTTTTTTTGGGGGGGCAGCCCAACATGCGGTTTGGATGAATGCTTTTTGAAATTTCCCCGACTCACCAAGAAGACTCTGGACTTGTTCTGGACTGATACTGTTTTTTTTTATTTTATTTCCAACACTTTCTGATATTGCGGGCGCCATGCAAATCCATGGATTTCTATTTATGCTGTGTCGGAACGAACTCCACGACCCCGAAAGCCTTCCTGGTTGGGATGCATACGAAGAATGACACAAAAGACCTTTTGCCCATGGCAGAAGAAACGACAACACCAGCATTTTGCATATTCTTGTCTGTTTTAGTTTGTACATGGGGTGACTCGCATCCGTTTTAATGTTTCTGGCCCGTTTTATCCCGACAACCGCTTTCTCCTAATCTTTCAGGGAAATTCATGTTCGGTTTGTCTAGATAAGACGGTTGTGACATGTTTCTTTTACTTTACTTTTTTTTTGCCTTCTTTTCCGCGTTCTTTGGCTGATTTCCCCTTTGACCTGATGTCCTCTCGAATCGATGGTGATCAGGGTGAATCCACAACTCTGGCTTTTTCTCCCCCAAGGAAGCATAGCCATATTGTGATTCTGTTGCCTTCGATTGTGCCGATTCTACAGATCTACTTTGTGCAGTATGAATGCATCTTTTGCATTCCTGTATCAGTGTTGTTGATACATTTCCATTCTGGAGGGCTCTAATCCCTCTTTATGTCTGGTATCTTGCAGTCTAGGGATCCTTTTTTTTTCCATTGCCTTTGCCTTTGTATTCAGATTCTCACAGTTCAATCCATGTACCTTCTACATTCTATCTTACCAGTAGATAATGGCTGCGTGTAAATATCCCGGCAATAGAATCTCTACACTTCACATCTAGTTCTTAATTGATGGAATTTCCAATAATACAGATCGAGACGAACTTCACTTCTAGTAAGTCATCTAATATAGTGGACAAACGCAAAATATATATATTAGGAACAAATGATACGGATGCCATCGTGTTGTTTATCCCCCGAGTTATGCATGTTTGTCCCTGTCGATCCTCCGTGGAGCCAAGATCCCGATTTTATATGCAAGGTCTTCAAAGTACCTAGGTCGGTATTCAAGTATGCTGACATGAAATGTTTGACTCGTCAGGAATGTGATATGGACATTCGGCCCAATCAAGAAAGCGTGAGTTCGGGAATTCTAGACTGAGAGGGACTTCTATTGTGCGGGAATTATACAAATCAATAATCATACAATTACTACATAGTACACGTAGTGAATGAAGTGAAGCACGTCGAATCAGTAAAATTCCCACTACCAGGATATCCCCATTTTCCCATTACAGCGCCCTATGAACTCGAAATGAAAAGAAACACGATTGAAAGCAAAGACCGGGGAATATCAGAAAAAAAAAAATACATCAAAGTAGAGCGCCGTGAAGAACAAAGACGAGAAGACTGAAAAAATAAGGGCGGCCGGGATTGGTCGTATGTTTAGGAGCCAAGGTGTTAAGGTCTTGACAGTATCTCCCGCGGTCACAGCGCATCTTTTCGGAACTTTTCAGATGTTGATTTAAAGCTCGATCTTGCCACCCTTCTTCTTTTGCTCGACCTTCAGGAGCAACGCACGGTTGATGCGGGGCAGGACACCACCAAAGGCGATGGTTGCGCGAATGAGGGTGTCCAATTCTTCATCACCACGGATAGCGAGCTGGAGGTGGCGAGGTGTAATACGCTTGACCTTGAGATCCTTAGCGGCGTTACCGGCCAGTTCGAGAACTTCGGCAGTCAGGTACTCAAGAACAGCGGTCACGTAGACGGCAGCTAGAGAAGAAAATCAATGTCAGTGACGGGTTGTTCGAGTGATCAGCTCAAGGGACATAGAATACCCTTAGCACCGACACGCATCTTGTTTTGAGTGTTGTTCTTCAAGAAACGCTTGACACGACCACAGGGGAACTTGAGATTAAATTTGTGTTAGCAGTCGCGTTATATTAGATAGCCGGTGATTGGAGGTAAACATGGTGGAGAGAGAAGGCATGCGATATCATGGTATGAGTTCCAGAGATGTCGAAAGAAACCGCCCCTTATCAAGCAGCAACGAGGGACAGAGTCGACGCGTCTCTTGAGGGGCAGTTTTATCGAGTAACTCATCACTCGTATCGCATTACCACTCTCAGACAAGTTGATCCCTAACCCAGCAATTAAACAAGTCGTGATCCCACTAACCTGCAGACCAGCCTTTGCGCTGTGGGATTTCTGGGCCTTCCCCGCAGCATCACCCTTTCCGCCCTTTCCACCGATAGACTTTCCCTTTCCGCCAGGCATTGCGAAATAAATGTGCGAAGACGGTCGCAGAGGTGGATGTAGCAGATAGAAACAGAAATCAATACGATTTGGCAGTGGTGTGGATGTGGAGACGATTCAGAGTGCGGAAGATACGCGCGTTGTTGATGGATGGAGAAGTCAGAATGTGCCAGGCGCCGGCTGTGCCAAAAAGACACTTGGCGCTAGTCCCAAAAGGGAACCGTCCTTTCTCACGGCGTTGGGGTTTCTTGCCTGTATATATGGCCACCTGTAGGGTCATTTGGATAATCTAAAAATCAGTTGCTGTAGGGGGATTTTCAATCCTTTTTCTCTTTCTCAAAAATAGAGGTGAGTCATGATTAGTTTTTTGGCATGTGAGGAGATCATGATGGAAGCCAGTACACCTTCAGTTGTCTGGGTGTCATGGATGTCTTCATCATCTATGGCTAGGATTCATATATGAAACTCCTGTGTTTGCCATAATCCAGACCATTGTACAACTTCAAGTCAAAATGGAAGTCCACTGATGTGGTGGTGGCTGACGTTTTGCAAAATAAGCTGGTCTGGTTTGAAGCTGGACCATCACAGTTACCAGCTATGACCAGCAGTGGGGGAAGTCACATGATATTACAGCCTAATATACCAGGTGGCAAACTAGACTGCCTCAGGCAGACAACAGGTGGCGGATAGATAGTGTCGGGAGAATTGTTCTTCCCGCTCCCTGACCTTCCAGAAATGCCAGGTGGCCCGCGAGTTTGAAGTTTTGTTCGCGTTGTATTCCTCCATACTCAACGATTTAACGATTTCCCCATATCGAAAAGTATCCGGCAAAATGGTGTCTGCTCAAATGTATGACAACTTCTCGATTTTGATTATCTCTATAGAAACTCACAATTGTCGCACAGTACCAACCTCGCCATCATCTTGGTGATGATGCAGCTGTCCAAGAAGGTTCCCTTTGACGATCCTCAAGTCCTGATGCTCGTGCGCGGATGCTACATCTTGTCCAATGTCCTCATCCTGGCTGTCCATTTGTACACCCAGTATCAGATCAACAAAAAGAAGGGTATGTCGACCCTGATACTCTCTGGTCACGCGCTCTCTTCACAAACAAAAACTAACCCGCGATATCCACAGACATGACAACCCTCAAGTATGTTGAGCCCGCCGCGATGGGTAGCACCGAGGAGCCCAAGCCCGTTACCACCACCAACATGGACTACGATAAGGCTCAGCTGCGCCAGCAGCTCCGTAGTCAGCTCATGGGTGTCGGCATGATGGGTGTGATGCACCTGTACATGCAGTACACCAACCCCCTCCTTATCCAATCCATCATCCCCCTCAAGGGTGCCTTCGAGTCCAACCTGGCTAAGATTCACGTCTTCGGAAAGCCCGCTACTGGTGATCTCGCTCGTCCCTTCAAGGCTGCCGGTGGCTTCATGTCCCAGGGTGGACCTAAGAGTGACAAGGCCTCTATTGAGGCTGCCGAGAAGAACTGGCGTGGTGGTGTCAAGGAGGAATAAATGCACATGCCTGTTTCGCTCTAGGTCATTGTTTTGCTCATCCTCCCTTACCTATATGGGTATTCGATGGCCAATTTGAATTATAGCACACTGTTCATTTCTCCCCCATTGTATCATAATCCATAATTCATTCTTATCAAGCTCGGACCCTCCTTTTCTGGATAAGGTCTGGACTATATTGTTAATCTTTTGTGAATCCCCCCTTTGGTCATGCCATTTCCCCTTTATATTGTACGATCTAAATCCTGTACAAAAGGACGTTCATGACACCTGGAGATCCGCGCGATTAGTATATCGGCTCCGAGTTGCATGTCGATATGGCCTGATGAAGTTTCACAGTTAGCATGGCTGCAGGGGTTATCCAGATTGTAGGGTCTCATTTTGTGTTGATAGACCAAAGGGGATTGTTGACAGATATTGGGGACCCCAGTGGTTTAAACCCCTCAAAAAGCTCCAAGCTCAGATAGATTCTTTACAAATCAAAACAAATCAAAAAAATCTGTCTGATCCCGTGGCCCCATGTGTTGTTGTTACCGGTGACTCCTTTTAGGGCGGGGAGCCACCACGTTATATCCTCCATACTCGATCCGTCCACCGCAGGGGTTTGATGGCCCGCATAAGTGGAAAACAGAGCATTTAGAAGTCAGAAATAATCAAATATAAATCCTATTTAATTCCGTGAGTTTAACTGGATCATTTCTTGCTATACATATATCCATATGTACTTTTGGTATGTTTTGCCCCTCAGTCATAGCATCATCCATATTTTGCCCCTCCAAACTGAAACAGCGTCATAACTTCAAACCACCTCGGGAATCTCTTCAAATTTGTACCTAAGATTATCGTGATTAACTCCCTTGTACCCGAGTAGGCTCCGAATAGGCAAAGTATTCTAGAGAAAGCTCCGAAAAGTAACAAGAACCCGAAGAGTATTGGGGATTGCTGCATTCCTATTGGTAGACGGGAGCTACCGAGGGGCAGAGCAAGGCCCCAATATCGTGACTCTTCCTGCTTTGCCCGGTGTATGAAACCGGAAATGGTTGCTGGGCAGATGTACAAGCGGCAACAGTCGGGAAATCTAGTTCAATCCGAGAACTTTGTAGCGTAGAGTCCGTGAGAGTCCATGACAGTCCCCGTCCGTCTGTTCGGTGAGGGGTGTGATCTGTCCATTGCGTCAGTCCTGCATTCATTAATCCCCCTCCCCCAGATCTTTTTTTTTTTCTTCTTCCCTCTTCTCTTCTCCATCCTCAATTCCTCCTTCTTCAATTACTTCACTATTACAGTAAGTTTGATCATTCCCTTATCATCCAGCTCTCTATCTCTCTATCTCTCCACAGAGAGCTAACAGCTTCTAGTAAACCGCAATCATGGTTGTCCAAGTCGGTATCAACGGTTTCGGTCGTATTGGCCGCATTGTAAGTCATTATCTTCAGCTTGACACTTTCAGTTACAGATACTAACAACATCACAGGTCTTCCGCAATGCGTAAGTTGCACACCGGAAGAAGACGAAAAAAAAAAAGACCCGAGAATTTATTCTAACCCATATCTATAGTATCAACAACCCCGATATTGAGGTTGTCGCTGTCAACGACCCCTTCATTGAGACTCACTACGCAGTATGTTTTCTTCAAATCAACCAGTTCTATATCCTGGTATTAACCTTCCAATCCGTGACGTAGGCCTACATGCTCAAGTATGACTCCACCCACGGTCAGTTCAAGGGCGATGTCCAGGCTGCCGATGATGGTCTCATTGTCAATGGCAAGAAGGTCACCTTCTTCGCTGAGCGTGACCCCGCTGCCATCCCCTGGGGCAAGGCCGGTGCCGCCTACATTGTCGAGTCCACCGGTGTCTTCACCACCAAGGAGAAGGCCTCTGCCCACTTGAAGGGTGGTGCCAAGAAGGTCATCATCTCCGCTCCCTCCGCCGATGCCCCCATGTTCGTCATGGGTGTCAACAACAAGAGCTACACCAAGGACGTCGAGGTCCTCTCCAACGCCTCTTGCACTACCAACTGCTTGGCTCCTCTCGCCAAGGTCATCAACGATAACTTCGGCATCGTTGAGGGTCTCATGACCACCGTCCACTCCTACACCGCCACCCAGAAGACCGTCGATGCTCCTTCCTCCAAGGACTGGCGTGGTGGCCGTACTGCGGCCCAGAACATTATCCCCTCCTCCACCGGTGCCGCCAAGGCTGTCGGTAAGGTTATCCCCGAGCTCAACGGCAAGCTCACTGGTATGGCCATGCGTGTCCCCACCGCCAACGTCTCCGTTGTCGATCTTACCTGCCGCATCGAGAAGGGTGCCACTTACGAGGAGATCAAGGCCGTCGTCAAGGCCGCTTCCGAGAACGGCGAGCTCAAGGGTGAGTTTTTTTTCCTTTTTTTTTTCCTTTTCCAATCAAATTCTACCTGTACAGCATATTAACAAGATATCTTAGGAATCCTCGGCTACACTGAGGACGAGGTTGTCTCCACTGATCTTAACGGTGATGAGCGCTCCTCCATCTTCGATGCCAAGGCTGGTATCGCCCTTAACGCCAACTTCATCAAGCTTGTCTCCTGGTACGACAACGAGTGGGGTTACTCCCGCCGTGTTGTTGACCTCATCTCCTACATTGCCGGTGTTGATAGCCAGTAGGAATCAGGACAGCGTCCTGGGGTCAGAAGTGTTCTTTAAGGTGCTGGGCTCCTTGTTGCACAGCCTACGAATATGGGTGCATGAGAGCTCCACCTTGCAGAAAAAAACAAGATGATAACGTCATTTAATGAAACGAAACATTTCCAATTCAAATCTTCTTGAATTTGTTGTAGGCTGTACATACTATAAACTCCTTTTGGTTAGAAGAGCATTACATCTCTACGCATGGATTTACAATCCATCTTGAGGCATTTCTCCACTTTCTCACAGTCTTTCAATCAATAAGCATGGAAAGCCTCGAATTTGGCAAGTATATGTTGTAGGTAGGCATTTAGGTATGTCTTATGTCTTACGAAATGATCTACCTGCATACATAATGTAGGTACATCGCATCCATGTACATGGAAATATCGTTTTGTAGGAAGAGTTTGCAGTCTGCGGTCTATCATCATCCTTCTGGCTATACATTGGGAAGGGAAAAAATATTTAAAAATATGTATCTAGAGAAGATATCCAGAAAGCATCTTATTGGTATCTATGTATATGTATTTCTCTAATATCATCTCGAACCAAACTCAACATCTAGATCGTCAGGTACAGAGAGCCCGCATAAGCGACTGTTCATGTAGATATTCGATATTATCAAAAAATCACCTGCGACTACATTCAAGTCAATAGACTTTTATCTATGTCTTATTTTCATTGAAAATCAAACAAGTTCATCCTCCTTTATATACTTGGAAACCTTTTTAAAACATCCATAGATGATAAGCCCTCTAAACCGTGGAGGTTGATAAGTCAGCACATACTAAATGCTCACCGCCAATTATAATGCATCACGCTAATCCATTCCTAGCGGCGGTCAGTTTAGCGGTGGGCATAATAATGTCTGGCAATAAGAAAGACTGGCCCAAAAGGGATCCAACATGCACATTGATCCATTCCCATTGTCACTCGGTGGACTTGGTTATTTTGTTCTTCATTTCCACTCACTACATCAAGGTCTGCAATTGCATGACTTTCTAGAAATTATTCATTTGAAGATCACTCTTGGTTCATTACATTACAGGTGAATTGCAGTGCCAGTCCAATCTACGACAGGAGACGATTGTATACCACTGTATGCTTGCACAAATCACGCCTTGAGACATTCCTGTAACCTTTGGTGCAAATCAAATATTTGTCCAACAACTGGAACATTTGACCGATTGATCTATTTCACACTCTGCTGTGCAAGGTACATTCGACCAGTGTGGACCAGAAGCATCAACCGAATCACTATTAGTTCGATATCAAGCTCTAAGATTGCCACACAAGCTTACCATCCCTGTTGTGGCAGTGCTTGGTAATGAGCCAATAAGGGCCAAGCTTGAATTTAATCAAAGGGCTTCCAGTGGTTTCCCCTTTCATGATGGAGGAGGACGAGGATACAGTTATGGGTGATTCACATACCTTCTCTAACTTGAGTGCAAACCCATCTTTGACTGAAGTTCCCCTGCCCAAACATCTCAGCAAACATCCCATCACAAATCTCGCTCCTTCTTCCATTCCCCAATCGGTTCCTGCATCCCTGTCACCCGGCTCTGAGCAATCTCAGCCCCAGGAGACCATCGCATCCACTGGAATGGCCCCTCCTGAACGTTTAACCAGAACTAGTGATGGTGATAGTTCTGCTGCCGAACAGTTAAAGCGTGATAGCCTAGTTGAGCCTGATTCTGACTGGTCTGATGATGAGGTCATGGCCAAAGCGGGTCTTCCACTGGCATCGCTTGCCACAGGACTTTGTTATGATCATCGAATGCGTTATCACTGTGAGGTTCGTCCACAGAGTGACGTGCATCCAGAGGACCCCAGACGAATTTACTACATTTACAAGGAGTTATGTCGCGCCGGTCTTGTTGACGATCCAGAATCGTGTCGACCTTTGGCGCCTAAAACCTTGCAACGAATCCACGCTCGCAATGCAACCGAGGAGGAAGTTACTCTCATCCATAATGACGCCCACTATGCATTTGTTCGAAGCACGACAGGTATATCTTTGCTACCACCGGAAAAGCTGGTCTTGGTAGATTCACTGACTTGATGAATAGATCTGCCTAACGAGGTGCTTATTCAGCTGGAGAAAGATCGCGACTCCATCTATTTTAACAATCTGACCTTCGCTTCGGCTATTTTGTCTACTGGAGGCGCTATTGAGACGTGCTTGGCTGTCGCCCAGCGTCAGGTGAGAAATGCCATAGCCGTCATTCGCCCACCTGGCCATCATGCCGAGGATGATGCTGCGATGGGATTCTGTCTATTTAACAATGTGTGTGTTGCAGCACGCGTTTGTCAAAATAGATTAGGTGACGCATGCCGGAAGATCATGATTCTTGACTGGTCAGTACCCCACATCACCATTTGGCCACTGCAGCAGTATACTGACTTGTATTAGGGATGTTCACCATGGTATGCTTAATATTTAGCGCGGCATTCTAAAACGATTCAGGCTCACACATCATAGGAAACGGCATCCAGAAAGCATTTTACGATGACCCTAATGTCCTTTACATTTCTTTGCATGTCTACCAAGATGGTCGTTTTTACCCAGGAGGACCTGCGGGAGACTGGGATCACTGTGGCTCAGGCGCTGGAGTTGGAAAGTGAGTTTAACTTCATGCACCTGAAATGACCAAAGGCTCATGCTTCTCAGAAACGTCAATATTCCATGGCCCGACCAGGGTATGGGTGATGGCGACTACATGTTCGCCTTCCAGGAAGTGGTGATGCCTATCGCCCAAGAATTCGATCCTGACTTGGTGATTGGTGAGAATGCCCTCTGCTTTTCTTAGGTATTAAGTTATTGATCGCAACAGTTGCTGCTGGGTTCGATGCTGCCGCTGGTGATGTACTGGGTGGCTGCTTTGTCTCGCCAGCTTGTTATGCCCAAATGACCCACATGCTCATGACTTTGGCCAATGGAAAGGTCGCTGTCTGCTTAGAGGTTCGTGGATTGCCTCTCCAAATTGTTGTTTGCTTGATCTGACATTGAAACAGGGTGGATACAACTTCAAGTCTATCTCGAAGTCGGCGTTGGCTGTAACTAAGACCCTTATGGGGGAACCTCCGGACCGTATGCTGAGCAGTTCTCCGACGGACTCTGCGGTCGCAGCGGTCCGCCGGGTGAGGAGCATCCAATCCCAGTATTGGAGTCGCCTATACCCCAAAACATCTACTCACCCAGTCTTCGCGGATCGTCTTCACGGTAAGAATTATAAAGTACTTCCCACTGAACAGAACTGATCATATTGTAGATGTTCTCCGCGTTTACCAGTCAAACAAACTTTATGAAAGCTGTAAGCTCACTCCGCTGCACATTTATCGCACTAGCATTTCCAAGTCATTTGACAAACAAGTCTTGGCAAGGTAAGTTACACCACTAGATCTCGAAATTCTATCCTGGAGCTCACTATATGGCAGCCCAAACTATCACCAAAATGTGCCGCTTATTGTCATCTTCCACGATCCGTGAGTATTCCGATACTAAGCCCCAAAACGTATAACTGACAGTATCTAGACCTGAGATTGTGGGACAAGCTCATCCCGTGACCAATAAGTTGGAAGCGCACAATGTTTGGATGGTACGTGACCTAAGATGATTGATTGAGATTGTCTGCTAACATAAGAACAGGCTGATTCGCTCACGGAGTATGTTAAATGGATCGTGGGCAAGGGTTACGCAGTGATCGATGTCAACGTTCCCAAGCACATATCTCGGGAAGAGGTAATTCTAGTTGTGCACTCCTTTCTATAGGCCTTCAACTAATCTGGGTGGTTTTAGCCTGCCGGTCGATACGAGGCAGAGGACAATGACCGTCCATCTGCCACCGAGGAACTTGCCGGATACTTGTGGGACAATTACATTGAGTAAGCTGTGGCCGGCCAAGAACATTTGTTATCATTAAGCTGACAAGTTATCCAAGTGCGAACCAGGCAACCGATATTTTCCTGCTCGGCGTCGGCAACGCTTTCTTAGGCGTGGCGAACTTGCTGATCAACAGGGGTATGTTCAGGCCAACCGAGTACCAGGCTGTACAGCTTTGCTAATAACTGAGTAGAAAACCTTTACAAGCGTGTTAATGGCGTGGTCTCCTTCGTGTCAGAGCACCCAGTCCGCGCGATCGCATCTCACACGCAGACTTGGCTATCTAAGTGGTACCGCGAGGTAAGTTACTCACAAATTATCAATGATATCTTTTACTAACACGATCCTCATTTTAGAACTCCCTCGTATTCGTCTCACACTCTCACGGTGTTTGGACTGCTCTGGACCGACGGCCTTCTAAACGCTACGGACAGCTGGTTCATTCCCCGAAGACCAATCTGAACGAGATGCTTGACGAGCATAAGGAGGAAGTGTATAAGTGGATCTCCGAGCGTGCGGACGGGGAGGAGGAATCGGAAGAAGATTCTTGATTTTTTTTGCTGATTCCTGACTTCGAGGGCGGGCGAATGCGTAGAATCTCAGATGTGCACGGACTTATGCGGTCTATTATCGCAGAATTCCCTTTTCATGCCCTAGTTAATGACATGAACCTATCTTGCTAGTTTACTATGTTGCTTATATTTGCTTAACCGTGTGGGAATTCCCCGCTTATAAAAATAGGTCAGGGGAAAATAAAGTGACATTTCTCTATTCGATCTTTGTCGGCTCTAATACCTTCGTATCATCCACCACTAAGGAATGGGAATGCTAGGAAGATGTCATGTGAGAGACCTCAGCCCTGGAGGGTCTTCTTCAAGAGTGATATTAGCCCAGTATTTGAATTTGAGATTTGAGACATTTGGGACTTCACCGTTGTGACACAACACCAACCATACCTCGAGGTTTTAGTGGTCATGACAAAGAAGCGAGTATGAGCTGATTTCTAGTCACTCTGGGTACATGTACATCGTATAGTTACTTTCTTAGCGTGGCGTTGATCTGCATACCGTCCCTGGGATGTAACAATGTCTCACCTTTTACCCCAGAAAACTATGCTGTGGAACAACACGGCTATGATCACTTCCAAAGTTATACAAGGAAGATCCTTTCTTCTTTTTCTCTCCACACTTGGCAATGCACCACAATCGACTCGGAGCGCTCTGAGACATCGTATTATTTTGTTTCTCGTGTCTTCACTGACCTCAATCGAGAGAAAAAAAAACTTTTTTGACCGTGCGATGCGGGGATTTTGTGAGATTCTGTGAACCATTCCTACTCCAGGTCCTGTGATGGCCTGACCGCTGCCCGAATGGCTAGGACTTCATGTGATGTCTTGGAGTTGGTAGGCATACCATCATGCCGTCCACTAGTAATCCTGTTTTGGGGATCGAGTCTATAATTTTGTTCAAGGGGATCAGGTATAGGCTGGAAATTCGATGCTCCATCTACCAGCAGGGAAACTATATAAAGGGCCTCGAATTCTACCCAAGAAAGATATTCTCACCACTTCAACCAGAGTTCATTACTTGACCTCAAACGAACATAATCAATCTGCCTACCAAAATGCACTTCTCTACTGCAGTCATTGCCTCTGTTGCCGCTCTGGCACCTCTTGCCAGCGCCGTTGGTAACGCTGTCGTAACCAATCATTGCAACTTCCCAGTCTATTTGTGGTCCGTTGGTGGCAGTATTGGCCCCAAGCAAACCATCCCAGCAGGCGGCAGCTACAGCGAAGCATTACACCACGATAGTGCCTCAGGTGGCATCTCGCTAAAGATCACCACTGTCGACAACGGTCTGTACAGCGGCAGCCCCCAAACCAACTTTGCCTACACTCTCGACCCTGGTACAGTCTGGTACGATCTGTCAGATGTCTTCGGCGACCCTTTCTCCGGCAAGACAATTGTCGTGCGGCCCACAGACACCACTTGCTCAAAGATCTGCTGGGCGCAAGGAGTCAACCCTGGTGGTAGCCAGACTAAGAACTGCAATTCGAATACTAGCATCAACCTGAACCTCTGTGCAGCCAATTGCTAAGCGCCCGGCTCTCCAAAGTACATGTGTTAATATAATGGTGGGGGCAGTGTCCACTAACACATGTGGTTTGACCAGCCGAGCTGCGGGGGGAAGGAAGCAAGAGCCTCGACATGGGACCAGTCAAGATCCCTGACATGTATGTAGCTAATATGATTAATGGGAAATATATATTTTTATAAGTCCAATTCTGGCAGACACAGGTCTGCCTTGGATAAAAATACGCTACCGTTAGATGATAAGGGCGCTTGTTAGGGCTGCCAGGGCCTATCACCGCCTCGGCAGGAGCAATCTGGGCAGTATTTCGGCCAGGGCTGGATCAACATTGCCAATCCCTCTCTCAGTTGGCTTTACAACATCCCCCTCATCTGGTGTATAATCCCACATACGATATATATTCCAAAACATATATAAACGCCTCTCATTCTTGGGCTCCCTGAAATTCCTAAGTGCATTGACCTTATCAGTCACGTCATTGGCCTTTCCCCTTGGCAACTGAATGCTGCCTCCAAGGTCCTCTGCAGCAAACCTGTGTCACAAAGGTCTCATTCGCAGCTCAACCCGCCCTTATCCCGATCTGTTGTCACGTATCACTGTGATCTGTCCTCGTTCCGTCCGGCCCGTACCTTTTCCGAATCTCTCTTTCGTGCATTGGACTCGCCGCTCATCCTCCCATTCCACTCCTCCTAACCTCACCGCCACACCCCCAATCATGGCTCAAATCGAGCGTATCACAGAGAACTTGGAGAAACCGGAGCTTGATGATCGCTCTTATCGGGTGATCCGTTTGCCAAACAAGCTTGAGGCCCTTTTAGTCCATGACCCAGACACCGATAAGGCTAGTGCCGCCGTGAATGTCAATGTTGGTAATTTCTCCGATGAAGATGATATGCCAGGGATGGCTCATGCAGTAGAGCATTTGCTGTTCATGGGCACAAAAAAGGTACAATGAAACAACTCACCACTGTCTTCCCAGCCGAGGTCAATGCTAACTTGGATCTCTGTTGTTAGTATCCCAAGGAAAATGCATACAACCAGTACCTAGCGTCCCACTCCGGTTCGTCCAATGCTTACACAGCCGCCACCGAAACAAACTACTTCTTCGAAGTGTCCGCTACGGGTGACTCCAGTGCCCCGAAATCTACTGGAAATAACACCCCTGCCGAGACAAATGATAGCAATGGCCTTGTGTCGAATGGGAATGGCTTAGATGGAAAGTCGCCTCTTTACGGTGCATTGGATCGGTTTGCCCAGTTCTTTGTCGCTCCACTTTTCTTAGAGTCAACCCTAGAACGGGAGCTGCAGGCGGTGGATTCGGAAAATAAAAAGAACCTTCAGAGTGACCTGTGGCGTTTGATGCAACTGAACAAGTCGCTTTCAAACCCTAAGCATCCCTACAGTCACTTCTCAACCGGTAATCTGCAGACCTTGAAAGAAGATCCTCAGAAACGTGGTCTGGAAGTTCGCAGTGAGTTCATTCGGTTCTATGAGAAGCACTACTCGGCCAACCGGGCGAAGTTGGTTGTGCTGGGGCGGGAGTCTCTAGACACGCTAGAGCAGTGGGTCTCCGAGCTCTTTTCCGATGTTGAGAACAAGAACCTTGCCCAGAACCGCTGGGACGATGTTCAACCCTTCACTGAGAAGGACATGTGCACCCAGGTGTTCGTGAAGCCGGTCATGGATACTCGATCCATGGATATGTACTTCCCCTTCCTTGATGAGGAGGATTTGCATGACACCCAGCCTAGCCGGTATATCAGCCATCTGATTGGCCATGAAGGTCCTGGCAGTGTTCTTTCTTACCTCAAGGCCAAGGGGTGGGCCAATGGCTTGTCTGCAGGCGCCATGCCTATCTGCGCCGGGTCGGCCTTTTTCACTATTTCGGTGCGCCTGACCCCTGAAGGTTTGAAGAAGTACCAGGAAGTCGCAAACGTCGTCTTCGAGTATATCGCTATGATCAAGCAACGCGAGCCCGAGAAATGGATCTTCGACGAGATGAAGAACCTTGCCGAGGTCGATTTCCGGTTCAAGCAGAAGACCCCGGCTAGCCGGTTCACCAGTCGTTTGAGCAGTGTTATGCAAAAGTCACTGCCTAGCGAATGGCTGCTGAGTGGGTCTTTGTTGCGACGATTTGACCCAAGCCTGATCAAGAAGGCGCTGAGCTATCTGCGGGCCGATAACTTCCGTCTAGTCGTTGTGTCCCAGGAGTTCCCGGGTACATGGGACCAGAAAGAGAAGTGGTATGGCACCGAATATAAGGTCGAGAAGATCCCACAGGAGTTTTTGGGTGGCCTCCAGAAGGCTCTTGAGTCGACTGAGGCTACCCGCACTTCCAACCTGCACATGCCTCACAAGAACGAATTTGTGCCGACCAGACTCTCGGTGGAAAAGAAGGAGGTTGCTCAGCCAGCCAACACTCCTAAACTGATTCGTCATGACGACCGGGTGCGCCTGTGGTTCAAGAAGGACGACCGTTTCTGGGTGCCCAAGGCCACTGTCGAGGTAACCCTCCGCAATCCTTTGGTGTGGGCTACACCTGCCAATCTCATCAAAACAAAGCTGTACAGCGAGTTGGTGCGAGATTCGCTAGATGAATACTCCTACGACGCTGAGCTTGCTGGCTTGGACTACCATCTCTCGGCGAACATTTTGGGCTTGGACATTTCCGTGAGTGGGTACAACGACAAGATGTCCGCTCTATTGGACAAAGTACTCAATACCATGCGTAACTTGGAAGTCAACCAGGATCGATTCAACATTATCAAAGAGCGCCTGACGCGTGCATTCCGCAACGCTGAGTACCAGCAGCCTTATTATCAGGTTGGAGATTATACTCGCTACCTCCTTGCCGAGCGTAGCTGGATCAATGAGCAGTATCTTGAAGAGCTGGAGCATGTTGAGTGCGCTGACGTGGTCAATTTCTTCCCCCAGTTGCTCGAGCAAACCCACATCGAAGTCCTGACACATGGAAATCTGTACAAGGAGGACGCCCTGCGTATGACGGACTCCATTGAGAAGACCCTGGGGGGCCGTCCGCTGCCTCCATCGCAGTGGTACCTCCGCCGCAATATGACCTTGCCGCCGGGTTCCAACTACGTCTACCCTCGGTCGCTTAAGGATCCAGCCAACGTCAATCACTGCATTGAGTACTACCTCTATATCGGACTATTTTCCGATGAGGTCCTGCGGTCGAAGCTACAGCTGTTCGCTCAACTGACTGATGAACCTGCATTCGACCAGCTGCGCAGCAAGGAACAGCTCGGATATGTGGTGTGGAGCGGCGCACGCTACAACGCTACCACCCTGGGCTACCGGGTCATCATCCAAAGTGAGCGCACGGCACAATATCTCGAATCGCGGATTGAGAATTTCCTCCGCGAGTTCGGCCCTACCCTTGAGAAGATGCCCGAAGAAGAATTCGAGGGTCACAAGCGCAGTGTCGTGAATAAGCGTCTAGAGAAACTTAAGAATCTAGGCTCCGAGACTGGCCGGTACTGGTCACATGTCGGATCTGAGTACTTTGATTTCCTGCAGCATGAGACTGACGCGGCCAATGTGCGCACCTTGACTAAGGCGGATCTCATTGCATTCTACCAGCAATACATCGATCCCTCTTCGACAACACGCGCTAAGCTCGCTATCCATATGAACGCCCAGTCTGGTGCGCAGGTTGAGGCGTCCAGACTAGCCGAACAGAAAACACGCCTTATCGAAGCACTTACCAAGCACTTCGAAGCCGCTGACTTCGCCGTGGATTCTGGCCGCTTCGCAACGGCATTCGATGAGGTTGAGATGGCAGTGGTGGACAAGTCCCAGGTCATCTTTGTTGTGAAGAACTTCCTGGCGACCGAGACGGGCCTGTCACAGCAGAAGATCGAGCCTGTCCTTGAGACGCTGGACGAGAAACTCGCTTCTCAATTAAAGGAGCTGGGTCTTGGCTCTAGTAGTGACATGCAGGGTGCGGCTAATGGCAGTGGCGAAGCTCAAAAGGCCGTTGTTATCACCGACGTGCCGACCTTCAAGGCACGTTTGCCCGTTAGCACTGGCCCCGTTCCTGTGGCGGATTTGAGCGAGTATGAGGAATTCGATGCCAAGCTATGAGTGGTATACATGTGGAGTAGGTTTGGTGTTGGGTTGGATGACTGCATGAATGCGAGAGTTGAGGTGTTTATCAATTGAAGATATATTTCGCTTCCAGAAATGAACAATAATTAAAATACATGCCGATAAAATTTGCTATAGTAGATAGCTAATTCTATATAGTGTTGATCTATACTCTCTATCCTCCGTATACGGAGTACCTATGTAGGTACATACATAGGTAGCCCTGGAGTGTTTGACCGTTAGTTATAGTTATCGTGTTGTTCTAGATATCGAATTTAAGAAGGCGGTCAACGCTGATAAGCGATAAGGTAACATCGTACCCAGTTTGGGGAGCTCTTGCCCTTCTCGACCACAACAACGTCGATTACCTCGTCAGAATGGCTACTACTCCGAGGGACGAAGTCTTTGCCAGCGGTGTTCCGTAAGCATCTTAATAAATACACCATTTGTTAATGCAGTTTTCGAATGGGTCAACCTAACGCGACGACTTCCAGGCCTATTGTCCCCAAGGACTTCACTGCACAGCAGCCGGAGACCGTCCGCCTGTACCCCCTGTCAAACTACACCTTCGGCACCAAGGAGACACAACCAGAAGAGGACCCTTCGGTTCTGGCACGGCTGAAGCGCCTGGAAGAGCACTATGGCCTCCATGGAATGCGTCGGACTTGCGAGGGAATCCTGGTGTGCCACGAACACAACCACCCCCACGTGCTGATGCTCCAGATTGCCAATGCATTCTTTAAGCTGTAAGTACACAATAGGGCTTAGTTGCGCATTCAAAATACATTGCTCATTGTCTTCAGGCCAGGCGATTATCTGCACCACGAGGACGATGAAATTGAAGGTTTCAAGAAACGACTGAATGAGCGCCTCGCACCTGTGGGATCTCAGTTCTCCGGCGAGGGCGTTAATGATGACTGGGAAATCAGCGACACACTTGCGCAATGGTGGCGACCCAACTTCGAGACTTTCATGTACCCGTTTCTTCCTGGACATGTCACGCGCCCCAAGGAATGCAAGAAGCTGTACTTCATTCGCCTCCCGAAGAAGAGTGAGTTACAACCCACCATGAGGTTTTCCTAGTTGAACATTGCTTACATACGATCAACTCACTATAGAGGTTCTCTCCGTCCCAAAGAACATGAAACTTCTCGCTGTGCCGCTATTCGAGCTGTATGATAACACTGCTCGCTATGGCCCTCAGCTCTCTGCCATCCCGCATCTCCTATCGCGATACAACTTCGAGATGGTCGATGAGAACGATAACATTGTTGCTGTGACTCCTGGCACCCCGTTGCCTCCTGGTTACACTATCCCTCGCAGCATTGTTGTTGCCGGTGATGATGCAGATGATGGGGAGGACACTGGTATGACTGGCGTTGAGCAGGGAATGAAGATTGAATCTCACCAGTAGTGAGGAGTGATTTCAAGAACAATGAACGCTAACAAGCCTACTTTGGGCCTGGACACCACGTGTCCCGGGGGGCCAAGGTTTTCTGCTGGCAGCGATGATAAGCAAGATACGCTTCTGACTGGCATCGAGGATGAGCTTCGCCGATGATGGCAATCTTTTTGAGACCTCGAGAGAAAAAAGACAAAAGATTGCAAAAAAAAAAAAAACAAAAAAAACAAAAAAAGGGCTCCATTGACAACGGAATGGATATAGCCAGTCAAATCAATTTTACGCTTCTAATGACCATACATGTTTAATAATACTGTAGTTCAATATTGTTGGATGTTCTCTACAAGATATAGATCCGATCACGGGTGAGAGTGAGTGGCTGGGAGTTCATCTACATTGGACCTCGGGAAAATATGAGATAAGATCGTCGAACTACACCTGGACATCTGGACATTTGGGGCCCGCCAAGCAGAAAACCAATCAACCAACAACAATGAAATTAACCCTGCAAGCTACCTCTACCCCATATGCAAAGAGCCCAAAATGTTCATCGTCACGGAACATTATATCGCATCGAGAAGTAATCACCGCTGAATCAACACGTGGATTCCCATCCTGCACTGCAAGGCACAAACTAGGCGCTTCCCATCACAGCCCTAACTTCGGCTTGCACGGAATACTCTATATTACAATGTAGGCCAGTATATCTCTCAATTATCCGAGATTGATCCAGGGTTACATTGCTGGTGACGGCACTAAACAGTTGCATGGATTCCATGTCGATCCCACCGGAATTCCACCGGTGGTCACGCGTGGAATATGCGCCATGAACGGAGATATAGCTAAGTCTGGAAATAATTTATTCTACGAGAGAATGGTGGTTATACCCCGCTCCTCGAATATGTCCGTGAAGGCTTTTGGGGTCTATACGGATCCATACGGACTCGCCGAGCATACATAAAGAAGTTGTGTCTGCATGGCTACCTCCAGGTGTGTGCATACTTGCCGTTGAGACGGCCTTACTCTGACAGAGATCTTCATGATGCTTCTTCTTGGTCGACTTTGGGGTACCGCTGCTCTTGTGGCGTTGACAGTTGCTGCTCCTTCTCGTCCTGTTCCTCGAGGTACGGATATTCGTTCGCCTTTTGTTCAGATTCTTCCGTGACTCATGCAAGCAACAGATGTGTCGACTGATTTGCTTGGTCAATTAACCCTGTTCTCTCAGTGGGCTGGGGCGTCATACTGCACGAACAATAACAACTCGACTGGCGATGCGCTATCTTGCGCAGAAGGCAACTGTCCCTTAGTGGAGGCTGCTGACACAATTACTCTATACGAGTTTGATGAGTATGAGGCCAACTTCTAAATCCTTTACAAACTGTTCGCTAATACGGTGACACTCATCAGGTCCTGCAGCTATGGTGATGTTGCCGGCTTCCTTGCGGTCGACAAAACAAATAAGCTACTCGTCGTCTCATTCCGAGGTAGTCGCACACTGACTACTTGGATTGCGAACATCAACTTCGGCTTTACCGATGCCAGTGGCATATGCAGCGATTGTGAAGTCCACCGCGGGTTCTGGGAGGCCTGGGAGACTGTCGCAGACGATCTAACATCTAAGATCAAGGCCGCACAGACAAAATACCCGGGTTACACTCTCGTCCTGACAGGCCACAGCTTTGGCGCAGCTCTTGCCACGGTGGGAGGTACTGTACTTCGAAATGCGGGCTATGCATCAAGCGTGGTAAGTACAATGTTTCGAAATCCATGATTACCTTGATAACAACGTATACTCACAATGGGTCTATAGTATTCCTATGGTCAGCCACGAGTGGGAAATGAGGCTCTGGCTAAGTATATCACGGCGCAGGGAAGTCTCTGGCGAGTCACACATGCAGCTGATTTGGTGCCTAAGTTGCCACCTGCATCAGTTGGCTTTAGCCACCCAAGTCCTGAGTACTGGATCACCAGTGACAACGAGGCGACGGTAACCTCGTCCGACATTGAGGTCATTGAAGGCGTGGGCTCTAAGTCTGGAAATGCGGGGACGTTGAAACCGGATACTGAGGCACATAATTGGTATTTGGGACATATTGATGCATGCCAATAGGGTGAATAGGCCCTGTGATGAATACATATGTACTCCGTAGGTAGTGGTATGTCTCGGTGAGACAATATACCTATCAGATAGTTTGATAGTTATATAACATATCATTATATTAAATATGTTAACTTATCCATCCTTGATTACTTTTTAAATGAGCTTGATTTTTTATATATTTTTTAACACAACAATGATGTTATAACTGTAAGTCCCAAGACTGGTGTGCTAAAACACTAGAGCTTGGCTTAAAGATTTTGTGGAGAACTTGGAACTTGCGACACGTTTAACCTCATGTCTTCTTTGAATTGCATTTATTGCCTACACAGTACTACATGAATAGTATCCGATCAGTATCCAAGTATATTTTACGATCTTCCCCGGATTTTTGGGCTCTCGGGCCTTGATTTTCCCGTTAACCCATCAACTTCTCCTCCCCTCGATGACTTGACCACCTGGGCAGAGTGCCCTCACATCCAACATGTTGTTCGCTCCTAGTGGGCCCCAGGGCCCCCGACGTCGCAGTCGCATGAAGGCTATCTTACTTACCATCTTCATCGTCATTGCCCTATACCTTTTATTCTTTTCAACAACGAAGTCCCCCGTGAAGACGAAGACCGAAACAGGCACCTATGCGCAGAAACATGAACATGGATCGGCGAAACAAACAGACGAGCCGGCTCGTCCTGCTATACCGAGACACAAGAATATGATCGTGGCCTGCATGAAAAAGGATGACACGTCATGGTTGTCAGAATACTTTCCCGACTGGACAAAAAGTATCTACGTGGTGGATGACAAGCGTGCGCCATTGACGGTAACGCAGAACAAAGGCCGAGAGTCCATGGTGTATTTGACGTGAGTCCGACACGCAATATGTGTTACCTCTCGTACTCCATACTGACTTGAGCTATTGAACCAGATACATTATTGACAATTACGATAATCTACCGGACACGATGCTCTTCATTCACTCGCAACGCTACCAATGGCATAACGACGACCCCTACTACGACGGCATCCCACCACTCCAAAATTTCCAGATTCCATACCTACAAGAGCAGGGATACGTCAACCTACGATGTGTTTGGACTCTCGGATGTCCAGCGGAAATCCGTCCTCTCACCGACAGGCACAGCAGCAACGTACATGTAGGCGAATACTTCAAAGATGGATTCATGGAGCTATTCCCTGGCACCCCAGTTCCGGAGGAGGTGGGCGTATCGTGCTGCGCGCAATTTGGTGTGTCTCGTGCCAAAGTGCTGGAACGGCCGCGCAGTGACTACGAGCGCTTCCGCAACTGGCTGGTGAAAACGCCGCTAGACGATGATTTGAGTGGACGAATTATGGAATATTCATGGCATAGTAGGTGTTCTCCCTGTAACCCCTTCGGTTTCGATCGAAAGCTGACATTTTCTCTAGTGATATTTGGAAAGGACCCTGTGCATTGCCCCAATGCGAAGGAATGCTACTGTAAAGTGTTTGGGCTGTGCGATCTGTCCTGCCCATGGGAAGGTGGCTGTGATGACCGCTATTCCCTGCCACCATTCTCCTCACTGCCTAAGGGGTGGCCGCATATTGGATGGAAGGGCCAAGTACAAGACCCTTCACACGGATTGCCGGAAACTTGAATTTGGTGATGGATTGAAGAAATCAGCCACATAAGCCGACTCCCCTTTTTGCTGCGTTAGGACAGCCGTCTTGCGCTGCGTACATGCGCTCTCAAATTGCAGTGCTCTAGGATATGCATCTATAAGTGCAAGCCGAGGATATCCGTCGGTCGCAACTGAGCACCTAAGCATATCCCAAAGATTGACAACAATCGAATATATAGCAAATAAAAGCAGTGAATTTGATTGGGGAGTTTTTTTTTTTAAAAGAATCGAATCTCTAAAAATGTACCTGCTTGATGTATAACACAGGTGACGTACATAAAACATTCCCAATGCGGAGCCGAGGCTATGTCTCCCCGCATTGGCAACTTACATCTCTTTTGACAACTCTGGAACTCTTTCTCTCTCTCTTTATAAAGCCAAAATGTTGATCATCGGGCTCACCGGCTCTATAGCAACGGGCAAGTCAACTGTCTCGTCCATCCTCTCCACACCACCCTACTCCCTCCCAATAATCGATGCCGATCTCCTCGCCAGGAAAGTAGTCGAACCTGGTACCGCAGGCTACAAAGCAATCGTCAACTACTTCGGTCCCAGCACACCAGACCTACTCCTGGAAGATACGCCCACAAATCCCAACGGAAAACCACTAAACCGACCGGCGCTGGGCCGGCGCGTCTTCGGCAGCACGGAAGAGCGCAAACGCGACCGACAAGTCCTCAACGGCATCGTCCACCCCGCCGTACGGTGGGAAGTCTACAAATCCCTAATTTACCACTACCTGCGTGGTCAATGGGCAGTTGTCCTAGATGTACCACTCCTCTTTGAGAGCGGCATGGATCTCATCTGCGGAACGGTGATTGTGGTCGGAGTTCACGATCCTGAAATCCAAATGGCACGGTTACGCGCCCGCGATGCGCATCTTACAGCCGAGGATGCAGAGAACCGGGTTCGCAGTCAGGGGGATGTGCGGACGAAAGCAACGCAGGCGGAATTCCGGGGGACGACGACAGGGCGCGGAGTAGTGGTCTGGAATGATGCTGATAAGGCAGAACTGGAGGTTGCTGTTAGGGAGGCTATGGCTAGTATTGCGGCGTTAAGTCCGAAGTGGTGGGCGTGGACGCTGTTGATTGCGCCGCCGGTTGGAGTGGGGGTTGCTGCTTGGAATTTGATTGTGAATTTTGCGACGCAGAAGGGGTGGGAGAAGAAGAAGCAGGAGGAGAAGGCGAAACTCTAAGATTTTTTTTTTTTTGGCTTTTTTTTTTTCGAGAAAAGCCAGTCGCTAGTCAGATACCTCTATGTGGTGCCTTTGCCGGCTTCATGCTTTTATCAGGGCGTAGTCCGCTTAGACTCAAGGAGGTCCTTAGCAGAGCTTAGGGCCTAGTATATACAATGTACATTGATTATTATTATTGTATTGAATCAGCTGGAGATTGTCTAGTCTAACCTATGTATGTTTCGGTGGCAAGCTCCCTTCAAATGCCGTTCTTATGGGATACCCCTGAACATATAGCCCTAGATTAATTTTGATTTTGCTCAAAGGTTCTCTCACACTGAGAGATATATTGTTTTATGCGGAATAACCTGAAATTTTCAGGTGAATCCCTCGAAATTTACCAAGTTCTTTAGTAAGGAGAGACAATGCTAGCTAAGACACGCTCCGCGAACATCTCATTGCACAGTGAGCTTATGCTAGACCAGCGGAGACAGCTATGAACGGCTTTTGCATAATGTGTGCCACTTTCGCAGTGCACATTGTCCATAAGCCTGGATGCGACCCGGAATTTAGTGATCAGTGGTTCCTGATGGTCATCGTCTGGAGTAAAGAATGCACTTAGGGATTTTCTAGGTGACAGCTCCATTAACGTAAGCCCTAAGGGCAACAGAAGATTGCTTCACACATCAGGATATTGCTCTGAGTTAGAAGTCTCTATCCCGATACCAGGAGGGACAAGTGACGATGGGCCATGAGAGATATAGATTGTCCAGTAACACGCTGTAGCCATCGTCCGCAGCAGCCAGGTGTATATCGGAGCTATCTCATGAAGATTTCAGCCAATTGCCACAGAATTGAACCGCACCACATCTATGCTGATAGCAATATGGAGCCGATCTCGCCGACTAGTTATTGCAAGAACTTTGCCAAGAGGCTTTTGTGGAACTTCTTTTGGAACTCTCTTCACTGCATGCATTGTGTATCGGAAAGAAGTATTCATCTTGTTGGAAATGAAACCAATAGTCTTCAATATGAGGAGACGAATAAAAATCTTGAATGGGTGGGATAGAGGAATGCTTAAGAGTTATTTCTGATGTTTCCTCTATGAGAGTAGTAGCGTTGACATGAGCCCTAGATCTCCTTTGAACTTGGTGTAATGCGGAATCGTCATAAAGGGAGAGAGTGGCAAGTTCCACGCCCTCTTCAACCTGTGAACGTCCGAGGACCACTTCTGTCTAGGCCAATACGCAATCTGTATTCATATTACTTGCTGCTGCCGCCTTGCTGAAAAATAGCATCCGGAACTGAGATGGAGAGTTTCCGAGAGGATGATCTTCGGCATCCTTCATAGGATTTGTTTGTAGTTGAAGCTGAACACTTTGTTGCTCTTCACGGCTACAGCGCCAGTAGTTCCCTTCAATGACCATTTGAAATAGCCCTTCAGCAAGCATGCGTTCCTTTTTGTATGGCTGTAGAAGGGGGCTCCAGGGCTGGCGCCTTTTCTTGCTCGCTTCTCGGTAATCGGACTGGTCAATCAGAAACCTCAAAATTGTGGTCTTCGCATTGGACTTTGCAAGGAGATCATTGTAAACTGCTTTGCTAAGGAGCTCACAGAATTTACATATATCGATTTAGGTTCTTAGCAAAATCACATGTGCGCTGTAAATCGAACTCGGCGTTGCATTTTACTCCTAATACTCCACACACTGCGGTCTGTTGTAGATGTTGATATGCGATAGCACACGAGTCGATGCAGGTTCATGAAACTTCTGGATACTTTATGACTCATCTAGCGGAACATCAGCCCTTGGCTTCCATGCTGGGGGTTGTCTTATGGGTATGATATTTTGGGTATATAAAACCACTACAGTAGGGCAGGAAAGCATTATGTCAACTAATTCTATCTGCCTACCTATGTATGCATACCATGAGATATCTGGTATCCGTCTAGATACTAATGCTGTCTCATATAGCACGATCCCAACTACATTATTGTCAAACTATGGATGACCGAGGACATGTAAGAAGATATCTTTTTCTACACTCAGCGCGAGGGAAAAGTCGTCACCAAAACATCCGACTCTACGACCGAACTGAAGGTCAATGACCGCAGCACGGACAACATACACGTAGTCCATAAGAGCCCTAGCAGTCGAATAAGGATATTCGAATGGTGCTGCTAGGTAGATAGTTACCAATCACAATTAGTTTTGACTACATGACTTATAGATATATAGTATAGATGTGTATTTAGTTAGCATGTATTGGATAGAGAGAAGTAACTACCTAGGTAGGTCAAGGATTATAGTGATTGCTAAGCATTTACCACCAGGAGATGATACTGAGAAAGAATTGATTGATAGAACCGAACCCCAAGACGCCGTATATGCTATGCTAAAACGCCAATCAAAACATTCGAGCTGGATATATCGCGGAAGATCATCCGTTTAGTAGCTCTTGCGCTTCTTTTTCTTCTTCTTGTCAGAAGATGGGGCTCCCAGCAAAGACCCCCGGCCAGACCCAGAGATACTAGTGAGTTCAGACAGCTTGGTCTGTCGCGCGTTTCCTCTGGCTTTGGCTTCTGCCTTGAGTTTGGATCTTTCCATCATTTTGGCAACCTCTTGTGGGTTCGACGGGTTGATTATGTCGTCTTCGTAGTCATCCTCACCATCCTCACCATCCTCATTGCCCTCCTTGCTTGGTGTAGTCTGTGGCTAAGAGAGTTCAGTACAAAATATCAAGTCTGAGAGAGGGAAATACTGACCTTGCGCTCTTTGCGCTTGAAATTGCCATACGCCCGTCGTCCACCGGAGTAGTCATCGTCATCTGCATCTAACGAGTCTGCTGCCAATACCATAGGATGCTGAGTGGACTGAGGGGTAGAAGGGACATTCAAGACCCAGTGTGTCTCACCAGCCTCGGCGGCTGCTCGTGCGACAGCTTGCTGCCGCTTTTCTTCCTCGGCAGCAAGTGCAGCGGCGATCGCGTCCATATCGGAGGTGCGAGGGCTCTCAGCCTCGGTAGAGAGACGGGGGCGCTTAGAATTGTGTGGGCTGGCATCAGAAGATGGGCTCTGAGTTTCTTTCGCAGCTGCAGCGCGTCGCATGAACTGGGATATGGTGTAAGTTGACTGGCTGTCAATCAGTATAGTGTCATTCATACCTTCATGGTCAATAAATTTGATGACATGGTCTTCTCAGGCTTTCCAGCCGGGGACGAAGAGCCAGCCATGATGAGTTGAAAATAAAAACCCCAATGGATATAAATCCAATTTTTTAAAAAAAGAAAAAAAAGATGTCAAAACGACCTCACTTGCGAAGCGCAAAATAAAATGACCTGGCAGAAAATCCAAGTGCAGGGTGGAGCTATCTCGAACAAGCAGGCGGTGACCACCCACCAAACCACACCTCGCGGATTATTCACTGCCGGCTTGCACTTGGTCCCTTGCCAACGCTCTTTTTGTCCTCCGTCATAACCAAAAACCCCGGGGAAATTTGCCCAGTATGATGTCCTGTGGCCGCAGACTTGTGACCTTTGCGTCGGTCCGTCCGCGCTTCATTGTCCGCGCATACTCCTCGACTGTGCCCCGTCTGAACGAGAACCCTATCCAAGTCAACGACCCGACCCCGCGGAAGCCCACGCCGAATGTCTCCGCCACCAATGCCGAGCCTACCGACCAGTTTGGACGTCAGCGTAACGACGGTACTCTCCAGGAGGCCCCCGAGGTTGGCGAGCGCATCCGGAGCATGCAGGCCCCGAACCGTGCTACCACCTGGGCTGCCAGTCAGCAGCCGCGTGAGAAGGCCATGGTTGGACCTCGCTTTGAGCAGACAATCATGGAGGCACAGGTGCGAATCCATTGAAAACAGAAGTGGTTATGCAATTGCTGTTGGCAATGTATATTAATGACTTACGACTGACTTGCTACCTTTTAGCCGCAACCATATGCCGCTATCGAGCTCATTCACAGACAGCCTGTCCGCTGGACAAAGTCCAAGGTTGTCAGCTGTGATGGTGGCGGTGGCCCTCTCGGTCACCCCAAGGTCTTCATCAACACTGACAAGCCTGAGATCGCTACCTGCGGATACTGCGGTGTTCCCTTCGTATGTTCACTCATATCCCGCATCTTCCCGGCTACGATTGGATCTTCGCTAACATCTCTCTAGGCCCACGAACAGCACCGCGCTTACTTGAAGTCCCTGCCCGCCACTAGCTACCCCCTCGAGCCCACCGGTGATGTCGCCGAGGTGAACGAGTCCCAGCGTGTCACCGAAGGTGGCTTGGAGCAGCGATAGACGGCTAGCATGAGATTTCCTTTATCGGCGTTGCACAATTTGCGTTTTTCAATTGGTTTTGGGCCTGAGGCCGTGTACAGAAGAATATCGATGAATGGATGCACTGCCCTTCGATCGTGTGTGATGGTATTATCCTCAAAATGTGTGTACCTACTTCCGACAACCTGCATATGATGATATCATATAATCTGGGTCATATGTTGAGACTCTCGCCAACCCAAATCCCTGTTTTTTTATTATCCCGCATCACTCGTAGCTGAGGCATTCTAGATAAATCACAATTGCCCGTGCCCAGCCCCGCTATCCAGTCAAGCCTTCTGGCCCTGGATTGTCGCAACAACCTTGCGACTGTGTCGACTCGTCCGGAACTCGAGGTACCAAATTCCCTGCCATGTTCCTGTTGCCAAGCGGCCGTTTGTGATAGGGATATTGACGGAAGCGCCAATAAGCGCTGATTTGATGTGAGCCTGTGGTAAATTAGTGGCTGGTTTCGTTAGGGAGAATAAAAATAACCGCGTGAAGATAAAGTCAGGCTAGACTCTAAGCTCTTGAAACGAGCATAGCGATCTAATCCAAATTCCAAATTTCCTGCGATCTCTAAAGACATACCGGCATATCATCCTCGCCCTCGGCAGAATGGCGATACAAATTCCCCTTCTTATCCATAGGCGCAATACGGTCCAGCGCATCACTCATATCGGCGCGAACATCGTCATCCCAGTTCTCATTCAGCGAAAGCGCACAGCTGGTATGCTGCACGAACAGATTCAGCATGCCGACTTTGTAGTCGCGAATCTCGGGGACCTCCTGGAGGACATGGTCGGTGATAAGGTAGGAGCCGCGGCTGCGAGAGGGGAGAGTAAAGGTCTTCTGGGACCAAGACATGATAGTATAGAATTGAAAGAGATAGATATGCTGATATGCTGAGAATCAAGCGAAGATATTATAGAGGGGGAAAGAAAATACGAGTGTTGTGATTGGGTGGGTTCTCTGATGTCATTGCGGGTTACTCTGAGGTCCAGCATCTACTATGTCTGTATCCGTTGGGCACGAATATCTTCATTTCTCCTCTGTTAAGCAATTTGACTATCTATCCTCAAGGCGTGACAATATTTAATGCAGGGTTGGGCACTGCGATCAGGGAGGTGATACTATCCCAAGCATCCAAATCCCCAGAAGTAGTCAGTTGGTCGAGACTGGGAGATTTCCCAATCACTGTAGCTCCGACAAGCTCCACGAGTTCCTTATGATTGAGCCAGACAGTCAGGGTAGCAGCTATATTCTCCACAGGCGGAGAGGCTACGTACGGAGCTACTCGCCCAGTCAAAGCAGCATTGCTCAGCCTGAGGTGCCAGCCGGCACCAACCCCTTTGGGCTGTTCCAAGTCCGTGACCATAAAGTTAATGGTGATTTCATTCCCAAGATATTTTTCTGGTTGTTTGAACGCCTCATATCCATCGATACGGACAGCGATTGTGTCAAATAACTCATCCAGACTCAGTGCTATCAGTGACTGGGGTGCCATTACGTTGGTCACTGCCTGGGCCCCATTTTCGAGCTCAAAAGCAGCGGTGAGGTAAATTTTTCGCCAGGTGCCATTCTCTGAGCTGTATCCTAGTTCGGTGTACACAGCTGCCAGCTCCTCCTTTGCCATTCTGGCAACTTCTCCGTCCTTCTCATCGGGGTTGCTTTGAGTTGCAAAGACAAGCTTATTCAAGACAGTAGCGGCGAAGTGGAGATTCTTGTTCGCGCGATACTCCTGGGCCTTTTCAAGAACCGCTTCATTTCCACCCATACATTTGACAAATTCAGTAGATTCATCAACAGGCTTGAGCGGCCAAAGACTGGCAGGATTCCCATCGAACAAGCCTATATATCTGTCATGTACGGCTTTGACGTTGTGGCTGATTGAGCCGTAATAGTCACGCAGGTTCGTGCGCTCTTTCAGATTTGGAAGCATTTGAATCTCTTCCGCGATTTCTACCGGGGTCTTGCCATCATTGAGCTGTCGAAGCGTCTCATTGTGCAGGTAGGCGTAGTAGTCACGCTGTTCGGACAGAAACTTGACCAGTAGCTTTTCGTCATCTTGGTTCCAGGTGGGCCAGTGGTGGGTAGAGAAAACCACGTCACTCTTCTCACCAAACAAAGCAATTGACTCATCTAAGTATCGTGACCAAAGTCGTGCATCACGAACTGGGGCGCCTCGCAGAGTTTGGATATTGCGCAGTGTGTGTGTTGCATTCTCTGCCATACACAAGGCATTGTAGTCGGGGAACAAAAAGTTCACCTCTGCAGGGGCCTCAGTTCCAAGGGTCAATTGGTAGATAATCTGTAAACCTTCAATGCCTGGGTTCAAAATTCCATTTTGAAGAATGATCTAGGTTGGTGCCAGGAGAGAGGAAGCGCCAGTGGATAAGGCCTGTCCAAGTCCACAGCCAATCTGGCCTATCGGGGATTTGTCCAGGGTGGTTCCGTACATGTAGCTAGATCGTCACGCCATTGCTGGACCGGCATAAGCGTTTTCACTGACAGCATGCTCAAGGAAGCCATCGGGACCGATAATTTACAGAGCACCACCGGCTTTGGTGGCGATGTCACTGATTTCCTGGGCACCGCCAAAATGATCCACATGGCAATGCGTATACAAAAGACTTTTGATTTCTGGGTCTTGGCCGTTTCTGTCTCTGTGCTCCTCCTGGTAGAGTTCAAAAGCCTTGCGCGCGGTCTCTATCGAAGTCAAACAGTCGATGATGATGACTCCATTCGACTTTGGGATTTGGACAATGGTCATGTTGGCAAGGTCAAAGCCACGAATTTGATAAATCCCATTGGTCACGAAATAAAGACCAGCTGTTACACTGTAGAGTTGTCCTTGCCTCCATAGTGACTTGTTTGCAGTATCGGGGGAGTCCTCTTGGAGGAACGCATACGCTTCAGCATCCCGGACGAGTTCCCCCGTTGTGTCCGAGGTGATGTAGGGATGTTGAGGTGTTCGCACGAGACCCCGAGAAGCAAATTTGAAGTCATGATTGTCATTTTCGACAACTGAAGACTACGGGATTGCCATGATGAAGAAAGAATAAAGGTGAAAAGTGCGAGTGTTTGCAGGTCGGAGTCTGATAGTTGCTTCGTGGTTCCTGGTTTGACACTTATTATTATATACTAGACTGATATTTGCCTTTTCTTCTTTCTAGTCTGTAAACAAATCAAAACCCCTCATTCTCTGTCTTAACGAATCCCTGCTCTCAGCTCTAGTGTCTACAGCCATACAGCTGTAATATAGATGTGTATCATGCATCTAAATATCTCGTGTAATATGCATACAGCATAGAGGTTGGCCAAGTTTGTCTTCCAATATTATTTAGCAGGAAAGCTCGGATTATCTCGGACCCCTTCAAATAAAGCAACTTTCAGCCAGCCTTGAAGGCTTTCCCGCCAATTTATGATCCATACAATGGCAACCCGCCAAGCCGTCAGCAAAGCTAGCACGACCAACTCCATCAGTTTCGTCCATCAATAATAGGAAAGTAACAATGGTTGGAACGTGTCGAGTTACTGAGACTTATAGGGACTTATACATACTAATAGTATACTCCGCACTCTGCTGTTTATTTTACTCATTCTTTGTTTTTTCAATATGTTTGGCTCTATATCAGCTCAGTATTATATAGCTATCTCTCAGGTTGTACCTACTTCTGTTTCTTCCTGGAGTTACCCCGCTGTGATACATAGTTGCATAAATAGTTCTACCTGGTCGGGGAGAGGGGAGGAATTTAATTGGATTGGTGTGACAGCTGGGGAGGGTAAATCAGGCTAGGCTCAGCTACTTTGCTTTTCTGTGACGAAATATCTTGAGATTGGTTTTGTTGTCGATTAGAAGACACTTCCTCACAATTATCGGATCACATCATCTTTGGAACAAGCAACTCTAAGCCAGCAGGTAAAGCCTAGGGTCTGTTTCACTTATACTCTGTAGATGGAATTTCATTGAAACTTAATGCCATCACTAGTACGGAAGACATACGGAAATCATATCTTTATGTGATACATCCATGTAATTAAGAAGTCCGATCCCATTCACATCAAGATACAACTCGCGCGTTTCTTTGGCAGCAATGTAGTCGAAACACTATGCATCCACACCATAAGGTGGCAAGTATTGCTCATCTGCAAACAATTCCACTAGATGGTATCGACGATGCGCTGTGAAGAGCATGATCATTCCCTAGGTGAAATTTCTAACCAAGGCGAGTAGCGATGGGCTACTCTGAAGGAATTTATAAGCCGACTTTGTAACCTACAATCGATTGTCAGTAATCTAGACGCAATATTAAGAGCTAGAAACCTACAGTAGGAGTATAGCTCGTGAGGTATCGCAAGACATCCAAATGCTGGACATGATGCGTGTTGGCGAAATTCGCCACGAAATTGCCCGTTTCATCGTCGAGACAGAATTCTTTGTAATATGACAATATGTCATTAGTAAAATCAATGAAGAGCACAAGTTCCAGGGTGATAGGGAAGTATTGCATCATGTATTCCTCTTCGGGGAAGATGGAATTGGGATATAGCAAATGGACCATGATCTCTGCACCCCCGACCTTGGTCCTCAAGAACATAAGCATGAGACGGGACTCGGGGGAGAACTTGAAGCTGGACTGTTTGATCTTATGCTCAATGATACGGCCATTGATATAATCAAGCATGGCTTTAATTATTACAGAGTGGCAGTATGGACCATAATAATGCGAGAAGTTGCGAAGGTGGGAATCCAACCCAGCAAGCATAGGATGGCTGTGACGTTGATTCAGAGTAAAGCTATCCAAATCAGCCTACAGTTGAGTACAGTTAAGCACTTGCGATGGAGTCCAGATGTTGACTCACTTTTGACCAAATGCTTGAAGATCGCCCATAAATCCCTCCGCCACATCATCCAGTAAAAACATATAGAGGAACTGAATGGCAGATAGCACCCTCACCTGGAATGGAAGAGACGTATAACCCATATATGCAAAGTTCACCGAAGGATCAAGCGTTTGTTGGACCGATTTCTCAATCTTCTCTCCTAGATCCAGACTTTTGAAGTACTGCCAAACAGCGTTTCTCATCTCATGGTCTTTAATCACGACAATGCTGCGATCGAAGTTGATATTCTCAAGAAAGGTCCTGACCAGCGACTTAATTTGATCGATTTGAGCCTTTCCCGAATTAACACCTGTTCCACCAGTCTCAATTGATGTCATCTGAAGTCCATGATAGACGAGTTTGCTTTCTGCGAGAACAGGGTCCATATTGTCAATTCAACGGCAAAGATGTATCAGCAAAAGAAGTAAAGGAAACTGTTCAAAGTGAAAGTGTCACAGGCTCAGACTAGATGTGATAGAAAGAAGTTTAGGGAAAGGCAAAGATTCTCCCCCAGTTTTGGTCACTTGATGCCGTTACACGGGCAAGATATATATAGCTCAATGAGTAGCTCATGTGGGTAACATATGGAAATATAGGTATACAGTCAGTCTTTAAAATCATCGGTATCTTCGATACACCCGATAGATGATATCAGGTGCAATTCTCGTCCAACTTTACTTAACTGCAATCTCAAATTGCCACCAACATATCAGATCTATGGGAATAGGCCGTTTATTACAACCCTAGGACCTGATCATTAATTGTTAGTTAAATCCTCCAGGGCGTATCGGTACGTTCATCTGATTATTTCATAGCTAAGTGATCCGATGGTGTTGAATCCGACATATTTACGAAGATCACCCGCTTGCCCTAATTTATACCCTTGTATTATCCCAGTACAAGGCAGAAAAGGCATACAAATTGGCCAATATCCCCACTCTACATGAGTAATCTCTGTCCAAGTTACCCCATACTTGAAGTGAAAGAGATCAGCGGCCACTCTCGCTTGCTTCTCCTGGCGTTTCTTTTCAACAACTTCTAAAATCAGCAAAGAGAGATGACTTCTACAACGTATTCTTCTCAAACTTCTCTGGTCAAAATGTTAGCCTCTCCACCGAAGATATCCCTACCAATGCTTGGAACAAATAGCGAAGAGATTGAAGTTGTCGATTTTGATCTTTGGGTTGACTTGTCAAAACGAGCGGAAATCGAATTTGGGGAATTCATAACAACGAACTCAAGTAAGAGTGACTCTTGGAACTACCACATTAGTGAGCCAAGTGGCAGTTTTAAGACGATATCGCCTGGCTGGCCAAATGACTGGTTTGGTGGTGGTAATAGTGAGAGAAGACATAGTCCCTCACCCAAATGTCTCTTTGGCACCATTGCAACAACAATGATAGTTTACGCTGGACAATGCACAAAATTGTTTCCCCAAGCGATGGCAGATAATTCTTTTATAAAGGCCACACGGCGAGGCTAGCACATCAGATTGCATATGGCGGGTGTATCAAGGTTGAAATCGACTCTCCACCCACGGAGTATATTTTGCCCAAGGAGGATATTGCGGTGTTTTGGGTGGAATGGAGCCTTAGGCTGTTAACTTCGGAGAAATCATGGGGCTAGATAGTAATGAACGCTTTTATCGTTGTTAGTAACGCTCTAACACAGTCCTGGTATCTTGCTGTCATTCTAAGCTGCATAGCTCTGATCAGCGCGCTAGCGGTGGAGCATGGCAAGATGAAAAAGAGGACTTGAATTTCGAGCAGTTCCCACTGACTCTGTGGATCCCTTCGAGGATTGATCAACTGGTCAAAATGTTATAAGGCTTTAATTTTGGTGCTCAAAACTATTTATAATATGTATAATATGTATGTTGTTATTTCATATCCTAGATTCCAAGTACCTGGACGTGTTTTCCCAGTGAAACTACGCTCTGGTTTATCATTCGTCAATTCCCTATTTCCCCTTCAGGCTTTTGTCGGATGGTAGATCTACCGAGAAGTCTTCAGGCCCCCCTGGGCCAGTGAGCGGGCTCGGCAGTGCTAGCTCGAATATAGGAATTTTCCAGATGCTATCCTTGTCATAACTGGAGATTTAAAAAAAAACAATACATGGCAAAGACCCAAATAGATCAGAGATCTTACATAGTTATGTAATTATTGTTTATGTGAGACAAACCCCTCATTTAATTAGCGTACTTCTGTCACAAACTGCGGGGAACACTCTGCTATGACTTCGTAAGGTCTTCTAGGAGTCCCTCAATTATTTCCTCTGCATTTGGATGTTTAGATATTCTTCATAAAACATGAGTTCCTCAGATCCCACCTCTCTGCTAGTGGCAGCAGCAGTCCCGGCATTCAAATGTCCTGCTGGGACAAAGATGCACATTCTGAACTTGGGCTCCCTTCAAGCAGATGAATCATGGTTTGTATTTGCTGCCAACTCGTGGATTTCCTGCTAATATTGCACAGGATCTTCAGAGGTGGCAATGCAAGCTCCTTGAGCAACCTTAATCCAGTGAACAAACGTCGAAATTTAGTGCTCCTTTCAGCTCTCATTGAGTACCCTGGAGTTGGCCTTATCCTTTATGAGACGGGCTGTGCTGAGGATCTAGACGTGGTTTGTCACATCGTATCCCTATCTTCATTATGTATCACTAAACGAAATACAGAAATGGCCAGCACCAGTCACAGATGTCTTTCCACGAGTTGAATACTCTGAGAACCATAAGCTCCCTAATGCTATCAAGGCCACTGGGAACGACATCAAGGACGTGAAAGCGGTAGTCATTGGCCATCTGCACCTTGATCATGCCGGAGGACTTGAACATTTTGCGAACACGGATGTCCCAATCTATGTCCATGAAGAAGAGTTCAAGCACGCTTGCTGGGCGGTAGCAACCGGGGCTGACTTAGGTGTCTATCTAGGGCACTATATGTTGCTCGAGGAGCTGAAATGGAACACCTTCAACGAGTCACAACTCGACCTTTGGCAAGGTATAACACTCCACCATTCACCTGGTCACACACCTGGACTCTGCATCATGCAAGTCAATCTTGCCAACGATGGACCCTTTATTTGGACCTCGGACCAGTTTCACGTTGCAGAAAACTATGATCTGGGTCATCCCCACGGAGGCTTAGCTAGGGATCACAATGCGTGGTATCGCAGTCTCAACATGATTCGCAGACTTCAAAGACTGTACAATGCAACGTTGATTTTCGGCCATGACAAGGAGGTTGCATACAAGCTCATAAATGCGAAGCCGTACTATGAGTGAAGATCTACACTTCAAGCTTGCTGTCGGTCTGCTACTCGATCAAATGAAAAATTGTATCCTTTCAGAGCTAATCTCGTTCAACGCTAGTGTGTATATTGGCTTGACCCGGGTTGTTAAAGAAGCGGAAAAGAGCGGGGAATAAATTCGAGGGTATTCTCATAATCATTTTCATTGAACATCCCAGGCCATCGAGGAGAGTAAATTGATCAAATACTGTATGGAATTTTGGAAGTCTTGGGCCCTACGAGTTGTAGGGAACAATGGTGGAAAGAAGCAGAGCTCCCGACTATCTCCCTATGTAGAAATTGTCCGACTACTCCGTATGGTGGAAATGTATGGGTCCAATGAATGGTATTCAACTCTCCGTATTGCTGTATTGACTTCCTGGCAATTTATACTGTCCTGATTACATAAGAAATATTACTGCATACTTAGGATTAATAAATCCTCCGGTATCCTGGTGTATCTGCGCCGACACACCCCCTCAGCGGTCCCAGTATGCTTGCTGAGATCGCTGTATCATCTTGTAATTCCTAGTCTATAAGATGGCCTATATCAACCATGTTGAGCAGTCGCACGAAGTTCTCATGCTTTTGCCGAGTGAGCAATTTGGTGAGGCCATCAGCAACCATGCTTGCTGTAGGCACCCAGCGCACCCGTATTCGACCCTGTTGGACTTCCTGGCGGAGCCAATGGTGGTGAATATCGATATGTCGAAGCTTCGTTTCAAAAGCTGTGTCCTCGCTTGTCAATAAGCTGATAGTCCTCTCGTTATCACAGTCGATTGTTAGGTGGTGTGACGGAGTAAAGGCGAGGTTTTGAAGCAATCGGCGCCACTATTGGAGCTGCTTTCCTGCCTCCGATAGGCCGAGTAGCTCTGCTTCTGTGGTTGACGTTGTCACTGTGGGTTGCTTGCTTACTTTCCAGTCAATTGGACCGCTGTATACTTGATAGATATACCCAGCTGAGCTTTTTCTATCCGGGTGGTCTCTATACGAAGCGTCACTTACAAACTGCACCGAGTCGGTCCCAGTATTGGCTGTTCCGTACTCAATCGCTAGGTTCTGGGTAGAGTAGAGGTAGGTGATAACTCGATCAGCTGCTTACTGGTGCTGTGGACCGGGGTTCGTGAGAAATTGCGCGAGCTTCGCGGTCGCCTTTGCAGCGTCGGGCCTAGTGATAATAGTGGTATACCCTGCTGAGCCTACCTTTTGCTGGTATAGCAGGATTTCCTTTGGCGTTGCCACCCCCTGAAAAGGGGTCAATTCCTTAACCGGCAGTGGAGTATAGACTGGTGCCCTTTCTGTTAAGTGATATCGGGTAGCAATGCTTATTATATAGCTATCTTGATATAACTAGAGCTTCTTTTGTTACCGGTCTCGAATGATTCGTATATTTAGGAACTATACTGCTTCTCTATGATCGGTTAGTTCCCAGTGTGCTTCGAGATCTCGCTCTAATTGCTGTGCCTGCGCCTTTGTATTGGTATAACTGGCGATTAGGATATTATCTATATAGAAGAAAACCAGTAGTCCTTTTCCTATAAAAACGCATAGGTCTTCTGGTACTTGCTGTAGACCTAGCTTGCGGAGTACGCTTACTGCTTCTTGCTGCCAAAGTTGTGGTAAGATCCGTAGACCGTATAGCGCGCGACGTAACTTCCAGTATTTATCTAGGTTTTGAAATCCCTTAGGTATATACGTATACGTCTCTTAGTCTAACTTGCTGTTTAGGAACGCGGTGACAGTATCTCTCTGTCTTAGGTCAAGATCAAAGGCAGCAACCAAGGCAAAAATTATCCTCGCTGTTCTTGCTGCTAGCGTAGCAGCTCTCTTTTCCTCGTGAGAGATGGTTTCAAGGTCTCCGCGTATATAGATACGGGCCTTAAGCTTCAAAAGGTACCCGTCCTGGTCAAATTTGTATAAGAACACCTATAAAAGAGGGAGAATCTGCTTCCCTCGGTCTCTTGGTTTCTTAATAACCTTAAAAGTCCCCTTTTCAGAGAGGGAGTTGATCTCCTTCCTTATCGCTGCGAGAAAACCTTCCTGAAATAGGTGGTTTATTATATCCTTCCAGTATTTTGGCGGTGGTGGGAGGTCGTCTCGGTGGCGGCGAGTGTCTGGTTTCTCAGCGTATAAGCCAGCGGCAAAAGCATAGAGTAGCGCCGGCGGTTCCACTTCTTGGGTGGTGCTTATCGCGTAGGCGAAGTCTTTTTCCTGCCTTACTTGGCGTCTACGCCTACCACTGAGTATATTGCTGGTATCTATATCTCCGATTATCTCTCTTCTCGGAGCTAGTAGCTCTGCCTAAAGTTGCTTCTCTAGTTCGTCTTTAGTGGTTTTAAGATCCGCTTCTTCTTACTGGATCTAGTCCCTTTGATCTCCCTCGGTATCCACCCCCTAACCAGAGCCAGTATACCTCTCTTGCTCCTGCGGTGGGGTGATTGGTAGTGGTGGTAGGGGCTGTTCAATCGGAAAGGAACCTAGTAGTGCTTGTGGTGGAGGGTCTGGGGTCGGCCAATATAACCTATTACCTACCCCCTGGACTGGGGTAGTCCCTCGTTGGTTAACTGTTATCTTTTAGACCTCTGCTTATTGCGGAACCTCCTTTTACTGCTGTACTTGCTGAGGCTCCTGTGCTTCCTATAGATCCTGAGTCCTCTCTTCTATTGTACTAGTCTCCTCTTGACTAGTAATTTAGTGGTTTATCACCTGTACGACCTCCTTAACAGTGAGTTCCTGTGGTCCCGTTATAGCTGGTAGTGGGATAGGCTGATATTTCTTATAATTAGGGGTATATTTTTGTGTCTCGTCAATAACTGTATCCCTGATATACCTCACTTTCCCACTATATAGGAACCAGATCTTCCAGATATTCGAGGTAAGGTATCCCACCACGAAGCCAATCTCTGCACGTAGGTTTATCTTATCGGACTGTACTTGCTTCTCAATCCTGCAGTACACTAAGCTTCTATATAACCTAATATTTGATAGGTTTATCCTCGGCGCCTGTGGTGCGACTTCCTTCCTCACTTCCTCCTATGGTACTACCCACCGATTCTCGGCGGCGATATACGTTGGTGTACGATTTAATAACTATACAGCGGCGCTTGCGAACTCCGGCTATAGCTCCTTTGGGAGGTTCCCTTCGAGGGCGAGTATACGTATCCGGGTGATAATCATTCCACCTAATCTCTCAGTATACCTATTTATCTCTGAGTGCCCTGGGGGGGAGTGATATATCAGGATACTATCTCTTGTGAGACTATACTCCGCTGCTCTGCTAGCTGCTACTTTATTGTTGTAGTGGAAGGCCTTGATTGGCAGCTTCTACTGATTTCTTATAAGTTGTACAAACTGGTTGATAGCCAATTGACATTTAGGTTTCACTTCGTAAGTCATGATCCAGTGGAATCTCGGTCCTTCTAGGTAGAAGTAGGATATCCAGCGGTGCTTATTGTAGGCTGGCTGCAGCTGAATTAGGTCGAAATACACCCTTCTAAAACGTCCAAAGGTACGTCCAACTTATCGTCTTGAAATCTACCTCGGAGCACTTTCTGTCTTATAGGTCTGATATAGAGATTCTTGCTCTGTGCTTGCTCCTCCTTTATCGTCAAGAATAACGCTGTCTACTATAGTAGTAAGCTTTGCTACGGTCCGCGGTTAAATGTGTGCTAGGCGTCGGTGCTAAATTTCAGAGGAAGCCCTTGATTCCTATGGCTTCACTGATTTCCGTTGTGCTTGCTGCACAGTATATACTTGTTGTGGCGGAGCCTCGCCTGGCTTATCAAAGATCTAGAGATTGAATTGATCCTATAGGTTCACACAGACGATAGGTCTATTATTTGGGTCCCGTATACAGTTTGTACGTTAGCACTAGAGGCCGCCTTTCTTCTTTAGTATCGCGTATAACACGAGACTTGTATAGAAACTTGGTGAGTATAGAGCGTCGCTTAAGGTGATCTCTATCCTTCCCTTTACTGGGTGTCTCCCTAAAAGTCTGACTTTGCCTCTCCCTAGCACCTACGTGGTACTATCTCCGGTTATTAGGTCAATTATATCAGGTGTGAAGTCGACGAATAGGGCTCGGTTATTGCAGATATACGCACTTAATCCGGTAGCAAGAATCCACCGGTCACGGAGGGAGGGCTCGCCTACCTTTACTACAGAGAGTACGTGCTTACTAATCTGTATAGCTTCACTTGGCTTGCTTTGAAAAGTGGTTACAAAGCTGACTTAGTTGGCGGATTCGGCTGGTTTTTCCTGTGCTTACTGAGCTTGCTGAGCTTCAGCTATCACTTTATCCACCTATTGCTTCTAAGTGTGGTCCTTTCCTAACTTCTTCTTTGCTTTCTCTAGTTTCCCTTCGTTTAGGGTATACCCTTCTGGCCGAATCGCTTCGTTTAGGAGCCAGTAAGTAGCAACTTTATACTTCGGGTGTGAGCTACTATAAGGGCAGTGTCTCTTCTCAAACGGAAGCTTCTCTTACTTTGTTTCCGGTTTCGCCTTTTAGTGACCTTGCTAGGTCGAGAAAGCGCCTTTTAGAGGAGTGGTTAATAACACCACCTGTGCTCCTATCTCGCGATTTATCGCGCGGAATGATTCAAGGAGATCTCGGGTATCGTACACCTTCTTTTCTATCACTATTTCCTGGTATTTACCTTGCCACTATATAGGTAGAACTTCTTTCACAGCGTGTAGGAAGTCCCTATTGGTATCTCCGTCCTTAATACCAAGACTAACCGCTTACTCCCTTAGCGAGTTCTACTTTTGGAGCCACTTGTCGATATCTCTAGTCGGCTTCTGTATTGCAAACACTTTCCAACTTATTCGGATTTCCTCCTTATACGCGGTCGATCGAGTGAACCGAGACTTCAGATATATAAGTCTATTATACGGTGTACGATATATGATCAGTGCGAGGTGGTGTACTGGGTCAAGATAGGTAAGGATATATTCATTTATATCACTCAGTCCCTTTGCTTGCTTCTCCTATCGAGTATAGCTTATTTTATATACGTCTGCTTGGTCTCTCTATTTCCTTCGATCTGTTTCGGTGCCCTCTTCAGGATATTCTGGTTATACCGGTTCCTTTAGAGTATCAGGTCGTTCAGTTGACGGGGTATCCGGGTTGCAGTGATCCCAGACATTTTTTTGCATTGCGTATAGCTGCACCTTCGCAAACCAGGTGAGCCATTGCGGTGTATCCTTCAGTTTATCGCCCTTTATGGCGGAGAGAATCGATGCTGTTTCTATTGCTGGATACTGTGTTGTTTTGATGTGAAACAAGGGATGACTTTCTGCGGAGTGGCTTCGTGGAGGTTTATAAGACAGTTTCTAGCAAGTTGCTAGGTACTATATGCCGATATAGTAGTCTTATTCAGTGCGAACCGGGCTCATAACTGTCCGACTACTCCGTATGGTGGAAATGTATGGGTCCAATGAATGGTATTCAACTCTCCGTATTGCTGTATTGACTTCCTGGCAATTTATACTGTCCTGATTACATAAGAAATATTACTGCATACTTAGGATTAATAAATCCTCCGGTATCCTGGTGTATCTGCGCCGACAGAAATTGGGTGTCTGAGGCACCAAAACTTGTGGCCTAAGGCCATTACAAGCTTGAAAGTGAGTATTTCCGGAATAGGAAAGTGGATCAATAATTAAAAGATCTGACCAACCACAAGCGTTGTTTTGAACCCTATGTCCTTTGGTTCCATGGTTTTCGGTAAGAGTCACTCTGATGTGCTGAACTCATCTGCTTGATCTGAAGCCTGACGTCCTAGGTTACTCTATCTATCGAGACAAGCCGCGCCTCAGTTGAATTTCCCTCTGGGAAGATCTGAGCCGTCAAAGAAACCTCTCCTTCACCACCCAAGACTTCAACGCTGGACCAATCGACAAAGATCTGCAAGTTGATAGGCTTATCCGCGCGTGATGGCAGTGATCCGTGATACAAGCTTGCAAAGGTCTTGTCGAAAGATACATCTCTCGAATTTCGCCTATCCATGAATACCTCTTTGCTGGTAAAGTTGTACCCGATGAGTGCTTCTTGCTTGAGGTCAGAGCTAGTACGGACAGCTATCGCAAACGTCGATGCCAGAGAATCATCGTAGTCGTGATCGGAAAAGCTCAAATCGATATTGAATGCTCTGCCTGGGGGTTCAAGGCGGGTTGATCCTTTCGGTACAGATTTCCAGGAATGTTTGAAGGTCTGGTGGTTGACAAGGTTGACGACCCTCCGCCAGTTCTGTTGCGGTTGTTGAAGTAAAATCACCTCTTTTTCAACTTTCTTCAGAGACAACTGACAGGGAACAGACATGGCGCTTCGCCAAGCGCTTGTGGGGATCACCTCGCCATACTGCCAATTATTCATCCACGCGATCTGGACTACGTCTCCATCGGGAAGTCCGTTATAACTGGTGGCAGCATAAAAGTCCGGACCCCAATCCATCCAGTTTGCAGAATTATTACCTGGATGGATGCTAGCAGAATCCGGCTTGAAAGTGGTTCCCTTGAAGTCGCCAATGAAGTATTGCGTGCCTGATCCGACCGTGCCAGGTGGTCCACCAGGATTGAGTCCTAAAACTATTACCCATTTCTTAGCTGATGGGTCTCCTTTGATGGGCAATTCAAACATATTGGGACATTCCCACACGCCACCGACAGCATTATATGGTCCGAACTCGCTGGCTAAAGACCACTCTTTGAGATTATCAGAACTCCATATTAAGATTTTGTGGAGTGATGCCAAAACTGTGACGGAGATCCATTTCTGTGTATCGCCATGCCAGAACACAAAGGGATCCCGGAAGTTCTCGAATTCTGCTGCATAAGGAGATGGTGGGTTGTGAATCACGGGGTTCTCGGCATCATATCTTGTCCAAGTCTCGCCCTCATCAAGGCTATAGGCGATTGACTGAGATTGCTGCTCTGCACGGACATACTTCCCGCTTGGCAGTTCTTGGGAGATAGGATACTTCATGAGAAACAGGTGTTAGTCTCCATGACTGATTAAGTGAAAATAGTGATGCATACCGAAGAAGTATACATGGCGACCAAAGGAATCTTTCCCTCGACTCCGAATCCACTAGTGTTGTTCACATCTGCTACCGCACTTCCTGTGAAATACATCTTGGTGACATTTTCGGGATATCCGCGAGCAAGGAGAGCAACAGGCCGCTCATCCCAGTGGGTCAAATCCCTACTCGTTGCATGACCCCACGACATATTCCCCCATTCAATACCAGCGGGATTGTACTGGAAGAAAAGATGATAGGTGCTATTGTGATATAACAGTCCGTTGGGATCATTCATCCAGTTCTTGGCAGGGGAGAAATGGTATTGAGGACGATATGGTTCGGTATAGTTTAGGCCGAATGCCGTCCCGGCGAGAAGACTAAGGGCCGGAAAGAAAATATTCATCTTGGAATTTGAAGAAGCTCTGCAAAGAAAATCTATTTTATTTCATGAGAAGAATTCATACGAAATTTATATCTGAGAAAATTCCTTATCCCACACATGTTATAGTTCTTGGCATACCCCATGGGGATTCCACTTACTCTATAAAACTTCGGGGAAATATATACTAGGGATTCAGCTCGGCGCAGACTCGCAAAAACGCCGAGTAGATCTACAAGGTTGCTCAAATGGAAAGGCTCGCTTGTATAATCAGATAATTTTCAACCTCTATCAACTCGCCAACCTAAGAGAGACCCCAAAGTGCTATATTATTTCTTTAGAGAATCAGTTATTAGTTCCTTTCATACCATTGCGTATACTCTCCAGGATTTATCTTTATTTTTCCTATTCCATATTTATCCTAAGTATATATCCCCTTAGATAATGTCTGAGTATCTTACAATCAGACAGCCAAAGAAGAAATGCGCCAATAGGTGAAAGGATGATGGCCTTATATCCTAGACTAATGCCCTTAGGTCCCAAATATGTCAACAAGGGAGCTAAAAGAAGGTTAGCCAGGCAATAGACTTCCGACTCGGAAAAGGGTCCAAGGTCTCGCGAAATTGGTATAAATTACATGTACTACTAACCAACTATGTAACTAACTAACTAGTAATTAGTTAACGTAATCCACTACCGAGTGACGCACACTACCGAGTGACGCACCCCCTCCCAAAACGCGTCAATTAATATAACCCTCTCTCTTCAACCACCCACTATGCCACCAATTCGTTCTCGATCGTCTAAAGATTCAACCGAGCAAGAGGGTAGGATCTTATTAGCTATCCAAGATTTTAAGAATGAAAAATTCTCTTCAATTCGTGAAGCTGCGCGCTGTTTTAAAGTGCCTGAGGCTACCCTCCGCCGCCGCCTCCGGGGTGTTCAAAACCGCGCGATTTTACGCGCTAACTCACATAAACTGACTGAGCTTGAAGAGCAATCTCTTGAAAAATGGATACTCTCTATGGATCTACGTGGAGCAGCCCCCCGGCCTGCTACTGTACGAGAAATGGCGAATCTTCTTCTTGAAAAGCGCGGATCTAGCCCGGTTCTTTCGGTTGGCGAAAATTGGGTTACAAAATTTGTTAAACGACGTCCTCTTCTCTCCTCTCGTTTCTCGAAACGTTATAACTACGAGCGTGCGAAATGTGAGGATCCAAAAATTATAAAGGAGTGGTTTGATCTTATTCAAAAAACTATCCTACAATTTGGGATCGATCCGGATGACGTTTATAACTTTGATGAGACGGGTTTTGCGATGGGATTAACGGCGACTGCGAAGGTTATTACGAGAAGCGAATACTACGGTCGGCGAGCACTTTTACAACCTGGAAATCGTGAATGGGTGACGGCTATTGAGTGTATAAATGCTACTGGTTGGGCCCTTCCACCGTGTGTGATTTTTAAAGGCAAAGTCTTTATTGAATCCTGGTTTGACGGCCTCCCGGACGATTGGCGATTTGAGGTTAGTCCTAATGGATGGACCTCTGATGAAATTGGACTTCGCTGGTTAAAAAAGCTCTTTATTCCTACCACTTCTATACGTATGAAGGGGGTATATCGGCTTTTGATACTTGACGGCCACGGAAGTCATTTAACCCCGAAGTTCGATGAAATCTGTGAAGAAAACAAAATTATACCGATCTGTATGCCTCCGCATTCCTCTCACCTTTTACAGCCTTTGGATATAGGCTGTTTTGCGGTGTTAAAACGCTCGTACGGCCGGCTGGTTGAAGCAAAAATGCGGGTTGGGATAAATCATATTGATAAACTTGATTTCCTCGAAGCATACCCTCTCGCACGAATTGAAGCTTTTAAATCAGAGACTATTAAAAACAGCTTCGGAGCAGCTGGTTTAGTCCCTTTTACACCGGAGAGAGTGATTTCGAGGCTTGATATTCGTCTTCGAACCCCTACCCCCCCTTCTAGCCGGGGTAGTGATTGGGATCCAAAAACACCTTCGAACTATGTGCAATTGCAAAAGCAAGCCTCCTCAATAAAAGCACTACTTCGTACGAGATCAAGGAGCCCCCTAGCCCGCTCAATTCCGCTATCAACCAGGTTTTAAAAGCCTGCCAGATCACGATGCATTCCGCCGCACTACTAGAGAAAGAAGTGAGCGATTTACGCGCTGAAAACGAGAAGAAAAAGCAAAAGCGAACCCGATCTACAAGGACGATAGTCCACGAAGGGGATCTCTCAGTTCAGGATGTTCGTGAGCTACGTTCAGAGCCATTTGAGGCTCAAGTAGCGCGTATCAACAACTATCGTGAGCAGGTTTCGGAAGGTTTAAGGCCGCCCCCCCAGGCTGGACGAGCATGTGGAATATGTAGGAAGCCAGGACATAGGAGAGAGACATGTCCAGATAGATGATGATTTTAGTTTATTTAATTTAATGGCGTTTTGGTTGAGATAAATGCATTTGAATTCAGGAAGTTGGGTGGGGGTGCGTCACTCGGTAGTGTGCGTCACTCGGTAGTGGATTACGTTAACTAACTACATAGTTACCAGAACAGGATGACATAATAGAATACAACAAGGATTTCAAAACCAAACAGTGGTATTTGGCTGAAAACAAGGGCTTCCTACTGAGGCACATTCCACCGCTTGACCTGTGATCTGTAATTATGTATAAAGAGATCTGAGGCACCAGTGAACGCCTCAGGTTGTAAAAGTAATTTATTCTTTACACATTTCTTCTGAGTCCTTGAACCCTCGAACTTTTATTTACCTCATTGTCTACGGAGTAGACTGATGGCAACCAAACTGGTGGTATGCATCGCATTATATGCTGGAATTGAGCACTGTAGTTATCGCTCTAGCTCATTCATTATATGGGGTACCCAATTGGTGGTCTCTGAATATACAGATGGTACCAACGTGGGAGGATCCTATAATCAATAACTGATCTATAATATTATTTTGGAGGCTATTAACAGTCGACAACTTGGAATGGCAAAAAAAGACCGCTTACCGAGGGTGAAGGACCGGTTCTCCCGGCCCTTTCAATGATGATGCGCAAGTTCGCCCATTTTATGGCCCGAAGGCATAGCGCTCCTGCATATGTATCCTGCCCCGGGCAAAAGACTCCGGGAATCACTAATTGGGCCTTACCTTCGGTCCGGCATGGATGGAATGTTTATGCCGATTGCTCTATTCCTGATATCCTACCAACCCCCACTGTTCTCTCAGGTTCAAATAAGGATGGCTGTTATAAAAGAATGTATCTATCCGCGAATAGAGAGCCCAAGACAGAGATACAGCTTTCAATCGTGATTCATATCAGTACCACCCCGCCAATTTGAGCAGAATGAGTCCTCCTGTTATCAACTTCCCCAGCTTGCAGCCGGCAATCGTATGGAAGGTCCATGCTGGAGCTGTTCACCCCGTTGGTATGCAGACAAAATTTCCCCCAGATACACCACAAAAATAATGAAAAGACCCTCGTCGCTGATCCATACGTCTTCCCATCCCTCTAGGTCAACATCACAGTGGATCAACTATGATACATTTTGTAAGTCGGTATGAATCCTGTGGAACAATAAATGGCTAATTATAAGGAAGGAAACCCCTACGGGCATTATTGAGACAGTTGAGGGATTTGAGCCGAAGTTTACAGCCAAGGTTGTGTTTGGGGCTGACTGGCTCGAGTTTGATCCTGATCAGAAACACGCACGGATCAACATGAAGGCCATTGCGACGTACGTTCCTTTGAATCCCATAGAATCGGTTTATTTACCTTCACCTCTGACATTTGCACTCCAGAACCGAGGAGGGAAAGGATGTCAGTTTTGGATACACTGGGGTTATAGATCTCAACGAGCCCGTGATGAAAATCTTCAACCAGACGCCAGACTCCGTGGGCGTGCCATTTGGATTTAGCAGTGAGTTTTGCCAACTTCAATTAGAGTGGTGATGCTAATTTTGTATTTTTTAGCCGGGGCACACGTATTCTTTAGCGGTGATCCCAGTCTTAAGGAGCTAGAAAATATGACACTGGTTGGCAACGGCCGAATGCTGGTCGATGAGGAGACGCGCCTGATAACAGTGGAGTCTCGGATCTCGAAGGTAGTTGCTGCAACCGGATTTGATTAGTCTGTACCTATCTGAGTCCGAATATACCTCTTGATCACAAAGGAAAAGCTATTTCCATCTTGGGGGGGGGGACGGGGGATTCTCGGTCAATTTTGCCCGAAACTGAGCTAATGAGCGCGTAATAACTCCCTTGTAACCCGGGCTTTTGTTAGCCGCGGCGACTGGGCGGAAGAGGCCATTAAGCCTTCCTGTCTCTTTTATATAACGGATCAGTATGTGAGCCTCGAGTCAATCATCTTCTACGTCGGCCAAAATGTCGAGATATTACATTGAAATACCGGGTGAAAGTATCATACCTGAAGCACCAGACATCGAATACTTTACCATACAAAAGCGTATATTACCATTAGTCATCGTCCACACAGCCCTGGAGATTCCAAGGTTCCAACCAAGGTTGGAAGGTTGTGAAAAACCTCCAGGGCTTGGAACGCGGATTTTGTCATTTTAGTTCAGACTTACTGTATGTATGTAAGTATGTATGCATATATTACTATATAGTAATGTTGACATTACCATACCTTGCTTTACACATTGATTTCTGGCACAACATCGACACGGAGAACGAGAATGACCCACGACCAGTACCACAGCCGCAGAGCTGGCCCTAATTTTTTGGGTGTGGAAATATATAACAAGTGACTTCCCTATGGTCAATCCAAGACAAGCAACATCTTGATAGCTGTTTCTCTGGCCAAAAAATAGGCTCCAAGGGCCTCATGGCGTATAATTCGCATGCAGGAGTTGTTTTCAGCACCATCCTTGCGAGAGACGTCGACTGGACTATTGACCTCCCCAAATTGCGTAACTATATATGCTAGATATGGACTAATCTTACTTGGCTAATTGTCCGCAGATGCTGTCGACATATTTCTAGGGAATGAAAAGTATTGGATGGACTTCAAACGCAAAGGTCACCAGGAAGGAGCAGCCACACATGTGTGTACTGCATTTGAAACTAACCTCCGAGGCGAGTGTGTGCTCCCTTGTTTGATGGGATGCAAATACTGATATCTTCTATCGAAGACCACAACGCTGCATATCTGCAGGATTTTCATGTAGCAGACCCTTGGACGGACACCGTAAGGCCCTGGGCTACGGACAAAGTAGAAGCTGAAAAATTGTCAAAGCTGAGTGAGAAGCTCAATGGGCAGGAATTTGGCTATTGACAGGATACATATTAGGGGCTTAGTATATTCTGGGATAAGAAGGGGCCCCTGGATTACCCACCACGAGAAGACATAATGGAGCTCCAATATATGTATATTTACAGACTTGCCACTTCAAATGACCAAGAGAGATTTAATGTGCCGTGCTGCGACAACGACGAAAGCAATTACCAGAACTGTACTCATCACCCGCAGGATACGAGACGACACAGCTTCGGGGTGTCTTTTAGCCTTCACCAGCGACCCGACCGGGTTCCCATATTTCCATTCAAGTTTTCCAGAGGCAAATTCTCCCAAATCCACATAGTTTAGTTTTGGGGCACCCCGAATGATTTCACCCAGATCATCCGCGATCGCTCGATCTGGCTGTAACGGAAGTACCCAATTGGCCAGGAACCAGTGAATAGGGGAGGACCATGCCTGAACCTTGGTAATCAAGCCAGAGTATTCCATTACCTGCTTCACCCGCCCCTGTCTTTCCGTCTGATATGCGGCAAATGCCTGAGTGAGGGTGGCGAGGCTAGGCTGTGCTCCACACTGTTTAACCATCATAGTTTGAATCTGGTTACATAGGGACACAACCGATTCCATGGCTGAGTTCCCCCCCAATGCAATGTTTGGTGTCATCTAAATGAGCGATGTGAGTTATTTATCTATCAAACACACAGAACGAACTTCTCACCTTGTGGACTGAGTCGCCAGCAAGTACAATTCGGCCATGATACCAATGCTCCAGTACACCCTCCTCTAGGGGAATCAAGGCACCACGATATCGACTTTTCCATAGCTCCCCGAAGACCGTTGTTTCAGATAAATGATGGTTTGCGACACTGGCAGCCAATGACTCCGCATCCGCATCGCTATACCGTTGCCGTTGGGGCCAGGAGGTTGGCTTGCTGAGACGGAAAAAGACGAAGAAAAAGACACGGTCAGGCTGGGAGAGAGTCAAAAATGAGTACTTAGAATCATGAACGACGGTCATATCTCGCTCTCCCAGCCCTGGGTCGGCTGGCGCCATCCCAATCAGGCATTTCCAGTGGGTTTTCATAGCTATAACCGTCGATTAGTACCAACGTATGTTATGAGAGAGAGAGAGATCTTCAGCCTACAGGTCTTTTCTTTTGCAGTTATAAGACCCGGTGAGATCTTTTTCGCATGCTCCCACATAGAACTGCGCGTCATGCTGTTCACCCCGTCACAACCAATAATTAAGTCTCCTGTTTCAATGGTGCCGTCGCTGAGCTTAACTTCAACGCCGCTGACAAACTGTTTTATTTCTTTAGCTGTGCATCCTGTGCGGATATGAGCCTTATCCGGCAGCTCGTTGTATAAAACCTGGAGAAATTGACGTCTTTCCAGGAGAAGGATGTCATGACCATGGCTGTAGAAAAATCACGATTCCCTCATGTTAGCATGGGATATTATGCAAATAAGCTACAAATGTGCCTATTTGGGGAAGAATGCATACTTTTCTTTGACATAGTGGAAAAACCCGTTGTTCATGATAGCCTTTCCATCGGGTCGACGAGACCACCATCGATCACATGGAACACACACTCGTTTTGCCGCCTCCAGAATACCGAGTTGGTGCAGAATGCGTACTCCATGGGGATAGATAGCGATACTAGCGCCCTCTTCAGGTGCAACTTCGGCACGTCTCTCAAGGACGACATGGTCGATGCCTGCCTTCTGGAGGCAGTGGGAGGCTAGCAGGCCAGCCACGCCACCACCTATTATGATGACTCTGAAAGGACGGCTGGTCGGCATGCTTACGCCTTGCACCTGGTGCATTGATCCAGGTGTGCTGTTTTATTTGCTATCTTTGTTTAATAGTTGGTTGCGTGATGGTCCTTTGAGTGGTCGAAGCGACAAGTATATACCTCCGAAATATTACTTACTTTAGAATATTTCAATAATATATCCAATCTAGACCTCTTGCACTCTAGCTCACGGGAACCAAGAGCCCCTAAGCACGGGAGATTTGACCCAAAGCGATACAAAATCCCCGTCTGTCGGTGTGCTCGGGCCGAACGGAGAAAAAGAGCCAGACTACGCGAGGACCAAAAGTAAACACGAAGATGAATTTCTTGTCTTCCTCAAGTAATCCTACGTACGGAAGAGATAAAGTAATTGCATTCACAGCAAGATTTCCGCAGAGCTCAATGCCCAACTTATCTGTCAGCCGGAAATATACTTCCCCGTACATTCGTTTATATCGAATACAGTAAACCCTATTCGTAACGATATATTTCAGATACAGGAAAAATATCATTTAAGCTGGCAGAAAATTCAAATACCTGAATTACTATGACAGGCCTCTTAATAAGCAATGTACCTAACCAACCTTGGTTGGGACCTGCCCAGGTGGAATCCCTTTTATGAAGCTTTTCATATAGTATAAAAGTATACATCACCATTTTGTAGAGTGGTTCACAGGTTTGAAGGTATTCCCACTATACAAAACCCCCAATTTCACCTGAATCTAGGCGTCGAAGCTTTCTACGATCGTACAAATTAGCATATTGTATAATATTGAAGCTATCCCCACCATACAAAACTCCCAATTCTATGTGAATTTAGGCCTTGAAGCCTTTTGCGACTATTATGTAAAACCAAGTATTATAACCGACCTGTATACTTATCCTCCACTACCACTAAATCCTAAGATAAAACTGTAAGGATTCGGACCGGGTTCGCTTCCGCATCCCTCTTATCGGTACACTTCCCTTCGGCTATCGCTTCGAGACACAATATAATCGCGGGAGGAAGATTAGACTTCAATAAAACCCGGACCCGCACCGGACCCAGTCCGGTTTCGGCTTCAAAACCTCCAAATAGGCCTATTTGGGGTTTTTCTTAAATACAAACATCCCCTGTATAAATACAAATACTGGCTGTTATATTGCAGAGTGTCGTTATATTGGGTAACTACGTTACAACTGTAGTATACAGGAGAAAATACGCCTAGAGCGTTCCACTCCTAGATATAGATTGTCCCAACTTCGACGTACAAATTAGAACAAATTAGAATGCGTCATTACTTATTATTAAAGTGGACATATTTTTAGCGTTGCCAAAGGCACTCTTGGCAAGGTGGGTACTGCCAAGAGCTACATACTACAAAGTACAAAGTAGTAGTAGTTATGTACATAAAAAGGCCTAGTGTCCCATGTCGCAATCTATCCCCCTTTTTACCTAAATATCCTCGTATAGAGCTTATATACGTATGCAAAATTTGTACCTTTACGTGTTCGGGATAGCCTTTATAACGAAAGCAAGTTCACTACAATATATAAGAGTGAGTATGTAATAATATTGAATATAAAATACCTATATTGTGAAAGGTACTGGCAAAAATGAGGTATGGCGCACTGGCGTCTACTAGAAACTGCCGTACCCCGCACTACTGAACTCAGTTTCAGTATTATGGACCTCCCGAGGTCGGAACAATAGTATCTTACCTAAGACAACCCGGTGTCCCCCCCACGGACAGGGGTCGGTCTTTTGGCATCTGCATGCAGCCACGTATTTCTCTGCGTTCTTCCAATTATCTCTCATGCCGATAATTGCTCCTAGATGCGGGGATGTGGGGCGTCCTAGATGCCATAACAGCAGGGTTCAAGACCTCGGGATTCTTTCCGGCTGATGTAATGGCATCGTAGATACCTAATATGGCGAAATTTGCGAATGTTTTAGTTGATATGTACCAATTAGAAGAGTCACGCCTTTTGAATTTGTATTGGTCAACTTTTGTAGTCGCAAAGCCCTAGCTATATAGGGTAATAGCGTACTTGGGGAATTGAAACTCAATTCCCCTTCTTACAATTTTGAAATTGTGGACCCTAGCTTGTCCCTGGCCCTTCCGAAACATGCAGGTCATGGTTCTACATAAGCACTAGCTGAGGACAGAATCCGTTACATGTCAGCCACTTGGCCTCCATGCTCTAATCAAGTTATCTAGAAGTGGCCAATTTCATGCTATGGATTTGCAGTTTCCTGCAATTATCTTATCTTACCTCGTATTCAGCAGACGATCCTAGCATCCACATCACCGCATTCGTAGTAGGACATATGTATGCATACTCCCATGCGCTCGGTGGCTTGATTATGCTCTAGCAAGGCTAGTACCAGAAGGCTGGGCCGTCAGCCCCGACCCGAGGGCTGTACTGGAATTGGCGATGTTCGAGGATCCGACCACCAGGCTCAAAATTCTTCGAGGCGCTGCAATAATGGATCTAAGCGGTCCCATAAATACAGAACATCATAAACGAATGAGTGACGATAGCTTATAGACTCTAGATTATTGTGGGGACAACATGCTATCGTCAGACGGAACCTAGTGATAGAAAGCCGGGACACTGGGTGGCAAAAGTCCTTCCCTATGTTGAATTAATCTACTCTGTATTCCGTATGTACTTGCTGTTTGAGGGGGCGTTCGGGCCATATCCCGAGGGTGATTTGGTACGGCGACAACAGTAGGCATCCAATATCGAAAAATGGAAAACCATATGTGAAAGGGTCAAGAGACTGTGTTCGATCGATTTTCAAAAGAAGCCGCTTCTAAGCTTTCTAAGTGACCTGCGAGCTGAGCAGGGGAACACTTCACTAGACTGAATATGTTGAATAGATGTAAGACATGGCATTTACTGTATACTCTAAGCCAAATTTGTTATGATTCGCTCTTCAATGCACATTCATAGCACTTTCCTACTTCGGCGCTTCAATGGTATTTTTTTAAACATTTGCCACACCCCTGCAACTGCATCTATGTAAGGAATCATCAACATATTGTAGAACAGGGGTATTCAGTAGAATAGATTAGAGTGGCGGGTCCCGCGGTTTTCCGACGGCCCCTTCCCCTCAATTGAAGAATGAGGTGACCTCATTCGTCTACATGTGTCCAAAAGCTGAGTGATAACCTGGGTGATAAGCCGACGAAACATTTATACATCTATTGCCAGCCGCCACCTAGCCAGCTGCGCCGGGCCCTGACACAGAACTTATTCAACTCACCCTGCCAACAATTCATGAATATGAATAGAAAAATGAGACATAAAGCCTGCAATCTCTGTCGGGAGCGCAAGGTGCGCTGTGATGGCGACCAGCCTGCTTGTGAGAAATGTCGTGGATCTGGTGATACTTGTGTGTATAGTCCTGTGAGCAAGCTCACCAAAGCCCACTTGGCTGAGACAATCGAAAGTCTACGCGATCGCATAGGTTCGTTGTGGCAGGTATACTGGGATGAGAATTCATCGACTAACAATGTGTTCGGTGTAGATAATGCCGAGACGTTCTTTGTCAAGCAACAAAAATCACATATGACCCCAATTGAACGGCCTGTATCGGAAATACAACCAGTGACAGCCGGAGATCCTCGCCCCTTCTCAGCACCTGCTCCTTCATCATCATCGATCGTCGGCTCTCTTGATCAGTATTTCCCCTCGCCACACCGGCCATATACACGAGAGTGCCTCGCCCCCTTGCGCGAGCTTCTGGATACCGATATATTTACCTGTGATCCAAGCCCCTCCCTAAACCTGGAGACCTGGATGCCCACTAAAGAGGAGAATCTCTTATTTCATCAGAGCAACAACTACCACGCCGGGCAGATGCCCACACTGCAGGAGATTCGTGCCATCAACTCCACTTCCTCCCCGTCTCTCTCCTCTCTCTACCAATCAGAATCGTGTGGGTGTGATCAGGCCAAAGAGGTGGGCCGCATTTTGCAGGAGCTGAAGAATTTCTCCTCTGCGATTTTCCACACGCAGGCAGAAATTGCAGGAATCTCGTCTGTGATTGCCGAATACTTGGCGTGGATACGCAATGTTCCCAGGGGGTCAAAGACTAGCCAGGAAGCAGCAGTACTGTCAACATTAGAGGCACGAGTTCGCGAGCTACATGAGATGGCTGACCAACAGCACTGGGCGGCGTGGCGGCGCATGCTAGAGAGGCTAGAGTTGCATGGGGATGCTTTGGGCGTGTTTGAGGCGGAAGCCCAGAAACGCTCCGCCAAAATTGCCCAGTACTACCAGTCAAATTATGACGCCCAAAAGACGATGAATGAACAGCGACCAGCATGGCCAATCCAAGATTAGAACCTTTCCCTTTTTCATATAACGACCCTTCTTCTTTCGCACCAAATGCCGCTGTTATATATCTTTATGTTTTGTCATCTATTTTATGATATTATTATGAATCCAACGGCGCAATCACATAAAATTGACGGAAAAAAAAAAATCCCACATACCTAGGTATTCGGGCAGAGCAAAGTCGAATACGTCACTCTGTTCGTCTAGGATCAGAATCGTCATATAAAATGTGGACGTGGTGGGGGCTATTCTTCCCGACAGGATTCGGATCCTTGAATATACATGCCTTGCTGCTGGAAAAACAATGCTTTTATTTGATGAACAATGGGGCCTAAATGCTGACATACATCCAGCCTCTAGAACTTCAAGTGCAGAGTGATGAAAGGGGAACAGAATGGGGAAGGTTGATCTGTTCGGTGGTGCCGAGTACAATTCTTTTTTTCAAGGCCGTGGTGAAACCGGATAGCAAAATACAAAAGATTTTCGCCTTCATGACTAACCGGTCTAAATTTTGTGATCCATGGTATGAGGGCTGGGCAGTTGATGCTTTCTCACATTCTGCGTCAGAGTGTCTCACATTCTAGCCCCAGCATCTGTAATAGCTGACAATTCTCAGTCCAGAGTCTGACAGCTGTGAAACTAGCCGAGCCATCAGCAGCGGCATAATGAGGGGCTCCAGTGATCAGGCCCCTAGGAAAGAAGTTCGCTTGGCATACAAACACTTCGCGGCCCTGGCATACATCCGGCATGAAGGGGGCTTATATCAAATCTTGAGCATCAAAAGTATCCGTGGGAAATGCAGCTTTACTGAGGTCGTTTATACATGAGGCCCGGTGGTAGCTCCTTGAATTTCAGCTGGTATGGGGGCTCCCCACTGTGGTCTGCTAGCAGATAGCGAATCTCCAGCTGCTCTGGTTTCCAGTGTGGAGCACTGGTTGAACTGGGTCAGGGATTGCTACTAAGCTAAGGTGAATAAACAAATGTCAGGTGCAGTCCTGGTTGGAGGATAGAGAAACCCTGAATTTGGAGTAGGTAGATGATCTAACCAGGGGATTTGAACCATGAGGGGGGCATATTGCACTAATGCAAGCAGAGGGACAATTCCGGTAGGCTACAGGAAGTGGCTCTCTTATTATTGCAGAAGCGCTAAAACTTGATCGATTTTATCATTTGTTGCATATTGTCCATAGTTGTATGACGTTCCGGTACGGAGTCGTAGTAGACTCCTACTCCTACTTCCTCCTTGTTTACGCAGTGTGCCTGCATGATCTCATCTACTCTGTATACTCTGTAGAATCAGAAATAGAGGATTTGAAGTATTGCGAGAGAAAATTGGCAACCTTTGAAGCTTCCGAATGAGCTTCAAAAACTGGAGGGTATCATACCCGAAAATATCAGACATCCAGTACTCTGCCATACAAATGTGTATATTGAAACAGCGGATTTTGTCATTTTCGTCCAGAGTTATGCACATATATGTATTCATTGATCTTTTACTTCACACCCTGAATTCTGTTGTTATCTATATTCATTGATCTTACCATACCTTGCAATACACCTTGATTTGTGTCATTTTCCATAGTACACTGCAGCCCTAGTATGAAAAATCCTCGCCCACCAGCTTCTCACTCAACCTCCAAAGTCTCTCCGCTTCAAAGCTACTGGTCACCCACGGCTTGACTGTATCAGACAATGGGTCTGCCACGTGGGAGTCGATAAGATAAGCGCCATTGTTAGCTATGTACAGAGTCAGTTTGTTAGTATACTCCTCTCCCATCTATTCCTATGTTACATACCTTTAAGAGCTGGATCAAACGCAGCATAGATATGAGTTGCAACACCCCGCTCCAACGGCTTAGTATCGAACTCTTTCCAGCCCTCCCGGTTACCAAACGCCCTGTCAGCGCTCCCTGTGGTAATGTTAGCGGCCGTGCATTTGATAGTCATCGCTGGTACTTACGAAGTCCATCCATATCCACACTCCAGTCGAGGTGGTTACTCAGATTTGTCCAGATGACACCTGGATGCAGGCTGAATGCGAGGAGGCCGTTTTTCAGGCCGAGCTTCTCCGCCAGGGAGATTGCGAACAATATGTTGGCTGTTTTGCTCTGGCCATAGGCGAACCACTTGTCGTAGCTCTTCCCTTCCTGGACGATATTTAAGTACGGGTGTCTCATAAAAAGTAAAATCCTATGCATCACTTACATCAAAATTGTAATCATCGAAGCGGAAAGGATTTAGACGATGACCATCGCTGCTAACCACGACGATCCGAGGACTCTTGGACGCCAAAATCTTCTTGATAATCAGATTTGTGAACAGAAACGGACCTAGATGGTTGGTTGCCAGGTGGGACTCAAATCCCTCCGGCGAGAGCTGATAATCAACTGCCATGATACCGGCATTGTTAACCATCACGTCGACGACTGGAATGTCATCCCAGGAATTCAACTGGGCAGCCGCATCACGCACACTACTCAGCGAACCCAGATCAACTTTGACCGTGCGGACCTTGACATCCGGGTATGCGGTCGTGATCTCAGTGGCAACTTGTTCGAGTTTGTCGGCGTTGCGGGCGGCCAGGATGAGACAGGCGGGTTTGGCTTTGGCGATGGATTGGACGAAGAAGCCCCCCAGGGAACCGGAAGAAACGCCGGTCGTCAGAACGACCTTGTCCTTGATAATATGTTCGTAATCATTGAGCAGCTCGTCTGCGGTGGTGTTTGTGTCGTACGGGGCTGGCATGATTGCGATGACGATGGTGATGGTAGGAGTTTCAAGCGCAGCGGGTAGGGGGTTAGTGGAAGAGAGAAACTAAAGAAAAAAGAGTTTCAAGCGGACAGGATATAAGAATCCACCCCCCTCCTCTTCCCTATCCCTGTACAGAGTACGGAGTACAAAGTGAGCTGATTCCTAGTACGAGCAATGATGTTGTACCGATGTAGTTGGTGGAAATACCTCTTATGACCGATTGGTCCTTGGTAAACTCCATTTCGGGCCGGACTCTCCGAGATGAAGCAAGAAACCATCCAATTATGTTGGTTTGGGAAACGCGCCCATATGCACACTATAATATGGGGAATTCGTAGCTGTATTGACGTGACCTATTATTCACTCAAGCCAGTGGATCACCCCCAAAACACATAGCAAATCAACTTTCATATCTCAACAACCGTATATGTTTATTTTTAAATGTTATCCCCTAGTTTGCGTGATCCATTTACCAATTATGCTAGTCCTCTGTTACTACGAGAATGATCAGCAAAGGTCTATAGATCTTATTAAATAATAATGTACTGGTCACAACGAAAATGTACTAAAAGGTACGGAGTAGTTTAATTTTAAAACTATATGGCCAAGAGGAAGTCCATTCCCCTGCGATCCAGGAGTACTTCGTACTTTGACACAAAGTACGGGGTACTTTAGCACATGTGCTGAGATCAGTCCACCACGGCACAACCTTGGAACTTGTCTCCACTGTCAAGCCGTTCCCTTTCACGATGATTCATTGCTGACACAAGTACGGAGTACTGTCCAATTATTTCAGCCCCCGGATACGCCACAAAGGTGTGTGCCCCGGCACACCAAAGCAAGTTTAGTTTCGGTCGGCGATAACCGAGGCTAAACAAAATCAGTGGAAGCTCTAGCCAAACAGAACGGCAGCCTTCTACTTTTTCGTAAGAATTTTTGAAAAGTGCTGCCGTACTTGGATTAAAATCATTTATGTCTACTCGTTCTCACTGATAATCATCGATACAGATCGAGCATCCCTCTCCTTTGCTTGTTGCTTTTGCTCGGCCCGAATAAAGAAACAACGGAGATAAGCAGCCCGAGACGGCATTCGCCCCAAGAATCCCGTTAGGTATGTGTTGGTTTTGAGAGTGTGTTTCGGAGTACCTCCGCACTCTTGCTTGAACCAGCTTGTAATTATCACTGCATCTTACGAATCTGTTCAGTATCAAGTGGTTGATACAAACAGTATGTATGTAGACAATGAAATTTTGAATTGGTTGGTAAATATGTAGCTCGGAGAGACTCTCCTTTGATCCTCACTAGTGAACTATCACTCTACTTGACATCCCTGGCATATGTGCTGAACAAACTACGCCCTCTTCTGGTCTGCTCTCTGACTATCTTCTGGATTTAGCAGAATTTCGTCTCGAATCCAATTGATAGCCAGGCAGACACTACCCGGTCCAGCAATTACCGTACCCCCAACAATCCCGACCACCAACTTCATCCACCCCAGCTTATTCCCCCGGGCAACTATAACAGTACGTAGCTGCAGCCAAGCAACTAGAATCGCCACCATGTACCCAAAAATCTGGTCCCAGAGGAAAAAACTGCGCACCCCGTGACCCACCGTGGTTCCCTGCGTAAACGAAACGGGAGGGATTACCAGGGTGGCTGGGAGGAACTCCGAGATGAATCCTGGCTCCCATAGGCTCGGGAAGAGTAAAGTGGTCAGACTCATGCTAGACAGTGCCACATGGACAGTGAAACTGACTAGCATGGATATCGCATTGAGGATACGAATTGCCTTGAGATGCGCGCTAGCCGATATACTAGTATCCCCGGATGAGGGGAAGATCGCCCAAAGGGCCTTGTGGACCAGAAATACACCAAGCGGAAATACATTCCAAGTCACCAGTGCCAGCTGCTGAAAGTCATTGGAGACTATTTTCGGGGATGGTAGGGCCATGGCGACGGCTGGGAGAACATAGCCTACCACAAGGCTGGGCAAGACGAGCAGCAGTGGCCAGGACGCGGCCACCGACCTTCGCTGCAACTCTGGCAATGAAACATTCTCCGCAATCAATGGACTAGCAGCGATATACCAGAGAGCCCAGAAAGAACCGGTACATGCTATTGCCATCATCTGGAAGAGTAATAGCCATAACATGGTTCTACATAGATTAGCAATTTAGCATGGACCAAAAAAAAAAAAAAAAAAAAAAGGCACGCACTCACCGCACCGGGGTTATTGCCCGAGATTGGCCAAGCCGCAAACCATCGACATAGATGCCGGTAAGGATACTGAAGTACTGGGAGAGAAAATAGATGCCAATGGCTGAGGTTGAAGGGTGAGACCCATCCACTGCCTCCCAGAAGAAGACAATCAGAATATCCAGGAGGTAGTCAACTGGCCAGTAGATACCGGTAATAGACGTGCGTAGTGGAGAATCCGTGCCAGGCAGAATGTATTCTTTGCCCCCATGGAGGGCCTGCAAAAGGTGGACTAATGTGCCGTCCACAATAGTGCGGCCCCAAGTGTGGTAAGTACCCAAGAGGCTGAGCACATACAAGGCTGGTTTCAAGAGTGGACGCTGAGGGATCGCCATGGCTGTTGTTTGGAGGAAGTATTGAGTGACTAGACCAAGCGACAGTCAAGCCATCTGCGGGTCAAATCCCGTATTTATGCTGTCTGCCTACCGTCAGTTCGTATCAGCAATAAATGCTCGGGCCGAACACACCGAAGGACCAGCAGGTTGGAGATACCTTGATCTGCGGTATAAAAGCCCCTGGGCAGATGCAGGTACCAGATGTATAGCATGCAAGAGCCCCTTAAAGTGTCTGGCTATTTGTCCGTTTGAATCATGTCAGCCCTGCTGTATACACTATGTCTGGTCCCCGTGGCCCTAGCGACTGTGGGCGTGGGCCGCGATCCTAGCGGCATCACCGAGTTATTTGGGAACTCTTTTGGCCAGCCAGGAGTGAATGCTAGTTATGACTACATTGTCAGTGCTTGTAGCCACTACAGTCTATCGTATGTTATGTTAATTGTTTGTCCAGGTCGTTGGAGGAGGTACTGCAGGCAATGCGATCGCCGCTCGACTCGCCCTCGATCCCGCCAATTACTCAGTCGCGGTGATTGAAGCCGGCTCCTTCTATGAGATTCTCAATTCCAATCGTACACAGGTACCTGGATATGACTTCTACTCGGCGCTGGCCAACTTTGTTGGTGGCTCGTTTGAGTCCTTGACCAATTTCGGTCTGCAGACAGAGCCACAAGCTGTAAGTACCTTTTCTCAACGCCGCTAGGTATAAACGATCAGTGCCAACCAGTATTATAGGGTTACAATGATCGCAACATACTGTATGTCGCAGGACAAACATTTGGAGGCAGGTATGTGAAAACACTCTCTATTAGCTATCAATAGGAAGACGTCGGCTGATGATGACCAGCTCCGCCTCCAATTATATGGGCTATTCTAGAGCCACGGTTGGAACATTCGACGAATGGTCCAAGACAACGGGAGATGATTTCTGGACCTGGGACAACGTGTACCCAGCCTACAAGAAGAGCTGCAATTTCACACCCCCCAACTACAACAAGATAGACCCATCTTTCAATATCTCCTATGACCCCAACGCCTTTGAGAGCACTGGAGGCCCCCTGCATGTCTCGTACGGTAACTACCAGGGCCCCTACGGTCCGCATCTCGAAGAGTCCTTAGACAATCTGGGTTTTACTCGTTTGCCGGGCTTGAACAGCGGGAAGCTGATCGGTTATGCTACAATCACCACCGCCATCGACACGGAACAGGCCACGCGCAGTAGCTCCGAGACTTCCTTCTTGCAGCTCGCCGCCAAGAACTCCAGCATCAAGATCTACCCGCAGACTTTGGGCACGCGCATCCTGTTTGATGAGCAGAAGCGCGCCACGGGGGTGGAGGTGCAGACCAACTCGTTGACGTCGAGCTTCAAGTACCAGCTCTCTGCGACGAAGGAAGTGATCTTGTCTGCTGGCGCGGTAGGTCAACCTATACATATATACTGCGATTGCGACCCTAAAGCTGACATGAGATGTAGTGGCATTCACCACAACTACTTCTGCTTTCTGGCATTGGCCCCGCTGCCACACTCCAAGAGCATAATATCCCGGTTGTGGTAGACCTACCCGGTGTTGGGCAAGGCGAGCGGGTATGATATGACCTGAAATTTGTTGGCAACCCATTGCTAATGTAGTGCGTGCAGGACCAACCGTGGATGGCTCTGTCCTATAAGGTATGTTGTGATCCTGCTCATCAGTAGAGGTCGATGATGGGCCTGCTAACATTTTGGTGCAGGTCAACGTGACAACCGGAACGCAGGTGGCAGCAGGCAATGCTGAATTCTCTGCCGCCCTTGTTAAGGAATATCTTAACAATCAGACCGGCCTTTTATCCAGCATTGGAGGAGGACAAGCACTAGGTTCGTATAGACAAAAGTTAGAGATACCGGCTACAATCTTGCTAATTCAAGTGACCTGTTCTAGCATTCGAGAAGTTCCCCGAATCTTACCGCCAGAAATTCAGCAACTCCACCCGTGAGTTCCTTGATACGTTCCCCGAAGACTGGCCTGAGGTCAACTATCTGTCTCTCGAATATGGCGCCTTCCCCGAAGACGTCGGCCCCAATGACCACTACCTCACGCTTGGCTCCGCATTGCTCACCACCTCCGCTCGTGGTAATGTGACAATTAAAAGTGCCGATATATCGGACCCTCCAGTGATCAGCCCCAACTGGCTGCTCGACGAAGGTGATCAAGAACAGGCCATTGCGGCCCTGGAGCGTATCCGAGAAATCGCCTTCAACAGCGATATAGTGGAGGAGGAATACCTACCTGGTCCTAGCGTTACCACGCGCGAGGAGATTCTGGACTGGTTGAGGAATAACATGAGCTTGATTTACCATGCTGCTTCTTCATGTGAGTAGTGCTATTGGATCATCAATGTATTAGATACTTTGCGACCGCTGCTAAAACTGCTCAACAGGCAAAATGGGAGCTGCTAACGATTCCACCGCCGTTGTCGATTCTCGGGCTCGGGTCCGCGGTGTGACGGGCCTGCGCGTTGTTGATGCCAGCGCTTTCCCTTTCGTGCCACCAGGGTTCCCCATGGCGACTGTTTGTACGTGATACGATCCATTCCCATACCTCCTATAACAAAAGATGTGTTGACTGATATGACCGAACAGACATGTTTGCCGAGAAGATCGCTGCGTCGATTCTCAGCGGTAACTAGTCGGCTGAAAATAACCTGAAATACGCTTTTCAGGACTCGAAAAGCAGCTGTTACTGAAATCGATGGAATGCAATGTACTGCACAGGTAGTATACAAGATTAGTTCAAGATTTGCAAGGGTATATGACAGCAATTGGAGTAGGCTTCCGCAGAGCCAGGCCAACCCACGAATGGGTTGGGCTTTGGGCTCGGTTCTTACGACCACGATGGGCTTTAGGGGGGTTTTTTTTGGGCCGACGGCCTATTGTGGGCCTGTTAAGGGCCTATTCCTGAACAAATAGTGTGAATATACAATTTCCCTGTGACTGTTATCAGCTAGTTCAAAGAAAAAAGTGCATTTCGACCAAAGTACTAAGTACAAGGAAAGAAGAGAGGAAAGGATTGGACTAAAGTTTGCGGGTTACTCTCTACATAGTATAATACAACCTTGGAAACAATACACATGCAGTGATCTTCTCGCGTAACAAACATGTCGAAATACTAGTACGTACTACGTATACATACATACATGTATGTATTGAAATACTGAATGAAAACAAGGTATCATACCTGCAAACATATGACATCCAGTAGTACTCGGTATAACTACACAAGTATATATAAGGATCTGATGAACAAGAAGGATCAATGTGAGCTATATGTATAATACCAAAGGCTTACGGGTACAGAAAAAAAGGGTAAACGAGTGTGTATTTCAAAATGACCAGCTTGCCTAGATAATATGTGTTGAAATGGACATTTTCAAGGGGTAAATATATTCCCGCACTCTGCACGTTCGGTCCGAACCCACCGAGTATATCTAGAGTCTTACCACTGAGGTTGCAAACCTCGCGAGAAGTTTTGACATTCCTGGTATCCACCGCATCTTTTGCGCTAGTAAGTAGTACTATTAGATTGAACTGTGAACCAAACATTGGTATAGTAATCTGCTTGATGTAAGAATGCTACATAAGGACAAAAGTTTATGTATATACAGAAGCATCCTTCCTTGTTTACTTGGTAAATTGTGGGGGTCCGACAGAAAGATGACAAACCGATCGAGGGAAGCAATCCATTCATCAAGTGTGGGTTGGATGTGTTTAATTAATAATAGAAGTTAGTACAGGAACAAGCTCCATAGTATCAAATTATAAATACATCCGGTTCGATATTTAACTAAGAGTGGATATAATTTTTTAGTAAGCTTGTTGATGATGAGGTAGTGCGGGTGGAACTTAGCAACATTTTAATTGTATATACTATAATTCCGAGCGGGGGTGCGGCGTTCAAGGAATCGCTACGCCTATTATTGATTTATTTCAATCGAGACGTGCTGTACTTAAGTATGTATAGGACTGTATAAAAATTTCTATCATAGTGTAGCAGGTTGCGCAGCAATAGCAAGTTGAAAGAAAAGAAAGAAATGACCCTCCTTTCCCCCTCCCACTCCTTCGGCCTGGATCCCTTCTGAGCAGCTCATACGAGCTCTGATTTTCCCACCGTTCCTTTTGCGATATATTCATCAATAAACCCATCAAAGTCCTCGGGCTTGTACGGCTCCAATAGCTCAGCCACTGCGTTAGACTTGCGATGGCTGTTTAGGCCCAGGTCCCGGAATAATGTGTCGACGTACTATCAATGATAAAGAGGATATAAGTTGCGTCATCCCTGCCAAAAGGCCATGGGGTACGAAGAAAGCTTACCGGTAAAAAATCATAAAGCGAATATGGAAACTTGTGTCCTTGAGTCAAATACCTTTTCCGGGTCCAGGCGTTCCACAACGACACTTCCTGCGCCATCTCGTCTATATCAGGGACGTTCAAATCTCCAAGCAGGTACAGGATACTCCAAAAGGACTGCACCTCGGATAACAGAGGAGTCTGCACAGTGTGAATTTGGCCGAGAATTGCGAGGGATCTGTCGCCTTTCTGCGCCAGCGAGACTGGGATCGCACGACGGTAAAGCCGCCAATAGCGGTGAGAATTGAGCTTGGGCGTATATTTGAGGTTTGGCGGGACGGCGAGGAAGGGCAGACGTTGATCGACGGCCTTCTCCGCCTCCGCGTCGTATCGCTCCCATTCAACGCCATCATCATAAGAGGGAACAGCAGAAGAGTCCAGGGGAAGGCCCAGTTCCGCTTTGGTTGTGGTATCAAACATGCCGAAATGATCGCCCCAGCCTGTACATAAGACTAGGTAGTCCGTACGCAAGGTCTGGCCGGACTGAAGGGAGAGCTGGTCTCCCTTGATGGTCTCGATCGCATCACGAAGGACGGTGAGATTCGGACTGTGCAAAGTAGGCCAGAAGTCGGGGAGGGTGACGACTCCCAAACCCGAGTTTGCCCAAAAGACACTAGAGATATAAATAAGCACTGCCTCGGAAAACATGGAAGCAAAGGATCGATTATGTGGATGTTCACCTTTGCCGATCGATTTCGGGTCTCAGGCTCTCAACATGATCGCCTTTTGAGTAACCGGCATGGGCGTTGCTCAGATAGGTGAGAGTATCCCAGAACCGCCCGACACACCAGCGCCCTGGGGAAGTTCGTTGGAGAGCCCAGTACAAGGCGCCATTTGTGTTCAAGATCGAAGGGCTCAGATATGTCATGAGACGTGTCGAGGCCACCGCAATGGAGTTCATGAGACCCAGGACCTTGAATGGCAGAATTGCAAGAGGCCCTGCACCCTCGCGCCGAATGATCCAAGTCACCTTCTTGCCCATCGACAGGAGCAAGTAGACGGCATCGTAGGCAGATTTAGCGGCCCCAACTACTACCACACTTTCCACGGCCTCCTTCTGGAGCATAGGAAAAGAGCTTCCCAAGTCACGCGAGTGAATCACTGGTATCGACACGCTCCCTCCCTGGTACTCTGGCATGCGGGGGATGGAAGTGACGCCGGTGCAGACAAGCAGCTTCTCCGTTTCGATCACGTCATCCGAATCCTTGAACGTCAAACGCCATCCACCAGCACAACGAGCCGCGTGGCTGACGAATGTGTTGAAGCGAATGCGGCGCAACAAGTCGTGGTCCTCTGCGTACCGTTGAAGATAGTTATGGATCATGTCTCCAGTTACACTTTCGTCTTTGGCATTGCCTCCATTGGGTGGCATAGGTGTATCCGTGTAGTTAAACAGCTGTCAATGCATTTCAGATCATTGGTCAGGTACAAAGAAAGCAAAAGAAAGAAAGGCCACCTACCCCGAGCTTAACTTGGGCGACAAGGTTTGGATACACTCTATCTTGGCTCCAGACACCCCCAACGGTGCTATCGCTGTCGATGATGAGCAGGTTGGCCGCGGGCCGCAGACGAAGGTAGGTCCTAGCGGCGACCAGGCCATACCATCCTGTTCGATACCTCAGCCCAAGGCCAGAACTTGAACCTTACCATATACGATACCTGCACCAATGATAGCGACCTCGAAGTTCTCCGCCTTCTTTGGATGCATTTGTTGCGCCATTAAATGGACTATAGTGAAACACAAAGTGACGTGATCATGGGTGAAGCCAGCATGAGCCATCTATATAAGCATCTTTAAAAGACCAAGGATATAGATGGTATGTGGCTTTGAGGAGAGTGGAGACCATTCTCTCCGACCATGTATCACTAGGTAATCGGGATGTTCTAGACGGTCCACGGTGTCGTATATAGTAGCGGGAGGCGATCCCCGTCGGGCTCGGGAGACCCGGTCCGAGCTAGCGAGACCGGACAGTAGATGAGGATGCTACTATGTATACCGGATTCACCCTACAATCATATTCCAGGACTGATCGTGCTGTAAAGGAATGATATGGTGGCAGGGTAAATCTCTCAGTGTAAATTACATAAAGATGTGTGGTGAGATCAATGAATATGTATAGCTCTTGTCTCACGAAATATGACAAAATCCGCTATTTAAACAATCTGTGCGAATTTCCATAACTAATTGTACATACAATTTTGTATGGCATGCCGGAAACTGGTGTTATATGACATTTTCGTGTATGATATGTATCCACCTAGTAGTTCAATGTTGCATTTCGACATCCGGGTTCTTGTCCAACAGATGAAATTTATCGATATCATCGTACACCCTAGGTGCAATTAGGGGAAATGGTTGGTAGGGATATAGAAATTAGAAAGTAGGAGGAAAATTGGTGCGAAAGAAAACGTCGACGGTCTATAATTTCTGTACGTGATGATAGCTTTGAATGAAATTGGACTGTCATGGTATTCTTTCTTATCTGATCATCAACACATCCATCCCCCATCGATGGGAATGACCACTCCATTCACAAAGCTGCTCTGCTGGCTTAGCAAAAAGACCACCACATCGGCCACTTCCTCGGCATCACCCTTTCTTGCCAACGCCCCCGGATCACCCTGACCAAAGAGCTCGGTTGTCCCGGCGCAGGCTTCGATCTGACTGATCATCGGTGTGGTGATGATCCCCCTGTATCCCTCAATTACTTCTAGCCCTTCTCGCTCGGGGGCAGAAAAAACTTACGGAGCGATAGCATTCACACGAATAGCCCTCTTACCCTCTTCCTTGGCCACCGTCCTCGTCAATCCAACCACAGCATGCTTACTTGCCACGTATGGTCCGTTGTGTTCAACGCCCACTATTCCCGCAATACTGGCGGCATTGACAATACTTCCCCCATTCCGACCACTAGAGCCGGTTTGCATAGATGGCAACTCGGCCCGTAGGCAATTAAATGTGCCCCTGCAGTTGACATCCAACACGAATTCAAATTCGGACTCTGTCATGTTGCGCACGGCACCTACTTCTTGCCCAATGCTTTTTCCAAAGACACCCGCGAGATTGGCTGCCCCTGCGAGTGGTTGGTTGAAGTGGGTGGTGGTTCGGGCGACCCAACTCTGGCAGGCTTCTAAGGACCGGACATCGACGACAGTGGTGAGGACAGGGTGCAAGCTAACATCGCTGGGATAGAGTTGACGAATTTCCGTTGCAGCATCTGCCAGCCGGGTCTCGTTAAGATCCGCGAGAGAGAGGGGAGCCCCGTGTTGGGCGAGGAGTTTGGCCGTTGCGAGGCCAATGCCTGACGCCGCGCCAGTGATAGCGATGACTTTTCCTTGCAGGCTAGCCATAATAAATACAGGAATAATAACAAGAGTATACAATAGAACTACTTGTATTTCTCTCACACCCCTTTTCTAGGCAAATGTAGATTCCGTAAAGGATACCTTAGTTATAATATATAGGGGATAAACGGTAAGGATAAACGGTAAGGATACTAGTAAACAAAAGTACGTAGCCTCAGCATCCCTGCTTCTCTCCGGACCGAAAAGAATGCGCCAGTGATTTACGGAGTAGAGGTAATTTATGTAATATATTGCATCTCTATGTTACCGAGCCATTACAAATATTACTGTGTATTGAAAAGACGAAGCAGCTCCTTCCGTATGGATTTCCTCTTAGAGTGAACGCCCCTGTCTCATCGAGCAGTAAACCAGAAATATCCTACCGTTCACACCCTAACCTCCCCAAGACAAGACCCCCTGCTATTGACATCCTTGCAAACTACGAATATTTCTTAGCTCGGGATTGGTGCAGCCTAGCTTCCCTCACAAAAAGCGCCAACGAGACTGTGCCCCCCGGCCCGATGGTGATGGCCCCCGCCAAGAGCAACAGCCCCACCTTCGCACGGGAAACAAAACGGTGCTTGTCAAACGCGTGGCAGATCAGGACAAAGGCCCACGAGAGACTAGATAGTGCGATAATGATAAGATCATACTGCAAAAACAGCCAGGGTCCTCGGACCAGAATGCCGTCCGTTCCGGATGGCCCTGACAAGCCAGATGGCACGTACATGTGCCACAGGCTCATCTTTTCATCGGACAGCGCCTTGAGGATGACATAGGCATGTCCAACAGTGGAAGAGGCGGCGGCCAGCAGATACGAGCCTCGCACCCACAAGTACGACTGTTGCTGTGTCATCTCTCCGGTCCGCCAGAGACGACTAACTACGGCACCGAGACCCAATTGGATCCATGAGACCCACATGGGGTCAAGCTGCCATACGGCCAGGATGTATTGATGTTCAATGGCAGACCGACTCGCGGCACCCGTCCAGGTCGGTAGCATTCCGATCACTACCGGGACGACTGCCCCCAGGAGGAAGCCTATGGGGATGACGACGGCACCACGGATTCTCACCTCGCCCGTCGCGCGTGCTTGCAGGAGCCATTCCACATGGAGAGCATAGTACAGTGGCAGCGAGATGGCTGCCCCAAATGCTTGCCAAAGAAAGCCGAATATGACAGGCCTGGTGTGAATTAGCCTATGTCAAACGGGTGCGATGGACAGGAAAAAAACACACTGGGCAATCCAACGTGGCTTGGTGTCCACACGAAAGCTTTCCACATACAGCCAGATGAAGGCTGATTGCAGTGTCGAGTAGGCATCAAGCAAGAAATACTGATAGCCTGAAGTGTGACCGTTGGTGCCGTAGAAGAAAAAGGCCACGAGGAGAGCGATTGGAAGGTCAACGAGAGGAATCCCTGTGTATTTGGTCTGTAGTGGGATATCGTCGGTCAGCCATCCATGATACACGGCTAGCAAGAGTGCTTTCACCGTGCCATTCCAGACACTGATGCCCCAGAGAAGGAGGGCCGCAAGTAAAGCCAGACCGCGAAAGTAGAGCCGAAGAGCTTGAAGGTCCATAGTCAATTCAGAGCGGGGTAGTTGACTCTCCCATCAGTACTCATGATGCATCTCGCCTCATTTGAAGACCCGACCGATTCGCCACTGCACTCGCAATTGGTGGGCTGGACGGGCCGCGATGTCCGCCAGCAACGATCAAGCTTAGTCTGACGAAGGCAATCCTCTCGGTAAATACGGACCGAATGTCTGTGCGAGATTCACCTTCAAAAACTCCTCAGAGGGCCGTCAGGGCCGATCAGATGCTGGCATCCCGAGGAGATGCCATCGTAATCCGTCAGAGTGCGAATCTTCCGGTGGTGTTGGGATGGAGCCGCTGCAGGGCTTCGCACAGGCACTCCGGAGACAGTTCCATCGTCTAATAGATATGTTGAAGATTTTCTCGATATGAATATACAGTCCATCATCACCCAAAATACCATATCTTGGGTTCATATATCTCCTTTGGCACATTCAATTAGACATATATCGAAAGTTGTGTGATAACATCATCTGCATTGCCCTAACTATACAGATAGTCTTCAAGATGCCTCACCGCACGCAAAGCCCACCTGGCGATGACCCTATGCTGGAGCCGATTGCCATCTGTGGCATGGGTAAGCAGACTCCGAACTCCTTGATGTGCTTTCCAGATCTGACATTATCACAGCGTGTCGCCTGCCCGGTGCAGTTGATTCACCCTCGTCTCTGTGGGAGATGCTCGTTAAGAAAGGATCAGGACAGACTCCCAAAGTTCCCGAGTCTCGTTTCAACATCGATGCACATTTCCACTCCAACCTGGAGCGACCCGGTTCCTTCAATGTCTTGGGGGGTTATTTCTTGGATGGCCGGCCTGAGGATTTCGATCCGACAGCGTTCAACATGACACCGATCGAAGCGCAGTGGCTGGATCCGCAGCAGAGGAAAATTCTCGAAGTTACGTATGAATGTCTGGAGAATGCTGGCATGTCACTGGAATCTGTTTCTGGTTCCAATACCGCGGTGTTTGTGGGATCATTTACCTCAGACTACCGTAAGTGGACTCTCCTTAGATCCCGGAAGACTAGCCTAACCAGTGACAGAACAAATGTCGATCCGTGACCCTGACTTTCGTCACAACTATGCGGCGACGGGCGTTGATCCTGGCATTATCAGCAACCGCGTTGGCAATACCTTCAATTTGAAGGGGCCTAGCTTCACAATCAATACCGCCTGCTCTTCCTCGATCTACGCCATCCATAACGCCAGTAACGCCCTCCGCGCACGCGACTGTGATGCTGCCATTGTAGCTGGTGTCAATCTGATCCTGACGGTCGACCAACATATGAATACCGCCAAACTAGGTATCTTGTCTCCTACCTCGACATGCCACACCTTTGACGCATCTGCCGATGGGTATGGCCGTGCCGAAGGAGCAGGTGCACTCTACCTGAAGCGCCTACGGGATGCCATCCGTGATGGAGACCCTGTGCGTGGGGTGATCCGAGCCACTGCTGTCAACACGTAAACACACACTCCTTCCTACGCAATTGCATGCCCTTCTCAGAGGCTGATATATTTAAAACATAGGAACGGAAAAGTTGAGGGAATGGGCATCACCCATCCCAGTGCCAAGGGTCAGGAGTCGGTCGTCCGCATGGCTTACGAAAAGGCCGGGTTGCATCCCAATCTCACGGCCTATGCGGAGTTGCACGGCACCGGCACGCCAGTGGGCGATCCGATTGAAGTTAAGGCAATTGCAAATGCCATGAATGATACTAGATCCCCAGAGAAGCCGCTTATTGTGGGAGCTGTAAGCGTATTCCAGCAGATGAACCTCATCCTCTACTAATCACCTCTAGGTCAAACCGAATATCGGACACAGTGAAGCGGCAAGTGGAATCTTCGCCGTGATGAAAGCCGCCATGATGACAGAAGCTGGTGTTATCCCGGGCGTTGCCCATTTTGAACGGTTGAACCCAGCTAGTAGGTTTCTCCCGTGGACATTTTCAGTTGATATGGTTTTGCTAATAGATATGGCAGTTCACGAGGAGGAATGGAACGTCAAAGTCAACGCCGATACCAGGCCCTGGCCTGAGGACTTTAACATCCGCAGAGCCAGTGTCTCCTCCTTTGGATACGGTGGCACCAATGGCCACGTTATCGTCGAGTCGGTTGAGACTCTCTACCCGTGGTATCAGCATGCCCACCCCAAGCGAGATGCCCCCTACACCCGATCGCACTCACGGCCCTTCCTGCTGTGCTTTTCTGCCCATGACAAAGCCACTCTCTCGCGCAATTTCTCGGCTATTAGCAAGGTTGCCGGCGATTACTATTTGACTGACCTTGCATACACCCTCAATATGACCCGGACCCGCTGGGGACATCGGGGCTTCGCCATCGGCCGCGAAGACCAAGCACCTGCGGTCTTCGACTCTTCCGCCTTGCAGTCAGGCGTTGCTTTCCCGACAGTTCCAGAGATAGGCTTTCTCTTCACCGGCCAAGGTGTAAGTTATATATTCCATCATTCGTTCTGACTAAGTGGACCTCGTGCTGACGGAAGTTGTCATAGGCGCAATGGGCCGGAATGGGACAGACGGCCCTGAGAGAGTTCCCTTCGTTCCGTCGCACGGTACAGAGGCTAGACGACGTACTTGCACGACTTGACCCACCCCCGTCGTTCAGTCTGGATACTATGCTTCTCGGCGACCTGGAGACAATTTCGAAGACCATTAACGAGGCTGAAGTGGCCCAGCCCCTCTGTACCGCTGTCCAAATTGCTCTGGTAGACTTGTTCGCAGAGTGGAACATTACCCCATCCGTCAGTGTTGGACACTCGTCCGGCGAGATTGCAGCGGCGTACGCAGCAGGCCTCATTTCTGCACCGGAGGCAATGCTTGCCGCCTACTGTCGTGGCCGCTCGGTCAAGGATAATTCTGCGCATGGATCGATGTTGGCTGTTGGGCTAGGTGCGGAAGAGGTGGCAGAGTATCTGGCCTCCTACGCCCCAGAGGAAGTTTGCATTGCCTGCGAAAATTCTCCCAGCAGCGTCACTCTGAGTGGATTACCCGCTTATGTGAACCAGCTCAAAGAGCAGCTCGATGCTTCAAAGGTTTTTGCACGGGAATTGAAGACGGGACGAGCCTATCATTCTCCTCATATGGCGTCCGTGGGTGCCGCCTATGACCAGTTGCTCCCGCAGGCCTTGGCCAGACTCGATGACGATGACCTGTCATGGCGCCGGCCCCGAACTCCCATGGTCTCTTCTGTGACAGGCAGAGTGATTGATGTTGAGACAGACTCTCTTCCTCCTTCGTACTGGAGCGAGAATCTGCGTTCACGAGTTCTATTTAACACAGCCGTCCAGGTGCTTGGCTCGAACCCAGCCTTCAAGGGGGTTAAATCCGTGATAGAAATCGGGCCTCACTCGGCCTTGTCCGGGCCCTTCAAGCAGATCTGCATCGCCAACAAATTCGATCAACACCGCTACGTTCCGTCCCTGGTGCGGAACAAGAATGACGTCGACCAGCTGCTTTCCGTCGCCGGAGCATTGTTCATTGCCAACTATCCTGTCGACCTGGAGGCGGTCAATTTCGTGGAGAACAGCAAGACTGATTTGAGTTTCCGCAAGCCCAAGTCCCACCGATTCTTGGTTGACCTGCCGCCGTATCAGTGGAACTACGAGAAGCGGTACTGGGCGGAACCCAGAGCCAGTGCTGAACAGCGCAGTCTGACACACCCCCGCCATGATCTCTTGGGCAGCAAAATATCAGGTTTATCCAGTCATTCTCGTGTGTGGCGAAATGTGCTACGGGACCGTGACATCCCCTGGCTGAAAGACCACGCGGTAAGCTCTTTTTTTGCTCTTCACCTAAGTATCCCATTCGTTCATCTACTAACATTTTCTCCAGTTGGGAGGTACAACGATTTTCCCTGCTGCTGGTCACATGTCGCTTGCCGTGGAGGCCTTGCGACAGATATCTGAGACCGAAGGCTTGCCCTTCGAAGAAGTCCTTCTGCGGGATGTTGATATCAGCACGGCGCTGGTGGTGCCCGATACGGATTCCGGGGTCGAAGTCCAGCTGCGCCTGGATCTCTTGCCACAACAGGCGTCAGACATCAGCACCTGGTATTCTTTCTCCGTCGAGTCGCTTTCCGAGGGGGATTGGGTCTCTCACTGTCGGGGAAGAATATCCTCAAGCCATAATAGCCAGCTAGGGACCACGAATGATAACAACAGTCCTCAGCCGTCCCCGGTTGATAGTGCCCGACTCACCCAACGTGTCCCTGGCAAACGATGGTACGAGGCGTTCCATCGGGTTGGTTTCAATTACGGCCCAACTTTCCAGCAGCTGGGACAAGTCCGGACCGATCGCGGGTACCATGAAGCAGAGGGAGAGGTGATGGTCCTGGAGCATTCGGGTGTGATGCAGGATGAGTCAAGATACGTGATCCATCCGTCGACCATTGACGCTTGCCTCCAACTGATCATCATCTCCATCCACGGGGGCAAGCACAAGGAGATGCCCTGGGGCGTCGTGCCCATACGCATGGAGGAGGTCACTCTCCGGTTCCCCGGTGGGGACGAGGGATCTCATGGCAGCGCCGTCGCCTGGACGGACAGTTTCGAGGGACGGTATTTCAACACCCACACCCAGTTGATGGGTAAAAGTGGCAAGTTGCTGGTCGATGTCAAAAGCCTGCGCTGTGTCGCGTATGAGGCTGCAGTCCCCGCAGATGCATCAAACAACACCGCCGACCCAGCGCCCTTTTCTACCGTGTCGTGGAAGCCAGACATTCTGACTCTCAGTCCATCGTCTTATTCACAGTTGTGGCCCGGCGATACAACCGAAGCCCAGAAACTTGGTACCGTTGTGGAACTAATCAATCATCGCAAACCCATTGCTGCAGTTCTTCTCTGCGGACAGCCCACGCAGAAAATTATCGACGCTGTCTCATCTGCTGTACCCAAGAGCACCCTAATTGTCGTGGCCAGCCCTGGTGAATCCAAAGCAGAGAACGACGACGACGATCGCGTGATCACCAAAGCATTGCCGGAAAACCCTCAGGACTGGAATGAAGCCGTTGGCGGTCCTTATGAGCTTGTTCTCGCAGATGAAAGTGTGCTTCATGGCCAAACTGCTGTGAATTCCCTAGTCAAGGAAGGGGGATGGCTCATCCACTCCGTGCCAGGTGATTGGTCTACCGCCAATGGCGTGGTTGAAGAGAAAACTCTTCACCGCATCATAGATCTAGCTTTCGTGGATCCAGAGAAAGGAACTCGGCATATTAAGCTTATCTCAACCGACCCCAACCTGGTCGCAGTGCCGGATAACCAGGCGCTAGATATTACAGTACTGCGCGACGCCGGTCAGGCTGAGGATGAATCGCTGGTCGCCTCTCTTGTAGAGGCGGGACATGCAGTGCAGAACAAAACGCTGGACAACTTCGATCGCCAAGCTACTAATGGCGTCGTCCTAATCAACGACAGCACTGGTAGTCTGCTGGATTCTCTTAATGACCGCTCCTTCGAAAACCTCAAGTCCTTGCTGGGCGCCAGCCTGCCCATCGTTTGGTTGACCAAAGGCGTGAGGCAAGGCGCTTCCGTCCACGGAGGAAGTGTCCAAGGGTTCCTGCGCGTTATCCGGTCAGAACAGGCTGCGGCACGAATTGTGCTCTTGGATGCTGACGAGGTGGAGGATGTTAGTGATGCCATTGTAGGTGCTCTCAGAGACGTCCCAACGAAAGACTCGGGCAAGGACACGGAATTCTGGCTACACCAAGGAACGCTGCATATTTCTCGCGTGCGTCCGAACGGCCTCTTAAATACCGAATGGGCGCCCTCTTCCTCCAGCCCTGCGCAAATGAAGCCATTGCCGGAAGGAGTGCACTTGAACTGCACGTTGGTGGATGGCCAACTCACATTCACGCACGAACAGGATCAGCTATCTGAGCTCTACCCTGATGAGGTTTCCATTCAAGTCACGGCTACCGAGCTGCAGGCTGTCCCTGGTGCGCCCATCGTGGTTTCTGGTACGGTTCTCCGACATGGTTCATCGGTCAATGAGAGTCTTGTGGGTCAGCAAGTCATCACATTTGCGACTGAACAATTCCCAACCATTGTGCGGACAGCCATCTATACGCCCCTGGACACGGCTGTTGGCGATCTAGCGACTCTCGCTGCCAACGTGTCAGCACTATCCAAGGTGGTTAACACCTGCCTGGTGACAGCAAGAATCCGCAATGGCGATCGGATTCTAGCTCTTCCTGGTCCAGCCACCACGTTGCATGCCCTTGTCCGAGTGGCCAAGGCTCTACAGTGGGACTTGCGACTCGTCGCAAGGTCCCAATCCGAGCAACGAGAATACATCACGAAGCTCAACTTAGACAGCGACAAGATCTTGCTGTCGACCGACTGGAAGGCCATCAGCGCCAACCTCCGCTCGGAGAACGGAAGATCCATAATTATCGCTCATGATTTCTCCACTCTGAGCCAGGAAGTATGGAGACATGTTCCCTCGCATGCACTGTTTATTTTGAACGAGGCCTCCCTGGGTTCAGCACCAGATGCCCTGCCTTTCACACGTGGTGCTTCCTTCGTCCCGACCAAAATCAATACCTCAGACTCAGTCGCTGCCTCTGAGCTCCTTAAGCAGGCTCTGAATCTTCTCAGGGATCACACTGAGGTCGCAGGCGATATAGCAGCCGTTCACGATATCAGCTATGCGGGTCAAGTCAATGAGCTTGTCCGCGATCTGCCCGCTGGGAAGATCGGTGTCTTCCATTACCGTTACAATGAAAGCCAGGTAAAGGTATGTGATGCGTTCCCCATATGTGTATTTATTTCCCTCTGCAGCTTTGGAACTGACGTCGCGAGTGTAGATAAAACCCGAAGCACAGCGTTTGACGTTCTCCCCCGATGCCAGTTACCTTCTCGTGGGCTGTCTCGGTGGATTAGGTCGAAGTTTGACTCTTTTCATGATGGAGCGCGGCGCCAGGAACTTCGCATTCATCTCCCGCTCCGGCATTGACAAACCGGAAGCCGCACATATTGTCAATTTGCTCAAGACCGCAGGCGCTTCCGTCCAAGTCTTCCGCGCGGATGCGGCTTCTGAGCTAGACGTGGCCCGGATTGTACAAGAGGTGAGCGCGGAGCGTCCGATCCGTGGCGTGGTTCACGCTGCTATGGTTCTCAGGGACGGAGTCTTTGAGAAAATGGATTATCAGGGCTTCCAAGCTGCGATCGAGCCTAAAGTGCGCGGCGCCCTGAGTCTATCCAAGGCCCTTCAGGGTGTCGATCTCGACTTCTTTGTCATGACGAGCTCCATCTCCGCCACGCTAGGCAACCCCGGCCAGAGCAACTACAGTGCTGCGAACAGCTTCCTGGACACCCTAGCATGGCAACATCGACTCCAGAACCGTGCAGGCGTCTCCTTGGTGCTGCCCATGGTGCTGGACGTGGGTGTTGTCGCGGAGAACGCTGCCATCGAGACCTCCCTCTTAAGGAAGGGTATGTACGGCGTTGACGAACAAGAGATGCTTCGTGGGTTTGAGGTCGCCATGTCTCGTCCCATCGCGCGTGATGAGGCTACTCTTCGTGAAATTGGCGATACACAGATCATTCTAGGTCTAGAACCAGCCGAGCTGGCCAAGGCAGTCGACTCCGACCAAACCGCCGACGCATACTGGTATCAGGATGCACGTTTTGCCCACCTTCGAGCTGTAGTTGAGGCAATCAACCAGGCGTCGTCGTCTTCCACCAAGTCCGGGGCGAGCGGCTTGCCCAGCCTCCTGAAGAGTGTCACGTCTGGTTCGCCGGACGATATTATCGCTGTTATCGCGCTGTACATCGCCAAACGTGTAGGCAGTATTTTGCTCATTTCCGTGGAGGACTTCGAGCTGAATGGACCATCGATTGCGAGCTATGGTCTGGATAGTATGATTGGCGCCGAGATGCGAAATTGGCTCTTCAGGGAATTCGGGCTGGATTATTCATTCCAGAACTTATTGTCTCCTTCGCTGACTTTCAATGGGTTAGCAGGTGTCGTTGGAAGGCAATCGGGCATTTTGGCAGAGGAGTGATTTCAACATTCTCCTTTCTCTTATTATTTGATAATTCTATATTAGAACTGTTATAAGAAGGCCGTGGTCCATGCATTGTTGATGATTACTACTCCGTACTACTACCAGCCTTGGAATTGTTAGCTGGCCATATAGTTCATTCATATATATCAGCGTTATCAAGTGTTTTAGGCGTAGAGTAGGCCTCGCCCTTACCTGTACAGAGTACATAAGGGTCGGTTCTCTTTAGATTTTGGCAGAGCCATCCGACCTAGGCCTTAACACGTGCTGCAGCTTAGCCCTATACTGCGGTGCTACAGTATCACTACTACTACACGATAAATAGACTGCGCTAAAGCCTCAAGACTGCAAATAGTATGAACTATCATAATTTGGAGGGCCCTACTAGACTCTAAAGTAGAGTAATATTCGGGTCGGAGTGTGGAGTGTTCGCACCTATATACTATAACGCGGGGACGTGTGCCGGTAAATTATGATAGTCGCAATTTGTGCTTAGCATGGAAATAAGTCTCTCTGATATACCTCTCAAAGCTATCTTTATGCTATAGGTTGGAGCCTGGCAAACTAAGCATTCCGTCTCAACGCTTTTGATGACTACGATACTCGATGGTGTATATAATCACTCATCTTTCTACTTACAAGGGTTCTACCAGGAGGACTGATAATGTAATATTTCTTGTCAGCGGCACTGAGATATTATCCTATCGAATAGTATCCTCTCGGTCCTTCCATTAGGGCCGGAATGCAGCGCACGGATGTGGGTATTCGAGGGTAGAGGTTAAAAAGCTAGTGGCATGAACTGGGCCGGTATCGTCTGCACTAGCATCCTGTGGCAGTTGCTTGAGTCTGCTGTAGGTCTGCTTGATGTTTTCAAAGATTGGGCCCATCACCGAGAATAGATATCCGTCCTCCAATATGGCGGGATCACAAAGCGATACACCGTTGAAACGACTGCAGAGTTCATCTAAAATATAACCAAAGTCAATGGTCTTTCTTGCAACTCGAACATCCCAATCAGGAAGCTGGGAAATCCCGACTGTCAGCCTATAAATGAGGCTGATGGCATATATTATGCCAGACCACTGTATGTAAGAGAGACTGCCGTATTCAGATGTTGGGACGGAGAGAAAATTCTGAGCGAGCTGCCCTGCCGATTTCAAACAGAGAAAGAGCACTTCCAATCGAGTTTGAGACGCAAAAGATGAGCTTGTAGAATCTCTCAAAGAATCCGTCTTTGGTCTCATTTTTGCTGCAGAGATATTGACGAGGTCCATCTCGTACACATGCATTACAGCGACTTCACAAGCCAGGTTCATCTCATCTATGACATATTAGGATCGTTTCCATTAGATTTTCGATCAATTGTACTTACTGTCTTGCTGGCATACGAGTGGAAGCGATTCTTTCCACTGCTTAAATTCAGCCTGAAAGGATTGAACCTTCATTTCAAGATCCAGGCCGTTCATGTGGTCACGTATAGTGTTATCGATAGCTGAAATACTGCAGTGATTCACCTCTGCCATGCTTTGAAGCTGGACTAGTGGTAAAAGCAATGCATCCGTCGGATGCTCCAATTCTTGACCCAACGATCTCGCACATTCAATCATATAGCTTTGGAATTCGACACCATTTGACTTCCTTTTGACCCAGCCGGTACTAATAAAGACAACTGTAATTAGTCATGCAATGTCCGTTTTAAGCGATGAGAATATGGTTGTCAGGGAAATAATATCCAAACATTGAAGAGCTTTTTTCGGGAAAATTACTCACACGCTGGAAAGATAAAAGCATCCCAAGTATGCTCGGCGAGCTTCTGGGCTAAAAAATTCATCGTGGTTCGCTGAAGGTGTCAACACTTTACGATAATGTGTCAATCGAAGTCCTATCTTCGTATTCATTGCCTCGGCAGGTCTGAGGTTCAAGCCCATGTCATCAACCATTCCAATTGCGATATGAAGTAGTTGGTTGAACTGTTCTTTCTTGGGAATATAATAAAACTGGTACCTAAAGTAAGCACTAGTAAGCAGAGTTGAACCAATCATCTCAAATAAGTAAAGTCTACTCACCAGGCCAAGTATACTAGAACTCCATTCAGGAGATCTAGGCTCCTTTCATTGTGAACCATAATAGTGTGGAGAGCGCAGGTTCTAAATTTGTCACCAAGAGACTTTTGTACTTCCTTCTCTGAGGAAGTCGCTGCTGCCAATGCTGCCACTAGGGCAAAAGGCTGTTCTTTACACATTTTCAAAACAGTGGCGTGACTAGGCACCATGAAAAATGGAAAGTAAGAGGACATGGTGCGAAACCGTTCCAGAAATCCATCGGCAGCATCAATAGACAGGCCACACTCAAGCAGTAGTTCAGGGCAGGATATGCCATTGATTTTCGGATAGCTATCCCACTTATAATGAGGCCCATTGAGGGGGTTTAAACTTATGCGGTTGCTATGGCTGCTGCTGGGCGCGGAATCTCCTTCGCCGGTGCTAGATGAACTATAGCTAGACAAGCCATTTTCCAGAGTCCCCGCCTCACGCTGGAGAGATCCTTCCCCCCGTACCAATTGGGACTGATTAGCGAAGGCAAGTAGGTCATCGACCTTCGACTCCAGAGCACAAATTCGGGCTTTTGAGCTACGCTTTGGCTTTTGTTGCCGCGGTGGCCGTGGTCGCCGCTCCAAAAATACACAGATTCTTTTGGAGTTCACACACTTTAGACACGTGTCAGGTTGGGAGCTAGGAAGACAGCGGACCTTCAGCGAGCGGCATGTTTCGCATGCTTGGAGGGCCTTGCTCTTGAGCCCTCCACTCATTGGGTCTATTTCCTAATGGGTCTTGAGAAAAGCAGGGAATGGCAAGGTTGCAACAGATCTGAGCTCAACTCAAAGGGAGGCGGCACAACTGAAAAAAAAAAAAAGAGCAAAAAGGAATCACATACTCATTCGTCCGGGGGTTAAGGGACGGAACGGAACGTTCAGTTTTCTGTCTCCGCTCCGCGATTTTGGGTGACTAAGCTGCAGTTAACGCTCTGACTTGTCCACAGGTGGCTCTGTGATGATCCATGGATTATTCCCGGTTGGTTCATCGAACAAATCCACGGATCGGAACAAAACACAACTCTACTCCGACCCGCGATGGGAGATGTAAGACTCGAAAGGCAAGATTTGGAGATAAATTTCCCGTTGGGGTGCGTATTTAAAGAGTTGGTGTCATGGCCCTTTTTCTAGATGTACAACATTAGTTTTCTTCATCTCTACTACCATCCTCTGTCATCCACCATGGCGCCTATCCAGTTTGGTGTTATCATGATACCATTTCAACTTACGGATGTTACAGGAGCCGTGGATATTATATCCAGCTCTTCAATTCCTTATCTAAGGTCATTCGGTAATCCCGCCATAGCTGAACGTGGTATTGATATCGAATTTCACTACATCGGCGAGGAAATGGACACAGTAGTCCATCCCACAGGTTTCAAATCCTTGCCTACAACCACCTTCTTGGCTTGTCCTAAGCTCGACTATCTCCTCATTGGCGGGCCTTCCCTGGCTTATCTCGAAAAGATCCCGCCAGCGATCGCACGATTTGTGTGCGAACGTGCTGGCGAAGTCAAGAACATATTCACCGTTTGCACTGGTGGAATAGTTTTGTCCACGTTGGGTCTTCTAGATGGCCTGAACGCCACAACAAACCACGAAGCCATGGCGACAGCGTGGAAACTTGGCCCCAATGTCAAGTGGACGAGAGAAAAGAACTGGGTCGTTGACGGCAAATTTTGGACTGCCGGAGGTGCGTGTGCTGGCATGGATATGATCGCTCATTGGGTCATGGAGAATTATGACAAGGACATCGCCGAAGCCGGATTTGCAGCTCTCGCTTATGAGCCCCGTGATGTGGATGGAAAGCAAGTAGTCTTAACAAGACATGCTTTGGAGTGACTGGGGTGTACATAATTATCTGGAGAGCAAGAAAATCAGAGCATCATAGTTGTGGCAAGACTTTGGGAGATCACGACAGGGCCCCCCCAAAGGAGCTTTTGGCCGGACTCCAATACACAACCCTAGGATACTGCTTCCCATCCTAAGACTATATTCAAGCTTCACCCAGAGTACATCAATCATATTTACACTTACCCCGAAGAATCAATAAGATAGAGACGCAGTATCTGCCTCCTTAGCGTGTTTAGCACGGGTAGCTCAACTATGTTACCGACTTTTCTGGGTCTAATGACTATTTAAATAGATTGCCCGGGATCTTCCATGCTAATTTATTGCATGGTTTCCATGGATAGAACTAGTTACAGCATAACCAACTAACTAGTTAGTTATATGGCAATAAATTATATAAGCAGCAAGTGAGGGTTCCTTTAGTTACTTGATTTTTAGGAACCCTGCGTGTGTTCGACAATTATGGGTAATGGCCTGTCGTAATGTAGCGGTTCTTGAGAATATGCACATTATTACGGAGGAAGATGCCGGATCAAGTACACTCATCCTCGTGCAAGTACTTGACATCTTTGGGGCGTCGGTTAGTGCTTACTGCTCTGGTATGCTTTTTGTATATGCAACGCCATACGATCAGCGACAAGTATCCCGTGGGGAAATAGGAGGGTAGAAACTTCTGCACTATATAGTATAATCAATTGTACGTGATAATACGTCGCGTAGTATCTACTACATATATCTCAGTAGATTGTCAGATTATTTGATGAAATTCTTCTCGCAATACCAAAAACATATGTTGTGAGATACAAATTCCCTTTTCTTTGGCTAGAATGTGATATGCTCTAAATTTTTGTTCAAATGCCTCTCGCACTAGGCCCTCATATTAAATTAAACCAGCTAACATACTTCCTGCGTTGTCGGGCGAGTAATATAATGTATAGCATACACGGGATATCTGCGGGGCTGATTATTGATGCAGACCCGCATGCCACGATGTGACCCTCGGCAGTTCATCACCCCATTTGGAAAAAGTTGTCTCGGTAGTCTTGTGCTATTCACCGCTATATTTTCCCCATAGCTAGATATAATAAGTGAGATATTGGCACCAACTCAGATCTTAATCACTGTCGCAATCTCATAGCATTCGAAGAAGCCACCATGCACTTGAAGCTGGGGGCTAGCTTGGCCATCCTGGCTGCCAGCCATGTGACAGCTGTCTCACAGATCACAGATGATGAGATGAGCTCACTGCTCAATGCAGGCGGCGTTGATCTAGCAGACCGCTATGCACCCATATGGTTCTTTGGCCAAGCCCAGAAGCAGCCACCTTGCTATCCAACCTGGGCATATGGCGGCTCACCAAACACAGCAGATGTTTATGATGAGGCCTACAAGACACCGGCTGCACCTCAGTGTGAGTACCCAAATGTGGGATGCAATTGCCGCAATCCTGGTGTTGGTATCGGGAATCCGGGACCTCAATTTCCCGTCTATTATACATACCAAAGATGCAGCGATACCGAGGTGCGCGTAGCGTATAATCTCTTCTATGAGAAGGACGGCGCAAATTTTGGAAGCATCAAGACTGGACATAACTAGTAAGTGGTTCTTTCTTAGGTCTCGTGAAATGACGCTTGTTCGGCCTACCTCTAACATATGTTTCAGCGACTGGGAGCGAGTGATAATTATCCACTCTCGGGATACCAGCAGCATGTGGGCGCCATCACGCGCCCTGCTCTCTGCTCATAGTGGATATCACAACCTGGCCTGGGGTGATATTCAAAACACCCTGACCACTGAGGAGGTCAACGCCGGAAATGCCAACGACCCGAATGGTGTGCGGAATAATGACCATCCCAAGGTGTATGTGTCGTGGTCGAAGCATGCTCACTTCGATACTCGTAATACCGGCTGGAACGACGTGGCGAGTCAATCGCTGGAAAATGCATTCCGGAGCAATGATTGGTGGTACTTTGTCGAGCCACAGTACTATGTAAGTTTCTTCACTTGCAAGTTGGGGAAAAAAAATACTCATACATTCTTAGATCCGAGCCGATGGTAGCACGGAGGCTGGTAGTGTTATTGGGGCTACTGATTGGGGTAGCGCAAGTAGTGACCCAGTGTCAGTACATGCTGGTATTTGCCAGGCTGCATAGGCAACTTGAAACCAAGGACGAAACATACATGTACATAGCTGTATATACCTGACTGTTGGAGTTTCGATACAACTTGTCCGAAACCTTGACTTATATATATCTAGGAGTATTTGGAACCCAACCCGCCAAAATCTACATAGACCATTTCAGCCCCATTTGCACATTACTTGACTTACAATTACCACCTCAACGATTTCCAAAGTTGACTACGTCTAAACTCTGCCAGTCTTTCTAACTGGTCTTTCTATATTCAGATGTTAGCCAGTCCCCAGGCCTCTTCTGATCTGAAGCTATTAATTCGCCAGTTAAGAGTCGAGCTTTCGGTCCACATCCTACTAGGGTAAAGGAGTTTTGGACCTCGATACGGAGGCTCTACGGCTGCAATTTTGGGGCGAAACATCGAGAAAGCTTGATACGGGACCTACAAAAGGATTCACCAGGTATGTCTGATACGGACTTAGGATCTGGGAGGAGTAGCGCCCGATTGATTTTGGGATGTGGTTAAATGATGTATAAAAGGTATTTCAAAGTACTACAGAAGATGGTATGGGTTCTTTGAATCCGAGCACAATGATCGCTATAAGCAAAAGTTCTTATACACTAACTAATAGATTGTTCAAGTTGTCTATGTTGTTGAAATGATTCCAAATATGTCTGATCTCAAGTGAAGCCCGATTTGAACATACATATATCAGCAGACTCACTCACCTCCCTCGCCATTACTACTCTATTACGCGTAGACAAAAACAATGTCTTTCATTTTGGAATTCTCGAGTGGTTTACAAGCTATCCGTTCGGCAGATAACAATCCAAGAACAAGAACGGAAAAAAAAAGAAGTGCATCATCCGTGAATCGAACACGGGCCTCGTCGATGGCAACGACGAATTCTACCACTAGACCAATGATGCTAGGGCAACAGTTGAATCAGATAGATGATTGGCTGTTGATATATTGGACTGCTCTATACATATCCAAGTGTTACTTCGTCCATTTTTCAACTCTCCAGGCCAATTGGCTATTCCTCTTATAGTCATACATACCTTTCCCGGGCTGGCTCATTATTGGAATATCCGGTAATCATGACCCAGTTCCAATCCGGTTACCTTCGTCGTCCATCCGATCACTGGAATTCTCCATTCCGCTCCACTTAGGGAGACCATCGGGAAAGTCCAGCATGCGTGACTCGTAAAAGATATGACATCTAGCAGGATCATTAGTTTGCGCTCATGAAATAGTAGTAGATGAACAAACTTCGGTTTAAAAGCCTCCCTCCTCTCTCTTTGCTCTTCACTAGACCCCTCGATCTCAATCAATTGAGGGAAGATCAAACACATATTCCGGCCTTCATCCATGATAGGTGTCCGGCAATTGGCACAGGACGCCTTGGTAGGCAACATATGTTTCTGATTTTCATGTGTCGAAGAATAAAATACCAGACCGCTTGCGCCACTGGTGAATGACACCTCGTGCTTGTGGAAAATCGCCGCCCACTGAAGAGGAGCTCCGTGGGTCACCTGGCACACACGACAATGACAGTATTTGGCATTAACTGGTTTCTCTCGCTTCAAAAGATAGGTGATCTTTCCACATAGGCATTTCCCACGCCACTTGATTGGACTGAATGGCTCCCCAGGTTGCACCTCATATGGCGGGAGGTGCTTCCAGTGTTCTTCGGGGGTGGATTCTGGGGGCCGATTGGTATGTGCCGGGCAGGGAAGAGGACTGATAAAGTTGCGGCCTATTTCAGCCATGATGTGTGAGTTGGTGAATTGAGCGTATGTGAAGTGGTTGAAGTGGTTGAAGTGGTTGAAGTGGTTGAAGTGTATGTTTTGCTTTTCCCAGTCTCTACCAAAGTCGGCGTTTGCACAAGAACCACAATGATGTCAATGACCGCACCAATCATATATGAATCATATAAGGATTCAAATGAATTTGTATGTGATTCCTATAAATTCCAGAAATTCCAAGGATTCAGGAATTTCTCGAAAATGGACATGTTGGCTCATCAAGTGATGTCATGTGCATTCTCCATCACTTGAATGTCACAACCTTGAATTATCGTTCTCCATAATATTTGAGCTATGAGATGTCATTTCGTGTCACTTTGTTTTCAAGTCTTTTACCCAGGAGATCTTCATGATATACAATGTAGCAAGTGATATGAAACCCCTAGACTGAAACGCCCGTGGGTGTTTCATGTTAGGGGCTGGGGCTGGAGGCGGGGGCTATGGTTGACCTGCATTAACGCGCTTTGTCCCTATCACCTCTCTCCTCTTTACATTCTTCCACATATTTCCAGCCATAATGGGCCTTTTTGACAAGCTGCGTCGAAGCTCACGACGAAGCTCACGGCGAAGTGAAACCGCCGACCCACCATCGCCCCGCGTTAACGTGTCCGGCCGAGATTACACCAAACAGCTACCTCGCCCAGTATTGGCACGCATTTTCTCCTTTGTCTGTCCTCACACTGTCGATAACACATATGGCACCTCCGAGGAATCAGCGAGCGATGGCTGTATGCTATGCGACATGCGTGACCTGGCGCATTGCAGCCTCGTGAGCAAGCGGTGGTTTTTGGATGCGCGGGCGCTTCTGTAAGAGATCCCCGGTGTTTTTGTGACGAGTGTGAAGCTAATACCAGTCTTGCCACTAGTTACACAAACGTTCGAATCGACCCCGTTCATTATTGCGAACTCGAAATTGAATTAGCCGCCAAGCGAAAACGCCGCTCGTTCTTTGATCGCAATGGCGATCCCATCGATGCGCCGCAAGTCCGTCTGGAGATGTTTATGCGTACAGTACGAGAGTCACAGGGATTAGGGAATTTGGTGTTGTCACTCCGAATGCCATACATGACCCGCGAGGCCAACAAAGCCAATGTTGCCCGGACTATCTCCGTCCTTCCTAATCTCCGCTTTGTTGATCTGCCGGTGGGTTTGTACAGCGATGAGGCATCGTGTCTAGCATTGAAACAGGAGTTGATGGCTCGATGCCCCGAGTTGCGTCGGATGGCCTATCGCCGAGGTGCTGAGGGCAGTTTTTCCCGTCTACCGGGATCCCAGCTATGGATGAATTTGGAGGTGCTGGAGCTATCTGGAGTTCAAATGGAGGCTAGTACCCTGCGCAGCGGACTCGCTTCATTTCCCCATCTTCGTGAGCTCACGCTCGAGGATCTCGATTGGCTTGACGACTCTGCGTTTGTAGTGAACGTGCCTCTTCCGCCATTCCCGTCAGTTCAGTCTCTTACACTTCGCGATACCCCTAATGTCACGGCAAGCGGGCTTGCTGCATTCCTTTCCGTTCCAGCGAACCGAGAGACTTTGGGATCTTTGATATTATCCTCTACCGGCGTTGTTCCATCGCAACTACATTATATCCTTGCCGCTGCTCCACGGCTTGAGAGCCTTTCTATCATCCAGGAGGTGTCTCGATCCTTCCCCATGGAGCAGATTCCTCCTCTGGCATCGAAGTCGCTGCATCTTCTGCACTATGAACTCACATCCCAAACCGATAATCACGGAATGCCACCAGTGGTATCCTCATACTATACCTATCTTATTTCATCCTTGGTGTCCCGAACCTTACCAGCCCTTCGAGACTTATATGTCCGTGATTCCTCATTCCCCGACACACTGCTGCTTATGCCCCCACCACGACTCTTCGGCGGTGGTGAAAACGGGCCTCAGATGCGGGGCGGTCTTGCGCAGCCCCTAAATGTGTACAGCAAGGGCCTAGATGAGTTTGAGTGGAATTTCACACCGTATGACCCCAGCCCAGCGCCCGGACGCCGTGACTCAAGTACACGCCCCGTAAGCTTCCACGAGGCGCAGTTGAATCGGTCTTGGGGCGGCGATGCGCGCAAGAGCGTTCTCGTCGGGAACGGATTCGGTGGCTTCCTAGCTGTTCCGGCTGATGAAGAGCGACCCAGGAGTAGTCAGGGACACCACAAGCGGTTGAGTAAACAGGATCTATGGCGGTGAGGCTCTTATATATGGATGGATTCCAATAAATGGAATGGTCAGTATCTTGTGACAGAGGCATTTCGCTTGAGGTCAAAAATGCGTTCAGCGGGACGAGGCACACGCTTCATGAAATGATGATTGAGTACATAGGTGTCTAAGGGAAATTTTCAGTTCATTCAAGCATAATCGGGCGATATACATGCGTGGCTATTCCGCAGTTTCGCTCTCTTCTGGCCATCCTTCTGGCAGCTGTAAGCCGCGCCATACCCACTGCTTCTGGATGTCACTATCGGTCATATTACAATAACCGTATGTCTGGCAATAACATTCACGTTGGTCGATACAATACTGAGCCGGTTTTCCAAAGATCACTGTATAAAATGGCGAGATTAGCAAGAGATCATCAAGAGATCAGCGCGAATGAGAGACCCACTATGCCATGAATACTCCAGAATACGGCCACTGATGCCGGCATCCAAATCCGTGTCCATCAGCCACCGCTGCAAACGAACATAATCCTCCAGACTCTGCTCGTGAATCTTCGTCTTGGACAAAGCAAACTGGCTACAACACGGCGTCCCGACAGCCTCCGGAAGTTCCGCGTGTGGAAATAGCTCCATAAACCGATCGGGATACTCGACTGCGGTGGGATGTGCTTTGTCTTCTGGTCTCTCGCGGAGATAGCGGGCGGGCTCGAGTTCTGCGGGACAACCGACACTCCATGCGCAGCGCAGATTCACATACCCGGCCTCTTTGACGAAGGCGAGGTTGAGATGGGAGATGGAGATCACGGAGTCATAGAGCGGGTTATCGACATGCCATTGGTAGCGGCCGCCATGCAGGAAGATTGATACTTCAGGAAGGGACCAGTAACGATCAATGATATAGCTGGTGAAGAAGGCCATTAGCATGATAACAACTTTGGAGCTTGGGATTGACGATTGAAGGGTTGAGATATCAAAAACGTACGTCAGATAGACCATAGCCTCATTACCCTTATTTACGGGCACGGTCAATCCACCATCTCCGTGTTTCGCATCCGCACGATAGATATTCACCCGCCATTCTGGCAGGTGTTCCTCGACCCAGGACATATTGCTAGCTTGCATAGCCGCGAGAACCAACTCCTTCTCGGCGGGTACAACATCCGGAACGAAGCGATCATCATCGGCCACAATTATACCCTGAATAGTTGTCCAGCTTGTCCCTATACTCGGTGCTCGGTCAAGAATCAGCTGATATGATAAAAGCAGCAATGTCACTACTAAACCGAGGTAAATGAAGACTCGCGACCGTGGTGGGACAGTGGCCTCGCGGGGGGACGCGCAATCCCGAAGCGGGGAAGATAACCACCTCATTGCATGGTTTTTGTATTTATATCGAGGGACAAAGAGTTACAACAGATAATAGAATGGACAATTGATAGACAGCAATGTTCAAGTGAGGAAGAGGTACATATCATAGGGCAGGCACACTGACGTAGTGGACTTGCCGTATTTCCATGGTTACATGGGATATCAACATAGCCCTGGAGCAAATATGAATATTCTCACAAAGGTACCTTAACGGAGTACCAATGGCAAGGATAGTGCTCGAATCCGGTTTCTCCCATTGCCTAAGTGTATCCACAGCTATGTAAAGGGTTAGGGCTGGACTCAGACCGAAAACGGACATCGAATGGTTTCAGTCGATGCATAGTTATATACTGTTACTACATAGTACATATATCGAAGCAAATGCTGACAGAAGTAATTAACTTGCCTACATAATTAAATGTTGAAGACAACTCAATTGGATAAGCTACATTTGTAGACGTCTACGTACGTCGATGTAAGATCTTATGGAACCCGACGGCTTATATACCCGCACCCACTTTTAAGGCGTATTTCTGTAATTAATGTAAATAATCAATCAAGACCATGCAGAATAATCGCGTAGCCTTTAATTGGCTTGTCCTATATTTAGTCCAAGTAGGAAGTATTGGTATTAGAAGGCTAGGCAGAAAATGGATGTACATAGATCATTTCCATCCAAAGTCGGGGTTAACAAAAATATCCCCGGCGCCCGTAAGCAAACGCATGGACACATTGAAAGGTTACTATGCCCTTCAAAGGTTATCGGGTGACTGTAGTATTCTTTGTTCTTTTTTAGGACCTTTTCACTTACACCTATATCTCTTGAATTAAACGTGATGGGATTTATAATTCTTTTTTTTTTCTTTTTTTTTTTCGATAATTTCATTGTAAAAATATCCGAAAAGACAAATCTATATGACTATAAATACATTAAACAAAAGCAAATATATATATAAAAAAAGAATGAATACTACTCAATAGCAGTAAGTAGATGACTCACCTAGGTTCATCCTTCATCTAGAGTTCCTCCTTCGAATCAGCCATGCTGGGGCGACTCCTCAAATTGTACCGGGTTTGAGTAGAGTCTTGTCTCTGACGTGGAACCGATGCACGAGATTTAGCATTGGCTTGAACATGAGTGAACACGGACCGAACTGCCTGTTGGTCAGTTAGGGTTTTTGTAGGTAGGGCTGTCTGGATCGACTGTTGGTTCCTGAAGCTGGATGCAGTAAAGTCCATATCCATCATTGAGTTCAATGGCTGGGGAAGAAAATTCATCTCCTGAGGCACATTGACACATGGATCCATTCCTAGGGGGAAGATCGCATCCATATCCATGGCCTGGTGTTGAGTCAAGAATGCACTGTCCATAGAATTCTGTGAAGTTAGTCCGGAAAGGTCAATGTCAGGTAGACCCGTCATATCAAAAGAGCCCATGTCAGGTAGATCAAAAGAATTCGGCTCTGGGAGCCCTAAGCCCATATCCATATCCATGGGCAAGTCCAGGACAGATGGATCGAGACATTGCAGGTCCAAAGTGTCGTCATTCAAAAGCTGGGTGAAGTCCACATTAGCCAAGTCCTCTCCAGTCCAGTTCATTGCCTGTGTCGAGTCCAATGCATTCGCATTCACATCTGGCTCACCCATAGCATCAGTATTCAAGAACTGAGTCAAGTCCACATTAGTCAAGTCCATATTAGCCAAGTCCTCTCCAGTCCAGTTCATTGCCTGTTGCAAGTCGAATGCATCCGCATTCGTATCTGGCTCGTCCATAGCATCATCACCCAGAAGCTGGCTGAAGTCGATATCCGGTGCATTTGCCCCGCTCCAGTCCATTGTGTTCGTCCAGTCGATATTGTCCGAATCGACTGGCCCTGTGGAATAATCCTGGGGTAGATTCGCGATGATTTGATCCATAGTAGTATCAAATGCAGCATCGTCAAGGAAACCAAGGTCCTCTGTCTGTTCTAGGTCTAATTGAGGTAAGTCTGGAGTTTGCTGCACCGAAGCCTGGTTGCCCTGGTTGAGTGGGGAGCGTGTCTGCATGCGTTGCAGTGAGGTCTGCGGGGTAGTAAAAGACCCAGTGGAGGTGTTTTCAGGTGACGGTGTCCATGTGGGGGTGTTAGATATCTTCTGGTCACTGAACTCCTTGAAAGGCAACGGCTGCAAGTAATTAACATATTGATAGTTTGACCGTTTGGGATCTGCTGCCTGTGGTGCGAGTGGAGTCGTCATATAGGGATGAAGGGATCTGATGGGCTCTGAGTTGCCAGGGAACTGAATCGTCGGCACTGTGATATCAATAGTGTCCAGCCAAATTCCTAGGGCCAGGTCTCCATCAAACTTACGGCTTTTTCGGCGTAGCTCAGTAAACTCCTTCTCGCCAAAAACTCTCACTTTCTTTCCGTGCCTGGTTATCTGCTGAGGATTCATTCGGTAATACCCACAATACCTAAGCACCGCGGGAAGCACCAGCTCAGGGCGATAGTCCGAGACGGATTTCAATCCCGTAATCTGAAAGTTGTTGCTTCCATCGGGGATAGGCTCCCTACTATAGACTGCGTGAACAGCATACTGCAAAACGAAAGCAGGAGCAGTATTCATGAGATCACGGAATCTGCGGAAGGCAAGAGCCTGGAGATCAGTAATTCTAAGAAGAAGAGCAGTTTGAAACATCGACAGGTGAATGCGCAAGAGTTGACAGATCTGGGGACAAGTCACACAGCCACCAGGGCAGGCCCTAACAGAGTAATAACTCAAGTCCGCTTCATCAACGGAATAGTCACCAGTATAAAGGAAATTAACAAGGCTGTTGACCTGCTCAAGACATACCAAATCAGGGAGAACAAGTTTATACTTGTCTCCAGTCTTGTGGATTCGCCAGTCAATCCAACGGGTCGACCTACGAATGACATTCAAGTGCACATCCCAGCCGCGTCGGCGGTTACCTGGGTGTCGCAGCTTGAAATCAGGGGCATTTGTTTTGAAGTATCTAAGAAAAGTTTAGCATATATCCTTTTGATGGGTGAGGTTTTTTTGTCACTTACGCGTTCTGCTCAGCTTGAAGCTGAGCCTTGCGATCCCCCAACTCACCCCAACCCAGCCAAACTCGGGGCAAGCCGGTATGGGCATTGCAATGGTGATGTCCAGGCATGATTGCTATAAAATAGTATCTGAATAAAATATGTCAGTTGGTTTTCAGTCTGTCTGAATAGCTTTGATGGTAGTAAAATCGAAAGTGTGATTGTAGTGAAGTGTGATTGTAGTGAAGTGTGATTGTAGTGAAGTGTGATTGTAGTGAAGTGTGATTGTAGTGAAGTGTGATTGTAGTGAAGTGTGATTGTAGTGAAGTGTGATTGTAGTGAAGTGTGATTGTAGTGAAGTGTGATTGTAGTGAAGTGTGATTGTAGTGAAGTGTGATTGTAGTGAAGTGTGATGAAGAATGAGGATTGTGCGAGGACATCAAGGCTCTTAAATACTAGGAGTTGCTTTTTTTTCACAAAGATATTATTGAACTCGAAATCTGAACAACTGCCAATAAACTCATCAAAGCCAATAAAGAGACTATAAATACTCGGTTAAATATCAAACGCCAACATTCTTTGTTCCTCGGCTATCCTGCGACATACAATCCTTGAACTCGGATCAAACAACGAGCTCTAATTGAGTAGGAAATATCCCTATTCTTGTTATAGGTTGTTTAAGCATGGCCATTGTGTTTTTATGTCTTCATTGTCTAGAATTTCCCCTTGGGCTCTTTGAGTTCTCGCCTGAACAAGAATCATGAACAATCCTCTTTATGTTCTCATATCCTAAGCCTGAAATCTTTAGAAACATGAGCCATGAACATCATTTTTCCTGACTAGAGCATTTGCTGAAAAGTTGTGTGTCTATCTGTTCACTCAGAACACACTCACTGTTATTTCATGATCTTTGACTAGCATTGTCCCTTGACCACCAAAACAGCCACATCATGGCTCTTCAATGAGGCGCTATACTTAGTCTTCACACACCCCAGATCCTTGCCAGTCCAAGCATCAATAACCTTATATGCATCATGACTCTTAAGCTCTGGGATCTCGTTCCATGTTGCAGTGCGAGTAGCAGTTGCATCCTCAGAGTTCAGCATAAGCACCAAAGTTCCTTCTAAAGTGGACGATGCACCAGACCAATATTCTGCCGGATGAACCGGGTCAAAAGTCCAGTCAGAGTTGTATCCCCACTTGTAAGGATGGGCAGGACTGCCGATAACCGGGTCTTGATTGAAGTCAAGAAGATACTTGTTCTTCAAAATGGCCAAGTGGTCATCGTTAATAGAATCAAGCTATGCATTTGTCAGTATATATTACCACCTGTAAGGATAGGACATTGAAACATATCACATACGGCCGTGCCAATAATCAGAGGGGACTTCATAACAGCCCAGAGTGCAAAATGCGCCCTATTTTCTTCGATAGTAAGATCTCCATTACCAACCTCCAACATGTCCGGATCGGGGTAACCCCAGAAATTGGCATAATTCATCAAAAAGCTGTTCTCATTTGCAATCTCCGCAATACGAGCCCAATCCGCTAATACAGAGTTAGCCACTAAAACTCCCATTCTGGTATCAGTCAAACTGCTTACGAGTGATATCGAGAGACATGCGCCACGAGTTGCCAGTTTCATTGCCCCAGGTATTCACATCAGCATAACCCCAGTCACAAAGTGAATAGAAGATCGTCCGATCAACGTTGAGCAGTGCATCACGCATTGTAGTATATCTTGTATATGTCTTGGACTTTCTCCAGTCATATCCTTCTGGAGCTGGGTCGGTGAGATCAGGACAAGTCCCATTAGGGAAGTTCCCCTTATCAGGGACACAGCCATTGTATGTATCTGTCCAGTCATCGGGAACACCGCAATTGTCATATTTGAGGTCTGCGGGTTTCAGTATTTGATAGAGACAGATTAATAGGTATAGAATAGAATAGAACGTACAATCAATACCCCAATCAGCAAAAGACTGTGCGTCGACTGTCTCATATCCTAGACTGGCAGGATATCCAGCGCAGGTAGTCTCACCAGCACCTAACATGTATCAGACATGATTCTCCGATCGGCATAGAGGAGAAGAGAAGGTACGAACTGCTGTAGATTCCGATTTTCAATCCCAAATCATGGACTTGCTTTGCAACACCAGAAATACCATCGGGGAACTTGGATGAATCTGGAATCATGCGACTTGTGCTCTCGTCGCGTTTGTTCTGGATACTCCAGCAGTCATCGACTGGTAACAGTCAGTAATTTGAGTCACCATTTTCTTAGGACTCAGTTCATACATACTGTTCACATATTCATAACCCAGATCCTTCAGTCCAAGATTAATTATCTTATTGGCCGCGGTGAGGACTTTCTCAGAATTGATATCACATCCAAATGCATTCCAAGAATTCCAACCTAGTGCAGGTATTTTGCCCTATTTCAGGTCAGTATGTGATTTCTCCAGAGCTTCAGATGGTCATAAAGTGAGAAGAGAGCATACAACATCATTTTTCCTAACCAGAGCATCTGCTGCTGGTAGCAAAGGCAATGCAACAGCGAGCGTCAATGACCATAACATGATTTTGGCTTGCTTTCCTGATAGCTCAATCCTGTAAATCTGTTCATCTTTTATAACCCCAATCTAGTGCGGGGAATAGTCAATGTCACCATGTCACCCTGATTAGACTGATGTACTAGCAGTGTCGATCATGACAGCGTTTCATTCGCACTGGATAGTCGTATCGATTATGTGCATACATGCGGAGAAATATCAGCCTGATTGTAGAGTGATTCAGTTCGACAATCCTCCGATTATTGCATAGTTACTGTCATCTATTTTGACTTAGGGGCTTACCCCACTCACTGTCAAGCCCAAAGCAATGCAACCTCATTCCCCCTAACGTTCAACTAATATGTACATGCCCATTCAGCTACAATGGACGAATTATCCGATAAACATACAGGCACTCCACCTGGGCCCTTCCCCATCACGTTAGACAACAGCGGCCGCATTCCGCTCCAGGTTCCATAGTTCAAAGACATCTCAATCTATTATGAGCTCCCACTCGAGGGGCACTTCGCACACGGAATACTAGAGTGGCGATAAGCCCATGCAGTGACAGGCCGCGAGTTAGCCATAGTCGCCGTGATGAACCATCTCACCGACCGCCCGGAGTGGTATGCTGATATATTCAACGAGGAGGTTGTCGCGGACTGGTGCAAAGAGGTCTTTGCCACAACCCCTCTGATGGGCGAAATGACGTGGGTCTGGTGCGTAAAGGAACTCCGAGATAAATCTCTCTATTTCCGTGAGAATCAACATGTTCGGGTGCTTGACACAGCATCCTGCGCGTACAAATCGGATACCACAACTCCGACCTCTCTAGACAAGTTGTTCAGGGGGCCAGTTCCTTCCATGCTTGAGCAGGAGCAGGAGCAGGACAATCCGGATTTGCAGTCTAGCCGGATATTCAATCTCATCAATCCGTTGTTATTATCCTTGGTTTACGGACGAAGTCTGGTCTTAGAAGATGGAGGGAAAGTGGACCTACATAGCATGTTTGGCTCCTACGGTAATGCCACAACCACGCCAAAACATTTCGATAGATGGGTGGACTCCCAGGATTTGCGGAAGGAGATAGATACATTTGGCCATCAGAGTACGGGAGTGATGTCTGGTCATTTCAAATCAAAGGAGTAGTTTTATCGCTGGAGCTCAAATTACCAATGCCTTCCGTGCGAGGTAGAGTTTCTTAGGGACTCTGTGACGGAGGTGCAGATCACCACATACATCAATAACCTACATCCGACTCATGATAGGCTATACCAGGCCGTTGAGAAACTTGTGTCCCTAGCAATCAAGCCGTGGAATGATTGCCTGGTTTAGGGGCAGCGTGGCTGGAGGGATGATTTCAATCAAGGACAACTAGGGCCCGTTACAATGCGAATTATCACGTATGGTATTGAATGGGAGAACGAACTCCCTCAATAGGCCGCCGCTTTCTGTATACCTTCAGAAGTCAAGAAGCAGTCGAAGTCCTAGAGATATTAAAAACCAGCGAGGGTGACAAAACAAAAGAAGGAAGGGAGAAGCAGCTCAAGGCGCAGGGAAGTCTGGGGTGATTCGAAGACATTGCAGGCAAAGAACATAGGGAGTTGCCTCACCTAGACTCGGAACTACGACAAAGGGCCAAGGCATATCTTGAACTCCTGGAGGATGGATTAAACACCCCTGTCAAGGTCTCGGATGACCAGGCAGACTCACAGTGGTTCTTTCTGAATATCAAGGTGAAGCGGTTGATTCGCTTCAAGCATCCAGAGCCAGGAACTGCCTTTTCGTACGAGGGCTGGAAGGTTGACCGGCATAGCGATAAAGCAATCGTCGACATCGCCCGCCACCGCAAGAATTACAGGAGGAACTAGGCGTCCCTAGAAGCTTCTCATCCCGCCCCACGCCCCGTATCAAATCACTCTTTTCAACACATTTCGGAAGCAAGGCCTATCCTCATCATCAAGCTCGACCTCGCCGGCCTCGTCGGTCTGGACCCAACTCACTACATCCAGCACAACACTACTGGAAATCCACTAGTCCTCACTAAAACCTTTACCTAACTAGCGGCATGTAGCGGTGGGATGACCCAATTAGCCTCGTGGGGGACATTCACTAAAATTGGAAGATAGCTTTCAGCGATTTCTTCAAAGTATTGTGAAGATCGATTCGTGGTCGATTTTGAAATGATTTCTCCTAGATGAATCAACCGTTCTAGACATTGAACTTAGAGTTTTCCAGCCATAACCTAGCCATCTCAAGCAGAAATGCGGAGAAAATACCCCAAGAGATATCAGGCCCGTAGATAACGTGGAGACTCATACACACGAGGTCCGGTGTAATCGTCAAATAAAGGCAGTAGCCTTTCCCCATGCAAATTGTGCATTTCTGCAAGACTCTCTGTCAGCTTTTGGTCCTGAGGCCCATGTCTGAAAATTTTGGGCTTTTTGGATAACCGAAGAATATAGACAGGGACTTTAGTTAGACACTTATGAGCAGTGGCATAGTCATATCCGACATTGTTGAGGTCGAGGACGAAAAAGGAGCGGCGCCCTTCAAACTTTTTTACAGCAATCCAACGAGTTTTAACGTCTGGGCAGCAGGCAGCAACGGCCTTTTGGACCGGGTCGACAATCGTTCCGATTGATTTCAGAAACTCGGAATGATCAAGAATGCTGTTAGGTGTTTCACCAACGATCCTAATTGCTGGAACTGGTGTCGAAGAGTCAAATGAATTCAGGAAGTCCCTCATAACCCCATGAATCTGCCCAATGATTGAAGCACGATACTCCATGTCGAATTGATAATCCTTGGTACCGATATTAAGCCGAGCGAGCCGGTGTTATCAAGAAGACAAATAAAGTGTCGAGAGTTATATCTGCAACACAAATTGGATACAACAAATGCAAAGGTTTCGAATGAATCCAGGGGCAGAGGGACATACAAAGGGATCTTCATGATACCAAAAGACTGCATCACATGATCATGTTGGTTATATAACTTTCCGTGCTTCCTACCAGGTAGGTAATACTTAGGGCTGACGTATTCCATAGGTTAGTTGTTCAAACTTGTACAGACAGGTAAATTTCACGCTACCTATAGTATGTACCAGATAGCTGTCTATAGCCTGTCTACTCCGTATGTTATACGTACTTAAGGAGGGATAAACTAATACTGTCACATCAGGTCTTTGATAGTCTGACCACTTGACTTCTTTGATGCAGGTCAGTACTAGAAAAGGGCGTAGTATACGCTAAAAGAATACTACTAGTATCATATGAAACGAAATTCTTCGACTCTAACAGCCATCATGATACATATCTATCGTAAATCATTAGTCGTACAATATACACCGCCATGCTTCCACCCAAATACATATTAAAAAGAAGTGCGCCTCACTTGGAAAAGAGAAAGAGGTAAAGGGAGAGGTGATCATGCAGGCTATTGCTTCCCCAAGATCAAGGTACGGGCTTGACGGGGATCTGTTCCGAGCACAGTAATGAGATACTCGATGCTAGTTTCGGAAGCTAGACGACGCTTCTCATCCTGGAACTCCGTGTTGCACGCCTCCCATGTCGCATTTCGTTCTTTACTTAGGACTGTCTTGACGCGAATTTTAAACGCCGCACTGACCGGCCGGTGATCTGAGGCGCGGACCTCGTGTCGTCGATAATCGATCTGCTTGACGCGGCCCAGGCCACGGTAAAGGACGCGGTCGCACCAGGCAGGAGAACGTTTCTTGTCACTGGAGTCGTATTCGTCCGTGCCGACGTCGTACTTGTAGGTCGGGGCGAAGGTGATGGGTGACTCGATGAAGGAGCGTAGGCGGAAACCAGGATTCTTCCGCCGGGAAGCAAGTAGCTGGTCTCGATCCAGGAGTTTTGGTAGGTTGTTCTGGCGAATTGCATCGATGATGACATTGCGAGGGATTGCGTCGATTCGGTAGTTCAGATCTCCGTTCAGGATGCATATTTCATGGTCCATGATCATCGAGCCATCACCACCACTGGCGAACTGATCTGTCCGCAAGGTCATGTTATTTTCCGCAGGCAGGGACTCGGCTTCTAAGATCGCAGCAATATCATTGTTTCGGTTTGTGGTCTGGGTTTGGCCGGCCGCCAAATGGCAGTTCACAAAGCAGATCGAGCTGTCGTCCAGGACGAATCGGAGGACAAGGGCACCCTAGTGCAATTAGATAAAAACCATAGCAAAGACCGCAGATATCACGAACCTTGTTTCCATGTAAACCACCCATCCCGCGCTTTATCTCTGAAGCACTCACGTTTTTGATATTATGGCGTTCCTTATGTTTGACGAAAACGCAAGTAAACAGTCCCACCATGTTCGCACTATGCAAAAGAACGTAGGATTCCTCGAGAGGCATGCATTCGTGAAGAGCACGAGTAAGATGATCGATCCATACTCGATACTGGCGGCTCATGTGTTCCTTCTCGCCGTTCTCTTTCTTTTTACTACCAAGCAGCAAGCTCTCTGCGGCAATATCAGCGAATATTCATTGATATAGAAAAAAAGGGGGGGTATGGCTTACTAGCTGTGATCTTCTTATTCTCAAGATCAACCAACTCCTGGAACCCAAATACCACGATATCGGGCGGATCGTCGGGGGTTACTACATTTCGGATGAAATCTGACGTTCGCAAACTGCCGGGCGTAGAAGCTCCCGCATTCCAAGTCACGACGGCAGCCTTGATTTCTCGGAATTTGCAGAACTCGACGTCTCTGGCTTGCATCCGCGCATCTATTGTATATCAGTGGAAGCCATCAACGGACGAAACAACATTTTACTTACCTAACCAATCGTCCTCGAGCATTCCGTCCCAGAGGCGAATGCAATTATCAGTGCCGAGAGATGTCACCTGCAGGCGGTTCATGGTCCATACGCTGCTCATGTCTAACACGAAGCTGGATACAGGACTGTCGTGGGCACGCCAGTCTTTCTTCACGGTCCAAGGGTTGGTAGACACATCATAGACGTAGATCATGCCGGTTTTATATGCAGCCCAAAGGTAGTCTCCGACAAATGCAAGGCAGTTTATTTTGTAGACACTGACGTTGACCACCGCCAAGCAAGTAAAATCGGTCGATGAGTACACAGTAACCTTGCCATCTGCGTGTCCCAGATACACCCGACCTCCCTCGCGCGTGGTATAGGATCCGGAAGTCACATCGCCTGAGTGCTGAAGACCGAGAGGTCGTTTAAAGACCTTGAATGGAACATCGTCCTGTGCATGGGGGCGATATATATGGACATCTTTCCCTGCTGCCAGCCACAGCTTATCGTCAACTACCATAGAGAACGTGTGGCCTCGGGCTACACGTTCAGAAGGGCTGTGGTAGCTGTATTGCAAATTGGGTGCACCAGTTTCGTCTGGCAACCAAACAAGCAGCCGGCCTTCATCATCTAACGTCCACATTTCTTTCTTGTGTCGCAAGATTTGGATGACTTCACGGCGGGAGGGGTATGCGCGAGTTGCCACGATGGATTGGCTCGGGATATCGACTTCGTGAATATCTCCAGCACTGGTACCGAGCCAGATACGCTCACCTTCATCTTCAAGACCTTTCCCTGGCTTGAAAGCAAGAGATAAACTTTTCACGGTTTCGCCATGGCTGAGACTCATCACTTGGTCACCTGTTGTAAGATCCCACACCCGAGTCAGATATCCAGTCGTACACACATACTTGCCGCACACAGCCAGCAGACGGGTATCGTATTTCGTCAGGATATCTTGCGGTCCAGATTTAAAGCATGGGGGCCGACGGTTTGCTTTTGAGGCATCTGGATAGTCGGTCCGTGAGATAGCCGGCCCTTCGACTTGCTCTTCTTCCTCCGTGTCTGTACGCACCACGCGCCGTTCAGGAAGAGAAGAAGATAGGTGAGATTCCTGGGCTACAGAAGGCTGCCGCTGGATTGGTTTTGGGGCTGAGGATTCGCTAGCACGCGGGAAAGAAGGTGCAGATCTGGCAATCGGTGTCAGCTGCGCAGCGCTGTTTAATCCTAGAGAGTCTCGTGCTGGGGAGACTCCAGATCGGCGGAGAACCCCAGAAGGTCGAGGAGGAAGTCCTGGGCGGTCGTAAGGAATATCACTGGCTCGGAATCTCTGCGCTGAAAGAGGTGGAGCAGTGGCAGCAGACATTGGATCGTCTGGACGCACGGGAATAGATGGAATCTGCACCATCAAGGGCTTGGAGACCCGTGAGGGCTCTGGACCGGGCCGGATCCTTGAGAATCCCATCTCCCTAGCGTCATGCCTAGCGTTTGCAGACGGTATAGGTGATCGCTCATCGAATGAACACCGAGTGGGTGGCTCCGTAGTTGGCCGAGCTGGTATTGGCCTATCACTGATCTTCCCTGTAGATTGCGGCTTAATAGGTTTATCTGGGCTACCGGGAGGAGTTCTAAAAGGTGAGACGCTTCGATCAGGTGATGCTCGTTCCGGTCGAGGAGTCAACGAGCTGGCGCCGTCCCGGTGAGAAAACATAGCCGGTTTCGCTGGGATTTTGGGCTTTGGTGTGCGGTTAGCTGGGGGTGGCAACGAAGCACTTTTTAATTTCCGGTCCGCTGGACTCCCAGTGAGGTTGACGCGGAGAGACCCAGGAGAAGTTCGGGGGATTGTACCCCCTGCATTAATAGGCGGTCCAAACTTTGGAATCGGGGAGAGTGGGCGAGGTGGTGCCGGCGAGACGGACATGGATTCTCGCGGGCGATGGCCTGGACTCCGAGTCTTACGGCCATCACCCTGCGGAGTCCAGACTTCATCACGATCTTGTCCGCGCGGCGGTGATTGGGGCGACTGCACTGTCAAGGTTGGGGGTAGTTGTGGCGATGAACGGTGGAAGTTCATAGAGATGGGCCGGCCATATCGTCTACCAGAGAACCCGCGATCCCGAGAATGCTCAGCATTCAATTGCTGAAGCACGTTTGGTCTCTCCTCATCCGGGGTCCATGGGACATGTGGCCGGGGCAAATCGAGCGAAGCACGGGTGGAGGATCGGAGGTCATCGCTAGGCTCTGGGGTGGCTAGTAAATGTGTTGTGGAAGTGCGCGGGCTGGCAGCTGCAGCAGAGGGAGCTCTGCGGTGAGAAAGATTTTCAAAATGAGACAGCAAAGAAGAGACCGGTCTCTGTGGCTGTGTTCATGTTAATTAGTTGTGTGCCACAAACAGTTACGTATACATACAGTGGGAGGGTCTTCATTGTTGTCCGGCTGCTTTCCTGTGCCCGCCATGGCCATTATCACGGATCCGTCGCCGAGACCAGCTGGAGAAATAGATCATAGACTTGGAGATATCTCCTAGGAATTGAATCGCGGTACGACAGTAGAGTAGGTGTTCGTGTGTATGGAGTTGAAGGTACAGGGATATCGTGGGGCTCGGAATTTGGGGGGAGGTAACGACGTAAGCGGCGCAAAGGCCAAGTAACAGAAGACGAAGCTTGGCCGTCAAGAGTTCGAGGAATTCCGAGAGATATCCAGGGGTTAAAAGGGGGTTGGAAGGTGAAAGTCGATGAAATGGAGTGGCGGGGAGGAAAGTGGAGGGAATCACGGGAGTTGACGATCACTTTGTGTCTGCATTTCTGTCGGACTTGAGCATCGACATCTCGCACTTGGCCGTCACTTTTCTTTCACATTTCATAGCCATGTGGTAAGTCTGTTTCTTGTGATGCTCTGGAGAATGCTCATGCTCGAGATCCCCTCAATCTCCATAGTACAAAATTCTGATAGCTAATACAATATCCCCGCTCCGCAGTAAACACATTCTGAACGCCCAAGTG